TTTAGCTCCAATGCGTGGTGTGCGTGGTTAAAACCTGCTAAACCAAAGCTTCTTAGCGTCTATATGAAATTGGACACACAATATAAAGCCATACATTAATTTGAATAAAGATAACAAAATGAAATAAACCACAGATATGAGCATCAATGACACTTACCTTTAGATAATTAGATAGTTACAAATGAAGATGATGGATGATGAACGATGGTAATGACATTAATATCCAAAAATGTCCCAAAATGGTACAGTTAGTTAAATAGTTTTTAGCTGGTGTTTTTTTCTTTTTGGCAGTGGGAAACAGAGAGAGGCTGAGCAGTTGTTCTCCTGTGCTCCCCAGAGAAGGAGAGAGATGGCCAGGGCAGTGTAAGCTGTGCAGTGGAGGAGGTGGGAGTGGCACCATCAACCCCGCACAGTCTGCAGATTAGGAGCTTTCCCATTCCTATACACACTCCTGACCGCAGTTCGTAAAGAAGTAACATTAATTCTATAATTGTGTGAATGCTGGTGACAGAGGTGTCCAAAACTTTTCTCAAGTAGTTTGAAATTATAATAAGAATAATTATAAATATTTCAGCAAATCAATCATATTTTTCCTTGTATTCTATATCACAACTTCAGACTTTGAAAACAAACTTATTTTACTGAGCATAAACAATACAGATTTTAAACTATTGCCAGTAAGATAAACAGAGTCTGCTCCATACACCATGCTTTTAGTGTTGGCTGTAAAGACCTCAATTAAAAATACTTAAGCATACTAATAACAGTTTAAAAATATTTAATATTAGTCCTGATTAAATTTTGATGAATTGCATAACCCTATTTCAGAGCTATATGCTGTAATTATTGTAGGAAAATGTCTCAGGAGTAATAAAATACAACTTTACTTCCATCAAACTGGCATCTTTCCCAGTGCCCAGGTCCTATGCCATACACACGAGTCCAGTGTGCTACATCAGGACCTGAAACATGAAACATGAAAACATTGTATAAGATGATGTGGTTGAATGTTAAAAATGTGCTATTTCCCACAGCCGCCATCTTCTGTGATGCACTAAGCCTGACACGCTTTCACAAACTAAGTCAACTCCACAGATTTAAGGTGCGGAAAGGTCAGACAGGTCACAGACTTTCTTTTTAGGACTTATGGTCTGGCGACATTTAGAAGCTGTGACTACTTAATCAACTTAAAATAAAAAAGTCATTTGAAATATGATCAGTTGAGGGAGTGTTTTAGCTTAACATGTTTTATAAAGATATTGTTATTCAGTCTTTGGGAAAAAGGGGATGTTGCAGACAAGATATAGATGAGTGGGGGAGTTGGTTAATCTAGATTTAGTAAAATAAAGGTCAAAGGATTAGAGCAAAAAGATTTAGGGGAAACTAATTAATGCTTCTTCTTGTGACTGTGACGTGTGATCTGTGAAGAAGCAAATCACCAAACATGAGAATTGATTTCATTTGCCACAAAATTTGGCTATTTAAAAGCAAAACTTTGAGAATATAACAGTAATAAAAGGTGTAAGACAAAAAAGGCATTCACCCTGGTCTTTCCACCCCTCAAAGTTATATTTTTACTAATAGACTGCGATTTTGATTAAGTGAAATTTGTAAATAATTATTTTATGGCACACAGTTCCACTTCAGCCAGGCCCAGATTTATGATTTCAGGCTACGTTTTTGAACCTCAGATTCAGGAGGAGCAGTGTAGTTTTTGTTCTGGTTGCTCAGCACTGGACCAGCTCTATTCTCCGTCAGATGCTTGAGGGCTTATGGGAGTTTGCCCAACCAGGCCACATGTGCTTTGTCGATCTGGAGAAGGCATTCAACCATGTCAGTCATGCTGTCTTGTGGAGGGTGCTCTGGAGGTCCGGGGCCCTTTGCTAAGGAGTGTCCAGTCCCTGTAAAACCAGACCACAAGCTGTGTTTGCATTGCTTGGAATAAATCAGCCCTGTCCAATGCATGTTGGACTCCGCCAGGACTGCGTTTGTCACCAGTTCTGTTCATTGTTTTATGGACAGAATTTCTAGGCGCAGTCAAGGGTCGGAGGGGGTCTGGTCTGGGGACCTCTACTATTAGCAGGTGATGTTGTCCTGATGGCTCCATCAAACCAGGACCTGCAACATACACTGGAGAAATTAGCAGTTACATGTAGTGTAAAGTGGCTGAGATGAGAATCAGCTCCTCCAGTTCCAAGGCCATGGTTCTTGATCGGAGAAACGTGGCACCCTTTCCAAGTGGTGAAGAGTACCTGCCTCAAGTGGGGGAGTTCAAGTATCTCGGGGTCTTTCTCAGAAGTGAGGGAAGCATCTGCAGTGATGCAGAAACTGTATCGTGCTCACTGTTGTGAAGGTAAAGCACTCAATCTATCATTGTCATCCTACTCTCATACCTCACCTATGGTCATGAGCTTTGGGTAATGACTGAAAGGACAAGATCGCAGTTACAAGAGGTGGAGATGAGTTTCGAGGGGAGCCAGCTGAGGTGGCTCAAGCATCTGTTTTAGATGCCTCCTGGATGACCCCCCTGGGGAAATGTTCCAAGCATGTCCCAGGAGCCCCCAGGGGAACAGCCAAGACACGCTGGAGGGACTATGTCTCTCAGAAGGCCTGATAACACCTTGGGGTTTTCCCAGAGGAGCTGGAGGAAGTGTTGAGGGTGAGGAGGTCCGTGCTTAGACTGTTGCCCTGTGACCCAGCCATGGATAAAGCAGAAGAAAGCGGATGGATGGGCTTTTCTTTAACACTAACTGTTACAGAATTGCAGCACAGCGAGGGTCAGGCAGACAGATAGGCCTACTACAGCAGGCATTATTTGGGATGAACAGCACCAGGATCAGGGCACATTTACTAGAGGTTGCCCACAGAGATGTTCACCATAACACCAGAGCTGAGCCTTGTAGGGTTTCTATCTGAGGCATTTCAGGTACAGCTCTGGATGTTCTATGGCTGTAGGCCACTGTGTAGTAAAAGGTCTTGATGTCTCGTGTCTCTAGAATATATGGACCAACTGCAAAATTAAGATCTCAGTTATTAATAATCAAACAGTCCACCAAGAACAAAATGGGAACTTATTCTGAACGTTGCAGGCAGAAGTCAAGTATAGGCCTAACCCTCACCTGGCTTAGCTGACTGTTTAAGTACTACTTAGCTTAGTTTCAGTCTCGTTTAAATCATAACTAATTAGCAAATAGTCAATCTTTAGCACAGACAGTTAGAGTAATTTGTGGGCGTGGGTGGCTATTTCTCTGTGCACAGATGAGTTTTTGACCTTGGCTCTCTCAAGATGGACATGTCATTTTCATATAGGGCCTATAATTAATTATCATACACATAAAGCTACATTACCTGGCTAAAGGGATCTACAATTAGAAACTAGAATTAGTAAACATACAGGGTGACCAGAAGTCCCTTCTTACCTGGGACTGTCCCAGTTTTGAGCCCTATGTCCCTTGTCCCAGCAGATTTATACTGTACAAAAGTAGTGATTTGTCCCAGTTTTATACAAGAAATATTCCAGATGTCCCTATTTTTGACCAATCTGATCCCTGCCAACAGTAAAGAGAGTAAAATACAGAAAAGCTGCTAAAAAATTAAAAACACAAAGAAAATGTGACTGTACTCACTCACATGCTAGTCATGAATGGGCCAAGTGTATAACAATTTTCCTTAAATACACACTCGCATGACAATTCCATTATTACCAACCTTCACAAACTGGGGGCGTCCCAGTTTTTGATTCTGAAAATCTGGTCACCCTACATGTATAGGCAATTTGTTGCTGAAGTAGTCTACATGTAGTCTACAAAAACGTCTAGTCTAGGCTATATTGTAGTGACAGGATCCTACTACAAGGTCTAAATTAGCTTTCATTCTTTCCTAGAATCCAGTAAAGCACAAAGTTGTCCATTGAGAGCGTGAGTCACCTGGTGCGCTCAGCCTGAGCCTGATCTGAAAATGCAGAGGAGGATGCCCTGGAGGGGGATGCAGTCCAGTCTTGTGTGTGGCTGCTGATGTGAGATACCGCGGCTGTAACAGAGAATCACATGGGCCGAGGTCAAGGAGGGCCGTGCTCCTGAAGACGAACTAAAATCAAGTCCTAAAAACTCACACGTCACAGGCTATAACATACATAAATTCAGTGTAGACGTGAGTTTTCTCTGGCTATGAAGTTAATATCCTGAGAAAGTGACATAAAATTAGAATAGAAAAAACTTTATTGTGGAGTTAAATTTCGGAATTAACATTGAATGTGGTTTAGTAACCAGGGCAGCTCATTCCTTGTGCTTTTTCTCCTTCAACTGTAGTGGATCACCTGACTCTTTCCAGGATGGTGTACTGTATGATTATTACTGAGCTAAGTCTCCAAAGAATGCTAATGATTTTTAAGCCAAATCAAGCCTTCATAAAACTTTTTTTCTTTACACTCCTTTGAAGTGGACCAAAGTATGCATGAAGGCAAAGACAAAAGCAACCCACCCCAATATGAGTGATCCAGTCAAAGACACAGGAATGTGGGCTGCACAGTTCTGGGGGCTGATCTTGCCCACAGCTCTGCCCATTTTCCAGCACGTGAGAAACTAAGACCTAGTAGTAATCATTTACAGCAGTTAGGCCTACTTTTTGCAAGTCTAAAAAATTGTTCTTTTAACCATTTTAATTTGGACATGCAAGTGAGTTAGTTGTACAAAAAGACACCTGCCATCTAGTAATTTTTTACGTTTTACTTGTACTTGATAGGGTTGTCAAAAATGGATACCATTACTAAAAAATACTAACTGATACTAAAAGGAGTATGAAAAACTAAGCACTGATTTCAGCAGGTATGATACAATAAATTAAACATTTTGACAATTCCGGATTAGTTTAAGAACCATCTAGACCGAAGTAAAATATGACCACATGGAAATATATATTAAACATGTTTGCTTTTGTTCGGTGGTATAATCTTTTTGTTTCCTATTATCAAAATTGGCTTTGATTTCCAGGTCCAACTTTGGTAAAACATGAAAAAATTACCTTTTTTTTATATTTGTATTAACAGAAATTTATTAACATTAATATGCAGGAATGAGACCTTCTGTGTATACATGGCACAATCATCTTATGTACATTCTTTTGGAGACAGTGCACAACTTGGTGGAAGGGGAGAGGACAAGGGAATCTTAAAATGACCCTCTTATAGGCCCCAGCTGTGGGGAGCCAATGAGAAACACTCATTAAGTTAAAAAGGCTTTTCTTTTTTAAACAAAGAAACATGGCTATCCCCAATAAACAAAAAATAATACTATGCTTTAGTCACACAATGATTTCTATGTACAATCTAAGAACAAGTATTTCACACAAACCATAGGGTAAATCTACCACAGTGCTAGGCTGGGGCCATTTCATCTGTAATAGTATTATATAGAAGATTCCCATGTAAGACAAGAGCAACACGTAGTATTTGGGGTCAGAGATTGCTGTACGCTTAACTCAATGCAGTGACATCATCTACACAATATTCTGAAATTAACATTACAATTTGAACATGAATTCATTTCAACAAAGTCATTATCATAAATCATTTTGAATCCATGTACTGGGTAATAATAATTTCTTAGGATTCAAATGATATGAATCCTATCATCATAATCTTTGTCCCCTTAACATTAAGTGTTACCAAGACAACAATCACAGGTGCGGCTAACAGCCTTATTTCTTCAATGCAAACTGGTTTGCTCTTTAGCTTATAACGCATTTAAAGCTCATTGCACTTCACCCCACAGACAGACATTGTGTCTTAGGTTTATATTAGGTTATTTATATCTGTGTGGCAGCTCAACACTTCCTGATTTGTTTTTTGTCAGTTTCAGTGCCCTGTTAGGTAGTCCTGGGTTGAATCAGAAGCAAAAGAGTCTGCATCTTCATTGTCTGAGTCTTCGCTGCTGTCATCTGCGGCAGGCTCTCCCGACAGAGCGATCCGGGCATAGTCGTCAGTGTCGATGGACTTGCAGAAGTGGATGGCATACTTGAGTTTCTCCTCCAGAACCTGTTTGCACGAGTACCTCGGCAGCTTCAGCAGGAAGAAACATGTGTAGGACTCGGGCAGGAAGTGGTCCGGAGGGTTGTACTTGTCCAGCACCTGAACACAGATAATGGTGAGTAGGAGCCAACCCTTTTTTTTTTTTTTTTAACTTCATCAGTCTTCTAAAACAAACAAAACAATAGGGTCCACTCTGGGGCTTTTCAGTCTCACTGAAATAATTAAATAAAAGGTCAAAAACACATGCACAAACACTTAGTAAATATACCCCTAAATATGATGCTATTCTATATTTTGTTTTGGAAAAAATAAGCTCCTCAAAGTATCTTTCTGCATGTTAACGTATACACAATCCAGTGAATCCACTGATAACCAAACATTTGCTGTGGTTGTCACCTGTACAACAAAGTCCCGCCCTCTGAAGTCTGCGATGGTCCGGGGCAGGCGGGTACGGCCCCAGACAAATCTGAGGAACAGGGACCGCTCTGTGTTAGAGAAGGACTCCATGACATCCCAGAACCACTGGATCAGAGGTGCGGTGGGCTCTACCCCTTTGTATGTGGCCACAGACTTGAGCAGATGCAGAGGGATGTCTGGGCTGCCGCATACCTGAGGAAAGAGTCAGAGTCAAAAAACAGGCAGCAAAGGAGCTACTTAACCACTAGATAAAGACCACCCAACTTACTACATAACACTTATATCTATTGAAGTACATACATTTTATAATGTACAATGCCACTTGAGAAATGTTGTTTAGACATGTTTATACTTAAACATTTGTTCTTTATTCTGGTTTTGATCATTCTGAATCTGAATGTTGTCACCGTAGCCATAACTATTCCTCCTGACCTCTTGAATAATTTGGTCTTTTTGTGTTCTAGGTTGAAGCTTGATGTAAATGTTGGTGGTTGTTTTGGGAAACTGAGTGGTGTGCAGTCTTTACATTCAACTGAAATCTGTTACTACATTATAAACCAAATAGTTCCCACAGGTGAATCCCAGGGTGATGGAAATGGAAAAAAAAAATCATGATTAGTTGGATTATAATTGAAATGATAACAATAAAAATATTTATGTATTATCGAGTACACTGAAGTAACAAAATAAAAGACTAATTCTAATTTATCAGTAATGTTTTATGATTTGAGTGGATCAAAACAAGGAGTGCCCAGCGAGTGCCCAGATCACTGATAACAGAATTCTATTATTTTGTTAAATTGCACATTTTTTTTGATTGGACCAATCATAAGCATAAAGAAATTATTACACAGTTCTAAGAGCACTGTGACCTACCATAGTCTCCAGCTCATAACCAGTGAAGAGTGAAAGCAGTGGAACAGGAACCACTCGAGCCATGCCCTCTCGAACTGCAGAGACCTGCTCATCAAACTCATGAAGCCTGGGAAGAAAAAGAAAAAAAAATCAATACAGAGAGACAGACTTCCAGTACATTTAGACTGAGCTAGTTTGTTCACCTGTAGTTAATAGCCAGGCGCACATATTCAGCGCGATTTTCCAGAGTGATGTGGGAGTATTTGGAGCTGAGCTGGATGTCCTGGCCACTCGCGTTGGGGACTGTGAAGGGCAGGGTCATTGCCTCAAACTCCTCAGCTGTGGCCTCATTGTCCCGAATATACATCAGGCCAGGAATAAAGTCTTTATCAACCTATGGAAGCATGAGATTAACAATAAAGCAGGCTATTAGAAAACCAAACAGCACTATTTGTCTTAGTTTGTGCTTATGCAAAAGATATGAAAGTGCACCCGCCAATGTTCCCATGAGCAGCACTTGTAAATTCCGCTATAGTCTTGTGCTGGGTAAGTCTCCTTTTTAACCTTTTTAATATCTCAAGGGCAGCAGCACAAAACAAGAGGTGCTCTGTGAGCAAAAGGCCTTTTTCACTGCAATTTCCTTGACGCTTCAGGAGCTCATGATCAGAGCGTGTGAGGCACAAGTGGAGGCTAACTCAAGCAGAAAGCCAAGGTTAAAACATAACCCAGGCTTGACATAAACCTGCTCTGAAGATACAATATATAGGTCTGTACTGTATATGAGGTCTCACTGAGGTGGGCTTAGTTTAATCTCAGCAAGAATGTATAATATTACTAATACAGCTTATGGGGTCCAAAATGTTATGTAATGTACAACAAAGCATTCATGTGATCTTTCATAACAAACTGTGTAGTTCGCATAAAGTTTTATAGGTACAGCACATTTCCACTTGTGACAGGACATACCTCACTGAGGTCAGCGATGGTCAGGTTCATGCCTGCCAGCTGTTTCCACACTGGCTCGGCCAGGTTCAGACTTAAAGGGCTTCCTGTTCGGATGGCGATGCCCAGCAGCACCCCTGCAGAAAGAGCACAGAGCATTAACCACATGACCAGTCACCTGTCACTAACCAGGGCTTATATGGTTAGAAGGATTTTATTACAGAAGCGTGAATTCAACAGGTAAACCAGTGTTTTATCAGCAAGAATACACATTTGAAAACAAGCAAACATTTGTTTTCAACGGTGTTATTTAGGATTAAAACCTGAATGAGATTATATGGCTTATACCTAGGAAGCGGAACATGCTCATATGCAGTGGGGACTTGGCTGCAGGGTTCAGCAAGAAACAGTCTCTGTTGGCGCCAGATTCATCCCGTCCATTAGGGGTGACGATGAGCAGCGGTGTCAATGCATTTTGCAGCTCCTCACACATCTCTGCAATAGACTCACTGTAGCCGCCTCCACAATCATCCACAGATTCCCCTGAGAGAAAAACAATAATCTAGAAAAGAGCCCACCTCTTCAGCATGACATTAAATTAAGTTAAAACACTTACCCACAAACTTGACCTTCCACACTCGATGGGGGAGCAGCAGGCTGTCTGGGCTAAAGGAACTCATTTTGGCACACATCTGACCAAACACAGACTTAGTTCCGTCTGGACCCGCCAGACCTCCTTTGCTTCGAGAGCGCTTCACCTACAAATGGGAACATGGTTTATGACCATTTGGTGCCCAAGCCCTCCTCCCATGGAGGAAGCCGTGATGTGAGTGCATTTTATGAATGAGACAGCTCTTGGCACCACACTAAAACTTGAGGAATGAGATGGAGTAAAGTGGGAATTAAATCCAAAACTTAGGTCAGACCGACTAGAGCACAGATCACACACAGAGATATAACCCTTTGTCAAAATCCTTGTTCTCATACAGCGAGAACAAAGCCTGGAATGTGAGAAATATCATTATATTAAAATCTAAGGCTGTACCTGTATCCTGTTGAGCTCCACCACAGGGCCATGCTGTCGGTCTCTCACCATTGTGGCCTGCACCACCTTTCTGAAAGCTGCTTCCTGATAGTACACAATAAGGTAAAATAGTTATAATTAAAACCTATTATAATGACAGTGTCTATGGTTCATGGTCTTCAATTTAGTCGCACCTTGCCCTGGGAGATAAGGATGCCTCTAAGGGTGTCGACGCCCACAGACAGGCCCTGCCCTGTCTGCCCCAGGCGGCCTTCCAAGTCAAACATTGGGATACAGGGACAAAAGAGCTCAGAGATGTGGTGCAGGAGCAGCAGCCGGTTCCTCAGAGCCATGATGGGAATCTCCTGGAGGTGGTTGTACTCCATCGGCACCTGAACCATGAGAGGAACAGCGTTTAGGCTAAACATGTATTAAAGCATGACTGCCATCTGCTGGAACACATTAGCCTACAACAAAATAAATATACAGAATAATTTAATCAGCTCTGTTTTAGTTACACACCTGTGCAGGGAGTTTCCCAGCATTGGTGGGTTTACTAGTTGACCAGGACAGAGTATGAGCAGAGCCACATGCCACTCTGTTGATCTTCTTGCCCTGAAGGGCAGCAACCAATCGTGGCCTCTGAATAGCGTTAGTGGTGCCATCTCCAAGTTGGCCCTCATCATTATCACCCCATGTGTAAACCTCTCCTGCAAAAAACAGAGGAGCACAAACTATATGATCTCTGATGAAACAGTTGCTATAGTGACCAGGGATCAGCCCATGAGCCCTACCATCTTCAGTGCAGCAGACACAGTGCAGTGAACCCGTGGCGATGGCAATGACCTTCTTCCCCTGCAGCCCCTGGACCTGCCGCGGGCGCCGCACATGGTCGTCAGAACCGTGGCCCAGACGATGATAATCCCCTTTGCCCCTTAAGAAATAAATAATGTATTATTGAGTGATGATTATTTTACATGCCATATGGTACTACAGTAACAGTACAATAGAAGCTATAACATACCATGTGTACACAGAGCCAGATTTTGTGAGAGCCACAGAAAATTGTGATCCACATTCCACTTTAACCACTCCAAGACCGGTTAGTGAATCGATCTACAAACACACAAAAACAATTAAGGAAAACTCCAATTATACAAAACATGACAATGACCCAAATGTGTTTGTAGAAGCTAAAACATATTTCACTATAAAGCACAATCTTAAAGACAAGCCAAGTGGTGCCTCTGCACACACTTGTGTATTGACCATTTTACCTTCATGGGTATTTTGCAGCCATCACTCCCTCCTCGTCCCAGTTTGCCATAGTCTCCATCTCCCCAGGACCAGACCATGTCATCATCTGTGAGACACAGTGTCTGAGCGTCTCCACTGCCACAGGCCACATCGATGACCCTGTGCCCCTGAAGAGCATCCACCTGCACACACAGGAAAGGACAAAACAATGCGTTTACTCTACCTCTACCATGTGATTGAATGATGGACATAATCCATTATGCTTGCATCTTAGATTATCTACCAGTTTTGGTTTGAGCTGATCTTCACTGTCCCCATGACCCAGTCGTCCATATCGTCCTTTACCCCAGGTGAAGAGCTCTCCGCTGGCTGTGATACAAGCACTGTGTGCCCCTCCAGCTGCAATATCCACCACCTCCACACCCCTCAAGGACTCAATAACACGCGGGCGATCACAGGGGCTAGAGACAGGATCACACTTACAGTCACTATCAATCATCTTACTAGAATTTGATATCATAATTTAAGATCAAGGACATTCCATAGATGTTTCTTTAACAATGCAGAGCTGCCACAACTTATTTTTGTGAAATTTTGCACATTTCTTGTGGATTGCTGATTAATGACATACCAAAAATACTGTGATGTTCATTTTATTTAATAAGGCCCCCCCTCATGTTAAGGATTCAAACACATAGTTTTTCTCTTTTGGCTTTAGCCAAGTCAACTATCCCACCTGTATGAATAAATAATATTGCCATTTAACTGAAAAGAAAATCACAATTTTATTTGTGATGGCAGAAGATGTTAAACTGTGTGTCAGTTTTTAGTTTCATATAGTCACTATACAGAGATTGTAAACCTAAAACAAACAAACAAAACAATTTTTGACACAATCGCACAGCACAGCCTCTGCACAGATTCTGACCTTCTGTTTCCGTGGCCCAATTTTCCGTCTTCAGCCTCTCCCCATGAGTACACCTCTCCCTCTGAGGACAGGGCCAGGCAGTGCTTCCCACCCGAATTCACAGCCACTTTCCGAATGAACACGTGTTGGATGGACTCCAGTAGAGTGGGGGTAGACACCGACTCTGTCCCACCGATGCCCAGTCTGCCGCCAGCTCCGTATCCAGTCGCATACAGCTGTGGATCAAGAGAGGAAATAAGACATTTAAAAATGTAACTCATTGTAATTTTTGGCTTTTCAAATGATTGGTTGATACCCCGTACAACCCAACTTCAAACGAGTAATGTATAATATTACAACGTGGGCTAACCTTTCCATCGGCTGTGACAGCAAAAAGTGTTTGCTCTCCTCCGATGAGCTGAACGGGGCGGAGTGTTGCCAGGGCTTCAGTGGGTGTTGGCACTTTGACCTTTGCTCCCTCTATGCCCCCCAGCTGACCCCTGTGGTTGTGACCCCAGCCATAGATGGTGCCACTGCCTCCTGCAGATAGGGTCCAGTCGTCCGGCCGACGGTTCATCCACTGCACCAGCTGCTCATCGTGCTCGCGCTTGAACAAATCGTGGCTCTCGTGCAGGTTATTCATGCTCTCATGGTCAGCCATGAGCTCACGAACTTTCTTTGTGACCTTAAAAGATAGAAAGTGAACAGATTAACAATACGTTTCTCTGACCATAAGACTGGGAGTTTCCACTATATTTACACTACAGACTACAGAGATTATCCTGTCTCAATATCAATGTGTTGATTACAATGCAGTATTTTTGTAAATCTCAATGGTAAATGTGACTGTATATCACACAAAGTCAATGCTTACTGAAGTTACTACTTAGTGAGACTGAAGTGAGATTAATTTGTTAATTTTCCTTTCTAAGATCATCACAACAGATAATTCCTGAAGCAATAATAGTAGTTTCATACCAGCTTAATCTAAACTGATAAAAACAGTTATATCAGTTGTATGGTAATATAGGGCACCTCATCCAGGAAGGGTCTTGGTAAATTGGTCCTCTTGTCTAATGCTATGGCCACTCGCGATGCAGTGCAGTATCTGCGAAACCATGCCCACTTATGAGTCTCAGCGCAGCAGGGCAAAGTGTCCAGCTCCAGATCACAAGCAAGGGCAACCAACACCTTGATACAATATAAAAACACAAGCATTATAAATTGTACAATACATACATAATGTCATTTAGCTACATCATTTATACACTCTATTGTCCAATGATACTGACTACTAACCAAGACTATGACATCTTCACAGTAAGTTTAAAAATCAAGGTTAAAAACGATAAAAAATGTAGCCATACCTTAAAGAATGGACTATGAAGAAGCTGTTTTCCTCCCCTGACAATGGGGTCCTCATACTCATATTGCCTTTGCAAAGCCTCAGGGAGTCCCTTTACCAAAGCAGCTAAAGCACTACCGGTGAAACTCTAAAAGTAAATAGGAAAAATTGTGCATTTAAATTAATAAATATATCTACATGCATGTACTCTATCAAAACTGTAATAGTATAATTTTATTGTGAAGGAAAAAGCACAAACCATTGGGCGTGTCTCTCCTTCACTGTCCCCGAGCAGTCTGTTGATGTTAATGGACTGACCATATTCAGTTGTGAGAAGTTTACGTAACCTCTGTAGAGCCCACATTCGGTGTCCAGCAGCTGTGCCACAATGAAAATATAGTCACACTAATAGAAAAAGGAACACTGTGAAATGAGAGGAAAGTATTATTACCTAGTGCACTAAGCTGGGCACATGCAGCAAGAGAAGCTGCGAGACGAGGGACAATGCTCCGGTTTGAGGCAAAGTTGAGTCTGAAGTCCAAGAGGCAGGTGACCAAGTCCATGGAGGGGCAGGAGAGGATGCAGCGATCAGACAACAAGTCTTTGGGACCTGAAAAGTAAAATTTGATTTGTATTTACATGTATTAGCACCACCACAATTAAGGAGTCATTGAATCAACAACTACACCTACAGCTACTCAGATAAGGCCACGAAGCACTCGCCACACATTCATACAGAGGTACTATCAGTGAGATGTCTTGCTAAAGGACAGAACTGACTGGTTGGAATTTGGGATCAAACCACCTTCTACACTCCACCCATGAAACAACCACACTTGAAAACCTGAACCGCAGAACACCTCTCAAACACATTAGATCATAAAGGATGACGCTTGACAAAAAATCTAAAAGTATAATGCTGTGTAAATTTATACTGGCATTGCTGTACAGCGCTGATGACTAATGTTTTCAGTTTAACAGTAGCTCACCAGCTGCGGGCATGATAGGATAGACAGTGAAGCGCCAGCCCCATCCATTCACAGAACCATCACTCGTGAACTTCCATTTCAGTTCATCTCCAGGGATCCTCAATTCACTCGACCAGTCAGACCACTCTCGGCCTGAAAATAGCGTGATAAATGTTTTATTTTTCAGCAAACATTCGACTGGTAGTAATAAGACAGTCAATACATACCTGATCTGACAGACACTATTCTGTTTGCTCCATCCATAATAGTGAGTGGGTCATGACGTCTTTCTGTTGAACACTGCCGATCAAACTCTATCCTTAACCCCTCAGCTCCTACAAAAAAATAAGAGTGTTAAGGTTAAAGTTAGAATTTTATTAATGTGAATCAAATGGCAGCTTTAAGAAAAGAAAGGCTGCCATTCTAAAAAAAAGTAACATAATGCTTGTCCTGTGGTGTTTTGATTTGGACCACTACACACATTTTGGTGTTTTTTGTATTAGTTTAGCCATATTACTATGATAATGATGCAGTTTATAATTTGCATTGTAAACTAAATCTTGATTCCAAAAAAGGAATTGTAATAAGATCATTTTCATTATTATCAATATCCAAGCTATCTGTAGACAACCATTATTATTTACCCGGTATTTTCACAGTGCCACTGGTGGAGGTGTCATCTGTGTAAGGATGGCTGCTTTCAACAACCACAGGCTGAGAGGACAAGCGACCGCTTTGAGAATCTGTGGCAACATCCTCCAACTCTGTCACACACAGCTCCAGCAGCATGTCCGCAACCTGCAAACCACAACAACAAATGTTGAACTAAGAATGTACTATTCACCAAATATAAAAGAGAGCAGGATTTTATGACTCTAACTGGGCAAAGGTAATACAGCTAGTGTCTTCTTGACCACTGGTGGAAAGCAAAATGAAAGTGGTATGATAATGTCACTTTTTAAATATGCATTTTATATAATGTATCAATAATGCGCAAAATGTATTATTTTTTTATGAATTTTAAATGAATAATTTCTACTCTACTATCACTGAATTTTGGAGTAAATATTCTGAGTTTAGTAAAAAAAAAATATATATTGGATTTATTACCTGTGGATATGCAGTCCCCATTCCAGACAGCACCGCAGACAACACCTCTTTGCCTTTGTCCCCAGAGCGACAAGACACGGCCAGTTTGAGGAGGTCTACTAAAACGCGAGTATCATCAGGCATGAGCAGACTGGTGAACTCATCCAAGTACTGAGGCTCTGGACCAACCACTTTGTTTTGGCTCTCTGAATCCTGAAAGAAATCAATAAGGTAAACACATTTATTAAGACATGAAATTATGATATTTTGATTGATGATTGACCAGAAACACCTTCTACCTGTAACTTTGAAAATGCTCAGCCCCTTTTGTAAACTATTGTCACAATTTGCTTAAGTTTGTATTTGTGCCATTTTCTGGATCTAACACACCAACTTTGAGGACAAAATATTCACATAAGAATTGTAGGCATATGATAAACACTAACAGCCGCCATCATTATGTGGTATTCCCTACAGTCAACGTCATAATGTCTTGTTTGTCTGTGTATTTAATTATGTAATGTAGTGTTGTGTAGAATTGCTCCACTTACCTCTTTGGTTTTGGTCATGGTCTCTGCAATGATACTGGCTGCTCCTGGGTCATCAGTGACAGGGATGAAAGGTCGAGAGGATGCCCCAGAGGCAGAGGGCGTCACGGCTGAAGAGGGGGTCACAGCATCATCAGAAGACGCAGCCTGAACACAGAAAAACAGAGAGAAGGAGAGAGAGAGGTACTTTATTGATTTAAAGGGAAATACATAGACAAATGTTTCTAACCTTAATTTAGTGAGTCATTTACAATCATATTTATTGCCTGCTGTCTCTATCTAAATATATGGTTACCGTGTCTACAATTGCTTTCTTATTCTTCATATAAAATAAATTATGTACTCTTAATAAACCCATTCTAAAACCCTATTAGTTTTGTCTATGAAAGCTGAATGTTTTGTGTATACTTTTTTCAGTGTCAGCAGATCTTATACTAGCAAAGAATATAGCTAGGTGCATGTGCATAAAGTTTATTCTCAACAAAGTCCCATGAGAGAGTCTGGGGTTTCCAAGTGGCTCCTAAAATAGTCTGCTGACTTTGCACCGAGACACCTGGTCATTATAGAGCAGTTTTCCTGAGTAAGGGAACACCTTTGTTTATTAAATATTTTCCCTGACAGCAGTTATAAATCTAAGCTAAACTAAAAAAAAAGCTCCAGTTTGTTTTGTATATATTACGTACCTCTCCTTTCTTGTCTTGCCATGGATTTGGGCTAACGCGGTCCTCTGCTTCAGGGGGGACAGGTGGACCCTCTTCATCACTGATAGTGGAGGAGGCACAGGAGTCCAGAGGAGGGACGGGAGAGCTGGAAGGACACTCTGTAGGCAGGATCATACTCGCTGGCATCAGAGCACCCACCACGGCATCCCTGGAGAATAAGGAGCATATGCAGCCTGTCAACTTCCATATCAGGTAATGCACATATACAGGAAGGACTTTCAGTGATTTCGGGGTAATTTTATCTTGTGTATGTAGAGGAGGTGACAGAATTATGAACCAACCAAAATGTATTTTATTGTCCCTGTAGGAAAATTTGTCCTCTACATTTCACTCATACAAAGGAGCATATTCAGATCTTGAGTCAGGAGTATCAAGCTGTAGGATGAATCTGTTGTGCATATTTCAAGTTTGGGGAAAACACCCTGACATAAAAGAGAACATGCAAACCTAGTCCGAGAGTTGTAGTTGGGACTTTCTTGTTCTGTTTATGTGCCACCAACATGACATAACTTGAGTTCTATATGTAGTTTCTTTTTAAATCTTCTTGAGTGAATTTAAAAAACAGACTAGCCCGTACCTTGCATACATGATCTGCAGAGCAGATAGCACATGAGTGAGTGCCTGCTGTTTGGCCAGTTTTCCATCGAGGCTCAGGAGGATTTTGGCAAGAGACGGCCGGTTTGGCTTTGAGCTGCTCTGACCATTCAACTTGTTACTCACAGACGACGGGTCACTGTCTGCCTGCACGCCTGGTATTAAGCAAATCCAAAAGTAGGGAAAAACTGTTAGTGATGCAAAAAAGAAAGTTACAAATGGATCTAACTATGGATCTCTGAATCAGGACACAGGACTAGCTTAATACACATAAATTAAGCCCAACATATATAATTATTTTTCCTTTATAAAGCTTAGAAAGATATTAAATTTATATTAATTCTTCACTTAGAAGTTAATGCTCATGAATGTGTTTAAAAACAAATTTTCAAGTTATTCGATTCTACCAACCTAAATAAGATGCTCCAAGTGAGTCCCTGGCTGTCTGGAAGAGGACAGGTTCATGAACTGAAGGAGTGGTCACGTCCACAGTGGTCCAGGCCACACTGTGAGATGAGCCACAAGCCACTCGAGTGATTTTCTGTCCCTCCAGACCCTGCACCAGAGTGGGCTTCCTGTTCACAGTGGTGGTACCATTCCCCTGCTGCCCATGGTCATTGTCCCCCCATGCATACACCTGAAATATAAATGTTTTTTTTTAAGTTTGGAAAAAAATAGTACAAACAATTGTATAGACAGACATCTTCATGTGAAAAAGAGTAAATCAAGTTGAATTAAAAAATATTAAATTTTCAATGCATTTTCAAACGATATTACATGGGTATATACAAAACTAGAGGAGAAGATGAATACAAACCTGTCCGGTCTCAGTGACAGCCAGACAGTGCAGAGCTCCAACAGCAACATGGACAATCTTTTTGCCCCTGAGCCCTTCCACCATCTGGGGCTTCCTCACATGGACATCAGTACCATGTCCCAATCGAAAATAGTCTCCTTTGCCCCTATTTACAGCATATTGATTAACCCAGTGCAAGTAAATAATCTGACCAGTGATAATACGTAGTTCTTACCATGTCCACACAACTCCAGATTTAGTGAGTGCAAGTGAAAACTGCGCCCCACATTCAATCTGGCACACGCCCTGTCCATTCAGCCTCTCTATGTTCTGAGGAATGTTACATCCTTCACTGCCTCCACGACCAAGTTTACCAAAATCACCATCACCCCATGAAAACACCAACCCTGGATGAAGAAATGGATAATATTCATACACAATATTAAAAGTAAAGAATTATTGACTTATTCATTCAACTTCCAGGGTGGCAACTAATTATTCATAAACCATAAGCTTGTTTTTAAACATTAGCAGAGAGGGAAATGTGTACTTTTTATTAAATATTTTGAGAAACATACCTTCATCCGTAAGTGCTAGAGTTTGAGCGTCCCGACTGCCACAAGCGACCTGGATGACGCGATGTCCCAAGAGCACTTTTACCTGGAAAGCAAACACAATATTTCTTTGTGATCCAGAACTTTAATCTAAATGCAAATTCAAAAACATTAGCCTAACTTACCAGTTTGGGCCTTAATTGTGTGGTGTTGTCTCCATGTCCAAGGCGGCCGTATTCTCCCAGTCCCCAGCTGTAGAGCTCCCCACTGGAGGTAATGGCAGCGCTGTGGGAGCTGCCACATGCAATGTCCCGAATACGCTTGGTTTTAAGCGCCTCTATCAGCCGGGGCTTGTCACAGTTCCTTTTCAGAATAAAGAATGAATAAAACAGAGGTATAGTTATAAAGGTGAAATGTAGGTATAGAAGTTAGAATTATTATTTGGTATAACAATTTGTAATTTGTAATGCAACGCTGTGATATCCTTATGTTAGTATTCTAATAACATGTAAAAATCCTACATTCTGCTGAAGTGTCCCAGTTTGCCGTCGTCCCCTTCACCCCAGGAGAACACTTTCCCATCCACAGTCAGAGCCATGGCATGGCGCCCTCCAGAGTGCACAGCCACCTTCTTCACCACGTAGTTGCTCAGAGCTGTGATCTGTCGCGGGATGGGTATGGTCCCACTGGACAGACCCAGGCCCAATCTGCCGTTGGTGGCCTCTCCACAGGCGTAAATCTTACCCTCAACTGTGACTGTAAAAAGAGACACAAATTCAGTTCAATATTAGAATTTGGAAACCTGTAACTATACTACAATTGTGTATTATGAAAGTTAAATAATTTTGATTAGAAATTAAATTACACATACTCTAAAAGATGCAGCTTGTATTACTCACCAGCAAACAGACTTTTGGAGCCTCCAGCCACTTGCACCACATTCAGAGCAGAGAGAGTTTCAGAAAATGATGGCACCTTGATCTGCAAGTAAAAAAAAGTCATTTAATATACAGCACTTGCCCGTGTTACAATCACTTAGGTCAGGCAGAGAATGAATACTAAATGCATGGGTTAAATTGAAGAAAAATGCAAAAGTACCTTGGAGCCCTTGAGTCCTCCAAGCTGGTCTTTGTCATTCAGACCCCACACAAACACTTTGGTCCGGATTGTTGCTGCAGACTCCAATCCTGATGACTTTTTCCGGGCGAGGCTGGTCCAAATAAAAGGCAAACCAATTATTGATCAGATTTGAAATGCAACATATTTTTCACATTGAGGACACACTATTATTACAAACCTCCCAGTAGCAGCTTTCTCCTCATCCTCCTCTTCATTGTCAGAGGCAAGAAAAGGAACAGTGGCCAAATCTTCATCTTCAGCTCTGATCCGTCCGACAATGCTCAGTCCATGGATTTTACAGTCTATGCCAGCACTGCGGCACTGTTTAATGGCAACCTCAATGTAGCGGTGAAACTGTAAAGAGGGTTTAATAGTTTGTCACTGGTAATATACCATATTCTAAATATATATGTTTTAAATGTGCACATACTTCTGTACAGTCAGCAAGGAGGAGGACATTTGTGTCTGTGGGATTGATGTTAATTGTTTTCAGCTCGATTAAGTTGTTCAAAGAGCTTCCACCTGTAGAGAACATGAATAAAGTAATGCCACTTGTACACTGAATGCACAAATATGTATTGCAAAATGATATATCCATATCGGTCTGGTCAAAAGTCATCATACACAGAAAAGTTTATTCATGGATTGGCCAACATTTCATAATATCTACTATCAAATAATCATGTTTGTTTTATGTATGGTTTAAAATATAATGAGTGCAGAAAAAATGTCATACACCCTACCTGAGACCACTACTAGAGATGGCATGTAGCTACTGTCTGCTGGATCCACAAGCATCTTTAGTCTATGCACAAGGACATCTGGGAACAGCTCCAGACGAATCCAGTGCTGAGAGAGAAAAATATTGTGTGATTTCAAATAAAGAAATCCCTTACTCATAATATCACAGAAAGTACTATCCCCAAATAAACGTTTTAAACTTCTTAAATTAAGTTAATGTACCTTTCCTTGCGATCCGGAGGACTGCCAGCACTGGTCACTACAGTCAATGAGGCGAGACGCCTGGTTCACAGAGGAGGAGACGTTCAGGCTCTTCACGGCTCGGGACCAGTCGTCGATCAACATCCCACGCTGTGTGTTGTGATGTTTCTTAAGTTGTTTCCCTGAGCGACCACAAAAAGCTGGAGATTGGCCTATGGAGAAATGATGAAAGCAAGTTTTTAAGAAAAAACTGTAAATAAAGTACTGGGCATTTAGGGAAAGTATTAAAAAACATACCACGTTCATTGATTCGGCCAAAGGAATGTCTGGTGTTGTGTTTTCGCGTTTTGAAGCAGTTTTCACAAAAGTCAAAATCATCGCAATTTCTACATTTGAATCTGGGGCCATTTATTGGAAACATCTGGCAGCCATCACACCTGAAACCAAACACATATGTAGACCAAACAAAAAAAAGATCATACAATACAATCAAGTATTTTATGACCTTACCTCACTCCAAGATGGACACTGGGCACTAGCTCCATTTCAGACAGAAGGCCAGTCCAGTGAGATTGTTGGGGGAAGTCAACAATTACATCCTTTCCATTGGCACTGAATGCTAAAATATAAATGATAAATAAGTATAAATAATAAGTCATTTTATTTTATTCTCTGCTCAATTCATAACAAGCACGAGTATTAGTAATAGTAGCAACAGTGATAACGACAGTAGTAGCAGTTTACCTTTCACAACTCCAACACTCCGATGTGTTACTGATCCCCATTTGTATTTTGGTGTAGTTACTGTCGGCTTTACTCTCACTTTATCCCCAATTCTTATATGAGAGGGAGAACTCTGAGGCGGGAAGCCTGTAAAATCCATTGACAATGACAGATACGGCCACAAAAGATAGCTATAAATCAGATAGTTTAAAATAATTACCAAGAAGCTCAATGTGGATGTAGCGGACCCAGTATGTTCCTCCTTTTTGTTGCCAGTCGCATTGCACATTCAAGTCGTGGAGTCCATCTCTGTCCAGCTTTATAACTTTACCCATATCTCCATCATAAACCTCTTCATATGTTCGGCAGCATTTTACCATCATCCCGACCTATGTGCAGAAGATAGTAATAAATGTTATAATGTAATAAAGAATAAGAAATCTAAGGAGAGGAGTTATTGACCTAAGAACTTGCCTGTATATTTTCACGAACATAAACAGCGTAGTCATCGTTACTTTGAAAATCAGATCTCTTCTTAAATGTTTGGCTTTCGGTGACCACTGCTCCAGGAGGCTAAAAAAAAAGAAGAAAAAAATACTATAAGCGTTACTTAACAATCTTGATTCAGTTCTTTCTTAGCTAAAATACATAACAACGAAGCATTAATATTCATACGAGAAAATAAACTGAACATAATAATGTAAGCTGTGTACCACTGTGTAGGCTGGCTCGCTCTCCTCCAGTTCCTCGAGAACTTCTTCATCTGAGAATTCATCTGACACTGTCTCTGCATCAGACAGCTCAGTCACATGGATGTCTGGGTGGTCCAGTAGCCAACTCACCAGAGCCTCAACACCTAAACAAAAAATATACGCTGTTAATTTAAGACAGTCATAATTTCTGTCATCTTCACATACATTATCTCCCAGTAATTAAATTTACTGTGAGGACCAATTAATGTTTAGTACCTGGCATTCCTGAGGCACTGCCTGTAGTTCCTGACAGAGACTTTAGGGCAAATTCGATGTTCTTTCGTGGGAACCCCATCTCCATGAGCTGAACAACTATGGGTAAAGGGGGGACTGGAGAAGTTTTCTGTTTCTTTTGTTTTGGGGGTCTGACGTGTTGAATTGTGACAGGAGTGGTGGCCTCGCTGGAGCTGCTCTCCTCAAACAGAGGAGATGAGGGGTGGGCTGATTCCACTGCCAAGAATTGACACACGGCCAGAGCTGCAGCCTAAATTAGACAATAACATTAGGTAACATTACAATATAACTTAGCTTCAATAGCCTTTTCAAAGAGTCTAGTGTTGTTACTAGTTTTGCTACCATCGCTTTCTTGTTCTGAAGAAAATATTTAGTCTTACCTCCATCTCACGTCTGTCAAAAATGGCTTTGATGGGGGAGGGCTGGGTGGCAGCAGACAAAAGTTGTTGTAGCAGAATCATTGGAGGAAGTGGTCCTTCAGGAGACAAGTCCCCCACATCTGGAGAGGATACGACTGGATCCTCTGCAAGGAAAAAGTGCAACTCATAAAATTATTAAGTGTATGTGTCATAAATAATTACATTTGATTTAAAGTTGCTAATCTGTTGTATATATTAAATGTAAAAGAACTTTTTTCTAACCTAACCAAAAAGTGTAAACGATTACTCGAGTATGAACAGTTACTTGAGTGACAGCCCATATATAAAAATCTCAAAGCCACATTGCACATCTTAATGTTAGTTCAACTCACCACTTGGGTTAGGTCCGATGTCAACGACTGCAGGCTGAGAGAGGATCTGTCGAAGTTTGTCCTGGTGAAAGAGTAAAGCCCGTCCTGCTTTTAAAATGTAGAGTCTCAACTGCTGGCAACGGAGCAAATGGATGTCCACCTGGTCAGCTGCAAGAAATTTAGTTTATTTAGTTTATGAGACAGGGATCATGTAAAGGAACATTAATCAAAGAAACACTGAAGAGATGCTTTGTGTCAGTCTGTAGCTCTTAGAGCTAATTTCCATCTGCAAGTCAGATTAGTTTCATACCAGAAAATTTGTAATTAAAATAATGTAAATAATCACTAACACATATTTTGGTCTATGCAGATTTGACTAAAACTTAAGAAATTGAATTTAAAAATTCCTAAGGACATTTTTGCAATATAGTCTGATTATAATACACAGATAGTATGCAATGTTAAAATAGTCAATTACATGAATCTGAGCAAATGACTTTACCAGTAAAGCCACGACTTAAGGACTTCTTCATCCGTTGTTTTTCCAACTTGCTTCCTGCCAAGCTGACAAGCTGGGCCCACACTGACAACATGGGGTCAGTGAAGGGTAGGTTATGGGCACTGAATGGCACTGCTGGCAACTTCATGAAAAGAAAAGAATAATTGCAGGGTGATAAGCAACACGCTACTCTAGACACTTATGTGATTGGCTTATTTGGACATTGTGCAGAATTATGGACCTTGTCACTAGTATAAATTATCATGTTCAATATTTATGGGGTTTCCTTTTGGATATTTTGTTAGACAAAACATAGTTCAGTAATACTGACTGCCACCCCAAAACTGAGAGACAAATGTATGAATAGGTCACAGGGTAAATGTTTTTAAAACTCCAAAAAAATTTTTTTGAGTGACTGATCTATCTATATGTATGCAAGCCATTTTATGTGTTTTCCCACTTACTGGTTTGAGGTGGCTGAGCAAGCACACCCTGCACGTCCTCATCTCATGAAACTGAACAGTGATTCGTCCTTTCGGAGTGATTCGAGTAACTGTGCCCTCTCCGTACTCTTCATGAACCACCTGCCCTCCAAGCCTTAACCGACCATCTATTCCCCCAATCACAGACAAGACGGCCATCAAACTGCCCACTCTCGGACCCTCTGAATCAGGGAAATACTCCTCCAGGAAACACTATGAAAAATAAAGAATATTCATATCAGTTAGGGTAAATAAACAGAGGGTACCTGATGACTAACATTAGAGATTATATCACACAATGATAATATGGAGCCCATAATGTACGGTATATTATGTATTTCTAATACTTACAGCTTCAGACTGGCAGCCCACCATCACATCTCCAATGGCACTGAGCTGGTTGTTGATGTACTCATTTATGAGGCTGTTCCATTGGTTGAGGGAGTGTAAAGTGCGCAGAACAGCAACAATCTCCTCGGCCAGAGTACTGCTGTGAGTGGCTGTCAGAGAGGCCTGTGGGCGGGACTTTCTCCTCCGGAGAGATCCATCTGTTTGGAGGACAAGTTTGTGGAGAAAGAAAAATGTTGATAATGGTTGAAATAACTGAAAAAACATATTTAATGACCATTTACATATTAAATTAAAATTTAAATCCCTATTTTGGCCCAAAATTAGAGATTATTGCCCATGTTTTGAAATCATTCTGACCACCATTGTACATCCAAAGAAACCTACCTCTAAGCAGCGGCAGATCTGAAGAACAGGTGCTCAGCAAGCTCCCAAGAAAGTTAAACAACTTCTCCACCAGGAACTTCATGTCTTGAGAGCGCTCCATCTTGTCCCATGAAGGCAAGACTGCCTGCAGGAGGCGCAATGCAAGGATCTAAAAACAGAAGGACACACAATTGAAAATACTTTACAAAAAGCTGATAAGCAGTATTACTGTATTCGGAGTACGTATGGAGATTTTGTGTCGTGGTTAAGTAAATATAGTGAGATGGAAATTCTAACTTAGAACAGTCCATGTACAACACCTATACATTAAACTTAACAGAGCCCTGTAACCTTTATATGACCACATTTAGAATCTTAAATCCACAATAAATGCACCTGTCTTTGCAGTGTAACAGCATTAAAAGACTGGTGACCCTCCACTATCCGGATGAGCAGGCTGATCCATGCTGATGTGCTGAGCGTGCTGCACATCTGGGGCATGAGTGCGATGGAGCGGATGAAGCCCAGAGTGCACCAGCTCCGGTGCTGCTCCCGGGACACCATTCTGTGGGAGTGACAGCCTGAAAGCACAACACAATTATGGTAACACTCTACTCCTTATAAAGTTACATGAAGTAATGTAGCAAAGCATCACAAATAAGTTACAACGTGATTTGATAAAGTCTGATCTTATCTTATCTACCAGTGAGATTCAAGTCTTTGCTACTCATTAACAATCTAGTAAAGTGATTCAATCAAGAGACAAATAATGCAAATGGTGCGGCACACTCTGCTGGTGACGCACACATAAGGCGCATGGCTCCAACAGTTTAAATTAAACAAAACTGGTCTGCAACTTGTCCAATTAAGAAGCCATTAATGACCAAATAGCAACTGATAAATAAAGAAACCATACTGACTAATGTACAGTAAAATCACCTGATTTGTCATTGGCTCCACTCTCCACGAGCGACCTCAGAAGTCCGCAGAGTGTCCGGGTGGCGTCAGTCTGTAACACCTCAGCGTGGACTCCAGCCGACAGGGACAGCATCTTCAGCAGGTTCACGGTGCTCGTCAACATCATGGCCGTCGGGTGGGTGCTCTTTTCAAGCAGCTCTCCATCTAAAATAGACACAAGACAAACATTTTTAAATAGATCTTGACACACAAAAATGTTATTGTTTTTCTTTAAAACATAAGATTTGTCAATCAAGTCCAAGAGGGAAAAGATTTTGGTGGCATCATATTGCAGCTTTAATTAATATATTGGCTTTATATGTCATTTTATTGTGATCTTACCAACATCATCCTCTGTGTCAGAATCCTCAGCAGGGGGTTGAGTAGCTGGAGGTGGTTCGGCAAGTTTCAGGTCATACTTTCCTTCTTTGCCCATTCGGTACGAGTTTGTGCTGCTGGTGTCCCATTGTACTCGGATCCAACCATCCTCTCCCAGTTCTCCAATGACCCGACCCAGACCTGGTGCTGGTCCATCCTGAAGGAAAACACGCCAGGTCATATAGAGCATGAGATCATATTTTGTTCATCTCCCTTATCAACACTTAAAACGTTTGGCTCAGTCTTTGCCTAACATGGTAATCTAGAAATTGCACTTTTGCGTTTTAGTCTATTCACCTTCACCTGACAATTATTCTGATTATTTTATTGCGCAAAATACAATATAAACTTTTTCAGTCTTCAGAAATAGGAAAAAAATTTAACAATAGTTTTATTGCACTTACTTGGTCTCCCCACTTCCAGTCCACTCCCCTCATAACTCTGGTTCCAATCTTCATCATAGCAGCCAACTCAGGCCCTGATGCGGGGAGAGGCGTTGGCGTGGCCTCTTTCCTGGACTCCTCCAAAACAGTGGCTGAACCTCCATGTGCACACAGATTCATGTCCTCCTCACTGCTGTCTGTGCTTGGCCCTAGAATACACAGAAACAATTACCATTCAATATTTATATATACATATTTCCTAGTATATAAAGACTACACATCTACACATCCATGTCTTACCTATCAGTCTGAGAATACTCTGTGTTAAAGCCAGTACTCCTGAATTCAACAACAGACTGAGGCTATTGGACCCATGTTTGAGTGACAGCATATGAATCATAGCAAGGAGGAAACGTGCTTGAGGAATAGTGCCTAGGCTAGGCCCTGCCGGGTTTTCATTAGTGATGGTTTGCAGAGGAACAGGTTGCAACCCTACAAAGAAATATAGACAAGACATTATAAGTGATCAATAAATTGCAAGGTAAAAAATTATACTGCATTTTCTGGATATTCACCATGCTCCTTGAATCGTGCACTGGCTTCCAGAAGGATGTTGCGAACATTTTGAATGGCCCAAGAATAAAGCTTTCCAAAAGTGACCTCCAAAAGCATACGGTTGAATGGTGGGATCAGATCCACATCTTTTAGACAATCAAACAATGGTTCTCTGCAAACCAGAAACATTACACAAACATTAAATCTAATACATGCATTTTACTGTGTTAATTGTTTTAACCATGACCTACCCAATGTTGGTCCCTTCTGGTATGATCCTTTGCCAGCCACACAGCATTGCATATTGCACAGACGGCAGCAGAAAGTTTTTCGATGCCAACTTCAACATGGTGTCAATCCCCTCAAGTCTTACCTCGGCCCTCTCCAACTGAAAAAACCCAACAACTTTCAATTAAGAACTAAGCTAAAAAATGTAATCAATTAGACAATGCTTTTATTGAAATACCTGCTTCAGAAGACATTTCCTCATCTTTTCGACATCCAGAGGCTCTTCTTTCAGAGCGAACTCCACAATTGTTCCCATCAGACTGGACTGAGGGCAGAAGCCGTGAACACTGTGCTTAAGCCAGCGGTATTTCTGCACATTGGCCACAGTATTGAGGAGTGGCTGCCACTTGTCCTGCTGCAGATTAGAAATATAGTTACTGTACTAAAATTATGTTAAAAAACAGGGTGTAACATCAACATGCACACTTCGGACAGAAAGTTGGGAAAACTAATTAGGAAATAACAAAATAAATACCAATAAAAACAAGAATTGACACAACAAAGTCAAGTAAGAAAGAAAATAAACTATACCTTTGTTGTCTTGCTGGTAGGAGATTTCCTGTCAGCCGGTGGAGGGGTGAGATTTACATTAAGCTCCTCCTCGTTGGTCCCTTCATTTTCCATCTTTGGCTCTTCAATATCAGCAGAATCTGACTTTTTAGGCACTGAAAATACACAATAATTTACATTAATAATACCAGTATAATGGCAAATGCATTTAATTTCAGATTCTGACTTACCTCTTTTTTTCCGCCGGTCTCTGATGAGTTTCTGGGCAATTCTCCTCCATCGTGGCTGGGAGCTCAAGAGCTTCAGTTTGGAGACGATGGACAGGTCGTTGCTCACGGCAGGACGAAGCTCATTAAAGAGAAACCGAAGTCTCTCTATCACTGGAGCACACACTTCCTTGTAGGAGCGCCCCTGTTCCTGATGCGTCTGAAATAAGCCCAGAAAAAATAACTGAGTTGTAGCTTTTAATAAATAACATATTGCAACAGGATCTGGAAATTAATTAATCTGCAATTTGAATGATAGCAATTATGTCTTTGGAAATATTTCATATGTGGTCTTCAGGGGGTCATGAGTATAAAACCACTTAACCCTATAATGCAGACCTCTACACACATTTTCTAAAATGCATATCATTTTGCTACCCATAATGAACATAAATATGCTAATATATGTGAATTGATTCTGGATATAAAAAACGTAAATCACAAATTAAATTGCAATAGTTCAGCCCCAGCTTATGCTCTTTTTTTACTTAAGAAGAAAAAGTATTATGCCTTACCTTGATTAATGAGCACTTGGCCTGGTAGACCATTCGGCACACTTCTATCACAGATTTCGGCAGAGACCTTTGTTTCCCCTGGTCCACACCCAAGGCACATTGACTAACGAGCGAAAGAGCAACATGGCCTATGAAAGATAAAGAAAAATGTTTGATGCAGAAAAATGTGTAGACCGTTACAAAAGCAATCTCTGCCCTGGTGTAAATGCACAATTAAATCTCTTCGGAAAGAAATCTACACTAAAACAAAAAGTCATCATTTTTTATTTCACTGCATTTTGCTCCTCATTAACCAATAACCTAAAAACCATCTTGTATCCATAGTCCAAGACAAAGCCATATTGAAAATTACAAAACAGAGCCAAGACATTGACCCAATAATATTTACACCATAAATTATTTGCTTTGGAAAATATAATAAGCAGTGTCAGATCATATCTCTCAATGCATAGGTGTACTGGGGACGAGTCTCGTGGCTAGTAGTTACCAAGGTCTTGATGCTTGAGCAAGCAACAGAGCAACAGCCGCCCGACCTCCTCCACTGGATGTTCTGGAGGGAATGTGATGGGTGTAATCAGATGGTACTGCTTACAACATCGCTCTATTTGGCACAGAAAATCCTAAAATACAACAAATACAACAGATTAATAGTGTCATATTTTTTCATTTTAGCTGGCTTAAATGGTAAATGTACAAGCAACAGGCAAATGTAATGATTTTTTCTACCTTGACAGAATGGTCTTGAATGTTGTTGTCAGCGATTGCTTGTAGAAATGGCTGTGCATGATCACTGAGTGTAATCCTCCTTGAGTATAGTTTAGCCTTATCTGGAGTTGTAGTTCCCAATGAACTACAGTGGTCTTCATCTTTCTCTTCATTGTAGTTATAGTGAATCTGACTGGTCTGGAGCCCGCCAGAGAATATAGATGACTGAAGCCATGCTGTAGAGACAATGTTAAAATTATTTTTAGATGGACTAGAGCAGCTTTGGGTTGTAGGCATGTAACAGTAGTAATAATACTATCAGGTTTAGGTTTATTTTAGTAAATATGGGACAGTGGACATTTGTATTTATATATTGTGAGGAAATTTATTATTTTGTAGATGTCGTCACTAAAAGTACCCCAAGAAGCCTGTAATGCAATCAATAACAGCATCTTGCAGGTTTAAGCTTAAGGGCAACATCTTCATCTTGACAGCACTACACAGGAAAAGGAACACTTAACTATAGGAGCTAGCAAATCTTGCTACTGTTTGATATTACTATGTCACAGACTGAATGGTATACAGTTGGTTAAAAAAACTTAGTTACAGACACATACAGTGACATCCATTTTAGATTTGACACTTCCATGGACAACATGCAGAAATCAGTACAGTATACAAGTGTATAACAATATATAAAGCTTACTGGCACACTCAATTTCCATTGAAGACAGAGGAGTGCTCTTGGCCAGGTAAGAAGCATGAAGACCAAGGAGGAGACCAAGGTTCCTCTCTGTGTCAATCAGCGGAGAGGATAAACTACTAAGATCAGGTGTGGTCACAGTTTCCTGGTTAGGCTGAAAACAAAAACAGCACATACACTTACAATGAATGTATAATCTTCTCTATCTGCCACAAAACACCAAAATGAGCTGTTCCTCTGATACTCATTCTTACTCCTTCTCATCCCATCATTAACAACCATAACCTCTCAGATCTCTTCCTATAAGCTATGGTATGAAATTGAATACAACAGTTCTTACCTCCATATAATGGCCAACACAGAAAGCCTGCATGGACTCTCTGGTGTCTTCAAACTGCAAGGCTGCCTCCAAAGCAACTACAGGGTCTTCTCCAGCAAACTGGGCTGTAAAAGACAACATAACATTTTCAATAATTTGTATTTTACCTATGAGAAACAGTTGACTTAGTTTGTACATATTGACAGGTTTACCTAAAATACTGTTCCCACTTAGTGATTGTGACTGAGCCTGGAAGTCCTTGATGTCATACACTTTTCCATCAATAACTGTCCAAAAGCCACCGTCTTTGTTGTGATTTTCCAGATCAGCTTTACGGATAAGAGACACTTCCTCATTGTTCTTGCAGCTCTGCCCAGTGAAGAAAGACCCTGCAAGAAACGTTCTATTACTTAAACATAATAAGCAGGCATTGACTGAGACACAAAAGGCGACTGAGAAGCACAGTGTAAATGCCGCAGCAAAACTGCAACAGTTTGCTGCAGCAAAACTCGAATTTCCCTCAAGATCAATAAAGTGTCTCTTTCTCTCTCTTGCTATGTGTCTATTGAATGAACTATATTGCCCCTTTAAACCAAACCAAAAAGTAGCCAAAACACAAACAATTTGATCAGTATCCTTTTCTCCTTTTTATCCTCTTTTTGCTTTTCTGTTTTATTATTTATTACACAATTATCTTTGTGGTTGCATTTGCTATTGCTCTAATCTATACAATGAGCTGAAAAATTATGTCTATACCCATGATGCCAGGCCAGGCCAAGTCCTCATTATCGTCTCTCTCGTGTCCCGGGGCTAAATGATTAAAGCGATCAAGATGTTCCAAAAGTCCAGCTAGAAGCGGAATTGACCCGGTCTCCTGCATTAGACCTGCATCGATGGTGAGGAGGAGGATGATGGAGACCACCAACTCAGGCAACAGAACTCCTAATACAGAGGAAATAAAAATTAACATACATAGGACATAGTATATGGTTATAACTGCAGTTATGTTTTACACGTGGTCCGCACTGTTTTAGTATTTAGCTTTAGTTATTTGTGACTTACCTGTTAGATCCCCTTCAATGACCCGCGAAACCTCAGCAAAGTGCCTGCGACCAGTGGAGGCTATACTTGTGGCAACTGGAAGTATGTCTCCAATGTGAGTGCACAAAAGAGCAATGTACTTCTTCAACAGCGACCCAACACCTAGAAGCTCTGGATCTGGAAAAACAAAATAAAAAGTTTAAAATGCAAAATTGAAATAAGCCATCACCTTAGACATACGTTTAATGCATTCTGAAATCTGTAATAACATTACTTTGTACCTCGGTACAATATTACACAGAGAGTTACATTGCACTAGATATGTACAAAAGCGTCACTTACTGTATCCATTTACATGCTCTGTGCCATTGACACCAAGGTACAGCTTGCTAACCAGAAGCCTCTGAAATCGTAACAGCAAATCTAGAGATGCAGACCGTTCTTTGCTGACATGCTCCGCCTCCAGGTAGTTGGAAATACGACGAGCAACATCTTTTAACCTCGCAATTGTTTGTGAGGCAATGTTCCTGAGGCAATACATAATAACACATCAAACTAGGCTTTACAGTAGAAAGCCAATTATCACTATACACTTTAAGCGAAGCATACCTCAGCAGCTGCTGTACTAGCTGCACTAAGGGCAGGCTCTGTTTTCCTGCAGACTCGTAGATCCCAGTGTTAATTAAGTCTTTGTCCAACATGGTGCGACAGCGGTGCATGGAGGATGCATTGGCCTCTTGTTCATCTATCTCTTTTCTTTCTGAGCCTCCTTTTTGGCTTCAATATCCTGTTATGAACAATACCTTGATAAGTTGTCACTCTAACATTAGGCTAAGCATATAAATAATCACAAAATCATGCTACCTGTATCTCAGCAGTGATAGCCGCGTTCAGTGCAGACTCCAAACCTCCATCAGCCATTAGACTGCTAACTAACAGGTCAATCATGAACCTCCTCCCTGGGCTCACACTCATCTCGTTACCAGATGCTGTTCAAAAAAAAAAAAAAAGAAGAAGAATGAATGAATTAAACAAATTATGAGTTAACATCTACCCAATATTATCAGCTAAAATAAAGTATTTATGACCTTGAAACAGTAAGGCTTTATTGAGCATGAAACTATTGTATTCTGAAAGAAAAATATCATTGATTGCAATTCTCAAGGTGTTAAGAACTATTTTGTATGCTCTCAATATTGCAATGTAGGACCTTTTCTCCATTCGAGCATAACGGTATTGAAGACTCACCAGCATTAGGCAGGAGTGAGGATAAAGCCCTGGCCCTCTCCTCTGCAGTGGGCAGCAGGACTGACCATCCGCTCTGGAGCACAGCCTGAGCCGCTGCCTGGACCGTAATGAGGACTCCCGCATTACTCGCCAAAACCACAATCGTCTGTTTGAGGTTATTGAGTAGAGTGCTGCCCAGTCCAAGTCCCAGCTCCTCTGGGTCTACCTGGTTACTTATGGCTGCATGGAGCTGCAAAAAAACATGAGCAATTAAAAATATTGCTGTTGTTACTCTTGTGACTAAATTACTTGTGCAACGATTAGGCTAAAAATAATACTTTATTCTTTTCATACAGTGAATACAGGCATCTAGAATATTCATCAGTTCATCTTTCAAAACTTCAAAAGTCAGATTGGCCCACTCAGAACCCAGGTGGCAGCTCACAACTGAAACCATCACCAAATTCTGCTTTGCCTCACTTATGTTATAAAATGATTTCAGATTTACAAATAACCCAACTGATTCATATCAAGTAACACAGGCAAAACAAAACAACAGATACCTGGAGGCGAAGCAAGTTGAGCGTAGCCACCACCATGCACTCCTTCTCTTGTGGGGGGGGCCAGTCCGAGCTGCCGTCCATGCCCTCGCTCACCTGCCGCAGCAGCAGGTCCAGCTGTTCAAACGTCATGGGACAAACATCCACCACAAAGGGGACACGCAACCCCACGGACCACTCGGAGCAGGACGACCATGCAAAACTCTACAAACAGGCATTTACAAGTCATTTCTCTTCTAAAAGAACTTGTTGGATGATCATGTACTTGAAAACTGACTAATTGACAAAACTTGAAGTGTAGTCACCTGTCCTGGGCCACAGGAGATGCCCACAATGTGTTTGGAGTTCAACCCTGGCAGAGCTTTTGGCTGTTTCTTATTGGAAAGTGTGTCGAAGTGCTGTAGTTTGTCATTACTTCCCCAACTGTGGACATCTCCATCTTCAGTGAGGGCCAGGCAGTGTGTGGAACCCACTGCAATGTCTACAACCTTCTTTCCTAAAATAATAATAAATAATAATCATTAATAAATAACATAATTAATGACTACTTTTAATGAATATACTGCATATACAAGTGCCTACCTTGAAAAACATTAGAAAAATCAATAAAAAATTTATGTTGTATGGTATACTTAAAGGTATTTAACTTGTAAGTTTGACTTGATAGCAGTTATTCTTGCAGTGGACTCACCTTGCAAACTGTCAAGGAACTTGGGGTATCGCACATGTTCATCTGTCCCGTGTCCAAGGCGCTGGTTGTCTCCTTTACCCCAAGTGTAAACCTGTCCATCTTTAGTCAGAGCCACAGAGAACTGGCTCCCACAGCAGACCTTCACGATGTCCAAATCCTGTAGCTTCTCCACTAGTTTGGGAGTCTTACAACCATCACTGCCTCCTCTGCCCAGTTTACCATAGTCTCCATCGCCCCACGACCAAACCTGACCTGAAAGAGGGTTTAAAATACACATTTATTGCTGTTAAAATAATGCAGAAAGTAAAAAAAAAATTAAACTTACCATTTTCTGTCACAGCTAAAGTCTGGGCATCTCCACTTCCACATGCTACATCCACCACCTTTAGTCCCTTCAGTGCAGTCACCAACAGTGGCGTGGTTTGGTCCTCACTGGAGCCTAACAAACAACCATTAAAAACAATTCTTCTTAATATAGAATTATTTACAGTGGTAAACTGTCAACTCCTTAATTTCTCAAAATCTTTCATCAAATAATGTAAATTCTTCTTTAAGAATGGTTTACCATGTCCCAGTCGTCCATAGTTGCCTCTGCCCCAGGTGTAGAGCTCTCCATCAGCAGTAACTGCGGCGCTATAGGTGCTCCCACATGCCACATGCACTACATGTTTCCCAACTTGCTTCCCGTTGAAGGCTGCGATCATTGTAGGCTCCTCCAAGTACCTACAGCAAATTATAAGAATAAATTATATTATATGGCATAGAACATCTGTAATTATATTTGGCCATCTAAACAGTATGTATATAAAAGTTATCTCTTACGTGGTGTCTCCATGTCCCAGCCTCCCGCCGTCTCCACAGCCCCAGGAAAACACTTCTCCATTGGACGACAAGGCCATGAAGTGTTGCCCATCCGGATGAGCTGCGAGTTTGGTGATTTTTCTGGAGCTTAATGCATGGATCAGCATCGGAGCCTGCAACAACAAATAATACTTTTAGGGTTAAAAGATGATTAAATTTAATTCTAAAGAAAATGCATAGATGCATTACACAGTTGACAAAAGTCTTGTGGATTTATTCAGAAATACAATATTTTATTTTAATTTAAAAAACAACAACAAAATGTTATACTGACCAAAGTTGTGCTTTTGTAGTTTTGTGAGTACACAGCCCCAGTGCTCGACAGGATGAGGAAACATTTTTCTGAGCAAACAATTTGAGCCACACCGAGGTTGGACAGGGCTTTACACTGAATGGGTCCACTCACATTGGCATATAACTTCCAGCCCAGGAGACCCCATGCAATCACCTCCTGCAGTGTGCCCTAAAATAAGCGAGAAAAACAAAAGTCAGTATTTACTGTAGTCTGGGCTAATGTATGGCAGAATGGTAATCTAACTTTAACATCCAATTTCATAGCCACTTCAAATTCAATCTAGCTCTGGAAGTGCATTATACATGACCTAAAATGACCTAATCCGATAAGCCGAGGCAGCTGACCAGAGGAATCGTCACCTTGTGGGATGTCGGGGAGTTGCAGTGGGGAGGGCTGCAAGGGGCGGCCAGGCGATCCAAATGGGCCATGATGACCACAGCCGTTTGTCGGAGGTCTATGGCCAAGTCATTGTCTTGGGGCAAGGTCAGGTATCGCAGGAAACTCTCATTTGGACTTAAAGGTGCAGTTAAAATCTGAAGAGCAATCAAATAAAATGACTTGGTTTAGGAATTAGGCTTACATTCCAGTTACATTCCAAAACAATTCTGGTTGTGGTGCAGGGTTGAGATTAAGTGTCTGTCAAATGAATTTATACACTGATTACACTGTATGCTCAAAGATATGTTTTGGTTCATCACTAGATATACACGTCCCTTTAGCCATTTTTCTGCCAGTGCTCATGATCATATACTCCGTAAAAGTCAATAGTACAGTATGTTCACTTCTATCAAATAAATATAGTTTACTTAACCGTATGATAAATTTTTATTAAAAAAACAAAAACGGATTACATTTAAATGCTTGTCTTAGCAAATAAATCAGCTTCCTCCATTGATAATACCCTCTACGTGTGTGAATGTGTGGGAATGCCTAGAAGTAAAACGTCTTGTGACCTGCGATTGGATTTCTTTTCATTACATTAATAAAAGCTGAATGCATAATTTCTCACCTCCGCCTCCTCCTCTGGGACAGCCTCCTCTTTACTGCTGTGGATGTTGTGGAAGCGTTGGAGCAGAGGGAGCAAGGGAGCACTGGTCCCCTGGGTGGAACGTTCATTGTCCATCTCTCTGGTGCCACTGTCCCAAAGACGTAACAACAGAAGTACGGCAGAAAGCAGCTGGCTAAAGGAACAACCAGGGCACAAACATGAGGGTCAAAGAAGGACAACAACAAAGCTAACAAAGATACAGCAGTGTTGTGCAAGTTCACACTTTTCATGAACTAGTTCAAAGTTCAGTTCACACTTGTTCAAAGTGAATAGTTCACGTTCATAGTTCACAATTTTAATTTTGAACTAGTTCAAAGTTCAGTTCATTTTATATTTAGATGAGATCTGTAAATGAAAGGCTGCTTTTATTTTTCAAACTGATTTCTAGTTTACAACAACTTTACAAGATCCACTGTTGGACAAGTGACTTTAAAACTGTAATGTTTTATTTATGACTTGTTACTGTCATTTCAAAGTCATTTGTTACATTACAATATTACTGTATTTAAAATGTAAAACATTACACGACTATTGCAGCACTTTTAATTTACTCTCACCAAAAGAACTGTTAAGATGCTGAACTTTTGCGCCGTATATGGACTGAACCAGGACTAAACCAGAACTGAACCAGGTCCAAACCAGGAATAAACCAGGTCTAAACCAGGACTAAACCAGGTCTATACCAGAACTGAACCAGGACTAAACCAGGTCTAAACCAGGTCTAAACCAGGACTAAACCAGGACTAAACCAGGACTAAACCAGGACTAAACCAGAACTGAACCAGGACTGAACCAGGTCTAAACCAGGAATAAACCAAGACTAAACCAGGACTGAACCAGAATTGAACCAGGACTGAACCAGGTCTAAACCAGGAATAAACCAAGACTAAACCAGGTCTAAACCAGGATTGAACCAGGACTGAACCAGGACTAAACCAGAACTGAACCAGGACTGAACCAGGACTAAACCAGAACTGAACCAGGACTAAACCAGGTCTAAACCAGAACTGAACCAGGACTAAACCAGGACTAAACCAAGACTAAACCAGGACTAATCCTGGACTAGAACTTGGAATCTAGGACCGCCCCTGAGAGAACCCCGAGTGCGCTCGGGCGTCAGCTGCGTTTAGTTCGGTGGAGCGCAGACTTCTGCGTCGGTCCTTTCGCTCAGGATCACGGTCTACGCGGGCGCACCTCCGGCGTTTCACCGCTGCTGATATCGCGGTGATTTTAGCAAATTTGTATGAAGAAAAACGAAAAACCCACCATTTCAATCCAGGTTAAAAAAGCACTGTGACGCGCGTTACTGACATATGTACCAAGTAAAATAATACACGCGCGTCCTGTGCGTGTAGATTTCAGAAAATAGGATCCAACCTATTTTTTGACGCTCTACGCGAGCGTCCCCGTCAAAATCCACAGAGAGCATGTATCTATTGTTGTATTTGTGCATTTACCATCAGCACATTGTGCTCCCTGGGCAGTTGTGTATCATGTGAAAGAGCCCAGATCCACATACACTTTTAATTAGTGCTTTGAAATTTACTTTTGAAATCCTTGCGTTTGCCGTGGTCAGCCTGTACAGAAGGTAAATACAAGCAGCTAAACGCGCCCAGTCAAGTTTGATTGACTTTCCCATTGAGAGACACAAGAGCCCGTACGTTCCGCTAAAGCTGCCGGTGGAGTCGCCTTCGCGTGGACACGCGGCTGTGGTTTCGCGAGGTGAAGTGCGAGCAGATCGTCACTCGTCAGGTGAAAACAAATTCCGACGTTTAACTGAACCCCAACAGTGACGTACGTCGTTCATCACACATAATTTGAACAAATTCACGTTCAAGTTCTTGATTTACAAAAGTGTTGCGTTCAGTTCAAAGTTCACTGAAAAATGAACGTGTTCAATGAACGCGTTCTTTTGAACTCGTTCATGCACAACACTGAGATACAGTAGTAATAATGTGGTTACCTCAGTGTCCCTCTCTGCACAGCCAGCTCCAACAGGATGGCCAGGGCAAGGTGCTGGTCCTGGAGGGGGATGTTGCCCTTTGTACTGGCATTACCGTGGACATCACTGGAAAAGTTTATGAAATTCAAATATAGTTTTTCACAATGGACACCTATTCCTCAGAATCTGTCAGTATATACAGCAATTATGCATTAGAGCTAGTTTAACTGTGGCAATTTTAGTCCCTCTTGGTTTATTTCACCAGGTTCAAATCACTGAAAATAGGAAAGTGAAGTGAAAATGTACCTTAGAAACTTGGTGGCTCGCTCCACCACTTCAAGCCAAACAGAGGAGACAGTGCCTTCGTCGAACAGAGTGGCTTCAGGAAGAGCCCGGAGTGCGTCCAGAGATTCCTGCAGCAGCTCACTGCACAGGTCTGCATCATCCCCTGCAGCAAAATGCACACAAACACAAAACTTAAAGAGGACTTTTTCATCCGAGTACACTGCACTCTACATAGACTATAATCTTGTGCTAAATTTCTGAGTAAAGCCAACATGGTGAAATGACTCCTCTTAAACACTCATCTAGTCTGAATGTTTTACAGTAGTAAAAGATTTACCATAATATTGCAATGTTGTATTGTCTTATCATTCCAACAGATATGATATTGTTACAGCTTTAGTCAGAGTAAACATGCAGTAATAAACAAAGTATAGTCATGATCACTGGTGTCACAGAAGGGTTAATGTTGTTGTTAGAGGACTGTTTTGAGGAAAGGCTTCAAATAATCAGCAAATGCATTATCTACACAGCCCAACAGTGCAAAAATGTGTGAATCTGTTATTGTGCTTTTATGCTTTTTATTTTTGTGATTAGATTATTTCTATTTAAAAGTACATTAATTAATGAATTTATTTATTAATCCCATTTGTATTATTCTCTTCAGAGAACTGAAAAAAATGGTTGGAAGGGATAATTTTTAAAATACTTTTTGGCAAGATGGAAGAAATGTTACAGAGGTAGCTTTTTTGTGAGAACACAGAAGTCATTGATTGTCATTTTATTTCACTAACCTAAATGCAACTAAAGAATGCGTTACAGTTTTGGACGATTGTATTTATTGAGCCTGTGGGCAGTGAAAGAACAGACCCTTGCTCTCAGAGTGTTCCTGGAAGTGCATTTCTGTTGTATATGAGGCTTAACTGTGTGTGTCTGATCATGTTACAGGAGGCTACAGGGATAGAGCTTTGTTCAGCCCAGACTCTAGAGAGCTCTAACATACCACTGTCTACAAACAAGGTTTCACAGCCTTCGCCACTTTCACTGCTAACTTATCAGTTTTGATTAAATCCACAATCAAATTAAAATCCTTACTCAAAACCTTCACTCCCTGTACTGAAATCTGACAATTCCTTGATTTATTTGTTCACTGAACGAACCGCCATATTGTGGTAACTTTTAGACCTCAAATAAAAATGGTAATTATACACGAAATCACAAATTAACTGTGAATCTTTCCACTATGTCTAACCCAAAGCAAATACGCCCATTTATTTAAATTCACTTGTATACATTAATATTAATAACTTACTTAACCTTGGCCATTCAAATCAATGATCTCCATTCTGCTAAACAAAAAAAGGAGCTCTGAAGAGAAAACAGATGTCCAAACCAAAGCTAAAGCATTACTAGTCTTAAGATTGATTAGCATTTAAATTAGATGTTAAATAAAAATGTCAAGAGAAAAAACAAAGACAGGACAGAAATGCTCAAAATACTTCTTTCCCATCATCTAATTTCTAATGTTTTTTGTCTAACGTTATGTTACATCAAAATTTACAGGTTTTTTTTTACAGTTTTAAAAAAATCTCCCAACTTGAAATTGAAACCAAGCAAAGAATATTTTTATTTCCATACACCCAATATAGACATAATGCTAAATTAAGAATAGTGGTCAACAAACATTATAGCCACGAGGTTTATTGGGCAAGCATGTGAAACAGTTATGCAATAGTCAGATGCCTGTATCCGAATGGCCTATATTACTGTTGGGGACCACTAAAACAACAAGTACAAACATTATATGTTTGTTTGTGAAAAGGAGAAGAGTCAATGCTATAATTTCACAAGGGTCTGGAAAACAAGTTTAACCTGCTCTGTAAAATAGTTGCAGAATTGGAGGTGGGCGGCAAAAAGAGTTGATAAAAAGTAAAAAGAACAACATTTTTCTGTATTATCTTCCAGACTGGGGTATTATAAAGTCACTAATCCTTTATAATAAATACTTTTGGTGCAGTGGTTGGACCATTTAGAGCAAATGTCTGATGAACTTCAAAATTAAAAAAAAAAAATCTGATACTGCTTTTTAGATGGATATCGAAAACTAGCTTAACCTGTCCTATAACTTGTCTCAATTTGTCTTTGGCCTATTAAGACAAAGTCACCACATTGCGACACATTGTTTACTATGTTTTTGATTATGTAATGCAGCAACTGTCAGTGAAAGTATAACTGTACATGACAGCAATGAACAGTGAAGTGTCCCAGACTCACCCGATCTCCAAGCCCGACGCAGGAATGCAAACGCAAAAGACAGAGCTGCGCGGGACCCCACTCGGGCCAGTCCTTCAACTCCTTTACTGGCCGGACGAGGGCTGGAAAACCGAGAGAGAAATACAGATATGTGGGGTTAATTTAAGATTTGTCCATCAAAATAAGAGGGCAACAATAAACAAAGGTCAGCTATAACAGTAAATAATTAATCCCCACTGTGTGCATTTGTGTACATTGTGTATACCTGCCATTTATAATTGTTTAATATGTTGAGTAGTTTTAAGAAAAAGAATAACCAATTGGCAAAATTATCAATAATTTTGTTTAATCTCCAATGAACAAAATTTTCAATAGTGTGGATCAGTAATTTTAAACCTTTGAGGTTATTATGTATGAAAACATAAATGACATGTCTATGTCTGTGTTGTAAAATTTACTTAGAAATAACAACATTTCATAATCCCATGCCAATTTACCATGAGTCAAACTGTTCAAACCTTATGTTTGCATCTCGTTTATTTAATAGAAATATGTCCTGGTGAGCATTAAGAGATTAGACGTCACATGGACTGCTGGCTTCATTTCCTCTTAGAACCTACAGGCTTACTCCAAGAACAATTACCCCATGTCAGTTCAGACCACATTGTAACTGTACCTCTTGTTGTCTGCAGCGGGCAGGGGCGGGTTGGGGGGTGTTTTCCAGCGGACCTTATACTTCTCTTCCATCATGCTGTGGCTCAGAGAGATGAGGTAGCGTTCCAGGATGACCAGCCGCTGTCGGAGCCGCTGAGCCGACAGAGTGCTTTTGGCCATCTGCGCCGAAAGCTTCTGCTGGTCGTCCACAAGCACCATCAGACAATCCTTCAACTCCGTCTCATCTGGGAAACAAGAAAACAAGAACAACTATAAACAATACAAGTCAAAACAAGTGAACTATTAAAGGTGCTGAACCAACAGTTTATTGTCAAATATTTATTATACAATATATTATTTGATAAGATGAGCTAATTGTGAGAATACTGAAAATAGAATAAGTATTGTCTGTAATGGGAAAACTATTAAAACACTGCAAAACGTGGGGTAAAAAAACACAAAATATTTGAGTGCCATCACTACCACCTACTGCAGATGTTGAAATGTCTAAAACCACAGATTTAATCTTTTAATCAAAATAGGTGTCTTAAATAAGACATTTTTGTTTTACTTTAGTGTAGATTATATAAACTCTGTGGCTTAAAAATATGTGAAAATAGCATCTCTGAAATCCACTTAATCTTTATAAGCCACACAGGGCTGGGTTGTATATACACAAATATACAGTCAGCTGTGTGTGGCTGTCAGACCCAAGTCAGACCTGCCCCATACATTACACATGATAAATGAAGGTTCAGTCCAGGTTTTTGATGCTGAAATTTTCAACTTTATAATTTATTATACAGCTCAAAATGTATTTTTTTCCACACTTAGGTACATTGGTTCTTTTGGTTCCATTGTTTTCCAAGAATAGTGGAAAGAGATTCAAGTCTTGCTTAGTAAGTGGGTATCATTTATTTAGGGCTGAACAATATGATAAATCAAACAGTGATCTAATTCCTTACAATATAAATACAGTTAATGTCCATATTGTGCTCTATGCTTGGGAAGAAGCAGATGAATGTACCTATTAGTTATCTATTCAAAGCAATACAAAATGATATATAAAGTGTACAAAGTTTATACTAATTCAGAATAAATAAAGAATATTCAAAAGAATCCAGCAGTAAAAATAGGACTTAAAATAGTAGCACAGAAAACATTCTGTCACACTACAATAAGCCACAATATGGAAATAAAAACCTAATTGATAGTGAGGCCAGAAGATGCTTCAGTGCTACAGCCCTCACTGTGCTCAGTGTGCAGGGTGTATCTGCTTAGTTTAACATGAGCTCTGAATGAGCAGGAAGTGTGCTGTTTGAACTTCAGAGACCGGCTCCGGTTTCACTCACTGTATTCCCTACACTGTCATTTTCCAGCTTCAAAAAGCATAAAAAGACTAAGTAGTACGAAGCTGTATAATTTTAGAAAATCACAATAACCTTAAAATGATAATAAGCCTTAACTTATGATTTCATTTATATTTTCATTTGAACTCACTAGTCAGTTTGAAAAGACATATCTGATGCTCAAAACAATGGGAACAGTACATGGATAAAGCAACAAGACAGCTTAGAAAAAACATCAGTAAATATGCATGAATTCTTCAGTATTAGCACCAATTTAAATTAACACCCCATAAACAATTTGGCCTGACTGATACTAAATTGGATGTAAATTAGGTCTGAATCAGGACAAGTCCCAACTTCAATGGATAACCAAATTCTATAGGTTCTAACTAAAACAAATAAAGAAAGAACTAAAGAATTACCACCAAAAAAGCCACCAGTACTCTGTGTGCTGCAGCCCTACCACTACTTACTAAATTGTGATTTAATGTACAGTCCTATCATTAGTTTTGTGCCAAACTCTTATCTCTCTGCACCATACCCCTGTCCCACCCAGTCCCTGTGGTAAACATAAGCTTGAGTGCTTCTCCTGCCTCCCACTGGAACCACATTATGACACCTATACAGGCTTACTCCCCCAGAGGTAAAAATAACCACCTTGACCTACAGACGCTTTCCACACCACACGTGCCAGAAAAACATGCCCCATCACAAACACTCGAGGACAAGATGCAAAACACAAACTGGAACATGTGTCGAAACCAGAGGATCAGCGTATCCACTCAACATTTAAGTGTTGAGAGTGTCAGCTGTCAGGAATAGATTCAATGCTGTGTAACGTAAAGAGGAACATTCAATACAAGATCATAGAAGTTCTACAACAAATGGTTCTAATATGTTAGACTATTTCTAATAGAGAAAACTAAACAAAATTATAGACAAAATTATAATTATTGTAATTATTCCTTATCCAAGAACTTTCCCTGGGATAGTCCAGGTTGAGACCTTGTTTAAATTTTATAAATATATTATAATCCAAATATATCAGAATAATCTGATAATCTGAATGTGAGACGGTTTCAATTAAAACAACTCAAGTATTAGGTTACAACTTTGATATATCCAAAATATCCTTAAATATTAAAGTTTAATGACTGTATGACAGTATTTCATATCACACATTACATTGTTCCCCCGGAGGAGCTGGAGGACGTGTCTGGGGTGAAGGAAGTCTGGGAGTCCCTGCTTAGACTGCTGCCCCAGCGACCCGGCCCCGGATAAGCGGAAGAAAATGGATGGATGGATGGACATTACATTGTTGTCAATTTTTTCAGACTCACCAGGCTGCCGTCCCCAATCCCAGGTCTCGATGATGGAGTGATGGACTGAAGTAGGAGAGTCTTCCTCCTCCTTCTTCTCCTTATCATTTGGCTCATCTTTTTTCTGTGTTCCAAAGCAGTCTGTACAATCCTCTGAAATACACAGACAAACATAAATGTCTTATACCAAACTGGTAGTCAAAATTGTACAGTAAAGCAGCTGCTGACTGACTGAAAAATTTGCATTTCATTAAGCACCTGGATGAGCTGATTCTTCTCCACTGAATGATATTTCTTCATCTTTGACCATTTCATTCCACATCTCACTTAGTCCCTCTGGAGAGAACGCTCGCTGTCAAAACATTATAAGGATACAATTTCAGATTGCAATACTGTTAATAACATTGTGATACATTTGTAAAATGCTGATGCTTGTTGCACTAGTACAAATAGCTCAGTTGCCTATGCACATGCAGCCAAATATGGGAACTTGACATCCTGACAGGGGTTGAGGTTGCATACAGTACCTAGATCAGGAGCACCACAAGACTAGACACTGACTTTGTTTAAATGTGAAAAACATGCCTAAGGACAACAGGGTCCACACATGGGTGGAGTTACGATCACCTGACTCTCACTACTATCCAAACAACAACAACAACATGCTTCAGAACAATAAAAGTAAAGTAAATAATGTCTAAAGTAGGGACATTAAGGACATTTGATACTGACCTGTAAGTCTATCTTTAGCCATTTGTCATGAAACCTCAGCTGAGCATCGAGGGAAAACGATGGAGACGGCATCCTCCCTCCTGGCTGCAGGCGCAGCCAACCTGCAAAATACAAGGAATAGTTATAACAACGTAAATAATGAATATGCCAATAAAGACAGACTCAACAACACAGCAAATAGATACTTTACACTAAAAGAGGTTAAAGTAACATATGTTACATATAGATTCTGTTCTAGTGTGATTATGAATGACACGTCCTTAAATGAATTGCACATGAGACATATTTTCACCACCTCTGTAATTGAGCTGTCATTACAGATTTGATGGCACCAGTGATAACATTTCAGCTCAAAGATGACGCCAAACGAGAAGGTGATTATCAGTGTTAACAGTTCAAATAACCTTGACTATATCATAATAATCGACACGACAGAACACGGTAATACATGCATGTTATTATATAGGCAAGGGTCAAATGAAACAAGACAAACAAAACGTCCATACCCGAAACATCAGCACCAAAACTACCAATACAACTAAGCACAAATTATGGTAGCATCAGTAGCTAACAAGGGCACATTTTGTCCATGCAGACTAATGCCATTGCTTTTAATGTATAATAACATGAAAACAGGAAAGTCAAATGGAAAAGCATCAAACACTGACGGAGCATCTTTACAAACATTGGCAATAAACCAGGTAATGTTCATTAGCTCTGAGCTAGCGCTAACTGGTCCCTAAACAGCTAATACTCATCCAACATATTAGCTCAGAGCTAAAGCTAAACCTCCCTGCCTCTGAAGATGGAACAGGTTTTGGGGACGTGACACAAAACCTAAGTCCACAGCTAATGCAGCCCAAAGTAAAACGTAATAAAAATGTCATAATTACCTGCGCTCTCTGCTTATGCTATTCTCGTCCCCTCAGCTGCTTTGCTGCATTAACAAGACGCTCATAATGGATGTGATTGGCAGATCGCGCACAGGGCACGGGACATGGAAATACATTGCGTAGTGTTCGCTAGAGGATGAGCCGCGATGAATTTGTATCACTATAACCCGCTGATAAAGAGTTTACAGCGCAGAGCCTGAATAAATACAGTAAGCTGCACTCGGCGCTCCGCTCGCTCGGACTGTCAAGTTTAACAAACCCAGCGCTCTCTCTGTAAGGGAGGCGGGGCTACAGGGGCGGGACGAGGAGGGGCGGGGTCGTGTGGCAGTGGACACTGCTGTCCACCAGAGGGCAGTGTGTGCCACTCTATTTAAGGATGATCTCATTGTGTGTCTGGACTGAGCGGTGTGCAGAAGTGCTCAGTTGGTATTTAACTAATAATACAAATACATGAATATGTAGATTATCTACTGTGAGCTTTATTAGTGAAGACTGTGTGAATATGGGCAGTGATCTGTCCTGTTATTACCAGCTCTTTGTCTTGTTTGTGAAATGCACAGTGGGCGAGAACCATCTGTTTTAGGTTAATGTTTCATGCTCCGACAAATGTAGAAACGTGAGATGTATGGAGAACTATTGAAATGAATGGTGGTTTAGTATTATAGATAACTGTGAAGAAGAAAAAGCCTATAACTAAGGGATAACGAAAAAGCACCTTATTAGAACATCAGTAATAGGCTTGCACAGTAATAGCCAAGTAGTAGTCAGTTTCCCATTAGGTTATCCCAGATTTGTATAATATTTTTCAGTTTTTGAGTCTTGTATTATCTACATACACACATAGTGTAATCACTCCTTGGACTGCTACAAGATCAAAAAAAGGCAGTAATTGACTATTTAGTAGGCTTTAAAGTATTTGTCTGAACAAGCCCAAAGATTAAACTAAACATTACTGACAAATAGAAAATTTAATGGTGGCTTGTTTTAAAAGTTATTCTTAGGCTATGTTTTTCTGAAGGTGATGCAATTATTTTATTTTTTTAGTCTTGGCAGTCCCACTGAATTGGAATCAATTTCTCAGAGAAGTCCTTGGAGCAAGATGAGACAAACGCAACAGTGTTAAAGAAAAAAGAATATCTACCTGCACACATAGAGGGAATATACAAACACAGGCCCCATCCCACCAGGAACGAAAGTAGGAGCACACACTAAAGGAGTACATACTAAACTAAACTACTACTTCAAAAAACACAATAAGATATACCAAAACTAAATCCGACTAGACCTATTTCACTTTTACACTTGCATAAATAAGTATTATTTTGCATAGCTTGTATAAGCCATTATTAAGAATAATATACTAATTATATTTACAGAAAAATAAGTCTTTCTTAAAGGAAATATGACAACAAAAAGTGAACGATTTGGGGTGTTCAGGTACAGATTATATGAAAAGCAAAAATTATGTCGTTTAGGGCTGTAGTCACGCATGCGCAGTGTAGCACTTCCCTTTCAGTCCAACATAGGGCTTCTGTGTGTGGACTGTAGACTTTTCTCATTTTGGGCGAAAGAACCGGGCAAATGCGTGACTCAGACATAAACGACGTGCCCATTCCAGTGGTTGGAATAATAATAACAATAGTATCGAGTTTCATCAATGGTTCAACTTTCGTGCTTCAGAAAAAAGGGATTTTACGCTCTCGTGAAAAAGGTATTCTACTGTGACCAGAACCATCCAAACATTTTAAGGGTTTAAGGCATGTACACGTGGTACTGCGAGTACTGTTGTACTAATAGTGTTGTGTGTACTCAGGAGGCTCGTACCTCAGGGATGCAGTGTGGTGGAGTGGCACGTTGGCCAGTGAGTAAAGCGACATCTACCGACGATTAAACACATTGAAATTCTCAATCACAACATTCATTCTATAGGTCAATAATATTAAATAATACAGATGGTGGAGCAGCTAAAATTACATATTGTTAAATTATTTTTCAAAAAACTGCATTCATATAGCAATGGCAATTATAATGCATGAATAATGATGTGTTGCAGTGATTATTGGTCAGATTGGTAACTTCATAGCTTACAACGTTGCTCCAGCAGTCATTGTTACACCACTGGGAGCACTTGGAGTGTTGTTTGGGTAGGTTCAAAACATGTGTTCTAATCTGAATATGTAAATTGAAGTTCTATAGGAATCTTCATCTCTGGTGTGTTTTACAGGTCGGTGTTGGCTTCCTGGATCCTAAAAGAGCATTTGAATATTTTGGGGAAGCTCGGCTGTGTGCTGTGCTGCAGTGGAGCTGTGGTGCTGATCATTCACTCACCTAAAGCAGAAACTGTGACTTCGAGACTGGAGCTGGAGGACAGGTTATCTGACCCAGGTGAAAGTCCTATTCACCTTAACATTTGCAAGGTTTATGTCAAATGAAATCCTTGTCAATCCAACTATTTAATAATTAACCATTTTCAGACATCTCTGTTGAGTTGATAACATGTTTAGCACCAACATTAATAGAGTTTTACAATTATACTGTTCTTTATAAACTTCTCAATGTGCTTTATATTTGTCATTTCATTCGCATTTTACCCTAGTTTGTAGAGAGCTTTTAGGTTATAGTACTTTACAGGCTGCTCCAGTAGACCACACAATCTACCACATTTGCACACGTGCAACTTGGGTAAACTGTCTTGTCCACAGAGCAACAGCAGTGTGAATAGAGAGAATCAAACCACCAGTATCAGAGTTACTTGACATAAACTTACTCCACTTTGCCTAGAGATGTGACAAAAGCTACAAACTAATGAATTATTATAGCTCTTTAAATCATGAGCCAAATAATTGTGATGATAATTTTTGCCATAATTGAGCAAAAATCAGCGAACACAAAGAAATGAGGACATCTAATTAAATTACGTTTCCTCCCACAGTATTCATCCTCTATGCCTTGCTGGTTGTCCTGGCTTTATTGGTCCTTATTTTTTGGATCTCTCCAGTCCTTGGCTCTTCCAACATCATGGTCTACATCTCTATCTGCTCATTGTTTGGCAGCTTCACTGTCCCCTGCAGTAAAGGACTTGGCTTGGTCACACAAGAAGCTTTCAGTGCAGGTCCTTATAGTAGGAGGGCTCTGACTATTTTTGTATTTTTGCTTTCTACGTTGGTGGTTAGTATCCTCACCCAGTTTTTCTTTATCAATAAGGCCTTAGAGGTATTCAACTCTAACATGTTTGAAGCTATTTATTATGTGGCGTTTACATCTACTGTTATTGTAGCATCGGCTATACTTTTTAAAGAATGGACAGCATTGACTATAAGCGACAGTCTAGCTCTGGTTTGTGGCTTTTCAACGGTGTGCGCTGGAGTGGCTTTGCTACGCATTTCCCAAGAGGCAGAGCTTACCTGGAAGTCAAAGCCACAGAGGAAAAAGACAGACTAAAATATTCACAACCACAGTGTATTTTGTTCCAAACGTCATTCCTCTCATACTTGAAATTTAGACCAAGCAGATACAGGCACATATGGCAATGAACAGAAACCCCATGTCAGTATCAGCACATCTGAAAAATGTCCCTAATGCAAAATCAACAGTCAAAAGGCATTCTGATTTTAATCTTTATCTATTCTAATGAAAAGGGCATCTAGAAACTTTATAACAAGATTATAATATACTGCAGTTATATGTGTAATTTAATAACTTGTATAATATTTTTACTGTTCTTAAGATATTTGAATTTTTCTTGTGATCGTTGGCCTTCATCTAGGCCTCTAATTCAAAACTCAATATGCACCTGTATTCACAGTTGCACTCCGGTACATGTCATTGCAATCTAAATCAAGTGCCTTGATTAACCTTCTACACTCAATAAATGCTGAGTTTTGAGACCTTACTTTGTGAATCCCTCAAAGTATTATTTTTTTCATTATCAAGTACAGGAGACACTATTTCTGGCAAAAAAAAATGTATTTTAATAAGAGATATTCAAAATAAAATAAAAAACAACATAAAATTGCAGACATTATTATTTAATTCTTAGAGAGCCTTATAAACCTGTAAATACTTTGATTAGTGATTTTAATTGCATTATTTTCAGAGTGATTATAACAGTGTAACAATTGTAACCAGATACATTCCCCTTGTTTACATAATATTTACTTAAAAGTGAAATGTGATCCATGGGACCTGCATTTGCAAAATAGCATACTGTTTTGGTTCACTGAAATGGTTTAATAAATTAAATAACTCAAACTGCCTTTAGCTAGAGGTGCCACACATGCTCTTCAGCTGCTCTAAGTATCATTTCAGCAACACGTTAACTTATTTATTGTGCTAGTTAATTATTAAGGATTACCAAGAGCTATTTGTCTAATGGAAACGATGTTGGTGATACCGTACTATATATTAAATTGTAATAGGTCCTACATAGTGCCATTTTCTGAAAAAAATAAATAAATAAATAAACTGTCAAAATGTTTGGTTTTTTTTAATATTTGTGTGAAGTAATCGTGATATTTATGACTGAGAAAGAGATAATTAACCTCAGACCTGGGAAATGCACTTGTTTTAGGCCTATATCGAGTAGAAAATAATAATAATAGGCTATAGCCTGATCCAAAAATTATTGATTGTTGGGACACACTTTCGCTCTCCAGCAAAATGAAAAACCTATAGGCTATTTACTACTAGTATGGATAAACCGATTTTGATTGCTTATGGTCCTGTTAATTTGTATTATCCTATCAGCAAAAACAAGCCTTTCTGTGTGATAACCCTTTAGTGAAGTCTACTCCATATTCTGATTAATTTACTGTCCGAAGAAGGCGCACTGTAGGAATTCAGTCTTTTTTCTAATAACAAAGGCAGCACAGAGGGCATTTCTGCTTATGAATTGGACCATTCTTCAGTGAGGATCTCGTTGCCGCTCCCAGTATAGTGCTGTAATATTTTTAAAGAACTAATAAAACATACATTCATTATTATTATCTTGTATGTTGAGGGTCAACTTTGTAAACGTGCATCAGCGCATGCATCTTTGTGTCATTTGGCACTGCCTTCAAGCAGAGTTGCTTTGTAATCCAAAACTTCATGAATAAATGAATTGCTCCTCATTATATGGTCACTGTGTGCTGCTGACCAGGAAGCGAGTGTTTTAGTGCGTGTTTGTTGGACTTCAGACTCCGGTGGTGGTGGTGGTTCATCAGTCAGACCGTGAGGCGCTGAAGCACAGAGCGGAAGAGGGAGCTTCGCACCGCGGCAGTCAAGTGTCATTGCTCGGTTCTACCAACATTAAATTATCATCTAGTGATGTGATTCATGGATATCGCCCTCTTTTGAAAGCAGGCTAAGAGCTTGCTTTTTTCCGTGGACGCCCCTGGCCAGGTACATTTTATTTCTTTAACTATACTGAACCTAATTATTGTTAAATGCTAGCTATCTCACGTGCTAAGCTAATGTGGCTAACGACGTGACATCAACCTATCCATCTTTAAATGTCCATAGTCTAACCAGAGACGCCACGGAATAATTCATATAGCCTGTTTACTAATCGGAATAGCATATAAATCATAGGGAAGATCATAAACATGTCATAAAATTTGTATTTTGCGACTTGAAGATCGTCAAAAAGCGGCAACAGCCAGGTTAGCGACCAGGTTAAACTAACTCAAATGGCTACTTCCTGGATGCCTTAGGCTGGAAATAAAGGTATTTACATACACGCTCAATGACTTTAGAGGCGAGTTTCTTAAGATATCTTTAGCGTAACACCCTGCCTTTCATTTGACTCAGTGGCAGGCTGTGTATTTGCACGGGAATAGAAGCATTCTTTAGAATAAATGTACGCAATAATTAGCTTTTGCTGTTATGAATTTCTCCCTGGCACCGGTTTGCAGAGTCGACTGTGGAGATGGTATGTCTCTTGGTTATTTAAATTTATTAATTTGATCTACATGTTTTTTTGGGTTTTTTTTGTTTGTTTTTGGTCTGTATTTGCGAACATGCTTAATATTTTTTTCTTTCAACAACATGTATATTGACAATAGAAATCGGTATAGTATACTGTAGTTTTTGACAGTTGTTATGAATTTTACGGGTTTGAACTTGTCCAAAATATTTTGTGTGTGTGATCTGTATAATGCCATCATACTAATATATTATTTAAATTGTACCTATAATGATACACAATTAAACATTAAGATGCAATGTTTTGAGATGTATAATATAGTTTGTGAATAGAACTAATACATGGACCCTTTGGGAATTATATATAATAATATAAAATAACAAGTGACTGACAATTAATAAAAAGCACACCTGATTTCATTATGTAGTTAATGTATAAAATTTGGCTTTTTGTGTGAGCCACATGTCAAGTAGTTGTACAGGACTGCTGAGAAATTGATGAAATATCAAAGCTGTTATCCGTGTTACACTTTAACAAACAATACACTGAACATGGGAAAGTATTTTTGTTGAATTATTTATTGACTTCACACACTCAAAACATGTTAAACAAAAATGACTATATTGAAAATATTTCTTTATGTAATGTATTCCTATGTGGGCTTGTTGTAGGTGTCTGGACCAGTCATAACTGTTCATATGGTCTGCTCCAGCCCCTGTGTCTCTCTGTAAATGTGACTGAGTCCAACAGCACTCTCAGCATGGGGCAGGACAGGGGCAAGTACGACTTCTACATCGGCCTGGGGCTGGCCATCAGCTCCAGCATCTTCATTGGGGGCAGTTTCATCTTAAAGAAGAAAGGACTGCTGCGGCTGGCGAGAAAGGGTTCCATGCGGGCAGGTAATGATCATTTCATTTAGTTTAAATGAAAAATTGGGAAAGTAAGGAGAAGGTTTTAAATATTTACTTTGGCCTTTTTGTAATTGTCTTAAACTTATCTGGGCTTGTGTAAAGCTGTTTAAAATGACTGCAGTAGTGGTTAGTTGGTAGAGATATTTACAAAGTTGTTAGTGTGACTCCATTGTGTTCTTGGGCAATGTTCTTCATCCTCCTCACTTGGATGATTGTGATTGTGTGATTGTTGTTGTCAGTAGAGTTGTATGCAGAATGGTAACCGTCATTTGTTGTTAAATGTTGCCAAACTTTAAAAAGCAAAATCTTTATCCAGAAAACTACTACCGTTCAAGCTCCGGAGACTACACCAGAACTGGACAGTACATGTAACAATTGTAAATGGGATAAATGGGAAAAGATTTGTTTGGTTATTTTTATATCTAAACTAAAAAGTTCAACCCAAATTGTGAATTTTCTATCACAGCTATCACGTGTTTTTGTCTGGTCTTTAACACACAAATTCATAATCAAATAGCTCATATCTGGACTTTGGTTTCATACAGTTGTTTATTGTTCCTATTCCTCCCAACCATTTCCTCCCTAATTTAGCTGTGTTTTGGGTCACTATCCCGGGGCAGGCTATGAATAATTTTGGGCTTAAATGGATGTCTTAAAATAGGCAGCAGCAGTAGCAGCACTCCTTGTTGGTTATTGTGCAATGTGAAACTCAGGATAGTGAAATTGTCAGTCGCACACCCAGACAAACCTTCCCCACTTTTCTGGCTCACCTGGTTCTTCGAGCAAGCGACTGTTTGTACTTGTCATTCAGTACTTGTATAATTTACTAATCATTAACTTCTTTCACATATGATCACCACAGTCTCAAAGCTATTAAAAGGGGCTTTACATTTTATGTAGTTTTTCATTATTTCATTTATGTTGATGTGGGTGGTGCGTTTCGTTGTTCAAAAAGTCTTATGATGAGAGTTTAAATTTTGTTAATCTAGGTCAACATCAGCTGTTGCAAATGCTTCATAGAGGCTAGAAAACCTGATATTTGTGAAGCACATACTTTCTAAAAAGTGTACTTTAAATTATTATAATTGTTTATTCATTCGTCTGAAAGGCTGTTTTTTATTAAAAGTCAAATTTATTTAATGTGTCACCTTATAGGTGTTTTGCTGTAGATGATACAAGTGTGTAGAGTGGGATTTGATCTGCCAACCATTTAGATTACATTACCCTGAGTCATTGTCGCCCCAAGATGTAAAATATGGCATTCATTTATGTTTTGTTTGTTTGTTTTTTCAAATGTGAACAATAATTAAATAATTTTAACTAAAATAAAAAATAATTTGGAAAATTTTTTGTTTCCAGGTCAGGGGGGCCATGCCTATTTGAAAGAATGGCTCTGGTGGGCTGGGCTACTCTCTAGTAAGTCTAGTTTTCTGTATTGAACTCTGCCATGGTTTTACTTGCAAATCACTGGGTGTGTGCTTCCCTGCTGTGTTGCATCACATCTCAAAGTGTATGTCATTTTTAACCTGCTAATGTAACCTCTAATGTTTACTTTGTGTTTAAATCCACAGTGGGAGCTGGGGAGGCAGCCAATTTTGCTGCTTATGCGTTTGCCCCTGCAACTCTAGTCACTCCACTAGGGGCCCTGAGTGTGCTCGTCAGGTAAACTAATATTTATTCATTGCAGAGGTGGGGAGAGAAGTCTCAAATGTGCTCCAGTAATTGGGTAGTCACATGTTTCTAATTGGTAAGGAAAAGAGTTGTAGGTTATGTTTGGGTGCAGTGCTGTAAAGTAGATTGTCCCAGTGATGAAGGCTTAGTAAGGTTTAATGAGCCTTTAATAAATAAGATTTAGTTCAACTGCATTGTGGAAAAAATGTGTTTTTGTTTGTTTTGCAAATTGACTGGCACTACCCCGAAGAATGAAAGTAAATCAAAGTTTGAAATTATTCTTCGAAGTTCATGAAGCATTCAGTTATTAATACCATTACCTCACAGTTTATCTAAGGTTATTATTATGAATGAAACCTGCATCATACATATTCACCACTGATGTATTTGTAATGGGCGGGGGAGAGTGACAGTACATGTTTGGTTGCAGTGCGGTGCTGTCTTCGTACTTCCTGACAGAGCGGTTAAACCTGCATGGGAAACTGGGCTGTCTGCTCTCCATCCTGGGCTCCACCACCATGGTCATCCACGCCCCCCAAGAGGAGGAGATCAACAGCTTGGAGGAGATGAGTTACAAGCTGGTCGACCCAGGTGCACAGTCACATCTATATTCTGTATTTTTTATTTTAATACATTTATGAGAATGAATTGTACCTTTTCTATTACTCTTATTGACTGTAATTATTCATTCACCAACCTTTGAGTTGATGGACGAGCACACAAACCACTGTCACTGATGTGTTCAATGCTTTTAAAATAGTAAAAAAAAAGTCTTTATTAATTAAAATTAGGGTGCTTTTGAAAATGTGAATTTGATATTTCTCTGTCTTAAAAAGAAATCAGCCAACCAAATTTGTCAAGTGATTAAAAAAGATTTTGAATGATTATTGTTTTTTTTTTTTCCCTTTTCTGCAGGTTTTGTATTCTTTGCGACTCTGGTGATCATTGTGGCTCTGGTGTTCATTTTTGTGGTGGGCCCACGCCACGGTCAAACCAACATCCTGGTCTACATCACCATCTGCTCCGTTATTGGCTCTCTCTCAGTGTCCTGTGTTAAAGGTCTGGGGATCGCCATCAAGGAAGCCATCGCAGGGAAAAACGTGATCCGAATGCCACTGGCCTGGCTTCTCCTTCTGTCACTTATAGCTTGTGTTAGCACTCAGATTAACTATTTAAACAAGGCTCTGGACATTTTCAATACCTCCATAGTGACGCCAATCTACTATGTCTTCTTTACCACTTCAGTGCTCACCTGTTCTGCCATTTTGTTCAAGGAATGGGAGCACATGGGCACAGATGACGTTATTGGGACACTGAGCGGCTTCCTTACAATTATTGTTGGCATTTTCTTGCTGCACGCATTCAAAGACGTTAACGTTAGCTGGTCAACTTTAGCCGTGTCAATCAGAAAGGAGGAGAGGGCTTTTCCGACCTCTAACGGCATGGCGTCTCACAGTAGCTATGAACTTCTGCACAACGAATCAACAGAGGACATGGACAGAGAAGTGGGCTTGCCTTTTGACAGCGTCTCCAGAAGAAATGGAGCGATTATTTCATCATAAGGTGTTTTTGGGTGACAAGAGAACCAATGCTAAGCTCATTAAGACAATCACCTACAAAACAGAGGTTCAGAAAGACCAGTGTATTGTATGTTTTAATTTGCCTTACTTAAAAGAACTCCCTTTCATTCCTGTAGCCTGTAAATATTTTTTTAAGAAATTTTTTGTTTGAGTAAAAGCATATCAATGCACTGATTTAGTTTGTAAACTGATTTTTAACACAGAAACCCTGCTGATACGACATTGAACAATGATCAGCCAGAACTTTATGACCACTGACAGGTTAATGGGAAACACAAATGCTTATCATCATTGGCTGTATGTGAAGTGTTTGTCCTCAATGTAGTAGGGTAGAATTAAGAGAATGATGAAGATTAGGTGGGGTTTTGTGATATTAAAAGTATTTGAAGAATCTGTGTCCAAAAGCAGTTAATGGTTTGAACCTCAGAGCTTGTGTAGATGTTTCTTCTTTAACAGGAATATGCATTACCGGCGCTCACAACTAATACAACAGGACTCAAACTTTACTATGAGTTTTAGATCTCTTTTTTCTCATTTAAACTATTAATAGCTCTCTAACCAGTCCACACAGGTCAGTACTCGTGGTACTACGTGGTTCAAGATCTCATATTACTAGTTTACGATGGTCTTGATGAAGATGGTTAAACACAGTACATTGCAGTTTATTTATCAGGCGGTCATAATGTTATGGCTGATCGATGGAAGTCACTTGTGATACTTGAAATTTAAGTTTTTTCTAGTGTTTAAATCAAAACCAACCACCAGATTTGTTACATATTTATTGAATTAAAATGATTTAAAACATCTGAAACACAAGGCACATTGAATAAATGCTTAACATGAGTATAAAGGTCTTATTTCTCAGATATTATAAAATGTTTTAACATGCAAAATCCAAAATGGACTTTCAAACCCTTTCTTAAAATACTTTTGCACCCATTATAATAAACCACTGCAACCCTTAAATATTTATCTGCTAAAACTAAGTCCCAAAATTACTTTCAGATTTCCAAGTATAAAATAGTTACCAAAATATTGTATTAATTTATGATAATAAGGCACAAGTGAATACAAAATATCATTAACAATAAAAAGTGGCCCAACTTTAACTTGAATTCAATGGTCCTGCTATTGCAACCTGAAATACACGATAAAGGAATATTTGTGGTACTATGGCAATGTGTTTGGAAGTATCACTGGTCCACAATATTGTAGTATTGAAATATTTGTAAAAGTAGTAATACTTCAGCTGCTGGCGAGGGACTGGTGAATGGGAGGTTGGAAACACCGCACATGTTCGACTGGCATGTTCTCACCATCCCCAGACTTCAGGTACTTGTTCAAAATGGCAAATATTTCATTGTTAAGCACCTGGAATTTGCGGATCCTGTCAACCATTTTCTTGAGAGGCTAAAAAAAAAACAAAAAAACCATAATGTAGTTATAAGGGAAGGTGATAATGAGAATTTTTAAGAATACATACTACTACAATTACTACAACAGTATGCTGGACTGGATATATTTTAGCCTATTACTGAGATTTTAACTGTGCTGCAACATTAATGTCCAGTAGACTTTATGAAACAAGGAATACAAAGACTAACTACTTATCTTCTTCATCTTAATAAGCACCAAATCATGTGACACAAACTGGCCTTATATTGCACTACTGATAAAAACCTTTCAATTCTACCAAACAATGAGTCAGGCTTGTCCTGAGTATGCACTGTAGTCTAGACATCCTATAATGTAATGTAGTTTGAGGCTAGATTACAGCCATTCTAAATAAATTATAGTCCAGCATGAAGTGCATTTGTTTGAATCAATGAAACAGACAAGCTAATGGCATCCCAAATTCACTTTTATTGCTGTTTTTAAACCAGTAGGAGCCCATTTCCCAGCTGTTACCTTCAACACTGTTTTTGTGACACATTCCTCAAAGCACACTCACCACACTCTTGATGACCTCGTCCTTGCCGTCGTGTTTCTGGACCTTGAGCAGGTGGTAGCTGAAGTCCAGGATGTCAAAGCGCCGCTGCTGCCCCAACAGAGCGATGATCATGCAGCCAGCCCAGTGCAGCCCGTCCCCAAAGCATTGTCTACAAACGGCGCAGGGGAACACAGTGAGTGCTTTAGGGATTCAAGCTTTCATAAGATCCACAAGGTACATACAGAAAAATCCCGCACACCGTCTTACTTGCAAACGGTGAAATTTATTAGGACAAACCGTGCAACGTTTCGGCACTAGGCCTTTGTCAGGCAAAACAGCCTGAGAGAGCCTAAGATCCACAAGGCAAATCTGTAAATGTTCATACTGGGGCCTGCTCCATATCTCAGTTCAACACTACAGGCCTATATTAACTGAGTGAGGCAATCTGAAACCATGTAAAAAGTAAACGCATTATGCCGTTGACCACAGTATATCAGAGTTTAACAAGGCTTTAATAGTCTCTACTCAATTTTTAAATTATCTGAGGCAGGCAAAGAGGAAGGAGACTATTTAAAATGTGAAGAAAACATATTTGCATGTTGTAATAAGGTTTATTTGTCTTCAAGTGGGGCTTTATTATAAACTGCTCACTTTTCCCTCACTGGTAAGGCAAGGTAAGGCAGACTTCATTATTTCCACAGGCAAAGTGTTTCAGATAATTACTTGGTTTCTTAAGTCCTCCACTGCTGCAAGCTTATAAACATATAAACATAACGAAATATAATAATATAAGAAAATGAAAAGACTTACTCAACAGTGAACTCGTGAGCGCCCACGGGGATGCAGTAGACAAACTGCATGGCACTCCACAGACGGTGAAACTCCACACACTCGTCCACGTGCATCACTCCGTTACTTGGCAACGGGCCGCGCCAAATCGGGTCATCGAGGAAAGCACGTACCCGGGTCAGGATCACCTCGAACATGGAGAGGCCACAGCACAGGCGCTCTTTGGTCAGGAGGTCCCCTTCACGGGCTATGGCTATTTGCTACAGACAGAAAAACAAGACTTCAAATCAGAAAACGTCAGTTTGGGTTTTTTTTTGGATATGTGTTTTCCATTTTTCCATCATTCGCTCATAGAATATTGTTTTGAATTGTTAATTCTTCATCACTTCAAATTTAAAGATACAATGCAGATTACAACAATAAAACACACAAACACTCAACTTAGCACAATACTGGCATGGTCACGAGATTGCAATTTGCTGCCCTCTGTTTACATTACATGTGCAGTATTCAAACTGTGTTATAATGCAATTACTAGGGGTACCATGCCATGTACGTACTTGTAAAAGTTTGTTTATTTGACAGTGAATTTCTATCAATGTCAGAAAGTTTTAAAAATCGTGAAATTCAAATCCCTGTTTTGATCCAGGAGCATTTGTGACTCTTCATTTCCACGTCATTTTCACCAGTTTTCTCAATGCTGCTGTTGTTTATTTGAACAACGCTCTACCTGAGGGGTCCCAAGGCGCTCGATCAGAGGGACCATGTGCAGAGCTGTATATTTCGCCTCCAAACGCTTCATCTTTGCATCCAGACGTTCCCCCTCTAAAAACAGTAAAAGTCAACATTAGCATCTCAAAATCTTTTTGCTCTTTTCTAAATAATATTTTTTTGTGTCAGTTCAACAATTTCCTTCAGTCAGGCTCTCTCTGCTTTGTAGTTTTAGATAATTTTTAGAATAAACGATCATGTTTCAAAAGTATGTAAATATTTAACACAGTTAATGAATATGGCAATTTATTAGGTTCTGTATTGTAAATGAAAAATAGATTGAGGATAGTAGATGACAAGGGTAGTGACATTCTTTTATGTACCTTTGACATGGACTCTGGGCAGGATGTTCTGGAAAGGTGCAGCATGAAGTAAATCACAAACTTCCTCCTGGGACTGAACAGAGCACACAAAACAAGAGTCACACAAAACAAACCACAAACTGCAATTCTTTTTCTCGACATGCTTTTCTGCCTGACCTGCCAAGGTTAAAAGCCCCCATTGTGAACTCTAGTGGGGCTTAATTTCTCCAAATGAAGCAAAACAATAATTTCTGTGTGTGACTGATTGAGTGAGTGAGTGAGGGGGTGTAGTTATTACAATTGTGGGGGACCTTGAATCATCTCATGGGGATGTGCCTCATTTATCGAGAGAAAAATGAGGACCCCTTTGGTGAAATTCTTCACTATCAGATCAACAACTTGGTATGAGAGGGTAAGGTGAAGCAGTAGTAATTAGGTTATTTGGTCCTGCTTGGTTGGCTATGCTTAATTTTATTTGCATGATTAATTCCTAAATTACGTAAATATGAATGTGTCTATGTAAATTTAGTCAACTATAGGTGCACAGCTATACAATTTTAACACCACTTACATGTCACCTCCCATCTCGAGGACCACTTACTTACATATATAGAACATCTAGAAAAGCCCAAATGGTACACTGCAGTGTTTTTGCACATACCAGACTCTGCTCACTCAGGAGGCAGAAAAGGAGAGCGTTGCCGACTTCCCGCAGGTTTTGAAAGCAGACGGTTTTGAGCTCCGCATACTCCACTATGTCTTTGAGCTGGTGATGAAAGAACTCCAGGATACCTATAGAAAAAATGCATTGAATAGTTATAATGCAGCAACAACACTGTGCTAGCTTAGACGGCAGCAGGTTGACATTCAAATATTGCTAATTATATAAAGTAATAATTAAGTGAAATTCCTTCTCATGTGCCCTTGCCAGTGAGGTGTGGTGTAGGTCTTTGGACAAAAAAAGATATGGCTATATATCTTGATCCTGGTTTGGCGCTACTATTAACCTCTACGGGCTTTATAAATTGTGTGGAAAGCTCTCTACTCTCAGTCTAAACAACATCACTTTGGCAACGTTTATATGATGATGGTCTGAACAGACGCAAAAGTGGTGGTGGGTCTTCATTTTTTATTCCGTGTTTAGACAAGCGTTTTTGGGAAGAAATCTGCGTCGATAAAAACTGTGTGGAATTCGATTGGGTATGCATGCCAGGCAGCTTCTCCCAGGTCTCGTCCGTAGCCGTCTGGCTCCCCTTCGACGAACTGATGCATCCAGAATTTGACAGAGGTAATCCTTCTCTGTTCACTAATAGTATCTCTGCATATTCTGCACATTTGTTGGGATGCCTCTTTGTAAGTTTATTAGAGCTGCCAGAGAAGCTTGAAGGTCTGACGCATGGAAATGATCCGACATGTTTGTTTCTGTGTACTGTATGTATGTGACACGAACGCATACGCAACATGAGCAGATCTGACCAGAGTTTTGCGTCTTGGGTAGTGTAGTTTTCCACTCTGGAGGGTGGATTCAGATTTTTGCGTTTTTAAACCCCAAAAACTCTGTCACGAAAGGCACTTCAAATAAAATATTTTGTCGTTTTTACCCGCAAGCATTTTCGTGTAAACAGGTCCTTATTTCTAAACCATACATTCACATTTCTTACCCGGAGAGCCGTACTCATGACGAGGGAGTCTGCAGATTTTAGGCATCACCTCCATCAGAGTTTTCACATATTGCATGATGGTACCTTGAAGCTGAACAAGACAAGAACAACACAAGTTTACACAATATGTCAATATGTCACAGTACATAAAGTAAAATACAATGGTCTGTAAATCTTACACATTATGTCAGATTTGAGATATTTTACTCTTCAATATTAGGGTGTTAAAACTGGAAAGCTGCAGCACATTTCAAAGTTGTGACTAGGAATTTTACTACTGAATTGATTCACATTAATTCTGATTTCTCGTTGCTTGTTTTAAAACTTTTGTATTGAAGGATTTTGTATTAATCAGTAGTACAGCCGTTTCTCCTATAATACCTGCGCATATACCTCTGTGTGATACTGACCAGGCTTTTGACCACTTTGAGCAGCTCCTCCATCACCACTGCAATGCCCTGGTAACCCAGCAGCCGACACATGACTTTGATATGAGGCGGACCCAGAAAGTTTCGGTACGATCCATAAATACTGCTGTAGGCCAAGTTCAAGGTCTGCAAAGAAAAATTAAACAAAAAAAAATCATTCAGATAATCATCAAATCAAACTGTTAAGTAAACTAAATAGTGAGCAAGGTTTTTCCACTAAGGTTGAAACAAGCTGAGGAAAAAGTCCGAGAACAGATTTTACAAGAGATACTAGGCTAAAATACACGCATTAACATTCTCAATAGAGTCAGTAAAGCTTGTATAATTCAGGTCAGAAGCAGTTTTCTCCTCTTCAAGGTTGAATAATCTTTCACAAATCCAGCACATTTCTGGAGTGATAAAGCTTATATTGATATCAGTGAAAGCAAAACAAGAATTCAGATATACTTGTACTGCAATGTACTTGAGAAAATGTACAACTCCTAATTCTTATTCACACCTTTTATTTTAAACATACACTTTTTTTTAAACACACATACTGAATTAAGATTGTCGTAAATGTATTAAACTTTAATCCAGGTCTTTTTCTCTCACACATGGGTTTATCGATAGACCATAGCTACCGTAGTCTCTGCAAGGCTACTAAAGGGGACAGTGAAGAGTGTGATGGGAAAAAGCACTGTTCCATTGACTTAAATTATCAATGTTGTGCCTATTGGAAGCCTGTATACTTCTGTCAGTCCAGTCAATCATATTTACGTCATTTGCCAAGTGTGTGTCACTGGTTACACATTTCTGCAAAGCTCAGCAAGTGCTTGCAACAATGCATTGCTTCATCTGCCAATGTCATCTGTGTTTTGATGAGTCAGTTCTTTGTTTTAGCAATCAATATTTGATTTTTGGTAATAGACATCTCCAAACTAAACAGCATCTCTGTCAGTAGTGCTACCATCAGTTAGTTAGTTGGTTAGGGCTGCACAATTAAAGGCAAATAATTAAAATTACAAGTCTGTTGCTGCTATTAAGGTAACAGAGTGTCCCTTGCAAACAACAGCTTGCCAGTTTTTGCTAGTAATGTTCCCTGATGTCTTTAAATGTGCCTGATTAGAAAACCAAAAGGACAAGTCAATCACAATCACAATTTCAATTTCATTTTTCCAAATTTATGCAGCCCTACTGACACTGTCAACATCAACATCAGGCTTGTGACTGCATCAGATAAATCACACAATTACATAATTTTCAAAATCCAGTTGACATTTTTGAACAGAGGCTTTTAGGCTGCAGACAGTGCTCTGTCGCATATCACTCCATCTGTCATCTTGAATAAGATGGCAAAACCCCTGAACCATTTCCTCAGCTATTATACAGTGTAAACGGATAAAACAGGAACCCAGAGTACACATCTCTGTACAGAAGAGGAAAAGCATGTAGTCTTTGCTGGTCAGACTAAATAGAACGTGATGACTTGTTGAATACATTACGTTGAATTCACTTTTTAAAATTCAGGCATATTTTTGCTTTGCTCAGGTATAGTCTTCAAATACCCCTTTTTGTAATACACTAAAATTACATTAATAGTAAAAGTGTAAGTTTATCTTCACTATTTCAATTGACGCACACGGATAACTTAATACCATAATGCCATACATTTGCCAAGTTAAATCCTGGAGGCTGTAAAATGTCAATAAATCCGTCATAACTCAGAGATCATTCACACAGTGATGACAGCACTGACACTTACAGACTAATCTGATTTAAATATAGAGACAGGGGCAATGTTTACGTCACTCAGTGCCATTTGTTACAATAACTATATATCTTCAGATCTCTCTCTCTCCTCCTTTTCTCCACCATATCGCTCTTATATTGGTAGAGTTATGAAGCAGTCCTCCTCTTTTTTCCACTCTCTCTTTCCCTCTCTCTCCCCCTCTTCTCTCTCTCTCTTGTTGGTAGTGTTATGCTGTCGCTGCTCTAATCCAGTTGTGTGGCAGGCAGCAGTAGAGGACACAGCATACTAACCAGACTATCCCAAACATTTCCAAAAAGAAGAGGTTTTATTTATGATGACAGCTAAAAGACACTTCTTGAAATGTCCAACCCATCACAGCTGCTTTACTGGTAAGTCTTGATTCTAGTCTCAAATTGAATGTATGACAACTAGTGATTCTGATTATAAAACAACTAAGTATGTTTGAGCATTATGTCATCAGTGATGTACTATGGTTTATGGTTATACAATAGTATTCAATTAATTTGATCATGATGCCTCAAAATATTTTTTGTTATATTGCTATACACTGCTCCAGTTATTTTTGTATGGACCAACTGGATAATGTACTGCAGTGAATCCCAAAGTCATGAGTCACTGAGCTTGATGTGATTTAAAGATGTAATTTAAATAATTTAAAAATGATGTAACTGTATTTAATTTGTTTAAATTAAACATCAAAAACACAAAAACATGTCAAATAAACCATATTAAACTTGAACTTGAAAATATAACTGCTGTCAACTTTTGGTGGCAACCTCTGATACATTATGGCACACAACTGTACATTTTTTTCTTTAATATCTGCTATAACAAAGCAACCATTAATGATGATCACTTTTTTAAAATGTGAATGCAACACAATACTGATAAGAAGCGCCAGAACACTGTACTGTGTGCCAATTCCAGCCCTGGATAATTGAGCGTGTGGTATGATCTTAGGTGGGTATGACATATAATAACAGTACAAGCCAATAAGAGTACAAGCTAAAACGCAAATAAGTCACAATGGAGACCTTCAAAGAAAAATACAATATGAAAGACTGAGTGCGTAAGCATGCACATCAGTATCCCGGTTATGAGCGAGCTTTTGGAGTATCTTGGTTTCTAAGCATGCTTGTAAACAGCACATCCCGAATACTGCCATCACCCGGACATAGCTAATAACCGGGATACTGATGTGCATGTAAATGCACTCATTATTGACAGAAGACCAACACTCTCCAAGTGTACTGTGCTAATAAAGAAAAGAAAAGAAATAGTACCCCTCAGCTACTAAATGCTACACAACTGCAATATACTGTATGCTGCTTAGTTGAACTGGAACTTTCACTGCCTTTTAAGATTTTTCCAATATCTTTAAACCCTACCTGTTTCCACAATAGAATTCCAGCTTATATATAATGTGTTTGATGTTACCCTCTACAGTGTTATTACGCTCTTCGTAGTCAACGTGTGAATTCAAGTGTATGCTTTTTGGTGAGGACTATAGGAGCACAACAACTATGTGTAATCATGAATATACTATGTGAACAAACAGGAGTGCAATAGTCAGCGGCAACATCACGTACCAGTAAGTCGCCACAAACTCACACTGGCTGGTTAGTTGTCAGTAAATTCATCTCACAGAGGTCTGCAACTGTAGTCTAGTTATGTAGTCATTTAATCTGTAAATGGTGTTTTGGTCAACCAACTTTTTTCTTACTATTTTATAATGGATTAAACACATTTATTTGCACAACAGCACAAAGGAGACTGCAGGAGTGTGGCTGGACAGTCACTTATGAAGATGCCATTTACTAGTACTCTGTATACCAGTACTCTATACAGTTTTAATACTGTGTTTCTATGATCCTAATCCTAATAATACTGAGAATTTTTGTCAGCACCACTCTGCCTTTTAGTTGATTAAGTGATGCAAAATTATGTTTTTATTTGACAAAGAATTTCATCAGTTGACTGTAGCCCTACAATCATAAAAGAAATAATCTGTCTCTTCCTTTAAGATCAAATGCCCTACCAGGATCTCTGTAGTTGGCCTTGTAACTGAATAGCAAGGCTGACAAATATAAACTATATGAAAATAAAATTTTACATCTACCACAGTTTGGTCCCCGGGGTGCAGTTGCCGGATCACTACACTCAATAAGCCATAAAGTAAACAGACTTATGCGGAAAATAGATTTTTAAAACATGAGGTATACCCGACTGATATTCAAAACAAACTAACCAAAATGTACATCCTCGACCATTTTTCATTGTGATGTTCAAAATAAAGAAACAAAATAAAAAAGAATCAGTAAGAAGTGCACGAAACACTAACCAAGGACCAAGTGGTCTCAAATTCAATCCACAACTAGAGTAGGACTTTAGGTAAAATTGCCCACATAAGAAAAAGACTTCTGAGCACCATTGCAAGAAGTTCATTCACCAGTGAAACCAATGGAGTAACTGGTTACTTCTGTTTGTCAATATGCCGGTCTATAACCACATGAAAACCTTGACTGTGCAAACACAGTCTGAGGAGTAGGCTGAAACTCCTTTATCCTTTATAACTCATCTTGCGGCCCATAAGTTCCAATTTATGACACACCTTTCACAATAAATATGATACAGTACCACAGTACAAATGTTCCTTTCAGTATAATTCAGCATGTGCTATGAGTTTTCTGTCTTTAATTTTAGGTTTTCAGTGACAACAAAAAAGGACTATATTGAGACATTTTGAGACATTTTCAACACAAAACCACATCACAAGAAAACAGCAAAAGCAGAGCTGCATCATGGGAGTTGTAGTCTACAACATCTCGTCCACCTCTGCGAAAGTGACCTGGCCCAGGTCCCCTTACTGCCTGGACACTTTCTACAGTGTGATGTATGACCCCAACTGGAACAGCCTTCTGATGGGCTACAAGCGGAAGAGCTTCATGCATGAGGAGCGCATCCCCGTGAGCCAGACCACCACACATCTCGCCAACCTGCACCCACAGACCGCCTACTTCCTGTGTGTCACCTGTCAGGCAGCTAATCCGGTTCGAGAACAATGTCAGGTATGTTTGTTATATAAAAATGTATAAGGATCACTGCTTCCACAGTCTAAAAACATGCTGGGTAGAAAAGTTGATGTAACAAACTATCCCTCTTACTTCTTGATTAATAATTAACATGTAAAAGTGCAATACTGTGTCTGTAGTTATTGTAGTTTCTGCAATAATCTGTGGCAATCCCTGGAGCTCCACAGTAAAAGAACATTTTGCAATGTTATGGTCTTGGCATTTGTCACTGTCAACAGAAGTCAATAAAAGACTTTAAAATATGGTGTTCATATTAAAGTTAATATTTTTTAAATTAGTCCTGGGCATTTTCAGTCAAGGTTCAAAATTTGTAAAGGGCTTATTTTGACAGTTTCGACATTAATGTCAATGCGTGTTATTATAATACAACATAATAATTTTGAAAGTCTTATTTTTGCTTAATTTCTGGCAGGTTTTCAACACTTTGGGTGAGAGCGGTGACACCAGCGACCGGACAGGATGGGAGCTGGCGATGGGAGTGTGGCTGACTTGCTGCATCTTACTCCTGATCATCGCTGGGGTCCTCTTATGGGGCTGCCTCCACACTCTCTGCTCCTCTTTGCTCCCCAACCAAACCAACACGGATAATGGGAGAGTTGTGGACCAAAACCACCAAGATAACTCTGGCTCAGGACGCCTGTACACCCCCAGCAGCAGCGAGGACAGCACCAACAACAACCACGGGACCGTCAGCCAAACTCCTCTGATACTGCCACAAACTAATAATAGTAGTGCCCTCATGCTAAACCAGGACCATGAGTTGAGGAGTCTTTCTAAGCTGTCTGGGAGCGAGTCAGCGTGAGCAGAATGGATTGAGGTCATTACAGCATTGTTCTAGCCCGGCAATTGACAGTATTTTTCATCCGCTGATTAAATCCCTTTTCATTCAGACAGTGGAGAAAAAGCTTTAGATGGGACATTTTGACATTCTCCAAATGAACAATTCTGGAAAATGGTGGCTTGGCAGGTCACACTGATTGTTTTACTTGTAAATAAAACTATGCTCAGGAAGATTTGCAATGTCTTTTACTAACAAAAGTGTCTATTTTTCTAATAGTAGGATTTAAAACAACACTGCATACCTATCTGGAGGGGAGGGAAGGTTAGCCTGTTGTGTTGTTTTTTAGATTAAGTTGGCAATCATCTATAAGTGTTCCCTCCAACTCCTCCAGGGAACCACCAAATAATGCATGCAATGGACAGTTCTACTTGTAAGATAAGCATTTAATCTTATGGCATTTCAAAAATACAAGCTCATGTTTTGTTTTGTTTTTTATTAGTAGCATTGAAGTTAGAAAGGATAAAAGAGGATCACTGCTGTATGTATATATAGTCTCAATAGCACAGTAGAGTAATATATGCTCTCACTTAAATATGGGATTAGAGGTAAATAATAGAGATGAAATTGCCTCACTTGTCAAAAGCATTAGCATTATAACATCTACTGACCTTTGAGCCGTACAAGTACTGTGGCTGAGCGGTGGGTGGTTTGTCCCTTTGAAACTCCTGAGAGAAAGGCAGGATTGTGCGCACAAATCTAAAACCAAGCAGAAAGCCATAACAACATTTTATTTGACTGACAATATCACATAATTTTCTATTTTTGTATATTTTTTCAGTATTTAGTACAATAATGCCAAATGCCATCAGCATCACATGCACACTGTGTAAAGTCTGTCGGGCAGATGGTGATATGAGCTGTTAATCTGTATTGTGTTATTTTGAAAACAATCATCTCTATTTAATCCACGGATAAACTTCTCCATTTGGTTCTGTCCACAAACTCAACTGCTGAGTCCAGAAGCTTTTGAGATTAGAGTGTTTAATTGAGATGAAGGCAGAGCAAATTACTATTAATGCTGATTTGTTTAATAAATGTAGTGGGCTAATGGATAAAGCAGCCTGTGGGCAACTGTTGTCTTTCCACAGTGCCCCATGACTTATACAAAGTGTAAAGAAACATCTATTCATTCCTTCATCATTGCTGGTCATTAGGTACTATGACTATACTTACTTACTTATATTACTACTATACTATACTTTTTCTTAGCCATGCATTTAGCCTGACTTTGCACAATGAAAATCAATTAAAATATTGTAACAAGTAGCAGAACTGAACCACTTAAGTGCTAAGGACACTAAAATGAACTATCACTATTAAGTTAGTCTAAGTCTAAACAGGAGAAAATCATTAGCATACCTGTTGGTGGACCCGTTGTAGCAGTAGTTTGGCAGGAAATCGTAGTTGAGCTCCCAGAAGACGTGCAAAGTGATCCGTCCGTATGGAGCCGAGACATTATGGTTGGCCTCTCTGAACATGGCGTCAAAACTGTCCAAGGTCAAAAACTTGCACAGCAGTTTGTGTGTCATCCGGTTAATCTCTAGCAGACCATCCAGCTCCTGTTAACCACCAAAAACATGTTAAAAATACTGCATGTTGTAGGGCGTGGTTAAGTCAGTTCCAATTGTCAGAAGTACAGTCATTTATCAAAACAGTTTAATCTTGTTATTGCATAGGTATTAGTTTAAGTAGCAGTTCATATTTCAGTGTTCTTTCACAGGTTAATGCTTCTGAAAAAAATGAGTATTTGAACTGAATGATCAAATATATTGCAAATGTAATCATGATATTAGTCTAAACTTGATCATATCGTTACTATACCATGATGGAGGTGAGGTCTTCACTCTCAAAGCGGTTAATGGCCAGTTCCATAGATCTGTACAGAGCAGCTGAAACCCTCTGAGTGATGAGTCGGTTTAGATCAATGGAGCGACCAAGGAGCTATGAAGAAAAAAAAATCATGATATGAAACAAACAAAACAAAACAACTGGAAAAATGAATGAATATAAAATTATGAATACCTGGACATGTTTTTGTTTGAGCAGAGTTTCATAGCGGTTAGAAGCAGGCCATGGGATATTGGCTCCTTGGGATTTGCAGTCTGCTCTTAAGCGCTTGTCGAGCAGTAGACTGTGAAATGGAGGAATAAAAAGTTAATACAACTGTAAGTTTTAAAGTGCCAAAACTTCAGTCATCGAATAAATTGTGATAGCAATTTTTGTCTGTATACCTCACTTTGGGGCTTAACAATGTGGGCTGAATAAGCAGTTAAAATAAAATTACTAATAACAAGACCGAATAACAAGAGATTATTAAGGGGCTGGTTAATTGAATATTGTGAAGGTAAAAAGACACCACAGTATTTAAATTTATTCAAATAAAAGATGAAAACTTGCCTTCCAGCTAGAATTTTGTAATAGGCAAATATCTGGTCCGCAAGCTTGTAGACGAACTGATCAAAGCACAGGTTTACCTAAAGAGACAAAAGATGTAAATGAAGTGTATTCTTCAAAAAATCTCTCAGACGTTTTAGAATATACTGTGTAGACTATAAATATGCCTTAAAGAGAGGTTAAAGAAAGGCTAAGCATGGAAACAACCCAATAAAGAATTTTGAATTTGTTTTACCTCTGCCTCTATTTCATCGTACAGGAACTGCTTCTTGAATTTGGTCAGAGCGTAGTGAGCACTGTCGTTGTACAAGTCCAGAGGGTACAGCACATATCTGAAATTCAATTACATTCATTTAAAATTAATTACAATATTTTTTATAAATAGAAATACATTATTTATTTAATTAGACCTTGATGTAACGCTAAATAATTCTATATATTTGTGAATGGAGTGACTGCCTCAGTCTGGCCTTTTTAAACATCTGTAGAGGAAGTGCTTAAGGGCTTACATAAAACCTGTTAGTAGGTATAATCCTGCAGTGAAGGTTAAGAACACTTGAAACCATCTACAATTTTTTAGGGGATTACCAAGGATCCCCTCACTCTGAAGCTCAGAGGAAAGTATACAGTATACTGTATTACTGACTGATACCATGAACAAAACACGAGTGAAACTAATAACTTCACAAAATGTAAAGAGTATGGACAAAGATACTTTGTGATTCTTTGGATGTGACACGTATAAAGATGCTAAATAGTAAAATAGTAAGAATTTGTTCCACTAACTCCATCATAGAGGCCTCTTTGGTCTCTAGGATGTGGTCTGTGAGGATCCAGGGCATGGACATCTCGATGGGGAATTGGATCCTGCGTCCCATCGTCAGCTCCAGGAAAAACTCCCTGAACCACAGCTGGGACAGATCACAACACTGCTGGAGGGTCTCTACAAAAAGATACAGCAGTGTCATATTTATACAATAAAATACTATAGCTATTTAAGGATTTGAAGAGTTAATTTGATTTTTTTACCGCTAAAGTTGAGAAGGTGGGTGTAAAAGAAGGACTCGCGGTGAAACTTCTCAATGTCCAAAATGGTAGGTCCTTCTAAACTGCTGCGGAGAGTTTTCTTAGAGCCACTTTTGTCAGCAATCAACGACTCCAGCATTGTACGAACCATGTAGAGCTGAAAAATATAGCGAGAGGCAAAAATATACATTAGTGACTTGCTATTTGTTGAAATGGTATGGTAAGTTACAAATAAAACAAGTTCAGCAGAGTTTCGGACCAAATCAATGTTAGACTTGTGAACAGAACAAAGCAGGTCTAAACAAGGACTAAGTCTGAAGATTGCACACCAGGACTAAACCAGAATTAAACCAGAACTAAACTGAAACCATAGTGGATAGATAATTAAGGGAGTAAAACTATTGTATATTACACGCAGTAATACTATGCTGCCAAAAATATATGAGCAAAATTTGAAAGCTAATTCCATTGTATTTTTTCAATGACAGACTTCCCAAAAACAAGTGTGCCATCTTACTTTCCATTTTTATCCATATTCGTATTCTAACTCCTGTAGTTACATTGGCTTCTGCACTAACCTGATCCATAGTGGTCTATGGTCATATAATGAGAATATAATGTGAAGGAAGAGATATGAATTGTAAGTGCAGTACTATTCAGAGCTTCCACATATTGATTTAAAACTAGCACCACAAGGTCGCGCGGCTATGACCCTGCTGTAGATGAGAGCTATAAAAAGTGAATGAGAATGAATACAGATCAGGCTGGTGACATTTTGAAGCCCCAACATCATATTTTTTTATCTGTGAATAACTCTACTGGATTTTAGGTTTGAAATTCCTTTTACGTATATCATTTTTAATTGGACCGCACTTATTAGACTTTATTTAGAAGTAGTAGTTGATGTAGCCTGTAGTACTAGTATTACAGAAGTCATAAATTGTTAGCAGTTTGTTTCTTTTATCAGTGAAGTGCAATAATAAATGCATGAATATATGACTATATTAAGACTTAATGTCTAATGCTATGGCTAGTCACAGTCTTCAGAGAATGCATGTGATGTAAAACCATGGCCAAACCAAAATCTCCTCACATTTTGTTCATCGGCTGCAATGACCCAATACGATCAAACCTAAATATAGATCTAGATGAGGAGCGATGATATAAAAGGTGAATGAGCATGAATACAGATCGCCCTGGTGACCACGTATTAGCCCTTGTGTCCCTTTATTATTATCCCCACATTCAGAGACGGCGCAACTTTGACATGACGAGATGACGGAGACGTAATCTCAGGGGCATATGATAGATTATGTGGACTGACAGGTGCAGTGAGGCAGGTACAGACAGTTTTTTTTTCCTCTTTATGGTAAATCCTGGGCAGTACAATGTAAAATGGAGATTCTAAAAAATCTAAAACTCCTTAATGATTGTTTTGCAACATCTTGATTTTAATTACATGCACAGTATTTCTTTATTTCTATTAAAGGTTGTATGGAGGATTTTTTTTGTTTCAAATTGTCAATGATAGCATTATAGAGATGCAGTAGCCTTGTAATTTTGATGACCAAAAAAAAGAGAATAAAAATTCATCAACTCTGGATGTGGTGGGGCCAGCTAAACATTTGCCAATAGATAACGACACTGCCTCGTTATCTCTTAGCTGATAGGCTGTCAATCAAACTCCCTACATTTCTAGCGTAACTGACTTGCCTGCGCGCTGCCATTACGTGGTTTACGTACGCCTGTCACGCAGTCCACAGACACACAGACGCTGTTTACTCCACCAACGCAACAGTTCTTAGCGGCTTTTTTTACCTATATCTTCCTCGCAGTTAGAACAAAGTTTGTTGCAATGGCAGACAAGAATCTAGGAGCAGTTAGCCCCAAAAGAAAGTCAGTTTTTGAGGTTGCTGAAAGAAGAAGACAAGGGGAAAAGCATCAAAGCCAAACTAAAGCGACTGAAGCAGACGCAGGGTCTAAAGACTGACGCATTGGTCGCCAAATTACTTCTGGACAGGTAACTTCTAATTATTATGAAAATGTACTTTATTTCCAAGAGATAGACAAACGTTTTTCAAGACACGAATGCGATATCCTATGTCTGAAAACGTAATTTTCAATGCAAAGAAAGAGTCTGCTTGCAGCTGCGTGTTGTAGTAGTTAGCTTCATTCGCACTGAATCTCCGCGCACCCCTCTCTGCACCCCTTACTGCTCCTCTCCCCGCTCCCCGTTCCTCTCTTCTCCCTGCTCCTCACTTCTACTCCGCTCACGGAATCTCCGCGCACCGCTCCCCTCTCCTCTCTCCTCTCCCCGCTCCGCTCTTCCCGCTGCTCCTCACTTCTTTTCCGCGCACAAAATGTCCATGCACCCCCTCCCCCCGCTCCTCACTTCTCTGCCTTGCCTAACCAACACTGTAGTTAGTTGTTTACAAGTCATGTGCAGCGATGAGTACTTGTTTTCTAGAAACAAACCTGTTTCTGGCGTAAGGAGGAGGCGTTTCTACGTAGGGAGCTGTAGGGGAGGGGGGGTGGTTTCACGCATGCGCAACATTTGAAAAAGGACAAACAGTCGCTGGATTTCTCGTTCCTTGGAAAATCCTCTATACAACCTTTAAGAGACAACTTTGGTAACTGAATTGCTCTTCGGCGAGATCAATAGCTCTATCTAATTTCTCTTGCGTCTTAAATATTTATGATTTCTAGTTAAACTGATCATTCCTAATACCGCTACAATAACAGTGACAGGGTAGACTGTAGAGTAGACACCTGTGTGCTGGAGGGCCCAACAGCTCGCCGAGGGACCTTGATATCAAAGCCCCCTTTTGGGTCTTTCTCTCCTCTGAGGGCTGGGTCGTTATGGGGCTCACGGCCTGTCTCCCAGTCACACACGGTCTTCCTGATGGCCTGGAGGACGCTATGAAAAGAGACAGATTTTATATAGCACATATTATGGTCAATATTTGGATTAGGATTAGCACCCAATGATGTCAAATGACTAATATCCACATACACAAACACATTGCTTGCATTAATCTGTTGCAAGGGAACCTCTCCAAAATGAGAGTGACCCAAATTGCCAAATGGCCTGTATTGTATAAAATAATTGTCTGACAAGATTTAAGTGAACATTTGTATATCAAAATCAAATAGAAGGTTTTGACTGAGTTTGATTGAATTGAGTTTTTATCTGTACACAGTCAATATCTTGCTTGGTTACACATAGATTTTCCATCTTCTTTGTTCCTTTCTGTTTTGGGGCTGAAAGTCGGCTTCAAACAGAACTTATGAAATAGTTCAGTGATTTTCCATTAAAGAAGACGACCATGAAAATGACTATGTGGAAGCTTTTCAGACATCAATGAATTATGTATGAGACGTCTATACTGACTGAATAAGTGTCTGTGATATTTCTAAGGTAACCTCACATAGTGCTATGGTTTTATCTAACCATATATTTTTGTTAATGTTACAGAGAAGACACCGAGAAGCTGAAAATATGAAAATCTGAACCTTATCTTACCCTAAACTCTCTTTGTATCTTAATCTGTCCATTTTAAACAATAGACCCTTAAGACATTCCAGATAATTTCACATGAGCACACTGTATTGAACCACTGATACCTCTGTATGACGTTCTTCTTCTTCTTAATGGCCTGGCGCAGTGGGTCTCTCAGAGTGATTTGGGCGAAGTCCTGAAGCACTGAGTAAATGGTGTGACGAATGGCGTGATTAAATACACTCTCCATTCGTCCCATCAGCACCTGCAGCCCTTTTATCATTGCCATCACCTGGAAACGGACACCATTTTAGCACGGATTATAGTCCAGGTTAGGGAAAGATATGGACGATATAACTGACTAGATAATTCTGAGGATTTCATATAACCCTGATTCTTTTTAGTGGCATAATAAAATATTGAAATACTGAAAAAATATTGAGAAATTAATTCATGTCATGGATTTAATCATTATCTGCAAATGCAATTATCATTATCATAAGATTAGATAGTCCTTTCAATGAATACCTTAACTGATTTAGTTACTGATCTTTATTGTGTTTTTTTTTAAATATATAACCTTATTGTAGGCCTGGTTTAGTTTCTGTTTAAAATGTAACAACCTTGTGAATTAGTGAATATAAAGCATAGAAAAGGCCAAACTTACTTCCACAAGTGCAAACTTCTCCTCACTGCTGTAGTTATATCTTGTGGCTCTCTCATATTCCTCTGCATTGTCCGGACACTCTTTGTTGGAGTATTTGTCAGTGGGGTGAACCAGCTTCCAAGAATACTGCAACACACAAGTTATGAATTGTATTACAGTCATTTACAGGCATTTTGTGGCCATACCGGCATGTCAAAACCTGATCTCGTCAGATCTCTGAAGCTAAGCAGGGCCAGACCTGGGTAGTGCTTAGATGGGAGACCACTGGGAATTCTAGGTGCCAAAGTGGGGCACCAGTGTCAAAAACTGTAGTTTTGTCCTTAGGCAAGACACTTCACCCACATTGCATAGTAAGAAAGTGGTGTGTGTGTGAGTGATGGTGGTGGTCAGAGATGGGCAGCCTCGCTTCCGTTAGTCTGCCCCTGGGCAGTTGCTACAGTAGTAGCTTACCACCACTGAATGTTGAGTGAATGAATAATGAACTGTAAAGCGCTTTGAGTATCTTGAACGATGCTATATAAATGCAATGATTAATTAATACAATACATTAACTTAGTGAAATATCAACACATGCCCAGATGAATATACCTAGGAAAATCTGGGCCTTTAAATGTTGGATATTTTCATGTGGATTTCATGAAAAAGGCTACATTTTATAATCACAAATTTTACTGTGGCAGTGAAGTGAAGCATGTCTCCAAAATTAGAAGGACCTTTTGTTATGATCAACCTCTAAACCACTGTGTACAGCAAGCATACAGTATTTTCTATTCTTCCATTGTTGGTATTGAGAGAAGATATTTTACTAGGCTATGTCACTGTTTGTGACTGTCATTTATGTTGGGAAGACAAAGGCAATTTCAAGTCCTCATAGCAAAGGCATTAAAAGAAGTACTGAAGAGGAAAATAAATGCAAAGTTTAACAGATTTTGACAACTGCCACAAATCAAAGCTATGAGATACAATTTTATGATTGATTTATATTTTCACTTAAGCTACGAAATGTCTTGTTTCTTACCACTTCCATGACATGGGCACTCCACTGGGAAAGCAGCTGCATACCCTGCAGAGCCAAATCGAACAGCTTCCTGTACTCAGAGTCTGTCTTCTGGGACTCCTGTCGACCTGACCCCGTCACAACCTACAGAATAAAAGATTTGAAAAGAAATGAACTAATCTAAAAATTACCAATTAAAAAACACGCTGTACATGAGAGAAACAACAATTTACTTAAAAATTACAAAATCATACAACAAGAATTATGGTTTGTTTCTGAAGGCACACAAAGTCTACAATTTTTCACACCTGCTAAATAATTTTCCATAGTACAGTAAAAGGTCTACAGACTTAAACATGCAATACTCAGGGAACACAGCAGGAAAGCGCTTCAATCATAAAGCATAAAGGAAAACTGCTATGAGGTATTCAGTGCCATAAATGACTGTTGAGTAGCACACTGTATGTAGTATCTTTTTTATTTATTTTTTGCACTTGTTATCTCTGTGAAATACTTTAGCCCTCCAACAGTTCAGGTTTGAAATTACCATCTGAAAGGCACAGATATGTGACCCTAGAAAATCCACTGGGGCAAGACATCTGCTGCAAATCCTGTTACATCACTGCCGGGAATTCAAATATCCCTCACATATGAGAGACTGCATCAGGACAGCACTGCACAAGCTCAGTTCAAAAGATTAACTAATAAATAAACAAAATGTTTTATTAAATATTTAAAATAAATATTTACAATTGAAAATAAGAGCTTACTGTTGACATGTTTCATTTTAGAATCTGGATATATAATGATGAAAACAATGGACTGCAATTACAATGTTCTCAAAGACAGAGATGAGACAGCACAGTAATAAGTGGTGTGTCTGTGGAGTCTAGATTTTACCTCACTGTTGCTATAGCGAGCAAGCTCTGAGATAAAGCGCATGTGATCGTCACGTATCTGAATCATCTGCTCACATATGTTGTACTGAGGGCTGCTGGAGTTTGATGCAAGTCCACCTGCGGAGGAGAAGACAGTCAACTAAACGAACATAGGAAATGAATTGGACAATAATATCAGTATTAAGAGGCCACAATCACCAAATGGGATCTTGAATGTTATCTTGTTGGGCTATGCAATTCATGGGTTTTTAGTCTTAGTTAAACTTTCTGTTCCTCAATTACTAACTATAAAGTTCAGTTGACCACACCAAAAAACATTTCTCTTTGGCTGATAATAGTTTTGAGAGTCTGTATATTCTGCAATGAGAACTACAATGAGAATTTTCTTCAGACCTTGATTTGTTCTCTTCAAAGTGAGCACTTGTCTTGATGTATCGAGACAACTCAATCTGCATGTCTCCAAAAAGGGGGACCACCTGGAGTTGCTGTGAAGATGAGCATAACAGAAATTAATTTGTGAATGGCTTCCAGGCATCTATGGCAATTTCATGAAGCCTACTGCATAAAATTGAAGAGGAAAAATATTTCTTAAAGTCTCAAAGTCTTAAGTTGGAATATAGAGTGTATGTAACAAGAATAACAAGTGACACTTTATTATTACTATTACCTAATCGCCTGCCTAATCACCCTGTAGTTGCTTTGACTTGTCCATCAATTTAATCAATTCATACATGTCTTGCTTCCAAATTGCCACACAATGCCTACAGGGAGCATGGCTGCATAATTTATTACAAGTAGGTTGTTGTATCCAGTATTTCCCTCTTGTGTTTCATTGTCTTACATCCCCTCAGTCCTCTAGACATCAGTCTTCTGCATTATATTCATTTGTATTTGAATGTATTATAGGCACAATATTTTTACTTTACTTGTGATTTTCCTTGGAAGTGCATTTGCAAGTATTTGTCAGCTTTCACTGTAGTCAGTATAAAGTCTTTTCTGTTCTAGAGAATGGGTAAACGGGTAATCATATGATGCTATTGTGGGTCAAAGAGCAAAATGTACTATGCGCTGTAACAGGAGGATAAGGCTACATGTTAAATTTATTATGTACAATTTAACATTCACAATATCTTTCTTTTAATCTATACTGATAAAATTAATTCACTTCAACAATACTCACTGACGAGTGACTGTATATAGTATGGATTGCACAATGAAGGGGAGAGATTCATACACCCAAATAACATTATTTCAGATAAATACCAGTTTGTTTATTTATTTGTGGATTATTCACTTCCAAACCACTTACCTTAAAAAACTTGTCAATCTTAGTCAGATTTATTCTCTTTTTCGCATCCAGTTTGTAGATGTTGCTGCTGTTGCCATCCATAAGGTACAAACCAAAGCCCATTACCTGGAGAAGAGGTATAATGTTATACTTTCGAACGCCCCCACACTAAAGAGGCCCTGAAACAATTTTGTGTTCCTGGAACGATTTTGACATTCATCAGAAATAAACAGAGATGCTGTACATTATCATTTATATACTAAGAACAAGGCTCAAATTAGTATCAGACAAGTATTTATCACAAAATCTGGATGTCAAAATAGGCTCAACTCAAGCTGCCATCTGTAATTAGACTGGCTGACTCAGCCATGTTGTATTTCTCACACATCATCACTAGAAGTTATCCATGATACTGCAGTCTGATATGTCCTGACAGAAGAAGACCAGAGAGCACAGGTGAGAATGACCAAAGATGAGGCCTCGTTCTGAATATGTCAAATTGCCTCTGAAGCTCCTATCACCATAAGCCCAAACCAGATGTGCATCACCATCTGCCATGATAAGGATTGTCCAAATATTGCGCCGAGTTTAAAAGGAGTTAGGAATAGAAGCCTACACGCTTCCTGACATAGCTCCTTTAGCATAGAAACCTCCTGGTTAACTTGTGATTGTGATGATAGTCTTTTGAACTGACTAATTTAGCTTTTACAAAGCTAAATAAAATCTGAATCTTTTTGTAACAATAGATAGCAGACATATTTGGTAAGTATAATAATGTAATAATATCAAGCATTGGCTGCATCAGGAGACACAGACTTATTATCAGCTGTACATTTTGGCCCTCGTGTCATTTGTGCAGTGGATATGTATGTTCTGTAACAGTAAGGCTTTTATTTTATTTTTCCATTTTATATTTAACATAATAAGATGGTGTTTTAATGAACTGAGCATAGACATGTAAAAAAACAGAGGTGTTCTTTTTAGGTCAGGTTGCACTCACTTTCAGTAACATGTGCTTCTCTCCTGGAGTCAGGTACATCTTGTTCTCATAGTAATCGACACACAGATTCACGATGTCCGCCAGCAGCTCTTCGTATCCATTAATGACTTCCAGCTGCTGCTGTAAGGACTGAGAGATGCCAAGGAGAAAGAAGAAAATAAATAAAATCTTGATTTTTATCATGTACTACAGTATTTAATTTTCTTATCTTGTCCAATATTCTACATACTCCTAAACAAAAAATGCACATTTAGTGTTCTAAAACATAACATAAGTTGGTCTCTTTTAAAAAATAAGCACAAAGGCAAAACAGTAATACCAATAAAAGTGCTATTTTAACCAAAGCTAATGCTTGCATCATTTGTATCTAGTGGCCATCATTTGTATGTCTCCATGTCAACAGTTGCCATGTGTTATAACAGATGACTTCCTGTTTGCCCGATTTATTTTAGAAAGCAGACGTAAGCTCCCGCTACTGCATCACACTTTAATCCTTACCCACAAAATTTCACCCTAAAGTACAAATATGAATCAAGTGCTGCACAAACCTGGGTAATTTTGTTGTGATTCGCCAAAAACATGGACAGGTTTTGGGACTCTTGGATTGAGGAAGGTTCCGACATTTTTCTGAGAAACTGTGCCGCTCTATACAGAAGAAATTTCAATAATTAATTAAAAAACACAACCATTTAATCATTATTAAAGAGAAATGTGAAAATGTGTTCTCTTCAAGTTACTTTAGATCATTTAGACCTGGACACAAAGAGCGAGCTTGAAGTAAAGAGCCAATAAGAAAGAACAAGCATACACATAATAGAAATGTGGTGCTGTCATGGATGTGAACACAGAAAATAGCTCCATTTCTATAGTCTATTGATTTCCACTGCACACTTCTTTGTTATACTTGGTGTCATAAATCTAAAGATAATGAGCATATAATACTACACTCAGAACTCCGTAACAGTGGAAAAAAAATGTTCTTGCAAAAGCAAATGTGTATCATTTCCACCCCTAAATTGTTCAGTCCTACTCAAGGCTGATCATAAGAAATATATAAAACAACATTGGCGCCCTCTAGTGCCAATTGTAGTACCTTTTGTAGGCAGAGTGGTCGTTCTTGACACTGCACTTCATGTTTTTGAGTTCGTCCAAAACTGCAAACATATTGATGAACTTTCCCAGAGTGAGGAGGTATGCCTCTGACACAAAGTCCTTCCGCCGCTCTGCGTGACACAGGCGCCGCACCTCTCCACAAAAACGGTCAATTGCAGTGCGCTAAGATGAACAATAAAGAATACATGTTAAAAAGGTCCAAAATGAAAATAAATAATGTTGATATTTCTTCACTCTTTATTATTTTTTTTGTGCATTACTTGGAAGTACATGAAGTTCATGAGCTTGGTGACTTCAGGTTCAAGAACCTCAACAGTCTTCTCATATATCTCCACTCTGTTTGGCTGTTCATTGCATTTTACCTATGGAAGTATAAAATATCACAAGATTGTAAAATTGTGAAAATCTTGTGTTCAACCATTGTCTGCTGCTTAATCTCCACGTAACTGTGGACAGAGTGAAGCATGACAACAGCATGAAAGCACACAATTTCAACACGGAAAGCTTGAACCCACAACTTCTCAAAATCATTCCACATGTTAATATAGGAAATGTTACCTGTGGTATTGCTCGTGAGCAGCTTCTCCAGGTGTACAGCATGACGGCATACTCCTGACCCTCCTCCAACATCTCGTTCTAATTCAAGAAAGGAAATTTATGACTGAAACATTGTAAGGCACCATTTGTTCCATTCATCAGTGGGTGGTAAGAAGACTTTCAGCCAGCCAGGTCTCAATACAAAGTGCTTTTTGATACTGTTCCTGTGTAATTCTGTTTCAGTGATTAAACACAAAGGGCCCAGTTTGCATGTTAGATTCAGTCCATAGAATTCATTTGTGTCCAGTGGGAGCCCCTCTCAGTGTCTAACAGCCTCACAATAACAAATACAGTATCGCCAGTTCAGGCCTCTTCAAGGGGCTCTACGTTCTTTTTACATCTATTCACTTAAACATTTATTTAAATTTAGAAATATATTTTCCATTGTATTTTAGTGTTTTATTATGATATTTTATGTCTGTTGAAATGTTCACTGTACATTTCAACCTTCTTGCATCCATTTATTTTTTGTTGTTTTTTTGACACCCACTTCACAATGCATTATTCATTCACTATACTTCACGCCTGTAGGCACATTTGCCCTTGGACTGAATAACACGGACATCGCTGCTAAATGAAAAATAGCCTTTGGGCTAATTCTAGGAAATGTATAAAAATGTTCATGAATGTTAATCTTCCTTGTTAAATAAAATGGTTTAAAAAGTAATAATAAATGACATGTGAATGGGAGACTGTACCATGCTGGAGTGGACTGTGGCCTGCTCAATGTACCGGGCAATTCCAGTGACAAAGGCATTTCTGTCTTCGAAGTTAGTGTTGAAGTTTGGCTGTGAACAGAGAATCATCTTGGAATCAGACAAAGTATACAGGCAGACAAATGTAAACTTTATTATTTCTGCTGAAGTGCCTGGTTGCCAAGAAACGCAATTGAGGTTATGCATATTAATTAAAACATATAAAGTCGCCAAATTTGGAACAGGGAAATGCCAGTACCTTATGAACTGCAATAAATAATAACATCCAAGAGCCAAGAAGTCAATCATAAATACTACACAAAGTAAATGACAATGCTTCAAGTCAAGAAGGTTGGGCCAAAACATTAGAAAATAACAAACAAAACTGGATAAAATGTAAATAAAATGTAATATCTTGGTAAGCCAGAATGAAGCATGTTTTTGGGAGATGGAGGCAGTAGCAAACCTGGTACATGAGGGACGCAGGCAGGGGCTCGATGCAGGGCTGCTGGTCAGGGAGGGGCAGCTCCTCCAGCAGGTCCACGTTAGACAGAGCATCCTCCAGAGTCACTGCGGTCGTCATATTGAGGCTGAGGAGAGACAATGTGCATTCATTTAAACTGCTATCAAAAAGAAAGCACATTTAATAGAAAGTAACAAGTCAAACCAAACTTAAATGTACAGACTGGTTTTGTCTTCCACAGAATTCTTGCACACTTTTTTATTGCCTTAAGTGATCTGAGAGTTCACACTTCACTGTGAGTGGGTGAGAAAAAGTAGCTGCATTTCACAATAAGAGTGTAATGACCTTTCCATACTGATTGATCGTCCAAGGGTCACAAAGTAATTTGATCATTTCATCACTTTCATCAATTTCACCACTTTCATAAATGCCTTAATTTTTTTTTATTAATGTTATCAATTTTATCGATTTTATCAATTATATAAATTTTAGTTCAATGCTTTCACACACAAACTGCATTACTTAATAAATAATTAGCATTTGTGATGTAGCAAATGTCAAGAAATGTGAATCTGGACAGAACTCACTAACTGACTTGGACATATTTTGAGCATGTACTGACTGGTAGAGAATATCTACCATGTAAAATACAGGACCCTTTAGGAAGCACACAACCAAGCATACAATGTTAACAATGATAATGCTCACTGGAAAAGTTAGAACATAATTGCTGTAAATCTTTCCACGAATTTTAAGACAATTTTGCTCTGCTGCTACTTTTGACTTTTGAACGATCAGATATTCCACTGCAATTAAAATGGAGTACATGATAATAATAATGACTCTTTCAAAGCAGGCAACACAAACACACTGGAGTAAAAGCAGCTCAGAGCAAAGATAATAAAAATAGAACAATGTAATCTATATTTTGACTAAACATTTTTAAGAAGTGACTTCTACAAGGGTACAACATAAAATGGGTAACAGAAATGGCTTCAATCACAACTGTTGATTCTGCCTAATAATATAAAAACAAGACTTGTGTAGTAATTATTCTATATTTAATTACTGCATGTAGGGAATCCCTATTACAGGAACAGAACATGATATCTTTAGATTATGTCTTTAGAGGAAAAGATAGGGGAAATGAAGCTTTAATGATTCTCAACTTGTGGGTCTAAATGTCACACAGTGCTTCAATTTAATCAACTTTAAATATGGTTTGAAGGGGCTGTTTTCATGTAATTTTTAACAACATTCTTAAAGCTCAGTCGAATCTGATGCTTGATTTCCAAACCACAATGATATATAAAACCTCCTTATACAAACATAGAGAAAATAGACAGTGAGCGACATAATTTCTGGTGACAGACACAAAACATTAGTGATTTCTTTAACGTCATCATGTGGTCTTATACTAACTTTTGTACAGATCAAGGAAAGTAAAGTTGTCTTATTCACTGTTTCAAAATTACATTTAGTATTTATTATTAAGTTTTACAATCCTACAAAATATTTACAGTAGTTCTGCTGTAATTGTTAACAGCACATCAGTTTTAACATTTTAGTTACAATTCAAACATTAAACATTTGAATTTTGGTTTGAAAATTTCTTTCAAGTGCACCTAACCTATTTGGCAATATTAGCCCCAACTTTCTATCTGAACTTTGATGCATTTCTAAAAAATTCCCTCTACTACCTTGTCTGACACCTGATGCTTGTTTCGCAGTAAAAATGAATTAAACACAAAATCTTGTTAATAGCAATTTGACATCTTTCACCTCTATGTAGCTATCACCATCTTCCATCAAAATAACATTTGTGATGTAAAAATAAGCGGTCTGTTGTGAAATCTGTTTGCTGAAAGAAAAAGGAAGTCACCCGAGGCAAGACACTTAAAAGTTTCAGATAACTATCATCAATTTTAATTTGACATTTCGTTCACATCGCAAGTAACGCGTCGGTGAGCAAATAAAAACAGGCACCAAAAGAGGGAAGTTTGATGTGATACAACTGTAGTACTAAGGTATTACTCCTCCTACAACTTTGAATTTAACACTCAAGAAAGAGAAAGAAAGTGGTTTTGAATGGGTGCTTTAGCCATGAAAGTCTGACAAGTGTAATGGGAACAAAGTGGACATTATGAGGCGTCAAACAAAAGGGTCTCACTCTGTAGAGCTTTTGTTAAGTTTCTTTTATGAAGATGAAAACAGGAACCCTATGGCTAAAGCTCAGTGCTCATTTCCCTCTTAAGGCATTGCTTCGTCTGCAGTCGTCTGACCCGATAGAGTCGTACAGGAGACTAATTGGGGAAGCACTTTAATCTTAATTCAGAATGTCGGCTGCTCGGCGCTACATTGGCACAGCATGTGTTTGTTAAGGTTATAAGAAGATTAGCAATAAGGTAGCCAGGGTGTGCCAAGACAAATGCCATCACATGATAACACCGCAACATCTAGTTCTAAAGTTGAATAAATATCATATAGACCAAGAAGTGGAGAACTGTATGACTATGGAAAACTATAGATTTAACATTACACAAAGGGTTAAAAATAAGAATGACATGCATTTCAGAGCATGTAGGAGGCAAAATCACAAGGCTGGCAGATTTGAATAACTGGACATTACCGGAATAATTGCATATGACGACCTCTGCCAATGCACAAGACTCACAAATATAAAAATCCAGAGCCCAGACATGAATTCGAAGATGTTAAAAGAGATGTTAAACTTCTCTATGCAATGGGCCACAAATCCTGCACATGCCACAATGGCTGAGTCATTTTATACATCATTTATTCTTTGAGTAAATTAGTAAAGGGCCTATACTACACTATTTTCTGATCTATGTTATAATGTTGTTTCCTCAACAAAAAAACATACCTCCTGGAGTTGTGTTTTGTTTCATGTTCACATATTTAAACACATAAAACCTACAAAATTCAGCTGAGTTCTTCTCTCAAACAGAAAACACTCTGTTCCACCTTGTGATGTCATGTAGTAATACAAAAAGTGCTCCACTGTGTTTTTAAACTCCACAGAGATTTCAGCCCTGGAATTGCCAATCTCTACTGAAGTAAAGGTAAAAGGAGCTGTTAACTTGAAAACTAGCACTACGTGACATCACAAGGTGGAACAGAGCATTTTGAGCTGTGAAGATGTAGACAGGATTACTCAATTACTCAAGCATGTGTGAATGAAACAAAACACAACTCTATGTTTTTCATGAGGTAACAACATTATAAAATGTCTTAAAACATATAAATTCTCAAATTGTTTAAAGTTCATTATAAAGCCCCTGAGTCTTAGCAGCAGCACACATCAAAACTTTAAAATTGAAGTAAAAGCACGTTCTATGCCATGTTATTTCACACCTACATGCACAAAACTTAACAAGTGCATATGCACCAACCATCTTTGCGTCAATCTTTGCTCTTTGATTTCCTGAAACTGTTAATGAGGCAGTAGGCAAGGTGTGAAATTACACTTACAATAAAATACTTACAACATGACAAATGTAGGCCGGTATTTATTCTTTACAGTAAGATTTTTCTCACATTTTTTATAACAACCTGCTCATATCTGCTTGAAATCAGACAGTAGAAGGTCAATTCTACTGTATCTAAACAAACCCACTGCTTAGTTTCAGTGGTTTACCCTCTTTCTAAATCAAGCATGTCATTCATCCAGTATTCTTCAAAGGAGAGAGAAACCGCAACAAAACTACAGAACTGAGCATGCCATTATTTACATGACAAAACAAACAATACAACACCATTTTAGTAAGGTAAGGTAAGGTAATTGCTTATGTCTTCCTCTTAATATAGTTGGGGTCAACTTTCCAGCTTCCTGTCTAAACCTTTCAGGAACCTACTAGAACCTGATTACACAGGCACGCAGATAGACAATCTACTGTCCTATTTATCATTTTAATTTTAAATATGGTCTTCTTAGACTTTAGGCTCATATCGGGAATTTATTTTTTCTATGAAATGTCATTACAGCCCATGCAAAGGAACAGGGTATGGGGTGTAGTCAATTTTATAAACATAACTTAAAACCACAAAAGACTTCTGATTGAGGACACAGAAAAAGAAATACAGCAGATTTGAGATTTTTTGCTAAATTAAATTGCTTTTAGTTCAATATATGATACAAAATTAAGCTCAAGTTTAGTTCAGGGCTGCATAATGTAGTTGACAGTTGCACTGCAATCACACCTGGTCAACACCTGGTCAAAATAAACCCCAATTCCACGCGATATTAATGAAAATATGAAGGTTTTGAGTAAGATATAGGTGATACTCGGATGAAATGGCTGTGTTGTGTCTTCTTGGTGTGACTTGTGGCCGGGGCATGGCTGTTGCTCCACGGCCTGAGATTAGTCACCGCTCAGGCCTGCGTGCGCGAGCCTGGAAAAGGCTTTGCAGCTCGCGGCTCCATTCTAGCTAATTATCTTCTTTTACCTTTGAACATAGACTCAATGTAATAACTCCAGTCTATATGTGGTCGTGTTAAGAAGTGTGCAGCCGCATCAACTTTGTTTTGGTCTTTGTCCTGAGTTGTTAGCTTGGGATACAGTTGAAAGTAACTGAATCTCTTACCCGGAGTTGTGGTTGCTTCGCTGGGAAAAAGTTGAGCGATAGTAGCCGGAGTTACAGCGCCATGAAGCCGGGTTGTTGATCACACTACACGGCAAGCAAAAAAAAAAGTCCTTCAATTAGGACTTTTTTGTACTTTTAGTCGTCGGCCAAAGGAATCTCCTCTTCTCCTCGGTTGGTGTTATTATCATGGGCGGGGGAGAAGAGCCGAGCAGGGAGTTCCTGTCCCTCAAACAGGGAAACGCGACAGGAAACTCGGTCGAGCTGCTGTACCGCGGGCCGCCGCTAGGCCTCTGGAGCAGCGGGATCAAGGTGAGAAAGGAATGTGCCCCGGAACCCAACCTGCCCCCGGGTCACAGGGGGCTTAGAGGTGAAGCCCTTTAGACTTTTATTACTGAATACAAAAGATAATAACTCGAGGGATTTCCATAATAGCCTACAACTACTTTTCCAGCTTCAAAGCAAAACATCTAATTGGGTTATTCAGTTAATTTTACCATGAATTTTAACATGATTTCGCCCAATGCAATTGCATGTGAAGTAAGTTTTTATTTATATAGCGCTTTTCATAAACCATATGTCACAGACACTTTACAGAGCATTATTCATTTACTCCATACTCGGTGATGGTAAGCTACTACTGTAGCCACAGCTGCCCTGGGGCAGACTGATGGAAGTGAGGCTGACAATCTGCACCACCGGCCTCTCCCACCACCACCACCCTCACTCAAACACACACCACTTTCATACAAGGCAATGTGTGTGAAGTGTCTTGCCTAAGGACACAACAACCGTTTTTGTGACTGGCGTCCCACTGTGGCACCTGATATTTCCAGTGGTCTCCCATCCAAGTACTAACCAGGCCCGACCTTGTTTAGCTTCTGAGATATGACGGGATCAGGCTTTGACAAGCCTACCGGCTGGGTGGAATCAATTTTTCTGTAAAATAATGTTAACAGGAGAGTACGCAAACTATTGCTACTTACTACTAATTAATTAATTTAATGTTAATACTTTCAAATAAAAGGCTAGATATCTTAGTAATAAATAAAAATAAAAAAAAACATACTGTACATAAACCATTGTGCAACATTTATTATGCTTCATATTTACATTTATAAACAATCATGCCATAAGCCACTTGTACTCCACATGCACTACAGGAATGCATCCAATCTAAAACCAAATCCAAGTTATCAGATGATGCGCTGGGATGACTTTATGGAAAATATATACATCTATTTAACATTTTACATGTTTACACCTTAGTTTGACATGTGGCCTGCTACTCTCATAGTCAGACCTGAAATTCTAAGCAAATGGCAAGTACAATGAACTGTCTTGCTCAACAGCAGTATGCCACATTGAAAAATGACTGAACCACCAACCTCGTCAGTAGCCACTGTGTCTTAGAAGCCTGCAATCTGTTCAGACACATATGTAGCTGTGCGGCTGTACAAGGCCGTGACTTAATGCCAGATGAGCTTTTCATATGCAAACAATGACTTCATGTTACATCATGGACAATCACAGCTGCACAAGGAGAAACAGGACACTGTACTCCACTCAGTGATCAGCATTGCTCAAATCCAGCCATCAGAGACAGGGCCAAGGACTCCACTGTTCAAGAGGGAAGAAGCAATCAGCCAGAAGTCAACAAGAACAAGAAGAAGAGGCACTTAAAACACAGTCATGGTAAACACAATATGATCACCAGCTAGAACTGTGAAAATGACCACATTGCAAATAATATTACTTAAAAGACATAACAAGAAAAAAGATAATTTACTTGTTCATTTATACATTATTAACATGTACCATCTATGTGCATCTCGTTACATCATTACAACAAATTTTGAAATGTGATATATTGTCACAGAACATATCACGATTTAACGATAATATTGAAACGTTTGTGCTGCTGAGTTACAATAAAGAAACTGTAGTAGTTAGTTCAAATGCTAGTTATTCATCCCTCTACATCTCAAATGTTAATGGACAACACAAGATTTTGAAAAGGTTTTCTGTTAATGCAACAAAATGGTACAATATACAACACAATAAATGTTGATATTTACCACAAATTATTATTTGTTTTAAGTGGTCATAATATTATGGTTTATCTATGTAAAGTAACTGTAGAAAGAGCAATGCTTTACTCACAATGAGGGAAAGATCCACGGCACACAGCTTTGTTCAGGATTGTCACCAAGAACATGTGACAGTTTTTGAAGTCAGACTCCATCTTGTCTATGGACTCAATCCTATAATATAAATTGCATATTTATACATAGTAAACACACTATAATAAAACTGAGAAAATATTCCAGAAAAACACAAGAGGCCTTACTTCCAGGCCCCAAACCCAGCTTGCCATCGGTCAGAAAAGATGAGAACAAGATTAAGGACCTTCATTATAGCTTCTTTGACAAAACTGACCTAGAAAGAAACACTGCAACTTTAGCTAACTAGCTGTGAATATACCAAAATCTTACAGTTACATTATACATTATATATCATTACATATCATGATATAAATTATATAATCATGATTTTTTTTTTAAGTAAATACATAATTTTACTTTTTAAGAAAATACATAATTCTAACACTTTACCTTCTCTCTGAGGAGACATCGGTCATGAATTGTTGCTAAATATTTATAATGGATTTTAATGAGCTGGTCCAAGTCTTTTGCTTCTTGAACTTGATGTTGAAACTCTAACCCAGTGCTGTGTAGAATCTGGTATATCAAAAAAAAACCTTAGCATTTGTCATTAATACCCAATGCTTAGTCATAAAGTGTACTAGTTTGTTACCCTGGTCATAATGTAGTTGTGGAGGCTGTTGACAAAGTGCATGAGTTTGACTCGGAGCAGACACATTCGATGGATCTGCTGATTTACGGGTTCTTTGGGCTTTATCTCCTCAGATACGGCTCCCTCCACCTTTTTAACAACTTCAGTGAAATCTGGAAATAGCAATGCAAAATGTAGAAGGTTTTTAATATAGACAATTTCACAAAAATGTAAATCTGAAAGATATTGAAAGCCTTACCACTAAATCGGAGTGTGTCTAAACTGTACTTGGCCCATTTGATTTGCAGCAGTAGCAGAAATACTTGATTATAGATCTTCTGACACTCTGAGCTGATCACAATGTCAACAGGCCATGGCACCTACACCCAAAACCAGGTCATGTTTATAAATAAGGTTCTAAACAGGTTTTCAACCATTTTAGTAGTGTTAAATAAAAACACACATAAAAGAACAAATACAATCATACAGTATCTCTTTAATTACATGTAGTATTTCAAACATGAAATTAAAAGCACTTACTTTGTAGCTTAATGTAAGAACTTCTAGATTGTTCACAGGGTGCTTCTTCCTGGCAGGATCAATAGGCTCCAAAAATACTGACAGCCTATAATATAATATAATTTTTAAAAGTTCAATAAAAAATAAAAAAAATTAAAAGTTCAATATTCACATAATAAAAGTATAGATATATTATAAAAGTACAGTCCAGTTTCGTATGAAATGCAGTACCTGCTGCTGTCCTCAGGGTAGCGCTGTCCTACTGCTTCTTGCAGTTGCACATTGAGGAAAGAGGGCTGCTGCCAGCTCTCCTTTTCCTGCACTTTGTCAAATATTGCAGTATAGAAATCATACATTGTGTCTCCTGCCTCCAGAAGGAAGTAGTTTCTCATGGCCTGGAGGTACTCCAGCAGTCTATAGTCATCAGCATAAAGGAATGCAAGCAAATGCTTTGAATAATACAGAGCCACACTGTGACTAAATGATGTGATGAAAGACAGACAGACCTGTAGTCTTTCTTCAAGGTCTTCATGAGATTCCCACAGCACTCAATATACCTCCTCTGGATGTGTGGATACAGACAGGAGCGCAGCGTCAGCTCAAACGTCTGACAAGTGACAGACTGAGATGAACGGTCTACATTAAAATCCCCTCCAGAGAATCGCTCATGAAAGTCACTCTGCTCCAGGTACAGCCTGAGTCAAAACCACAAATTTTGGGAAATCACAGTGATTCACTGAAGACTAAATGAACAAATGAGAGATGAGAGTAAAGACTGGCATTAATATTATACTATTATTTCATGTATTTATAAAATTGCATGCAAGCCTTGATTTGTAGCTAAATACATGTTAAGGGTATGCAATTGTAATATCCTTTTTTTTTTTACTTCGCTCTTTGTATACTAGAGTTCACTATACAATACAATTGCTGTCAATACTGCTGACCATAATGTAAGGGGGTAAAGTTTTCTTCTTCTAATATTCAGATCGAGGTGTAGTAAATGCTGTGATTAGTTTGAACCTGGCAAAGTTGATGGCGAGTAGTGGATCATGAACATCGTCTATCTCCAGATGTTGAGCTACAATGGACTGCATTTTGACCAGGCTTCTGTTGGTGGCCTGCTGCTCGTTCACTGTGTCCGTGGGGGTTTGCTCCTGGCTGCAGAGGCGAGACTGCACTGACTCCAAAAATAGAGTGTATAAGCTTTTCCTCTCTGCATCTGTATTGTAAAATATATACAGGTTTTCAGTATTTAACACACATGGAGTCTACGGGGGTCATTATATGCTTTAAATTAGTGTTGAATTTTGACTGAGTAAGGCTGACCTCTGGATGACCTCTCTGACTGCTCCCAGTCCTTGCCGTCCAGGTTCTTTAGCAGCTGCATGGATTTCCCAGCCATAATGATCTGCTTCAGAACTGGTTTGAGGAAGGACACCATGGTGAGGTGCCTGTTGCCAGGGCCCTGTTCACCTCCAGAGCTGCCACTGGCTGAGTCGTTCTGCTTCTCCTCGCTCTCCACGGTCTCAGAGACGCTGTATAAAGTGTAGGTAGCATACCAGAAATCCCTGTGGTTCACTGGTACGTCCTTGTGATATACAAAATATATCTATTTATTATTATTTATTATTTTAGGGTAGGCTTATAGTTTATTGAATACATATTATATACTTAGTTTTAGACATTTTAAAATTAAATAGACAATTAAACCATAGTATGTAAACACTGAAGCTGTGGGACTGTAATGCATTAGATTTATATAGCACTTTTCAAGACACCCAGAGCTCTTAAATCAAACAATTTATTGGAGTTTAAATATCACCTAAGGCCTAATAACTGCCTAAGTAATTTTTTGGACAAATTGAGCTTTCTGTCTAATTCTACTCTCCAGTTCCTGTTGCTCTGGCTCTGTCTGATCAGAAAATCTTTTGCAAAACCGTTGAAAATGACTTGGGCAAATATGCAATGAGGCTAACAAATAACTTTTTTTTTTTTTACCTCTGAATTATGAATTCTTTGGCTGGGTCAAACAGGTGTCCATGCACTATCCATTCATCTACTATCTCCAAATATGGTCGAACAGTCTCTGTCCATAGCGAGAAGAGCAGAGCTACCTACAAGCAGACAATGAAACAGGAAGTATAAGACTCTTTGTCATTTCCAGATTCGCCACAAGTAACGACAAACTCACCGCTTGTTCTGATGCTTCCCCAACGCTGTCATACTCAAGAATGGCTTTGTACAATGTGTTGAGCAGATGGGACGCCCTGACCACATTAGGGGTGTGAGGGGGCACCTCTGCCACACCTGTACAGAATACTTTATGCAATACTTTTATCTGGACCAAGTGAGGGCTGATGCGCTCCAAAACACCAGAGAGGGTGATTGTTTCATCTACAAAAGAAGACAAAGCAATCAGATATTTATGAAGTTTGACTGTAAAGAAAGATCCAGTTCCATTTGTCTCTTTCTTTCTCTTCACTTAGATTCTTTTTTTTAGTTGTGGTCTATTAAAATGGTACCCTGTAAATTCTTCTTTATATTTGTTGTTTCTTATGCAAAAAAAAAAAAAGTGTAGCTAAAGTTTACAGATTTAGATTCTCAAAAAGAGATTATTTATTCCCAAGGACAATTCATTTGCAGCCCCAGTGCAAGAAATGTGGTTGTTTTGAAGCTAAACTAACTTCCCTATTTCACTGGGTGCCACTCCTATAGAAGTAACTTGGTTTGATTTTTTAATGGCATACCCAACTAAAAAGCACAAATTAAAAGCTTCTGTTACTCACCATTACATACAATTTCTTTCTCTATGGTAGTGAGCTCCTCCTTGAAGATGGTAAAGTATTTATTGAGAGCCCACACAAAGGCCTGGTACGTTCTGAATGGAGGCTCGGATCCCTTTTTGGAGGTAGTTCCTGGGGGTCCTGGATCAGTGCTGTATCCTGTCACCTCATCTATAAACTTCTGCAGTCTGGACACTGCTTGACCATAGACAGCAATGTGTTCCAGTATAGACCGCAAGCAATTCTGTGCAACAAAGGAAAACCAAAGTAGTTACAAAATCAAAGCATGTACATTATACAAAAATAAATCATAAACAGATGTGTATATAAGTCTAGCAACAAGAGCATTGAGATGGGTCCCCGAGCATGGCACTGCAGCGCCCACTGCTCCTGAGAAGATGCCCCCAGTGGCATTAAAGGATGGGTCAAATGTAGAGGGCAAATTTCCCTAATGGGACAATAAATGAACCTTAACCTTACTTTAGATACTGTGATCAACAAAACTCTGAATTGAAGCATAAATCTTGTCAGATGTCAATGCCTATATCTCAAAATGTTACAAAACTGTAAAGTGCCTGAATCACCACTGATACTCCTTTCACACCTTGTGCTCTGTAGTGATACTTTAATACAAAAAAAATAAGGCAACATTTTCAAAGCATAAAAATGTAAATGCACTTACACTGGTCAGGTGAGTTACCACTACATTATTGCGAACAGTTACTTTTCCATCGTGGGTTTGAAAAATGAACTGCTTCTTGACTCCAGATAACAGCCTGCAATAAAATAACCAGAACTAATGTAATTAATATGACCCCTCAGTAGTTTGCTAACAAACCATTTAATTTTAAACAAAGAGGCCATAGAAAACACACAAAGATGAAAACATTATACTATTTACAAGGTAATGATGCAAGAGTAATCGATAAATCCCTTTGTCAGATTTAACAATAAACTCATTGAAAAACAATTGCATGATTATGTCATACCATAATGTCTCCCGAATTACTTGAGTTTCAGTGACAAAGGCCTTTTCTTCTGGGATATACAAAGGGTCAGTGTTGTACAAGTGCTGGTCCCTACAAAAAAGGGGAATATTCATATAATATATTTTTATCACATTTTAACCTTCTATGACCTGCAAATGGTTGGTTTCTCAAACATAAAAATTATAAAATCCTTGTCTTACCAAAAATTTAGTAGGTTGGAGTGTAGGTGCAGGCTGTGTGGAAAGCGGGAACCGTTTGGCACCCAATACGGCGTCACAATGTGCTGCTCCAGCCATATCCGAGCATCAGGTTCTCCCACTGTAATAGCACAGGTGATGATCACTGTTTAAACCAAGCGAGCTTTAAATGCCATTCCTCAAGTTGTACCTGTCCATGTAACTGGTACTGGCTTATCGTTTGCATTGTCTTGATCTTCTTGAGGCGTTCTGTCCAGTTGTATCCCAGAATCCTCTCTGCTGATTACCTGTTGGCTCTCATCCTCTTCACTTTCCTCCTCAGACCATTCCTGGAAACACTTAACATTTAGCACACCCGGAAAATATTCATCATGTTTCATTATGTTAATGCTCTACTCACTGGGGTGTCCGGATAAGGGCCAGTGTCTATGTCTTCACCCTCCATCAGGTATTTACCCCAGTCAAAGTTGTCCTTTTGTTCTGTAATTTTCACAATAATATAATTTATTAACTTGGAGCATATAAGCATTTTTAATATTTCAACTAACTGCAAGTCAAATATTTGCTCACCTGCTTCTTTTAGCCTAGGTCTCTCAGTAAAGTTGGTGTTTGAAGGCGACCCAGACAGGAAGAGCAGCAGAGACAGAATACTAAAATGTACATCTGTCTGTACAAAAAAAATAACGTTATGCATTATGCTTGCTAGGACAATACTGATGCACAATGCAAAATTATAAACACATACCTTGGTTTCATCTGTATTGGGTAATGGAGAATTTAGGAACTCCTCTGTCAGTTTCATCCAACTTTGCGCTTTACTCACATCTGAGTGAACCATGAGCTTTTCATGGATGCTACAAATAAATAAAAAGGGGGTCTAAGCAAGAACCCAATATGTATATATGCAGACTTGTACAGCGCATGAAATATTACTAACTGTGCTATAATAGCAATGCCTCAATACAATACAGATTTAAAGAAGCTATAATATATTAATATTTACAAATATGTTTACCCATTAATGCTACGCTGCACTTTGTGGCTATCCACGTCCAGAAAGCGATGGAACCTGTCAAAACATTGTTGTTATTATTATTATTAGCATGTTATTGCTCTGGTACTTTTAGCAGCTAACTTGCTAGCAACAAGCTTGCGTCAAAAAAATATGAACTTACTTGAAATTGGACCATGCAAATTTAAGTGCAAGTTGAAAATTCTGGTCTTCCTCATTTTCTATCCCAGTCATGTGCGAAATCAGCTTTTTGGTTTCCTTCTCTGTCTCTTTCTCAAACGTGCTCCAGTGTGCCATAGTGATGCTGTTGATGGAGGCTACCGCTACTACTGAGGACTTTACGTTTAGCTACATTTGATTACGTTGTTGTCAGTCATCATTTAGCGTAAGAGTGTACGGGGATATCAGAATCTGGAAGAAAAAAATTATCACTTAAAAACCACTACATCTCGATATCTTCATGTTTTTGCATTGCCGCGCTACATGTACAAGACAACAACAGTGCGCATGCGTGTTTGTACAGAGATGGTTTTGTGGAGGAGATCACAAACTACAAATCTTAAAGTAGCTTATGATAAAAACCTGAGGATGCAAAAATACGAATACAATTAACACAGTTCATGGTCTCGATATATTTATTTTAACCGATAAGTTAGTTTTGCCCGAGAGTGAGAGAGCTTGGCGCGATATTTATGCATGTTACGTGCCACCACGCTGCCACTTAGGGTGGCAATTTCGGACATCCTGTGTGGCCTACTCAAAATAAAGCCCTTTGCATTTAACCACTGTAGAACGGGCCTTATTGTGAAAAGATGGACAAATCCACAGACTCAAACTGCGCAGACAACAGGCTGTCCAGTCCAATCTTAATTTTTCTTTGGTTCCTGGATTTGAGTATGGTACTTTGCAAATTTAGGCCTTATCAACTTACACAATATATTGTATAAATTACTTATAATATTTGCAAAAATGTATCAGAATACAGGAACTGAGGCGTCTTGTTCAAAAGGGAACTAGATAAGTAATAAAATAATATAGCCTATATTTTCCCATAATTTTCACGCTTCGTCCCACTTAAACAAGAGGCACTGCCCTACATTTGGTTGGTTTCCATCTGTCACCGTAAGCAAAGCCAGCTTGCTTTCCTCTAAGGTCCCTCCTTGATTAAAAAAAACAAAATAAACTTTCCGTGAAATGTCTACAAAAGCTACGCCTAAAAAAAATCATTATTGGACCACTTTCCATAATTATACCCAAATCCCCTCAGTGTTTATCAAGACTTAGAAGAAACAGCGAGGATTTTGCACTGGGGCGTGGTCTGTTCCCCTCACCCCCCCTTCTCACCCCCCTCCTCCCACGCCACACGCACGGAGCGGAGCCCTCTGCCTCGAGCATAACTTTGGAGAGCCTCTAACACAGCGGACCGTTGCCTCCGGAGAAGCAGCCACAGCCTTGGCCCCTCACGGCGAGAGGAGATGAAGAGGAGGGTGCACAAGAAATATTTGATACTGATTCTCGCGTACTCGGGTTTACTTCTGCTTGTGCCGTACGTGCTCGACTACCGGGACAAATCTGTTGAACACGGCAGACACGGACTGCCGCAGCAACAGTCGAGATGCCCGGATTTGGCGAACACTGTGGCGATGCTGTGGGATAATAACGGAGTGAACGGGAGCGACGCATCATCCACGGAGCCCTCGGGGAACCGGAGCCAGTCTCGTATACACATCTACCTCCATGCCACCTGGAGAACTGGTTCGTCTTTTCTGGGGGAGCTTTTCAACCAGCACCCCGATGTTTTCTACCTGTACGAGCCAATGTGGCACATCTGGCAAGCTTTGTACCCAGGGGACGCGGGGAGCCTTCAGGGCGCAGTAAGGGACATGTTGAACGCTTTGTATCGTTGCGATTTCTCCGTGCTGAAACTTTATGCAGGGACCCAAAACATAAGCACATCTTTTATATTTGGGTGGAAAATGAACAAAGTGATCTGCTCAGAGCCGCTCTGTGACGCACACAAGAGGCACGAGGTTGGGTTGGTGAGACAAGATCTGTGCGCAAAGTGCCAAAAGAAGGACATTCGGGAGCTGGAGAAGGAGTGCAAGAAGTACCCGGTGATGGTTATCAAAGGCGTGCGCGTCCTGGACCTTAGCACCCTGGTGCCTTTGGTAAAAGACCCCGCGATAAATCTCCAGATCGTGCAGCTCTTCAGGGATCCACGAGCCGTCCACAACTCCCGGCTCAAGTCCAAGCAGGCCCTGGTGAAAGAGAGCATCCAGGTGGACCTTTATTCTGTTTTGGGTGGCCTGAAATGGGATTAAAAAATACAGAGAGATGGAATCCTGTTATTCTGTTTTGACCATATAAAACATTGAAAATGTTTAGAGGTTTGTCTAAAGTGCCTCAGTGCAAGAAAATATTAGCATTAATTGTTGAAGGAATGTGAAGATGGGCACATTGCATGACAATAGGGAGTGAATGCTAAAGTTGAGGGGGGTTACACCTATAGTCTATAGGCTACAACTGGTTTACGACTGTTAAAGACACTTGCAAATTTTACCCCATGTGCCTTCATGACATTCAGTGACCCTGTCCTCTTCCACTGTACAAGGTGTAGTGTTTCAAGTATCAGTTATTCTATATAAATCCTTCCTGGACATACAAGAAGAACATAATGGTGATTTCAAATTTTTATATACCCACCACTCCTAAAGTGAGCAGGCTCAACTCAAAAGTCTTGATTTAGTTTATTGAATTGTTATTTCTTACTTGGTGGAGCATAGAGGTTTGAGTAAAGACAACTAATTCATGACAACTATCTGTCTATAATATAATAAGATAAAGCATACATCCTCTCAGATTTCTCAGAAGTTTATTATATGTGAATAATTATCTTAGTCGCAGTACATGACATGAATAATTACCATAATAAGCATAAATGTGGAAATATATTAAACTGCAATTGAATTTATTGTCTTGTTTTTGTAATTGATAAGAAATGTGATACAACTACATTATTGTTGAACTTCTTATTTTACAGGTGCTGAGGAGTAAGAAGCAAAATGACAAGTACAAGCGTCTTCTGGTACCAAACAGGGTAAATCGTGCAGAAAGCTACGTGTCCAGCGCTATGGAGCTCATATGCGATAACTGGCTCAATGACATGTTCCTGGTCACGAACTCTCCTCAGTGGCTTAAGCGGAACTACATTAAAATCCGCTACGAAGACCTGGTCATGTACCCGATGGAAGAGCTTCAAAGATTGTATCGTTTCTCCAACCTGTCCACCAATGCAGCTCTAGATAAGTTTGCTCTGAATATGACACATGGACAGGGGTATTCCTCAGACAGGCCGTTCTTGATTTCTTCGAGGGACGCAAAAGAGGCCATTTTTGCATGGAGAGAGAGGCTGAACACTGAGCAGATCAGTCAGGTGGAGGCATTCTGTAGTGAAGTGATGAGGCACCTAGGCTATCAAAAGCACAGCACGGACAAGAAGACGTGAGCTGTCATCAGGTATGAATACGTTTTTCTTCTTCCTACTCCTTTTCGAGAAATGTGCTTTTCTGTTGTTTACAGTGTATATGTAGTATACATGATTATTGTTTCTCTCTTGGCACAGACTCAAAATAAAAATGAATGAATGAATATATCATTGTTTAATTTTAATCATTTGTATTTTGGAGTAGCTCTGGTATGGTCTATATTTATCAACAGAGCAATCAGAAAGTAGGGAAAAAAATAGTTTGTCTTAAAAAGTGGACTCCTAAATCTACTGAATGATTGTAATTACTTTTTATTTTAAGAAATTAAGAAAATATGAAGTTCCGTTTTGAAAGTTCTTGTATCAGCAGGATGTTTGTGGTTACACCATGTGTCTTGGTTTTGTGCTGCTCTGAGCTTGATCTACTGACCTTTGCCTCTTGACCTGGATCATTTTAAATATACAAGCGCCATCTGCAAAGCATTACACTCAACATCAGTTCACATACCAGACTATGTGTAATTTTGACTCCTAAAATATCTACGAAGGAAAGAAACTTACTTTTACAGTGTGCAAAAACATACCAGCCCCATGTACTTCTTCAGCATCTGGAGCCTGCATTGCACACTGGAATTTGCTCATGGTATGGTAGCCCTTCAGGGACAAGCTGCTGTTACCATATAAGTTAACAACGAGTAACCAAGAGTTAATCCTAGAATATGTCACAAATTTTATCTGGCCATAGTTATGCAGTTGTTCGTGAAATGTTTGCAGTATACAGATATTGAATTATTTCTTATTTTATGTCAGCATGCTGTCCCCTGGAGCTAAAAAATTTATTGCTTTTATATCGTTCAGGACAGGTTAAAAAAATTCAACTTTTGACATGCATGACTATGGATGAGACCTTATTTTGTAGTGCTTTATGTTTCTTTCAGGCTTTTTGGTACAAATGCAAAACCTTTTTTTTTTTTTATAAATATTTAAGTTATTATCATTATCTAGAACAACAAACAGATTCATGTTCATGAATTCAATACAATAAGGACCTACCAGGCTTTAAAACAATTTTCCTCACATATTTATCCACATTTATCTTTTTTTTTTTTTTTTCTGTGTACTTTTTCCGCCACCAACCTGGTACCTTTCTACAGTATCCAACCCTGCTTTGTAGTTACTGTTAGGCAACATTGCTTTGCAGTGTTAAAACCTTGTGTTTTTAAGTGTAATACTGAACTAAACCAGGGAATCAATCAGGCATTATTGAAAATACTACAGCTTTTTTCTGTTTTGGATAATGGTAACATTTATACATTTTTGTGCAGTCATGAGGGTTGGAGAGAAATCAGAAGTCAAGAATATCTGTCCTCTGTAAAGCCTGAGTGATCTGAACTTTAATAGAGGGTGCATTGTGCTCCTCTTGGACGACTGAGAAGGGGGTCGTTGTCAACAGCAGTCCGTGATGGGATAAACCCGGCAGCCTGACACCACCAGCAGTGCCTGGAGGGGCCGGGGCAGCAAGACACAAAATAATTTTTCATTTTGTTTTATATAAGGCAGTTTACTCACATCTTAGGGTTGTCAAAAAAAATCAAGAGGGAATAAATAGTAGTATACAGAATATTAATTGCAACTATATGAGTTAAAATAAAACTGGAATTAATAGGTATTATTGAGTAATACAGTAACAGTTTAGTGGGAGGGGGATGTTTTATAGACTAATCACTAATTACATCTTACAGCTTCTTTTGTAATTAAATGAAGTTTTATTTAATAGTTGACCTTATATTGACAATATTTTTAAGTAGATTATTTATCATGTGATGTTTGTGTTTCACCTACCGCTGATACAAATCATCCAATCTAATAGTCCTGTCTCATTTATGTTTGATTGTTAATCCAGTTCATTGTCTCTGTTGTCTATATGTTTGATTTAGCCTTATTGCTCAGAGCTTTACTGTAATGCTCTGATGCTCTCCTTTTATCCATATATTGTACATTATTATTAATACCATTATCTTTCTCTCTTCTTGACAGGGGCACACCACTACAAAAGGCATGGACACAAGTTCATTTCTTCAGTGTTAAACTTTATTGGACAATAATGTGGCTGGTATAACAGTGGATATAGGGTTTGCTTTGTGCCACTGCTTTGGTCCTGCCTCTGTCCTTCTGTCCTTTTAGTAGCACTAATCCCTTTTTAAATCCGTGTGGTTGAGTCCAGGAAAAACCTGGTATGGATTTTCCAGAAAACAACCCGGACAACTTATCCGTCCAAAATGGAGCAACTGTGGTACTAGGACTGAATTCACTTATTACATTACATTACAATATGTACTTTTTAATATGGAAATAGCAAATCTACAAACTCCTATTGTGAAGTGATTATAGTGACTACATTGGTGGCTTTTACATCAGATGCCCTTCCTAAGGTAACCAGTTTATTTAGGCTTGGGACTGAAGCCTGTTGCAGATGATGCTCAGTGGCTGGATTAAACTATTACAACTCTCTTAAAATTGGTCCCATTCCTCCTACCACAGTTCATCTGCCTCCTAATGTGCAGTGCTTTGCATAGCATTTTAATGCTAGAGGAGTGCCAAGTGTCCCTCAGTAGTCAAAGTTTCTCCAAACATAGTCAATTAAGGATAACAAACTATTATCTTTGCTTCTTCAGCTATTATGTGCATGTAAAAGTATTCAGTAAATGCTAAATCAAAGTTAAAAGTTACATAAAATAGTCTCAGCAGAAATCGATGGGAAAACTGCGCAGTTTATCCAGGTTTGGGACCAGTTCTATAAGTACAATAGCTCAGTTACAGTTACAGTACAGTGTTTGAACAAAGTACAAGAGTCTCTTTGGAGGAACTGCATTGTTTGGAAGCACACCACCGGCCTCTGAGGAATCCAGACAGCTGCGGCACCCCGCTGACAGAACCCTCACGTGGGTGTGAAGTGTCCAACAAAAAGCTGCTCCTGTCCTCCAAGACTTTATAGACTGTGAAACTTTTTTTTTTTTATTATTAACGTCATGTAATATGTTTTTTTTTTTAATTATTTAATGATATGCTGTGAATGTGAATCCCTCCGGTGTATGAAGTGTTGTGGAGGGGTCTCCCAGCATCAATGCATTCAACTTTAGAAGTTGGCTCAGTAATGGTTTGGAAACCCAATGTGGGTCTCATGTAAAAAAAAAAAGAAAAAAAAAAAGAAATAACTTTTAGACTATTTAAACTGACTTTAATAAATGAGTTGGAAACAAACTGCAGTGTATTTTTCTTATCATTGATGTTTGCACAGTAAAAGCCACATTTAATTGAATACACCAAGACCAAATCCCTTTAGAAATTGTGTGTATAGTGGTCCATGGCATAAATGAGAAAAGAAAAACATATATTTATTCAACTTAAGACTCTATTTGTTCTTCAGTAACTGGTTTGTGACTCCCTGCAACTGTGGGCATTTGGTGGGGAATACCCGAATTAACTACAGCATGTTAAAAAGAATTACGCCTACCATTTATCATCACCCACATAAATGCATAAACATAAATGTGTTTTGTTTTTTTTTGGTATTCAGTGCATTATAGACCTCATGTCCTCCCAGTTACCAGTGTGCATTACCTATTGGGTGAGGTGGTGATATAAAGGTGGCCATGCAGAACCCATTCTTTTGAGTTCCGACACTGTGCTATTTTTGTTTTATTCTGCATATTTTGCTCATATATATGTGAAGTGTGAAGTAATTGGAGTTGGATTAGTACAGTACATCATAAAAACCAAACCACAGTCACAGAGAGCATTGAAATGGTGTTACGGATTGAAACTAAACCACAGTGGGATGTTGATTTGGTTATAGCTTTGAAAGATTTTACTGCTCGTGCTGACATGCAGAATGGTGCAGAGACAGGTGCACAAACTAAAATAACACTTCAGGCTCAAGTTTCTCAGGTACAACAAAAGCATGTAAATATAGTGAAGGACACAGTGAATAACCTTGGCTTGAGGTGAAGTGCCAAGGCTCTGTCCAAGTCAATTATCTTATTTTCATTTATAAAAATAGACTCCTTGGAAAGTTACACTACATCAGAAGACCAATTCAGATGCCATAGAAACAAACACATCAACTACACCAATTTTTGCCTCTCTAAAGCCATAATAAATTCAAATGCTGTCTTACAGGGCATCTGACTGAACACTCAAAAAAGAAAAAAAACATATTACATAAAAAAAAAAAAAAAAAAAAAAAATGATTAGACTTATGCTATCAATAAATGTTACTCAGTCATTTTACCTTTTGCATCCAACATCTTTTCTACCAGCCACATATTGGGTTTGGTGTAACTATTTTAAGTGCCTTGCTCAAGGACAAAGTAACATGCATGGGTCAAAGATGTAAAATTGGCTTTCTAAATACATTACAGCCACCACTCCACATGTCTTGTATTTTTTAAACTTTCCTCTATCGTTTCAGTTCATTAAATGTGTGCATGAGCCATAAACTGTCAGCAGAACTCACATCTTAATGTATTACATAACACAGAAGGGTCAAATAACTTTTTATATCATAGGCAATCCATGGGTTCTCACAGAATGTTTTGAGCAAAACAAATGATGACGAAACTTCAGAACCTGTCCAACTGCAATGGCTTGTTCAGATGAAAGATTAAAAAAACAAAAACAAAGTTGCGTTACTTTCCATGGGAGCTTCACTGACATTCATTATAACCCACAGTCTGTTACATAACTACATGCAGTTCCCCTTTCAAATGCCCACAGTAGCATATAGCTCTGTTCCTCCTGCTGTGAAGAAACCAGATTATTCCAACAGTGTCTGGGTCTGAACAACATCAGAAAATGCAGAATAGAAAGTGCATGAGAGAAATGTGTTGCTTGAATAACTGGAAATATGTTGTATTGAAATAATGCATATTAAAATGTTATATCCCAAATGTGTGTAATTTAATCCAAAGAGAGCTGTCTTTGGGTCACATTGATGCTTGAGAAATTTTTTTTTATACTTTGACTATATAACTTGAAGTTGTAATTGATCTTGTGTGTCAAAATGGTTTATTTAAACATTGTAAGATATCTGTAAGAATGTTTTAGTTATTCTAGCCTGAGTTTCTAGTTTTGGATACTGGACATGTGACCTGTGTGTTGCCAGTAAAACATAAAGCAGTAGGTGTTGGGTGTGTTGTGGCAGGACAAAAAGAGCAGCCTGTAGCTCTGTGGTCAGTGGACTGTGGATTGGTTCAGATGTCTAGACTTGGGTCAAACTTACCACTGTTTCAGAGAGTGAGAAAAATGTGTGGAGAGAGAAAATGATTGGACCATTTGTCATATGCATTTGAGCCTGTTTAATGCATATCATTTCATAAGGCCTTAAAAAAATGTACAAGGTTCATACATCTTTTACGGGAATCACAATTAAATGTTATGGTTATATCTTACCCAAAACGACAATGCTGTATTTGAACTACTTTATCATGACTGATGAAATTAAAAAAGATTATCTCAATACCACCATTTTAGTGAGTGGAATATAGGCAAAACAATATAGACAAAAGAACAATTTGTCCTCAATTAGCATATGTTATGATACATTTCCAGTCTTCAGAAGTGGTAAAAGAAAAGAAGATGTGAATGGCTGAATCGTGAGAGTGAAGCCAGTAATTAACATATTACACACACGTTCTGAGTATTAGAGGAATATTTTGTTCTACTACCAGTTAAACTATAGATCCATTACATCACCATTGGACACATGAAACTTTTAGGGCTTGATTTTGTCACATGTAGTGCTTTTTCCTCTGCCCCCCTTACACTTCTGTATTCTACCTGCAGTGCTGCAGATTAAACCTGTGAAGACTCTGCAGCCCGATCTTGTGAGACGTCAGCAGAGGGAGGCTCACGCTGAGAATCATATCAAAAGGATTTGAGTCGAACTTAAACCAATTATTAAACTGCTGCATGGCCGTAACGGGAACTGGGTGACAGGTGAAGCCACCCTGAAATACAAGATTTGATATGGCAAATAAGAACTGCTCAATATACTGTATTCCAAAAGTATTATTATATCTGGGAACACAGTGAGAAGAAGTAAAATGTATTGATCCTGTGTGTTCATATGGGGATCTGATGGTCTTAGTCCTGGTTTAGTCTTAGTTTAGACTTGGACCCTTGCAGCTATGTTTGGACACCCTGGTTTAAGATTTCCTTTTGCAACTGTGAATTTGAAGTCTTGTATCTTGTAAAACTCAATCAAACAACTGTCTGTCCCCACAAGCAATTTCACAGTTTTCCACAGCTTTCTCTGTAATCTATGCTTAAGATAATTCAAAAATAGTAAATCACATAGCTATGATGTTTTAATTCGAAATAAACTTGGTATGATATCTGTGCAGAGGTCATTTTGGTTCAGATAAGATCTTATCACATTTTTGTAATGAAAGTATAAATTGAAATACCTATAACACAAAACAAAATAATAGTTTTTCAGAAGGAGCAGACAGAACACATAAAGTAAAATACAAAATAAGTGAATAATGCTATTGCATTTTCAAAGTAATTGTAAACATATAGGCTATACTAGTATGTTTTCTCTATTACTAAGCAGTCCTGCACATTTGACCTTAACAGAGAACAGTGCTAACACTGCAGCAGTAAATTTAAAGACATATTGTTCAAATCTGAGCCCCAATATGTTCCCAGTAAGTGTTATTGGACACTCAGGAAGTAGACTGGTCATGTTTCTTGTAATCAAAGCCTATAGAGGATTGTATGGGGCCTTTCTCTCTGTTCACTGACTGCTCAATGTAAAAGTCAGGATTATTGTAGCAGTACAAAGACACAGTCACACTAAGTGGCCTTTAACCCAAGCATCTGCATCTTAATCCAGAGAAACCTTAGAAAAGTCAAGCAGAGATACAGGCAAGCTACACTGATCAAGTATAACATTATCATGACTGAGAGGTGGAGTGAATACCACAGATCAGTGGGTATATTAGGGGAAAAGTGAGCATTTGAGCAACATGAGCATCTAACTGAGTCAAATCATCTCAGAAACTGTAACTTGTGTGGAGTGTTTCTGGTCTGCGGTGAACAGTATCAGTTTAAAATGGTTCACAGAAAAAACAGCTACAATCTTGGTTGATGGTGGTTTTGATAGAAGATAATCAGAAAAATCCATCATGATTTGTTGCATGAGCAGAGTGCATATGAGGCAGCTGACCTTGTTATGTTGCCTGATTAGTGTATTGCTCTTTCAATGTCCAAAACAAGAATAAGTCAAGGCTGAAGTTCATTAATTGGTTGTTTAAAAATTCTAAATCGTGATGTTGGCATCAATTATGGAGAAATATGACCCTCCAACTTTTGCCATGCTTGTGTACCAACGTGCTAAACATCCATATCCAATCCAATATCCAAAATAATATATTAAAAAGTAAACAAAACAGTGGTGGATTAGATCAGGCCAACAGAAATTACTCAGAAATGAGTATTACAATGGAGTCCCACTCTCTACAGTATTTTGTTTCATAAGAACAATCCAAAAATTGCTATGTTTGGCCAAAGCATTTTATTGGTGACAAGGTCTAGTATGTTTTTCTTCCAACCACATTTTAAAAATCATCAGAAAAACAAGTAATACTACCTGCTCTCAGTTAAACATAACAGGCCTCTAGAATGCATAGAAACAGCAATTGCAAATATCATTGATTTTTTTTTACTATCTGGTGGACAGCGCTTGTGTTAAATACAATCCTGAAGAGGCTATTAATATACCAATATTTCATGGTTCTTTAATCTCATGACATGAATGACAAATCAGAAGAGCCCCATGAGGCAGCATTCTCCATAAAAGCACACGACACTGCTTGGATGTAACAGACGCCCAAAAGGACACAATGAAAGACGAGACAGACATACAGTTTGTAACAGTCTGATGCAGCAGGGACAAAGCAGTGCATTGTGGTCATTTGCATGCTCAAGTATCCCCCTGCTATTTCATCCATGACAGTAAGTCTGCTGTGTCAAAGAGGCCAGAAGAATCTTAACCACAAGGGTGTTTTTATTTGATACAGAGATAAGCTACATTTAATTTCAAATAAATGTAGCAGTGCGATGCCTCTTCAGGGCACAAGAGATTATTTTAAAGACTTATTACTGGCAATGGTGAAAAAAATACTTACATTTTAGTACTGGTGCAAATAATTTTTCATCGTGTACTGTTAATTATGACTCAAAAAAGATGCATTTTTAAGTGTGTAGAATAAGAATGCACGATTTAGAATACAGATTCATGATTTCTTTTTTTTCCAATAGTAGACTGAACACATACAATTCAAATGTGCAAAATTCTTCTCACCAGAGAATTTGCATATTAAGTTCCCATAGTCCTGGACTGGAACTGTTTTAGCCAAGCCTAGATCAGTTTTGTCCAGGTTTAGTGCACACTTCTTTTACGAGAAATAGACAGACCATACCTTCAGGTAAACAAACTTCTTCACATCATCTTTTCCCCATAGACCTGGTTTTGTCTATGCAAAATCCAGTTTTAATCACAGTTTACAAGTTTCGGCTACTCTTTTAGTTTACAAGGAGGGTCCCAAATGTGTTTCCTTCCTATTACTACCCATTCAAACAACAAATGTGCAAACTCACGTAAGATGAGTTCATTCCCTCTAATTGTCACGGTTTAGTCCCAACTCAAATGTGGTGTATTAAGACTTCATTTGTTCTTCACTTTATTTTTATTTTTTAATACTTTATTTTAGCCTTTCACATGGGGTGTCTTAAGTGACCCATTCATTAGAGAGTTTGTTCTGGTCCTATTTTTAAGGAAGTGAACCAGGTCTGAGTCTAGGTCCTGGTTGGATTTTGAGCCAGATCCTAGTTGTCTTGCGTGGGGAAAAGTAGTCTAATATTTACCTTTCAAGCACCAGACACATTTCCTGTATCCTTGGGCAAGACATTTTAGCAATTAGTTGTGTTATTTTGAATGGAATTAGTGTCTAGAAAGGTGCTACATAAGACTGATGCATTTGGTTCAGTTCAGCAGTCCTTCACTTTTTGGCTCTTTAGGTTTCCTTCAGAACTTGGACCAGTTCTTAGTTTAGATCATGGGTTGGCTGTGGGTCAGATCATAGCTGGTCTTGAGTGGGGAAAACCAGTCTAGTCCCTCGGCTCAGTAACTCCTGGTCTCTGGAGTCCAGGTCTCTCTCCAGTGCTTCCTCTGAGGTGCTGCCACTCCTCTTTCCGTTCACACTCCAGTTTGTCGCCCCAGCGTCAGAGTCCTCCCTTGCACTGGACGTCCCATTAGCTGTGAGGGAGGTGTCTCCGAACATAAAGGTCAGGTCCTGGTCGTTACGGATGAGGTCAGAGTCTGGGTCTCTCAGCTGATCATCATCCTGGAAAAACATTGACAACATGAAGGGGTGGGGGGAAGAGGGAATCAGTGTCATTGTGATCCTCCTAACAATAAAATCTTTCTCTAACAATTAACAAATTATAGTTTTGGCAAAATTGTTGTAGAAATACTACTTTTATTCAAAAGTGTCCTGAAAAGACTTATGCTACTGCATCATAAAAAATTCATTACAGGTTGAAATAAAGCAAAGCCACTGTCTGTCTACTCTTTAAAAGTGCTGCTGCATATAAATGCATTTAGACAGAGGGGCTTGCTGTCTGATATATTACACCAGTATGTAATATACTACACCCCTTATGGAAGCAGCCAGACTCAAATTCCTTCTTGTTGCATGCTGTTTTTGTGTCCATGGGCAAGACTCTCACATTACCAGTGTGTTTATATAATTATATGTTGGAGAAGGCTGAAGATGTCAAGCCCATTTTAATGTCCTTGCACTGACTCCCGGGCTCTTATTGTATTGATTTTAAAATCCTTTTATGCAGATCATTCTTTGCTGCTCCTGCACCTTAGACAGGCTTGTGTCTAGTGTGTTTTCTGTCTATGTTTTTGCAATCTCTGTATATTTTATTGCCCTTTATTATAATTGTTGTGTACTGCACATGGTCTTTTGGACTTTTAAATTGGATGTCACTGATAAATCTTGGCTTAGGATAATAATGAATCCTACCCACTGCAGAGGGTAACAGAAGAATGCATGGATATGGCAACTATAAGACATCATCCAAAGTGGGTTGAAATATTAAAACTTCCAACCCAAAAAAACTCTTATTCCTCATATTTCGGTGGTTGACTATGTTACGGTATTGTAGCCCACTGTAACAGTACATAAAAGGCAATTCAAATGAGGAACTACAACAAGAATGTATGCATTATTCGATCAGCTTGACTCTTGTCCACATGTGTCTGTGACGTAGACAAATGACATCATACTAAGGTGACTAAGGTCTTTCCATGACCCTGGAAACAACTGCAGCACTAGGCAATCAGAGCATCCAATACAGGATGCATAGTGTCAGCCTGTGAGGGGAACTGAGGTCCACACAGAAACAAAAGAACTAAAGCTTTGTTGCATGCACTGAATATTAACAAGCCCCCATTCAATGAAACAACAGTAAAACTTAGGAAGCAGACCAATAAAACCCACACAGCCAATTGAATACATATATTGCACTGTGTTGATATACAGCCATATAAAAACTGTAGCATGGGTTCGTGTTTGCTGCTCTAATTGACTGAGGATCAATATGCATGCCCACAGGAGTTTTAACACGAGGCTAGTGCCAGGATTACTGACATAGAAAAAATAAAAATGACATAACAAAGGCAGAGAGAATCGTATTAGAATATGCATTTTACAATTGTCATTCATTATCTAAAAGAAAAAAAATACGTCTTCTGGCCTTAGTAGACCTTAACCATAACTATAAAAATGGCAAATAAATGTCTTTCAGTGAAATGTTAAATCACAAATTTGACTTTTGGGTACCTGGGTGCATATATGTTTTATTTTTATACATAATACCTTGGGTAAATTGTAACAAGCTACAGTGATATTTAGGCTTTTCTTTTCTGGTAGTAGACTGGTCTTGAATTTGAATAAGTAGTATAATGTAGGTCAGACCTGGCAAACAACACAGTGCTGCAAACAAACAGTGATTAAGTGTCACTTTACATCCAACACAAGTTCCTCAATAGGTATAATTTTTAACAATGAAAGTATATTCAATGACTTATGTTAGTACCGTTTTCAAATGTGTTTCCTTATCTTCTTAATTCTTATTACTACTTTTTATACGCAATACTTCCCCTTATTTCACGTTATCGGACACTAAAATAATTGGTTCTTTTTTGTATAAGCACAGTAATCTCCTTTAACTTCCTTCAGAAAGTTATGGCAGCATCATTTTCTTGGACAAATGGACAGAAGACTAACAGACTGTATTTGCCAAAGGGAACCGAACTGTGACTGGACTGCGACTGGATTTGAGTTGAAAATCTAAGTCCAGTGTCATTCAGCACAGTATCATCATTGAGACGGCTCTGAAAGGGGTCTTTGTGCCCCCTGAATATAAAAAGGCTTCTTGACCGTGCATTTTCTTCTCCCTCGCTCTAGGCCCCCTGCTTTGTACTCCTCTGGCAGCCATAGAAATACTTTGACAATATTACAATCCTCCGGAGAGGGCTTCAGTATGCAAAGAGCACCTTCCTGCAGGCACTGCTCCTCCAAAACAAGAGGAGCTACACATTTTGACATGCAACGTTTTGGAGATTCTGTACAATAATTAACCTACTAAAGTATCAAATTTATAGTAACATTTGGGCACAATTACAATTTAATTACAATAAAACATTCCTATATGTATTTTTTAATTTATTTTTTAAGTTTTTCTCTCAAGAGGGAGTATGCAATATTACTCAAGATTACTCTCTTTTCCACAAAAGGACTGCCACAGGAATATACATTGGTTTGTGATTCTTTGGATGGCATCAAAATTTAATCTAAATCAAAATAGATCTGGTCAGTGCTGATTCATATTCATAAAATTTTAAAAAAAGGAATATATTTCTTTCCATAGTGACATTCTATTATAGCAACTGTTGCAGACAACTGTAAATTCTTCAGATTAGTCATGCATTTTTTTACTTTAGAGCCCTGTCAACAGAGATCTCAGAAGCTGTGTGTAACTACTGAATACATATTTTGATTAAAACTACTTGGGTAAAAAGTCCAATTAAGAAGAAAGCTAATTAAAATAGCTTGTTTTGAAATTAAATGCTCCTTGATCATGATTTACTCACTTTATATGTAGCCTTTGTATGAAGTTAATAGAGGAAGTGAAAGCAGAGTTTGTACATGTTAACAGTAGTCACTGACCTGGTAGGCCTGGGGGCTGGTGAGGCAGCTGGCCAGAGGTCCACAGTAACTGGGCAGAGTGGAAGTGAGGGGTGGCCCGCTGTGGGTCAGGAGGGGCTTCAGATAACTGGAAACATGGCATTAAGGAGGATACATACTGACCACATTAGATAAATTAAGCTATAGGGAGAGCAGTGGCTGGTGGAATTCACAATATTAATCTTAAAAATACAGAAACATGACTTCATACTGGATCTCGACACTACATAATATTCTCATGTGGGCCCGGTCAAGCAGAAGTATACAGCAAGGCCAGAAATTGAAGTTAATGCATCTGATATAAAAATGTATTAAACAGATAGCATATGTACTCTAGTTTATGAAACTGTTTACCTTTTTTCTGTACCATTTTTGATTCTAAAGTTACATACGTTTTAAACATACCATGTATGCAACATGGAACAAAAATTATTTCCCAAATTTCAAAGACCTGCAAATCATGTATATAAATTTATGTATTTCATCATATCTTGTGTTATTCGATCTTTGAACTGTTGATGAAGGTACATGATTTTTCAAAGAACATGTATTTAAAATGATAAAAAATAGCTTGGAAGGACTGACATATTTTATAGAAATAGTTTCCTTTCATTTTGAAGTAATATTAAAGTATTCGGAAGAAAAAAGCTGACAAATTATGCTAAATCATGCACCTTCTACTTGCTTGCACAATTTTCCCTCCGTTACTTTTCCCTCCGTTACCATGACCTTTCTTAATAAAAATCTCATTACTCAAAAAGTAAGAGGTTTTTCAACCTAATCTTGTACCATATGGTAGAAAACTATATGAAGCAAATATTCAAACCAGTTTGTTAAGGATATGTAAGTGAGAACCGCTAGTTATTGCTGTTTGTATTTATGGCCCCAAATAGTGCTGCATATTTCATTCTCTCCGTTACCGACATGAGTTTTTAATTTTTTGTCAACAACTTGAAAGAATATTGCAGGGTTAACTTTACCCTGTTGGAGTGCTAACTCTTTCCTATATTCTGATACCTTACTTATTTCAATAGTCCCTCTAGTTTCTGAATAAGAGCTATTTGAATGTAAAAAATCTGCCCCTGTTTCCCTACGTTACTGCTTGACCCATGTGTATATTATCTTAAGAAGAAAAACAATATTATCTTTAAGAATACACCCAATTCGTAGCACGTTTTGGAAGAGTGGAAGGCGTATTCCCCAACATGGAACTCTTCCCAGAATGCTCTGTAGTTTTACGTCACATTCCCAATAACTACACACCAATTACAGTATTACGTGTGTTCATTAATGCTTTGGTGTTTCCTATCAAGCGCCATTCCTTCCTACTTCGGTCAAAAGACGGTAAACAAACGCAGGAAATGTGGAATGGCTCAGGCAGAGAGGGTGACCCAGACATCTCTTCTACTCTCTGTAATTACTCAGTACAGTTCTGCTCCTGTTTGACTGGTCAGGCCATACTTTCCTAGAAACGTGCCATCTCCCTGTCACGACATGCATCCAATTTAAAGTTGAGCCATCTATAAATAAATATGTCGTGCACTGAGCTCATAGTTTTATGTCTTACAAGTGTTCCTTCCTTGCAGATTATGTGTGTAGAGTAGCCAGAAATTGGCAAGTAACAGTATGGTTACTTCATACAAAATATCACTGGGGTAGTAGTAAACGTATACTGCATGAAAAGTACTCTGAAATGTACAATTTCTTTTAAAAGTTACTCAGGTAAACAGGGGTGGGACGAACCGCTTTCCACAAGATGAGACAAGATTCAACACTGGGTCCATGAGAAAGAGACAAGTGAGAAAGAGACAAGATGTGGTTTTAACATAATTCCTAATGTATACATTTCACAATTGAGTTTCCAGTTTTGGCCTCACATTTTTATATGTATTTGACTATGTTTGTTTCCATTCCAGTACTAGTTTTTTTTTTTGATCTGTAAGATATTTAACTCACCAATATGCAACCTTTTTTGTCCAGTGCAAATGCAAACAGTTGGGGAAAATCTCACAAGATCATCTTCCTCATGTGTGCACAATCTTGTGGCAGTTTTGTACCACAAGATCTTGTACCATCTCAAAGAGTAAATGTAACTAAGTAAAAGCAACTGAGTAAATGTAACTACCCTTTGTACACTAGACCATAAAACCAACAACAGGTCTACATTATAACATAAAAACACAAAAAATCCCAAATTTTTTTTCTCTCTCTCCCTTTTCTACATTTCTCATCACACATCACCTAAACAAACATCTAATTTCTCATGTGCATTTGGATTTGGCAGGGCTTTGTCTGCAGATGTCCGACCTTGTTTTCCTCAGTCGACTTTGGGAATAAGCGATTGCAGCCTTCGTGTCTTACAAGTGTCACTGGGGAAAGCCTCTCCACTGTAAAAACACAGCTGGCCCTCTCCAAAACAAGCCACAATCAGCCGCCCGGGGAGACGGTTGTTACGAGGGAAGGACGAGGGAGCTGTGGGAGGGAGGTGCTGTGGTTAACAAAGAAAGAGGCCAAGATATTGAAAAGGGAAAGCGGTTTGAAACAGGCTTTGCTTATTCTTCAACCAGGAAACTGCACATATAGAGTTTTATTTGATGTTACAGGTGACACTATGGGAAAATGCTTTGAATATGTATTTAAAGGTCCTGTATTACCCAAAATTAAGCCATGTTACAGTGTTGTTACCTTATTAAAAACAAACCCTGAGTTGTGTTTCATTCATACATGTTTGAGTAACCTTTTATTATAGTATCAGTCTACATCTACAAAGCTCAAAATGCTCTGTTCCACCTTTTGATGTCATGAAGTGGTAGTTTTCATGTTAACAGCTACCTTGTACCTTTTATTTCATAGAGATAAAAGGGCTAGGCAGGGCTGAAATTATCCAAATGATTCTAGTGAAACTGTATGGCCTTTAAAAACACAGTGGAGCACTTCTTGTATTACCACATGACTTCACAAGGTGGAACAGAGTATTATCTGTTTGAGAGAAGTATTTAAATATGCAAGGTTTGTGTGTTAAACATGTGTGAATGAAACAAAACACAACTCCCATTATGTTTTTGGTGAGGAAACATAGATCAGAAAATAGCGTAATATGGGCCTGTTCTATGGTCATGTTCTAATTTTCTAAATGCAATTACGCCCCACTCCTACACAATATAGTCCAATTAGAAAAAAATACTTTTTTTCAATAACTCGTTGCTGTTTCCATTCCTGTTATAATGAGAAGTTGCAAATCATACAGCATCGATCTGTTTTATGGCCAAATCAGTATCTCTGTATCAATTACCAAACTGCTGATTAAAGTGATTACTCAGCCTGCCTTCTGCCTACTCAAAATAAAACTTCAAAAAAGTACCTAACTAAAAAAAAGCACCCAACTAACATCTTTATGTAAAAGAGCTAGGCTTGTTGCCATTCTTTATAAATTCAAAGGTTTGTCAAACATGATTTCTAAGCTATCTTTAGATCTAGCTATAAATGAACATTTTATTTCCCAGTTGTTGTAATTACTGAGAAATATGACTTTGACACATTAAGAACTGGTATAAAGATAAGATTTAAGGATACTTGTGGTCAAAGGTATACCACAGTCTGAAGAACCAGGCACTTTCTTGTTTGGTCTTACTCTGGTCTTGGGCGCCATCCTGGAAACACAAGAAGAAATAAATGACATCAATATAAATAAAATTAATCAAAACATCCTGCTCACATTTTGGGTTTAAATGGGAGCAAGGACAAGATATTACTATACTATTACTTTGCTGATTGTTTGGTGTAGTCCAGTAATTATAGTGGGATGGTAGACCTTCATTTTCCACTTTGGTATTTTATTCTATTTCCATCTGAGAGACCATCACACAATAATAAAGGCTACAGTGAAGAGTGGCTATGCCCTGTTGTTGAATTGGTTTAATCAGCTGATAGCACAGTGGCAAAGGGGCAAATTGTGAAAAAAGACAATTGTTCTGATTGCGCGCCTGATTTAGCAGTGGATATTTCCTTTCTTAACCACTTTTAACAAAACCAAATCAGTTAATTCAGTATATCAGCAGATATCAATAACCAATGGTATTGAAATGCTTGAAGGTGCATTGTGTCACTTTTCTGGTGGTGGGTCCGTCAAATGCTTTTTTTCCATGGAAATGTTATTCCTTTGGTTGGAATGCTTCACAGTGTGGTATTTTAACCTTTTTATCTATTTTTACCAGTCCAAGTTACAGGTCAGATCTGTGGAGAGGCAACTCTGCTCCCAGTCACAGGTTTTCTAGGTATTTTTGAGCTACAAAAGCAACCGTAATTTAATAAATATAAGGTAGCTGTTTAATGTCATACTGTGGAACATTCCAGACAGACCAATGACATTTCTAAAGAAACAAGCAGGTGACAGACCCCAAAACAAAAAGTTACATAGTGCACCTTTAAAGTACAGATTAGCAAAAGTTCATTTTAAAATCCAGAGCCATGAGAAAAGTAATTTCACATTCAACCTGTTTTGGCCATTCACACATTTAATATTGCAATAATAAGAGCTGTTTCTCTTAGTTTGACTTAAGAAAAAAGTTATGTTTGCTTTCTTGCTTTTTAAGAGTGCATGCAGTGCAAAGAAATACTTCCATTGTACTAAAAATGAACCAATATCTGAAAGTCTTCAAAGTGCCATAAGCTTACTTCAGCCCACGTCTTTAAATTGGTGAAACTACTGTCTTAGTGTCACCTGTGAGTTAGGCACAAATCTATACCCCTTTTACACAGTCCCAGTGGACTCATATGCCCTCAGACTGGTCCTGTGTATTTCACTTTTACAGCCTACACAAGGATGAAAAGGGCTCCCAAACTTTTAACAAGACATATTCTTACTGATTTTTTATGGCAGCAGAGTAAGCAGAAACTTTGTGCACATTTTAAGTTAAGAAGTTGCTATATCTAAAAATGAAAAAACTATTTAGGATGTTCAGTTTTTAGATTGTCTAGGTTTGCTCTTTAAATGCTTACAAGTTGGTAATTTGTGCAATATACTCATTAAGGTGTGGTTTATGTTATGAAATTAAACAGCAAAGATGCTTCTTTCAAGTCATAGATTGCCACACTTACCCCCTTTTAGCACCATCAATCCTACACTAACATATACAGACATCCAGTGAAAAGATTGGGAGGCTCTGATCTTTTAAAAATAAGTTGTCCACAATTGACTATAAAAATCTTTTCAGAATGTTCAATTTTACTACACAGAAAATTCACAAAGACTATACAAAACAGTTGTGTGTGATGCTTACGCCTTGCAATACTTGAAAGCTGTCTCCTGTGGGCTGGAAGTCTTGATCTGAATCCACACCAACCCTACAAGACAAGATTGAAGATGAAGAAATATCCCTATTAAAATTCAAAGCAAGTTATGAAACCAATTTGCAGCATTATTCAAGCTTTTTATTAAATCTCATCCTTAATATTTTCCCCTTTGACACAGAATTGTTCAGGGATGTTTGTGAGTACTAGCACTGCACCTGTCGAGCTGTGATTGACCTCTTTGTGGCTGGTTCAGTTTGACAGCTCGGATAAAACATCAAAGGTCTGAAAGCAAAAGCTGAGGAATGCAGCAAATTAGCATCAGACAAAACAAGCACTGACAAAGGAAAGCAAAGAGGTTCCATAGAAAAGAGAGATTATAAAATGTCTTTTCAACCAAATGATGAATCAAGCAGAGACATACAATTTGAATGATAGATTTTTATTCTAATAACACATCCAATTTAAGGCAACACTATGCCACTTCCAGGCTTTAAAAATATGATTAAATGGGAATTAAATACAAAGATATATCTGATATTGGAAGGATAGCCAAATTATTTCGATTACTGTTGCTATGATGAAGTAGATATGAAAATATGCAAAAAAAAACAAGCAACCAAATGCAGTTAAAGCAGTAATTTAAGATTAATTATTGATGGTGAACATTTTAAAGCTTTGGGGATTACTTTCTTCAAGTGCAAGTAGTACTATAGTATGTAGATCAGTGGATTATCAATAAAGATTTCTAGTGTCGAATAGAATTAACACCTCTCCTGCATTTGTGCCTCTAATTAAGATGAGTGTTACTGTGTTTAAGTTTTGTATGAAGTGTAAGTGTACTCACATGTACACACAAATACTAAATACTAAACTATTCTACTTTAAATACATCATATTAAAAAAAACTTTAAAAAAAAAAACTGTATGCATTGTTCAAAACATCTGCTACACATAACCTCTGAACTTGTAACAGGGCAATTCCCCGGAGCAGGAAATGAAAGTGTACTGCAGAAAATTCAGGGTGTGTGTCATTCAAATTAGAAACACACTTTTTCAAATGAACTACAAGACATACAAATGTATTTAAACAAGACAGATTTATTTCAGCATGCTCTGGAAACTGCTTTTGTTTGTGGATTTCTTTTTTTAATTGACACCCAAAGACCCATCTGATGTTTTTTTAAGCATAAGTAAGTATATTACACAATTCTATGCTCTATAATGCTTCTCAAACAGCTAAACTAAGACTAAACCAGGACTAAAAATGTACTTCAGACCAGAGATGGGGACTTGCAAGTCATAACTTCGACTTTAGTCAGACTTGAGTTACTATTTTTAGGACTTGAGACTTGACTTGATAAAATGGACTAAGACTTGGGACTCGACTTGGACTTGAAGGTCAGTGACTTGAGAAGACTTGAGAAGCACTTTTAAATCTGAATTCGTTCTATTCTAACTGTAATGAGTCACACTAAGATCTTGTCATGACATTTAAAAAGGAAAAAAATTGCATTTCTACAACTCTTACATACTCTATGCTCATATATAAATATACTACGACTTTATAAGTTCAATTTATCTTAAAAGTCATAAATTGCAAAAAGATTTGAAATGACTTGAAGCTCAAAGCAGACGACTTGGACTTGACTTGGACTTATGGGCCAGTGACTCGAGACTTGACTTGGACTTGCCTGTGTTTGACTTAGGACTTGACTCGGCCTTGACCAAAGACTTAAGACTTACTTGAGACTTGCAAAACGCCGACTTGGTCCCACCTCTGCTTCAGACTAAACCAAATTAACAAAGACTATAAAAATTACAAAAACAGCATGAAACCAGGGTAGGGTGGAGGACTACAACATGGCCTAAATCAGAGCGACAAAGATATGAACACTAATCTGTAGGTTTTCAAAGAATAGGTTTAAATCGAACATGTTAAAAATGTAAAGAGTTGTTCTCCAGGATCAGCGCTCTCTGTAAATAAATTAAAAGGCTATTACTGCGTAAACCTGACTGAATATAAAACTAGTCCCCTGAGCCAGACTTGGACATGCCTTAAATACATTTATAGTACAAATATATTAGACTAAGCCAGCTTCTGTCAAACTCTGAGTTCATACAGAGCTGCTGTGAGTCCTGCTGGTGTCTGTTACAGTGGAGAAGGATTAGGCCGAACACAGGCAGAATTTAAAAGGGTGCGTTTAATTCTTATAAGCCACAGCCTCTAATCCTGCTGGATGAAGGCCAAGGCAGACAAGTGAAGTCTGTCATGGTCCAATAAGGAACAGGATATAGCTGCGTTACACTGAGGAAAATTACTTAAGAATGTCCTTTGTCATGGCCTATTTAATAGTTTAAATCAACAAGCATTAGTTGTGTTGTATTTAATCAACAATGTACATCTCTGTCAGGCAAATTACAGCGTTTCAGTACCATTTTCTATGATAAATCAACATTATATTGTGTTGGCCTAATGAGTACCCAGAATGCTTTGCTTTAGTTCCCATACTACTCTACATCTTTGGGGATTGTAGGGTCCATGTGGAGATCAGAGAAAGCTGAAAAAACAGGCACATTCAAGGGGGGCGGGGCGAGACTGACCTGAGATTATGAAAAGAAATGGGTCTCTACTGAAGGAGAGGAGGCCCCCAGAGGAGCAAAGGACTAACCAATGTTTCCTGAAGCACTACTCCCACATGCAGTGAGTTACATACAGGCTGTTGCACACGGTCCAAACATTGTCCAGACTATTTAAATCCAAGACAGAAAGAATGCACGGGAAAAATAATCCGATAGGTTGCTTTCACGTGGCATTACAAGCATTTCCTGTTTAACTGTCACATTGCTAATTTGTTATATTTTTGTAATGACTGGGCCTATCAAGTGAAACATAAACTGGCAAAGTTCAATGTCTCCCCTTTCAGTAAATAAATAAAAGTGAGATTGTTTTTTCACTATTACATTACGCCATTATTTAACCCCAAAGAAGTTATTGTTGGCCCATAGCTTCAGTATGAAATATGACATCAAATTGTAGAAAGTTAACCCAATTACAGCTATATTTTTTTAAATAAAGGATTTGATTGCACTTTAGATTCTTATGTACAGACCTCTGTTTATTTCAGACTAAGGATTTGCTTGATTCATCCTTTAATCCCATATAAGCAAAGCGAAGTTATCTAGTTGTTTGGAGAAAATACAATGACACTAACAGTGCAAAAACAACTTAATTCTCAATCTGACAGGTGTGAATTTCAAATATATTACAGGTCTTAAAATGACAGCAAATAACCTTGTTTTTGACAGGCTTTCATTGGTTTTCTCGCCTTCATATATTTTCTGATCACGTCAAAGATCCCTGTCAACAGCTTGAAGCCAACACAGCCAATCACATTTGATTTCTATTCCCACACCACAGTAGCATACACAATTGAGCATTCGACAAACAAACAATAGGGAGAAATATGTTCCCACACACTCCCGAGTCTAATTTATTTTATTCTGACACCGATCTCCCATAGTCCCATGTGCATCTAAAAACAACCCCGTCACCAAGAAAAGCAGGTTTAAAAAAGCACCAGAGCCCTCTCCCATCACCACTTACTGTCAAATACAGCACCTTGAGTAACTCTTCTGTCTATAGACACAATGTCGAGGCCTAAATCTGGCACAGCAAAAAAAAATCACAAGTTACAACAGTAAAAGATCATATTCATACTGATCATGGTTTATTTCTTCGTTAGGATGGTTTTGGAAACTACAACTTATTCAACTTCATGTTTTATAACAAGCATAATGAACACCCCTGAATGAGTAATATCTGATGTTTGGTCAGAACATGTTATAACAGAAGCTGCAAAATGTTATGGTGCACATTCTTTCATTTTTATTCAATCACTACAGATAGACAATAGGAAGTCAAAGTATCTAATTAGTTCATTTCAGCATTTGGACTAATTTGAAAGGGGTAGTATTGAAGTATTGCAACCTGTACAAAAAACAAACTAGATTATTGGCCTCAAATGCAGCAGATTGTTAGACAAATTCTGTTTATATAAACTAGCTTCATGTTGATTGGATGTTCAGGGATTACAGTCATATGACAGACCACTCAGAGTAAAAACACTAATTGGCAGATGAATGGGTCAGATATGATCCCGTGTTATTTGAGGACACACACTAATCCTTGACCTAACAGATGTTCATGTGACAGACTGCTTAACATGTGGTAGATTTTTTCAACTTTGAATTACAAAAGGTTTAGCTATACAACATGCATTCTTGTTTTAAGCAGGGCCTCCTCTCTACATGGAGATGGACAAGATCAATGCTTTACTGTGGAACATTCCTGGCAAAACAATGACATCTCCATGGAGGCAAGCAGATGGTGGAACCCTCCACCAAAAGTGCCCAGAGGAAACAAAATAGGCAAGCCAAGGTGACCCGGGAGTTGAACCCGGAACCTTCTTGCTGTGAAGCATGTGTGCTAGCTAGATTTTAAAATGGACTTAAAATTCTTCATGATACAATTTGGGCTCATAAATCAGTTTTTTACCTGTCTAAAATCTCTGCAACAAACCACAGATTATCATAATTATTAATAATGGTTTTAAGTTCAAATTGCATCACGACAACCTGCTAAAAATAAAATACATAAGCAAGTGTAGTGTTGCCATCCTAACTATAGTATGACTATTGTGTAACTAACAGCTTTATAATTTTCATCCATCTTCATATCTTACACAAGCCCTGAAATTGTTTTCAAATCGTCCACCTCTTCTATGTGCACAAAACCTACACAGCGCTGCATACTGTTGGTATAATTTCACAGCTATTTCCTATAGCAGCCTTCTCAGTTCGTCATACTGTGTTATATAAGCGCACGTCATCAACAGTCCAAGATGAAAACCAGCGGGCCTCCTCAACACCAGACGCCTATTATCCCAGGACAAGTCGTCTATCATGCACTAATTCACCCACCATTTTCTCCAGAGCAACTTTCTCTTTATTTCTGTCAGACAAATGGCAACTTGCATGACGTCTTCAGTGTGAAAATGAAGACCATTTTTACAAGCTCTGAGTATTCCAAATATGTTAGAGGTAATTTAAGATCTTGACAGAATAACAACATTATTTTCCCTTTGTTAGCAAAGCATCTGCTTCCCACCGGCAGCAGTTCAAATAATGGTATTTTTAAGCATATTTTGTAAAATTTAATCCAGGTGATCTACCTAAGGCTATGCTCTTAGATCTAAACTAAAATTACTGCTGCTTGCTGATCTTGTGCACAACTACACAAAAAAAGACTAAACAGTAACTTTGTGTAAACCACTTGCTAAAGCATGGTTATAGTATCCTAACCTCTAACCCTAACCCCTTAACCCTCAGGACATAAAACAGTAACAATTACAAATTTAACATGCTTTCTCAAAAATAAAAACAATTATCAATAAAATGTATTGTTACAAAGCCCCTGGATGGAGTAGCTAAACAATCAGCAGAAAAAAACAAGTAAGTGGCTACCGTTTACCATTTAAGAGATATAAGCTGTTATTTAAAATGTGTGTCACTCGTCACAGATCACAACGGCCGATTTAATTTCACGTAAATTTGAGACCTTATAACAAAGTTAGAGAGTTGTGGAGGGATTGCTGAAAACTTGAAGTCTATAGTTTTTAGTAAAAGAAACAACATCTGGAAGGTATTTAAATTTTAGAAGCCTTTTTATTCTACATGTGATATTTAAGTTTATTTATTTTTTTAAATTCTATTTTATTACAGTGTATTGATTGTTTAAATTCTATTTTCAATAAGAGCAGGGACAGATCTTTGGATTTAGTCAAAAAAGTATAATTTTTTTTTTTAAATATGATAATTTTGCAGCTGCTTTTGTAAGTGGACCTAATTGTGACTTTTTAAAGGGAAAACTGAAGCTTAATTAAGCAGTTACTAAGCTTGAATTGATGGTTTATAATGAAGGCTGTAAATATTGTAGTTAATAAAAAATAAAAAGTTGCCCACTGTTTACGGTTTATGACTATTCTGTACAATTCAGTGGTCAAATACATGCATGCAGTCGAGTTTTTCCCACCAGCTCCAGCTATTTGTCACCCTTTGTCATGCTCTCAGTGATTGACAAGTGCCACTAGCCAATCACCGTGGGGTATAAAATCAAAGAAGCAGTCAACATTAGTTATCTTCAAATAGAACCTTCACAAGATAAATCCAAAAACCATATATACCAGAACTGTCCCTCTCACAGTTTAAGAAGCCATGGACCTTGGGAATAAACAAAAATGTAAATCAAGTTTAAATGTATTCATGCGTACGGAGGAGGGAGGGATCCACAAGTCACAAAACGGTTTTCCCTCATATCCGCCCTGTTGCCATAGCGCTGTGCTCAAGAAAAGATTTCAGCAAAGCTTGTATTCCAAAAACACAATTGTTCTTGTTGGGAAAGAGAGGCATTACTCATATTAAACAGCTCAGCCTGTAGCACACACGCACATTTAAAAGAACATAATCCTCTTTATCATGACAAATGGAAGCAATACATTACAGTCTGGGAACTACTAACAAAAAAATACAGTGAGCAGCTCCAGCAAAAATGACTGACGTTAAAATGGAAACGGACACTTGAGTATAACAGTCATTTAATTTGGGGGCTTAAAGAAAGTGTAAAATGGAATAAAGGGAGGTTTAAAAGTGGGAGAGGAGAAGGGATGGAGGTGGAGGAATCTGGTGCCATCTACTGGATAACTAAAGTGCATTTTTGTGTAGGTAGAGTAGTTTTATTCTTTAGTAACAGAATGGGTCTTTCCTGGCAAAATCTCAAAGCGTACAATAGTTTATTCATCTTCTGCAAACGTTCCTCTGATCTTTGTACTAGATTACTGTGAACAAAACGTGTCTTATCTCGTTGGGGGAAACTACTCAAGAAATCTGAAGTCATGTATTGACATTTTTGAGAGATTAGTCATTTGAAAAAGACGCTATGAGTAAACATATATGTCCTGCTGGTTTGTGGATTAAATGATTTTAATAAAATGGAATGAAACACTCCCCATGTACAGACATTTGGTGAGATAATAAAAAACACACACACAAATTGCTGTATGTACTACCATTGTACAATATTGTTATATCATGATTGGTCTGACCTAAATCTCTGGTGTTAAAAATGTCTGCTCAGTGGACACTACCTGATGTGTAGCCAGGACAGCATGGGTGTGGTCCCTCCTCCAAAAACCCACACAGTGAAGAAGACAATGAGCAGCGTCGTACTGAACATCATCTGCCGTGCATAGGTGGCTGTGTCTCTGATGGCGAGAGCAAACGCCATGGCCCCACGCAAACCTGCACCACAATCATGATAGTTTCAGTTGCACTTCATCTTTTCGAAGTAAAAACTTTGTAAATATGGAAAATACCTTCTTGACAATAGAATCACCAACAGTTAATTTTTGTATTTCCTTGTTAGTTCTTTGGATTACTTACTCTCTTATTTCTGCAATCTGTCACATTTATAACTGAATTTGTTCATTACTATGCATTGTCCCAACTAAAGGAATACAGTACACTGTGCAAATGCAATATTTGCATAAGGTGTCTGTCGCCCTCTGCTGGTGACAGTAGGGAGTCAAGCGCCTTGAAATGAAAAAGCAAGGCTATTTACTCCATAATGCATAACAAGAGCTTCATTCTGAAGGCAAGAAGCAAGAAGCAAGATTATTAAAACATTTTAGGTAAAACATTACAATATGGCTAAAAGGTCAAAGAGGTTGACTTTTCAACCTTTAAGCAGAAGCAGATGTCAGTGTTGATCAGCTGAATCAACTAAATTCAAAAAAGATAAGCCATATATTTTAGGAGTAATTTTTACCTGCAAACATCATCATGTGCTGAAAGTTTCCAGTGATTTTGTGTCGTCGACCGAGGTTCAGCAAGAAGGAGAGCGGATAAATATTCAAGGCTCGACCAATAAATATAGCAATCTGATCAACAGGTTAAGAACATTTAAAAACAAATTAAATGAAAATATCCAACAGGACATATTCACAAGTCAATACAATACACTAAAGGTAATAGACATGTGTTGGTAATAATTAATAGCTTTACAGCTGTCCTTTTTACTAAATTTTAAATCATTAAACCATCTTAATAAATGTTTTATAAATGCAAGAAAAATAATGCCTTTTCTATGTTAACTCTGCTCTACAAAGAAGCAGCGATTTTAGGAAAGGAACACCTGTTAGTTATTTCTGCAGCTGTGGAGAACATGTGCCTATAAGGACATTATTGAAGTATATTTTAAGGTTGATTCAAAGGATACAAAAGCTCCAAAGATGAAGATTGGGCTGAATATGTGGTTCTGGAAGGTGAACAGAGCCAGGCCCATGTACGAGAAGATGAAGTTCTCAGCCAGGAAATGTAGGACCTCAAACAACTGTGGGAAAACAGACAATGGGTATTTAAATTTAAGAGGAAAAAAAAAACACTCCAAAAAACGGAAAAACTCAACAATCATTTTCATATAACATTTGTCAAGTAAATCATTAAAAGTCAAAGTCCATGTGTAAAGTCTACCTTGGCCTTATTATACTATACTATGTGTTAACTTTATCAGCCAAATTAAAATCTACTGTATTCCTTCTGTAATATTTACTTAGGTAAAATAATAATTGTACTTTTAATTTTAATGAAACTCCCATATAAAAATAAAATCTAAACAGGAGCATGGCCTTTAAATTTAGATCGAGTAATCTTCATGCTCTGTTGTCTGTGGATTAATCTGCCCCTGTCCTGAAGAACCCCAATGTTTGGAGAGGGCTGGCGGGATGTCCTGAAACAGTCTGATTAAAGTCACAGCAGGTGAATTGTTCCAGCCATCTGGCACCTAGACAAGCGCCCTGTCTGTGATGTGAAAAGACTCAAGACATGAGAACAGACCAGGGGTTCCCAAAGTGTGAGGCAGGAACTACAGAAGCCTCCTCAGGTAGAATATATGGGCTTTCACTGATATCATACAATTTTAACTATTTCTCATTGAGTTTACGTTATACTTATTTAAGGTTTAGATGTACCTTGGTTTGGTGAAATAAATGCTAGTTACCTACCTCCTAAATCCTACCTCACAAACTGACAACATTTTTCCAAATCAACAACTGCTCCTCCTCCACTGTACCCCTTTTGCAAGCTGTTCCTCAAGGTTCAGTGCTTGGTCCTCTTCTGTTCATCCTCTACCTCACTTCCCTCGTCAACATCATCCGCAGTCATAGTCTAGATTTCCACTGCTGCCATCTGCCAATGACTTACTCCACCCTCACCTCTTCTCTGTCTCAAATCAAAACCTGGCTCCAGTAAAAAAAACTATGCCAAGTTAAACTGTGACAAAAGCAATATTGTCATAACTGGCCCCCAAAACACTTCCAAATCCATCCAAAAATTTTACTTTGACAACACCATCTTTCTCCATTCCCAGTCCTTTTCCCCAGTTTTCTCTTTGACACCAATTTCACAATCACACAGCATGTCAACCAAATAACCCAGTCAGCGTTCTTCCACTTCAAAAACATTGTTCATCCGTGTCCTTCTCTGCTGAAATCCTGATCCACTTCAGTTTAGTTTAATACCTGAACTTTCAAAGGTTACGACTAGCCTTTGTTGTCCCTCCCATCTAATTTTTAAATCAAACGGCAAACATAAAATTGAACTTGAAGGCCAAAAGTAAGTTGGAATTGCTGTGCAGAATCCTTTACAAGCGATACCTGCTTGGTGCGTTTTGTGGACTCTTCTGAGAGGTTGTTGTAAGTGTAATGAGCCTGGGTGATTCCACAGAACAGCACAGCTACAACACCTGCAAAAACATTGAGGAATAAAATTATTACTCTAATTACATCTGCAGTAATGGCTGTTTAGCCTGAGGAATATGCAAATGTGCACTGCATCTGCTATAGAGACATTATGCAATTATGCACAGATTAGCTTCATAACTGTAAAAATTATGTTTATAATGTAATCTGCCGTATAATCTGTGCTCCAACTCTGTCGGTCATCAGTAAAGAGACTGGAGAGATACACTTGCACCAATTCATTAATTTATGTACAGCATGTCTATATAATATAATATGAAATTAATATAATAATAATAATAATATAATAAGTATTACTCCTACTAATAATAATTAATTTGTCTAATACTGATCTTTTCCAGATGCTGAAAGTTGCTCTACAATTTCATGCATTATTCATTCATTCCACATGTGCTGGTAGTAAACTACTGCAGACACAAAGAGATATAAAGTTTGAACTCACAATGATTCAGACCACTTACCGATTACCATTTTAATTGGAATCTTATTTGACACACATGTTATGGTTTGATATTTTGGATCATGATTCATGAAGCAGGGATACATCTGTATCAAACACAATGTAACTTGAAATTCCTTGAAAAAAATTTTCTGATCATTCTCACCAGTGAAGCCACAAGCCTCTGCCAACAGGAAGGTACTCCACGACATAAGGAAGAAAAGGGCAGTCTCCAGCAGGGGGAAGCAGTGAAGCTTAGTGAACTTTGTGACGTGGAAAATACATTAAGAACAATCAAACAATTCAAATGCAAAATTTATTCAAATATTGGCATAAATTGGATTGAATAACTATCATTGTCCTTTAGTGGACGTGTGTGATTATTGTTTTGTGCCCTCTGCAGGTGCTGCTGGGAAGGTCACAGACAAGGATCAAGGATCCACATACAGCCACTTGCTTGTGCTGGTTCACTCCACTCCCAGACCACTTCCAGATCTGCCTATCACCTTACCACATCATCTCTTGTATTAACATGCACCTACATCCTGGATGATCCTCATTGTTACCTTTAAAATTTTATATAACAAATACAAATTTAATTGATCTAATCTGTTGTTTGCTGTATTTTTGGTTACAGCGTCAGTCTTTGAGCCATGTTATGACATGACACCCAGGTCTAAAGGATATAAGAGCAGTGACGACTCCATTGGCTGCTCCCATCAAAAAAGAGCCGCTGAAGATCCCCAGAAAAACTCCAATTGATTTGAAAAGTGCTGAGGCGTCAAACTTGTGACTGTTTGCTCCACTTGGCTGGTAGGCAACTATAGACCTGCAGCAGAGAGCAAATAAGGTTATTTGGTAATCTTGGGATGAGTACCAGACACTAAAATGTAACAGTAAAAGCTTGATTGTTTCATAAAATCTTTAGTTATGGTTACAGTTGGATTTTTGGTGGGGGTCTGTAATAGATGGCTGTGAGGTCTAGAGGCTAGCTTGGCTAGCAGAGATTGAAATATGTACTTAGAACATTTCCTAGAATAATTAAGAGGCACCCCAAAGTTCAAATTTTCTATTAAAAATTTTAGAAATAAAATGGTTAAAATAAGGACAGCCTATGTGAAAAGGAAAATCCATGGAAAACATTGACACTGATAAAGTGGATTAATATTAAAAGTGTGCTCCGTGTGTCCAGAAGAGGGACACAAAGCCCACCTGTCCACACATGAAAGTCAGACATATGGTCTATGATGTCAGGAGAATGATGAAAAGAGGATGTGTCTAAGGTAGGGTAGGAAATTGGGATAAATGACATAACATAATACATGTAACAGATTTTACTTACGATGACAAAACAATTGCAACTGCGTCATTCATGACACTTTCTCCAAACAGCAGAGCATACAGGTCCCCGTCAGCATGGAGGTCATTGAAGATGGCCAACACTGTCACTACAAACACAAAAAAATAATAATAAGTCATCACTGAAATATACAGTATGTTCCTTTGTGATGTTATGAAGTTAATACCTGGGTCAGTTGCTGAAATAATGGCCCCAAAGAAAAGACAATCTGTGTAGTAGAACTTGTCCATTAACTGTCCTGCTACTTGCATCAATTTGACCACTCCATACATTAGATTCCTTGATATAAAAAGCAAATATATATACAAAGGATTAAAACAAAAACATGTAAACTAAAGGGCTGCATCTGAAAGTATACAACATTAAATGGGAAGTTCAAAATTCTGAAGTTCCTTGTTTTGACTTACCCAATAACAAAACATGAGACGGCCGTACCAATGAAGGCATATGTTAAAATGGAGCCCAGGTTTCTGAAAAAGTGTCTCTGAAAGATAAGAAGGAAAAATGAACGTTTGAAATTTAGAATGGTTAAGACACAAAAATGTTTTAATTTCATCCTGCATCAGACCTAATGCCTTCAAGGCATCTTAAATTTTAAAACTTTGTCCAATTTTATCATTCATCCTAAAAATATCAATGCAATATGTTATGTAATATTTATATTTTTCTTTACTACTGTATTTGCTTTTTAGTTGGGTTTTTACTGCATAATAAAAAAAAATCAAATAAATTCAGCTTCATTTTAATTTTGATAGCCCAATGTTAAACTTCTGTCTATCTTCCTGAGATAGTTGAGTTTACAATAAATCCATAATTTGAACATTAGCAGTTGATCAAATCCATTCCAGGAATTACATGCCGCTAGAGTTATTTTTACACATCACTGTTCAAAGATTTTACTGATTAAATTTACTTAAGGACTTGGTATTCATTAGAGCCTTACAAACTGGAGAAGTAATGTCAACAGTGGCGTGTGCTTGTTTAACTGGTTACAAATCAAACATGCAGAGCTATGCGGCGCTGCAACCTCATCGAGAGCACTGCCAAGACTAGAGCTCATTCCACCCAGAAACAAAGAAATGCTGACTCAGAGATTTAAAGGAAATAAGCACTTTACCCCAGAGGCCGCCAAAGGACTGCCAAGAGGGAGTTTATAAGATGAAAATTTATTAGGCCAAACATTGACCAGCTCCTCTATGGAAGTGAAGTTATTTGAACTTCAGGTAGTAATAAGCTAGTAGCCCTGTGTGTTTGTACATTTCAGCTGACATAAATAAGCAAGAAGAGATTTTGAGATACGTTCAGTGGAAAAAAAGGCAATACCATTAAAAGACGATTTGTGATTAACCTAAACTCAAGACTATTAGATGATTGGCTTTAAACACATTTGTTTAAATACTAAACGTCAAGAGGGGAACTGAAAGACATCTGCTCTGGACTTCCCCTTGAAGGAGCCACTTGTTCCACCGAGTCTGAGCCTGCTACGTCTGTGGCCAATGAAGGCTCACCTCAGTCAACCATCTGTCCAATAAGACATCAGGTGGTGGCAGCATACACTTGCACCTAAGACTGCACAGTTATTTTTATTTTTTTGTAAACTTTATAAAGATTTATAGACTGAAACCATAAACTGGCATGATTAACAGGTAAATTAACCAATCAGAGCATTATCTGTTTGTGTCACTAAATGCTGCAAATCTGAAATATAAAAGAAGTCACATATATTTTGTTCTGAATGTTGCAAGGATATCCAAGAGGAGATGTGGATGAGAGGAGAGGAGGAGGAGATCCAAAAAAGGTATAATTAGCTGTTGAGGTCCCACACCCTCCTGCACTTGAACAGAAAGTAAGGGGACTGGCTCACTAGGCTGAGCACACCTCAGTAAAGATAGTCTCCTGTCTCTCACCTTTTTAAGGCTGTATCCTGCATGGAAGATAATAGGAGGCAGCAATATATTGAAGAATACCTCTGGGTCAAAGGTCACCTGGAAACAAAAGTTATAATGAGGATATGAATAAGACATCAAGCATTAAGAAATACAGTATAAAGCAAAGTAATAATTGTGACAAGAATGTCTGACTGTTACACTGTAATGCACTGTAACCAGGTAAATAATCCATGTAAATAAATATGGGGTGGCATTTGTTTTGTATATGTTGTGTATTTTCTTCTTAAAAGTAGTTATCGAGTACTTAATTAACTGCATTATGGGTATGATTTTCAGCTAATTTAGTGATAGCTAACTATGAATGTATATGCATGGGTAATAGTAGTTAAGGCCTATGTTTTCAGCAAACAAACAAAAATCAGCAGAGGAGCTTAGAGAGCTATACACTGATTCATCAGCCGGTTTCACTTCTTTGGAAACCGTCTGACCTCACAGCATCATCATTTGTTCGCTCAACGGTAGGTGGGTAAATTTTTTTAATTTTACCAATCACTGCTATTTGGTCGTGACATATGTAATGCGCCGCTAACAGGGCTAACTGGTATAGTAAGCTTTTCCCAAATACCGTAGGAAGAAGGGTAATAAGGTCTTTCCTCTTGATAACATTCACCAAACATTCTCTTTGTTCTGGCTTTAAATCCTTGATCTTGGACAACATAGAATGTATGGCTCTTCGCTGATTGGCTGGTGCCCGAACTCACACTTAGGGTTTTTGCAAACTATCTAGTGTATTCCAATTCCTGACTTAGTCCCTGGAGAGAAATGAAATTGAGCGGAGGCACTAGGTGGTGCCAGCCTGGCTAAGAGAGCTAACCCTTCAGTGAAGATATGTGGAATTAAAACATACAGAAGAACAGAGGAGAACATCAGGATTAATCAAATATATGTGAATGAAAGTAACCTATAGACTGTGTGTTTCAGGTAAAGATTTCTCATAGAAATACATATGTTAAGAATAATATTGCCTTTAGTTCATGTATTATAAATTTAAATTAGCAATAAGGATAAGTGAGCTTGACAGGACTCATATTCTGACAGCTCACACACACACCCTACAAAGTTACACCTGTTTCTCTTCAAATATTAAAACAAAATTACCCAATGCATGTAATATAACTGGTGTATTGTTACCAACCTTCCTGAGCATATCATTTTGCTCCACATTGTGAATCTCTCTCAGGTTTATTTCCCCTTTGAGGCTGTACTCAAAGAACTTTCCACTGACATTGAGCAGAAGGGTGCTTGCGGGACCCTCCTTCAGCGAGCAGCTCAGGGGGGTCTGGTTGTGATAGCTGGTAGCTGGGATCCCGTAACGTAGAATCACTCCTACCAACAGACCTGAGGGTGAAAATACAAGAAAACCACATGACAACTTGTATAGTACTCTTTTCAATAACTAACACAATACAGCAACAGAGCTTTTCTCAACCAGGGGTACAAGGACAGGTATATGTGCATTTAATATTACTCTTTTCAAAATAAAAGAGAGGTGATATTGACTACTTTGAACAATAAGTAGCATATTTACTTTGGATAATATAAGAGTTAGGAAAAACTGATGGAGTTAAGGTGCACTATGCAACTTTTCTAGTGGAGGGTCCGCCACCAGATTGTCTCCATGGAGATGTTATTGCTTTGCCTGGAATGTTCCATGGTATGACATAAACATATCCATCTAACATTTATTAATTACGGGTTTTTCTATTGCTCAAAAACACTATAATTCCTTCTGTGAATAGTGGCAACTCTCGTGATAAATAGGTTTAATCTACACTGTGGAACATTCTTAACAATGCAATAATAATATTTCACTGGATCCTCCACTAGAAATGTTACCCTGCGCACCTTTACTTGACCACTTTTCAAGGAAATAAATTGTGTTGGTGAGTTTTACTCTCATCTTCTTCCATTTAACACTTGCTTTGCTCCTCTGGACCTAAACACGATAATGGACACAGCCTCTCACTCTCCACTTTCAATGGACAGTTTAGTGGAGTGGTGCATTTGCATGTCTTAAATGCTGCTTATGCTTTTTACCTGTTTGTCAGTGCAAAGATATTCATAAGTGTTATCTAACGTTATAGCTTTATCTAAAAATATGTATGATTAATTTACTCAGTCTAAATCTTATTTGTTGTTCAAGGCCACAGTATCAGGTGCAGAGAGAGAGAAAGAGGGAGAGACAGAGAGAGGAAAGAGAGAGAAAGAGAGTGGAAAGAGAGAGAGAAAGAGACAGACAGAGAGAGAAAGAGACAAACAGAGAGAAAGAAAGAGAGACAGAGCAAGAGAGAGAGACTGACAGAGAGAGAGAGGAAGCGAGAAGAAAGAGAAACAGACAGAGGGAGAGAGAAAGAGAGAGAGAAAGAGAGAGACAGACAGAGAGAGAAAGAGAGAGAGGGAGATAGAGCGACAGAGAGAGAGAGAAAGAGAAAGAGAGAGACAGACAGCGAGAGAAAGAGAGAGAGGGAGATAGAGAGACAGACAGAAAGGGAGAGAAAGAGAGAAGAAAGGGAGAAACAGACAGAGAGAGAGAGAGACAGACAGACAGAGAGAGACAGAGAAAGAGAGAAAGACAGCGACAAAGCTGGGATGAAAAATGGGGGTAAGATGCAGGGACAGCACAGAAGCTAAATCCTGGAGCAAGGCATGAGGCAGCTGCTTAGAAAACATAAATCCTCCAAACAGACAACACATATCTGCAGGGGGCAAAGCTGGCACTGCTGCATCCTCACACTAGTTGAAAAGTGTTAATGGCCCTCTTTAATGCAAGGTTGTCTAGTGACAGTTTGAAGAAGAGTCGCACAGGGGATGCAAAGAATCATCTCTGTTAACAACATTAGCAAACACAATTTTAAAAATGTGAAAGTTTAGTGCAACATATTCTGCATTCCTCCTGGCTTTTCCATTCAGACATTCAGATTCCACCTACAAACAAAAAGGCACCACCTTTCCACCTATGCAATTTTGAATAATACTTTTAAGACCTAATTTAGACCAGCATGTTTAGACACTATTGTGCATAGTATTATTATTATTTACAACTCTGTAAAGATATTGGTTAAACATTTACAGCATCATTTTAAAGGGATGGGATTGAATAGTGACATCAACAGAGCTTGTTTGGGTTCAACAGTTTTAAGCTTCAAGGACACAAACAGCAGCTGAATTAAAGACATATCAGTGGACAGAAACGGTTTTACACTAAATAATATTATAGAGTATAAATAAGTAAGTGTGAGTAAACTATATTGTTTTAGCATTTTTATTTTCATTGGACCAAGTAGCTATAACATTGTCACACAGAGTAAAATTTCAGTCAAACAAATTTGTAACAATTCAGCTGTACAAACAGTAATGGTAACACGACATTCTTTAACTGAAACAACTCTACCATCTGCATATTTGCATTTTCAATAGGCCTATCCAGTGCCTTATCTTAGGCTCTGTTAAGGCTATAAAACCAAATGAGCAGGGGTCACAGTAGGTCACAGTAAGAGAGTAAAGCGATGAATAAATAGAAAAGTACAAGCAACAAATCAAAGTCTATATGTCAATAGTTAATGAGTGACATTTCAATGCAGAATTTTGTCTTTGGATCTGTTTATGTGCTGCTTTGGGCATGATGTCACTACCAATTAAATGATTAGTCTTACTGCTTTAATTCATCTGTATATCTTGAATTAAGAAATGAGAGCAAGCTAAAGTTCTTTTGTAGCCTAGCTGCGTGTGTGCGTAGTGTATGCTGCTGCATTTGAAGAGGTAGACACAAGAACCAAATCTGCAGCACCAAGAAGCAGAGGTGCCAGACATTTAGCTAATGCCCATTGCATCAGAAAGTAGGCTATATGAATCCATTCAAGTAGCCATAGAGAGAAATAGGCTATCTGTGTTTTTGAGCCCCCACGTGACTTGTAAGCTTACCGTAAATCATTGCTAACCCGGTCTCGTGTAGGAACCGGACTCGTCTGTGCTTGAATAGCCAGATGGTAAGGATGGTTAAAGTCAGCAGCAAAATAAATGTCAGTAAATTAACGCTGTCCTGGCGGTGACTTTCCTCTGCCTCTTTCTCCGTGGCAAGTTCCTCCATGACATCGCTGGCTTTTACCCCGGATAACCTAATAATCTCTGCCGCAAACATGAGCCAGACCACGAGCATCCCTTGCAGAGCACCGCGGTAGCTTCGTAACGCATCCATAGCTCACGAAGGATGCTGACGCCAAACCGGGTAAAAAAGACGCACGAACATTCACCGCTGATGCACCATGTCTCTTACAGCACAGCCGACTGGACAAACGAGTCTACATTACCGATAAACCGCAGTTCAGCCTTTTAAAGATACACCGCGTCGTCTTGGTTGGATAAAGACAGATGCAAGTAGGTGATATTGCGCGCTGCTCAGCTTCTAGTTGGATCAAGTTGCATCGTGCGTACCCCCTTTGGCTCCGCAGCCCCAGTTGACTCACGGTCCTGCCCTACAATGTCAGTGATGATCTTGCAATTCAAGCGTGGAAATTCGTTAAAAACAGGAAATTCACGACTCCTGCATCGGGAATGAAGAGTCAGCGTTTAACCAGAAAAGTTGAAGCATGCATCCGTTGTGGAGGGGTGCTGGTAATGTAGGGGTGGTGCTGTGACTGACCAGTTGTAATTTTACAAGCCTAATTTTGAACATATTTTATTTGAAGATGAGCATATAGATATAGATATATAACAAAATAGAGACCGTAAGCAACAAGATACTCCACAATGGTCAAATTTGGGGACCCAATATAAGCTATGCAATGGCAATTCTTATATATATATATATATATATATACACACACACACACACACACACACACACACACACACACATATATATATATATATATATATATATATATATATATATATATATATATATATATATATATATATATATATATATATATATATATATATATATATATATATATATATATATATATATATATATAGCATGATAAATTCAACATAAAAACGAAAGTCCCCCCTTTAATGTAAGATAAGGTAAGGTCTACTCTGAAACAAGTTTGTAACCTGTAACTCTGGAGCTACTGGTAGCTTTCCACCTCCTCCCAAGTAGCTCACCAAGGGATTTCTGAATTACACATATTGTGCTGAATAAGTAAAATCTGATAAATAAAGTGCCTTTTACCACTGTACATGTATCATTTTGGTTCCTAACTTTGTGCACAAGTAATGGATAATAGTTTATGTTGTATATGGATCTAAGTGTACCTCATCTAAGGCTTGCCATGGCTGTTATTTATACTCAATTATGACTGGTAGCTCACTGGCATTTTTGTTTTGTACAGGTAGCTCACCGGAGAAAAAAGGTTGGAGGCCCCTGACATAACATAACCTATAACATTAGGACATTAGCCTATAGCCTAATTTAATTTGATATATAGGCCTACGTACAAGCCATCTTTAATAAGAATCAAGGAATAAATTAAGTCGACATGTTTTGGCTGCCTTGATTGGAGATTTTGTGGTTAAAGAACCAATAAAAAACAGTGTTACAGTTTTGTTTTGTTTTTTTTTTGGTTTTTTTCATAGCCACACTAAAAAATTAAGCAGTGTAATTTGAGAGGATCTGCCTGGATCAATAAGTCTAAATGATCATATGGTTGTAGCATCAAATTTTGGGTTGGGGTCAGATTTAGATTCTTCATATGCCTTGGGCAGGGATATACAAAAAAATTATGTCAAAGTTTTTGATTTTTATTTAGATTAGCCTACAGTTCATGCAGTTATTAGGTGTATATTCCCATTATGGCGGTAACTAAAACCATCTGCGGTCTCTCATTTCAACTGTCACTTCACAGACGTTGACCAAGAAAAAGAAGTGGGTGAAAATTTGAGTTGCACAGAAAAGCATTACACAATAGGACCATATCACCTAATAGCATCACATGGATCAGATTTATTTTTTATCACCACTACACAGACCTGTTGCGGCCAGGAGTGGCTCAATCACATAGTCTAGCAATACACACTTTATTCTTACAAATGAGTGTGTGTTTGAGAGTGTAACTGGACAAATAACCCATTAATCCACATGCCTATTTATGAAAATAAAATAATTATACCCCATAAATCTAATTTTAAAGTTTGAAATTGTTTTATATAGCAAAATATATATAGGTTTGGTGTGTTATTTATTTGTATCATCTACACACTAAATTATATTATCCACTGTTAAGTGCAGATCAGTCTCTGTGGCATGAGGGGCCCGAGCAGGTTATTCTGGCTAATCTTTGCACAGTGCTCTGAATAGTTTTATTATTTTCCAGGAAAGTTCTGGTTAAATCAGTGTTCTTGTTGTGTGTTGCATAGTGTGAAATCATATAGCAAGGTTGGTTTTGTTGCTTATTTTTATTTATTATTTATTTATTTATTTATTTATTTTCAAGTTTTCATTATTAGGCTTCTTTTACTTGAGTGATACATTGTTGCCTAAGTTTTAGTTGTGCTATACTCTTCTGTGAATGTATAAGTGACAGGATTTGACCAACAAGTTGACAACAATAATTAGGCCTAATTAATTAAATAAATAGTTATACTGTAGCTACTCGGGTATTTCTGCAGATATTTTATTTTTACTGAAACTTGGATTATTGGATTCTCACCTCCACTTCTAAAAGATGGTGTTATGTAGGTTCTAGATATTTTCCTATAAGCCTACAAATCCACTCAAATACTTAAAGATGCATTATGTATCTTTTAGGTTGGGGGTCCGTCACCTTTTTGTTTCTATGGATATGCCATTGCTCTGCTTAGAATGTTCCACAATATGACATTAAACAGAGCTACCATACATTTATAAAAAATGTTTTGAAAAAGCAAGTTTTAAAAGCATAGAAATCACATAGAAAAACAGGTGTTTGAAATGTGAGTGGGGTTGCCTCTCCACAGATCTGACCAATAACTTGATCTGGTATAGTCTTCACTAAGATAGAAAGGTTTAAAGGCACACGGTAAAACATTTCTGGCAAAGCAATAACACCTCCATGGAGAAAAGCAGGTGGCAGGTCCTCCACCAGAGAAGTTACCTTTAAGTCCACATGCTATTTATGCATTTCTTGAAATATAAATAAATACAATCAGTGTCTCAAATTTTATATTTATATTTATATTTTAGAGATTTTATATTTTATATCTTATTTTTCTATTTTATTTTGTCTTGTACTTGTGCATTTATATAATTATGCCTTAATTGACACCTGTCTCTTGCTACTTTTCTCTTGTTTTTGCTACTTATTTAGAATTTATTATTACCATTTATTTAAGTTTAAATCTAAGTTTCTATATTTTCTGAAAGTAGTTTGCCAGTTGTGTTTTGATTGCCTTAGCTGTTTTATCTATGATTATAACCTGAACACACATCTATCACGGCAAAATAAATGTCAATAGCATTTACATTTTTTATTTTTTTTTTTTTATGTTTTAAATTCGCCATATAATATTTTGGATAAAACTAAACTAAATACGCCCACGCTTCTCCTACACGCCTCTTGAGCAGTACGTAAGCTTTGAGCGCTCTGATTGGTCAGCGTCAGGGCGGGCGCAGCGCTCATTGGCTGCAAAACGGGAAGCTAAAAAAAAATCTTGTCAACTGAAGTGTACGTAAGCTGCTGCCTCACGCCTTTCCAGATCACTCATTCTGCGACACTCATATACAAGTGTTTTTATATTGGGGCGGATTAGAAGCTAAAATGGGGTGCTTCTTTTCGAAAAAATCCAAAAGAAAGTCAGAAGGGAAAGAGGAACCTGCGCCAACGACGACGACTGTCGAAACCTCCGCCACAAGCAACGCGGTTCCCCTTGGCAACAACACCGAAGAGCCCCAGAAACAGTACAGCTGGGACAAACGGGAAAAGGTACTACGATAATTATTAATAATAAACTAACAAAATATCTACGTGAATGTGCTTTTATTTGCTTTTAGTAGAGCATGACACGGAGACAAACTGAAGAAGATATTATAATCACAATGAATCAACCTGAGTGCACCAAGTGAAGCATTACGAATGGGTTAAACAGCGACAGATGATCAGGATAAAGCCGCTATAACATTGGCACTGTCTTTGACTGCTCTATTTCGTCTTGATGATTGTCTATATTAGTCATATAAGGCATAATCCCTCCCTTCCTGTTATCAGGGTAACAGATTTAAGTTTAGCTCCACCTAAGTTTGTTACTTTGTTTTGCTTTTGTATGCACTCACAACACTGCAACGTTTAGATTTAGCGTTAAGGCTCTCCATGTTACCAACTTTATCTTATTATCGGATTATTACACGGCACACACAGCAAAGCACAAGGGCGGACAGCTGACTATGCTCTGAGCAGGGTTTACGCGACTAAAACAAGGTGCTGTGAAGTAAACTTCCGTTTTGGTGAAGTAAATGATCTACTTATATGATCATAATGTATATCTCAATTTGCTTGATTAGCTGTTTGTTTATGTGCAGCAGCAGTGTGTCACTTCCCAGTTTGCACATAACATAACATTGTTTTCCATTACACAGGTCGACCCTAAGGACTTTATGCTCACAGGGCTCAAAGATGTCACTGCGGGGAGGCTACCTGGGAAACTGAACGGACAACAGTTCGTAATCCAAGAGTGTGAAAACTGCAACATCTATGTGTTTGACCACTCTGCCACTATTACAATTGATGACTGTGTGAACTGTCGTATCTTCCTTGGACCTGTCAAAGGCAGTGTGTTTTTTAGGGACTGTAAGGACATCAAGTGTGTGGTGGCCTGTCAGCAGTTTAGAACCAGGGACTGTAAAAAGATGGAGGTGTTTCTTTGCTGTGCCACTCAGCCCATAATTGAATCGTCCACTGGGATGAAGTTCAGTTGCTTCCAGTACTACTACCCAGAGCTGGCCTATCACTTCCAGGATGCAGGGCTCAGTATTTTCAACAACAACTGGAGCAATATTCATGACTTTACACCCGTATCTGGGGAGAATAATTGGAGCTTGTTGCCAGAGTCTGCTGCAGTTTTGGACTATGTTCCTTTACCAGATCCAGAGTCTGAGTTCAAATCAGTTCGGATCTTCACTGAACCGGAGCGGAGTATTGTGCCTCTAACAAAGGGAGGTAGACGAAAAGAAAGTGATGAGTCCTGTCTATTTGTGTTTTTCGCTGGGGAGTACACAACTCCAAATGCACGCAAACTCATTGATGAGGTAAGAAAGAACCAAAGCTAAATGCTTGTATCCCCAAGTGACATTTTCTAAAGCATTCAGTCATGAGGTTTCTCAATGTCCTGTACAAATAAGGAAACAAAAATGACACACTGAAACTCGACAGGAAGTAAGCTAAAGGTTCAGAGATGAGTTTTAACTTCAGTAAAAGATAATAAAGATGTATCAAGTATCTCACATCATAATGTGAGATTTTTTTTTCCCTTTTCATTTCCATATACTGTAGTATATGGAAATGAAAAGTGTATGTATAGAGAGCAGGCGTAGTTACAGTTATTCGACTCAACGCTGTGGTTTAAACATTGCTGGAGTGTATGTAATGTTGCCAAAATATGCACTGTGTCATCAGTGAGGTATGAGCTCTGTGTCACTGTTATAACATGTGCCTCGTGTTCAGGCCACGGCAAAAGGTTTTGTGCTCATCCAGACTAAAGAGGTGTCAATGCGGCCTGAAGATGTGAAGAGGGTTTTCCAGAGCAATGCAGAGGAGCTGGTGGAGTGCATCACCAAAGGTACTGCCGACATTTACCTATGCGTATCTTTGCATTCATTTTTTCCTCTGTGAAATCTGAGCTAGTTTTATTGGACATTAAAGAGTATTTTCAATACCCTAAGTAAAGAGCAAATAGTTTATATGCAGCACTAAGGTAACCCTTTTATTGAAATTCAGGCAGCCAACATGAAGGCATTTTTCAGTCTTTTGAAATATTGTATTTCTAGAGAAAACTTCTACAATAATGCAAGCCTCTCCAAAATATCAATACCACAACAGCCTTATGGTAACATGTCTGAAGGGGTTGAACCCATCATTTCTCCAGGAAGATGGCCATACTTTGCAGTGATAGCAAACATACAGAACAGGAAGCATGTCTAAAATTTAAATCTCCTTGGAAACATGCAGGTGAAAAAACAAGTACTTTGGCAAAAGAAATAAGCCTGTAATTAAGTTCATGCAAGGTAGAAAAATCTACAAATGTCCATAGTGCTTTTCTGCCTCTATCATTTCTATACATTAAAGACGTACTCATCCTCTCCTCTCTCCTCATATAACAGTATTTGGCTGCTCTGTAACACTTCAACAACTTATAATGATGAGAGTTGGTTTTGAACTTCACATTTTCTGGTACAGTCTCTTAAGCTGTTGCTGACCCTGCTTGGAGTGCAATGACACTGTATATATTCAGATATTCATTTGACATGGATGATTCAGTTTAAATTTTTATGTTGTAATTAAAAATGATGGATTTAAACATTTTGTAGGTACTTATACATAAAGGGACTACTTCTGGGTGAAATCACAGGTGTGCTGGAAAACATTTGTCATACATGATAGTTCTGCAACAATGAAGATTTTCCTTTGCAGTGTTGTGCAGAACCTCTCTAAAATAGTTTAATACTTCTCTTTAGGTCCAGTTATTGCGATGGAGCTCAACGGGGATGGGGTTGTTGAAGCCTGCAAGAGCATCGCCAACGAAGTGTTCAGTGGCACCAAGGTATTTAATCATCTATACAGTGTTTAACCCTAATAGAGAAGACAATGATGGGTCCTCCCGTAGTAGTAAAATAAGCAGGGCTGGGTAGTGCTAAAATTAAAAGAACAATCTTGTTACTGACCTGGAAAGTCCCTGTGACTGGTCAATTGTTCCAACCACTGGTGGTTTGACCCCAAAAGCAGAAGCAGGAACTTTACAAGATTATTTTTGTGAGTTTGTGAATTCACAAAAATCACAGGAATTCAGGTAAACAAATGATCATAACTTAAATTAAATTGCAATTTAGAACATCTAGAGCACAATTTATGTATCATTTTGTGCTTTGGTCATTTGGTCAAGAGTTATTCCAGAGAAATATCTTAATCTTAGTAATGTGACAGACTAAATGAATGTGAATTCCAGTAGGCCTATATTGGATTACACACATAGTATTACTTCACTGGCTCTGTAAACATAATTTAACCCATTTATTTTCTGTAGGTGTTTGTGTCTGATAACAAAAACACTTCATCTCGCGATGTGGACAATTTCTTCAACTTTGCTGACATGCAGATGGGACTGTGAGCAACAAGTTTCAACATGAGCCAATCAGATTCCTTGCAGTGTGTTCTGTTTACTGTAGTGATATAACAGAGCATGACTTATTGATTTTTAATAGTTCAGTTCAATGATGTGAAGCACACATAGCACAATTTAAAAGACACTGGGTGAAATAGTTAAGCATTTTATTTAGTAGTCATAATTCAGGGTTGGAATTTTTTTTTTTTTTTTTACACAAATTAAACAGAAGTTTGTTTTTCACTTTGACTATGTTCTATTACTGAAAACATTTCTATGTTAATTTTCCAAAAATAGTTGATCATATAATGTTTTGTAAATCTTTAAAATGCTTGCATTTAAAAGGCTGACTAAGAGACACCTGCTATAAATGAACACTCATTCACTAAGAATGCTGTAATATTTATTTTCTATGAATGTATTTTTTTATTGTACTTTTTCATGTAACTAAGTTACAGGTTAGCCGGTTTGTTTATTATTTGTACATACCATTGCTGTTTTAACAATGTTTGAAGCAATCTGCCTAAGGGAAATGTTTTATATTTTAAATCATATTTTTACTTTTGATTTATTTGTAAATGTGGTTTAGGTAAATGCCTTTGTGTATGTGAATGTAATGTGCAAGTTCTAGGTTTATACATGAGTTGTTATCAGTTAGGCCAAAGCTGAATTGTCAGAATTTTAGCCTGTTCATTGCTGTTTGTTTTAGGAGACATGTAAAATTTTCTATTTCTGGGTGGGCTGGTTTATGTAGTAAATATATGTAACACATTTTTTACATCTATGTTTTGTATAGAACAAAACAATGTGTATTACATAAAATACTTTTTAGTAAAATGTATTTGTGTCAGAAAGCTTGTGTTTTGACTTTATTCATCACATTTTAAGCATGAGTTTACATTATATTCTGCAGAACGTGGTTGTTTGACCGTATATTACTGACTAGTGTGTGGAACAACAGTGAGCCTGCTGCTCTTTGCCAAGACACGACCACATCAGACACACAAAGGCAAGCTCCATGGCAGGAAGAAGCTGCTGGGAGAAGAATACTGATCCATTTCAATTCACATAAATCCACAAGCATCCTTATTTGCTTTATGTATTTGAAAAGTTGCTCCTTTAAGGTTAGTAAAACATTGTAAAAATCACAGGTGCATTGAGAGCGAGAGAGTTGCTTCATGGACAGGCTGGTTGGTCCAGGACTGGGCAGGGGGCAGGAGGGAAGACACATCATTTCTTGCTCTCCCTGGAGTACCTCAGGGCATTGTATCAGTGCATCAAGTGCTTCCACAGGGCTTTTTTAAAATTGGTGTCCTTTGGCGACTGTGCCATCTTCACCAGCTCCAGTGGATTCTCAAACTCATTCCACACTTCCAGCATGTCCTCCTCCATGACCTTCTTCATCTGCTCCCTGGAGACGTTGTAGTCTTTAAACACAGAAAACCATTCCTGAATCCTTATATCTTTTACCTTCTTCATACTCTCTTTTCTTCCTCTCTCCTCCTACCTGTCCTTGTCCCTCTGACAGACCCTGGTCTCATGTTCAAACAGTGCCTCTTTTTGGACTGTAGGGCGCACATGTTGGTCTTTGATTTGGAGCTGTGGATGTACCTGGATGAGCATTGGGACCTGACATGTCCCCAGCTCTCACCAGTTCCTCTGTGAGCGACTCGCCTTGGATGATGTAAAACAAAGAGCTGGTAGACTGTGGACTCCTGAGTGTCATCCAAAGAGTCAGACCTATTGTCTGTCTGGTACTCGTCCACACTCTGTTCCTCATACAGCATTTTATCTTATCTATATCTCATACCTTATCCATTTGAGCTACTCCCCATGTAGCTGTTATCTCTTCCCCCGTTGCTTCCTCTAAATTACCATGCATTGAGAAGCCCCAGAAGGAGTTATCTCTTCATTGGTCCCATATGAAAAATATGTCTCTTTCTCTGGACCTGCAGCTCTCTCTTCAGTAAGATTGGTGGAGATAAAAGGAGCTTTTGGGTTCAGAAGTACTCTATTTCTTCTTTGTCCACTTTCCACTTTTAAGGACGGTCACGAAGAGCACTCCTACTTTTGTAATCCATATTCACAATAACAGTCTAACCCAGGTCTACAGTCACTGTTTTCTAGACAGACAGGGCCCTGTTGCTCTGATTCTTTATGTACACCTAAAAGATTTTCTCCAGATTCACCCTTGGTACTTTCCTCTGTTTGCTTCTAAAGTACTTCCTGTAACTCCTCCCGCTCCACAGTCTCCTCTGCTCTCACCTCTCCCTCTTAGGCCCTTATCTTGTGTTGTTCTGTTGGAGGTTGTCCAGGGCCAGTATGGCGTCTTTCTTGTAGTGGAAGCCTTCCCTATTACCTCCACACCTCGCACCTTCATCTGCACAAAAATTCAGACTCTAACTGCAGCTGGTGTGCTGCAGCAAAGTCAAAGCCTGGATTGGGTTGCTAAATCTCTGGAAGAAGAAGTGGCATATAGTGGCATTATATTTGTCTAACTGTTTGTTTCTTGTTGTTTTATTCTTATGGTATATCTTTTTTTAACAGGACCAAAGTCAGCCAAAAGTTAGTCAAAGTCAAAAAGTATATCTAACCATTTAGACTAGCTTTGTGTTATCAGTAGGTAAATGTTATGGCCAGTACTGGTCAAATCTGATTTTTGGTGTGTTTGCATGCCCCCAAAAATAAATTTAATAAAATCATAACATCTGGTGACACGTGTCAAATTAAATGAATGATATTTAAGATACTTAACATATTTACACAAAGATAGAACATAAAATAACACAGATGTAGGCTAACATTTCATTTTAATAATCTGACAATTTAGGTCAGATTTGTGGTGTGTATGTAAACATTGCCACTGATTTAGTCAAACAAAGCAAACAAAGCATACTACGGGTCAAGATGCCATATCAGTGGCCATTAGTTATCTTTTTCAAATCAGAAGACTGTAATGTGCTGCAGACCCGGCACACCTACCCGTACCTCGTACCTGGTACCTCTCGTACCCCTGCGCCTGTGGCACCCAGATCCATAGTGGCACCCCCTCCTCCTCCCAGCCACGGAGCGCACAGAGCTCCGATGGACGAGAGCCTTGCGTGAGTGACCATGAGGGGGCAGTAGTTTTTGGTACAGTATGATATATCTGAGAAGTTTAGTCTAGTGTAGTGTTTATAATTGATGCAGAATAATTAAGATATAAGCATGGTATTATTACAATCAGCTGCATTTATGTGTAATGTGTAAAGTTTGAGTGCAGACTGAGGAAGAATCTTGCGCACCCTGCTGGGCGCTGCGGCGGAGTTTAGGACCCGGCGGGAGGCGCGGTACAATAGAGCTGTTGTGCTGTGTGTGTGTGTGTGTGTGTAGTGGTGTGCTATATAGTGGTGTATGGTAGTGGATAAGCGACCCTGGAGCTCCTCTCTGCAGATTTACAAACACTACCAAAACCCACCAAGTAACAGCCACGTTTGGACCGGTTGTACCCGCGTTATAACCTGATTTGCGGCTGGTATCTAAAGCGGAGTTTTGGAGGTAAGGCAGTGGGCATGGACAATATGCTGTGCCTGGATTTGCCATGAATGTGGAGGTAGGCCACGGTCTATTTCTCCAGTCTTTTATCAATTTTAGACCGATTTTTGTAACCCGAGAGGCGACTTTTGGCGCTACATCTTCTTAAATTACGCATGGCTTTGGATAAATCTGTATAATACTGGCTCTATGTAGGAAGTGACATTATTAAAGGTGGCGCCCATGTTTGATTCCTCCACAGCCTAGTCGTGTATAACGTGGATTTGGCGCCAATACATTGTTATTTCGGGCTTCACTGCAAGTTCTGCGTCTTGATTTTGTGACTCTTAAATACTTTACAGTTGTACAAATCAAAATGTGTAATAATTCATGTGGTACGATGTTAAAGCGTGGATTACTGGACGCTTTATAGTCGTTTTTCCCTCCGTGGCTCCACATTGTAATCCCCACGTCACATCCGCTCCCTGTGCAGCCGCCCAGCCCCCCACTGCTCTATTTGTCGTAGAGGGTTGTGCACAATCATGGCATTCCTTTATATTCGCTACCTTTGTTATTGTAGCATAAGTGGCAGAATGAATTTACAAAGCATGCGATTGTGTTATTTTAGTAACATTGATGTCCAATTTAGATTCTAGTATACAGCTGTCACATTGTTCTTGCACAGGGTAATTTTGTCACATTTTATGAAGCTGCGAATTACATGCACACAAGACCATTTTGCAGACTGTTATGTGTACTAACAGTATTAAAAAGTTTAGTGAATATGCAGCTAAAAGTAGTCTCACACTATAATTTATGCAAAAAAGTTTTCTTCTTCTTTCTAGATCTTAATATTACAGTGCTACTACTTTTGTTTCTTGTTTACTCCTCCATGTGCTTTCCTCCATGCTCTTGGCAGCTGTTAGGTTTGCATGAACCTTTTTGATGCAAAGAGCCAGTTGTTATACTTTAAATTTTCTCCTAATTTTGTAGAAGTGAATCTGACTGTAGGCAGTTGTGAATTTTGCACCATGGCACACTTGACAATGATAATTCACTTATAACTTCATGGCGAAAATTAAACTTTTAAATTGACATAACAGCATGCAGATTTTACCTGTTTTGACAAAAAAATAAATAAAAAAACATTACTAGAGTGAAGTTTAGAAGCAGTAATATTGTGGTTTTGAATCAGTTGGTAAAATTGCTGCTGACCTGACTTGTATAAATTGAATATCACAGTATCACAGTTTTTTTACTTCTATAAATTCAACTTTTAAGTATATAAAATTTGCTCTATATTACGGTATGGGGCAGGATATATTTCTTGTCTCCCCCCTCGTGCCCTCCTTCCTCATGGGGAATGTAAGGCATGTCCTGTCTGTTGAAGCAGAGCACTGTATTCGCAGCTACAACCATAATGCTAAGTTTGACCCAGTGGTTCAGTAGGCCAATGCAACATGATGTGCAAATATGTCACATTATTATTATTGTGCCCATATCTATAGCCATGTACTTTAACCTGTCCTAATATGTTTTTGCAGGTATGAAACTACACAGATGAAAACTGACTGAAATCTCTACTAGCATGCTCTTCCATTTGAAATTTATGGTGAGGTATCACACTAGAAGAGTGGTTTGGTTTATTTACCAAAACAAATGTTTAACTTGTATTTAGTTTCTTTATGTTAACACAATGATACTTTTCTACAGGATGATACAGGATGAAACGCATCAGGTCCTCCAGCAGTAGTGACAGTTCTGACAATGAGAGTAAGTCTACTGTAGTTACAAAATATGACAAAGCTTTCAAAGAGAACTGATTATTTACTTTTTTGTCCAGGTCCATCAACGTCCTTCTGCTCTTCAAACAAATATGGCAGTAAACCGGGAACCCCCGCCTCTAGCCAGAAGAAACCTGCTGAAGTGAGAATACAATTTATTATCAATATTTTAGAAATAGCACAATAAACATTGGGATATATAGCAGTGTTAACTCTCACAATTTCAGTGAAAACGTTTACTGTTTTTTTCTATAAACTCACAGCAACATGACACCAAGTGGGAACTACTACAGGAACTCTTGTAAAGGGATTATTAATTGTTAAATTTTGTATTTGTGGGTTTGTGCTAGAAACTGCTCCAGATTTGTCCCAGATTAGTTGGTTGATTTGACTGAAAGTAAGAGTTAGAGAAATAAGAGTTAGTTACAACTTTCCCTTGATGTTTTACATGCCCAGGAACTTCACAGCTTTTATCAAATAATGGACAAAAAGGGAAAAAAAAGTCTAACAACAGCTGTGAAATGAAGAGTAGAAACACCAGAGACACTTGAATCAAAATTGTGAATCAATCTCCCATTGTGCAGTGACAGCTCTGTGAGTTTTTATGATATTTTTCTGATTTTATATTTAGGTGTTCAGAAAAGACTTGATCAGTGCCATGAAGTTGCCAGACTCTCACCACATTAACCCTGAAGACTTTTACCTTTTGGCCGACACATGGAAGCAGGAGTGGGAGAAGGGCGTACAGGTTCTGGCCAGTCCAGACACAATCCCACAGCCCTCAGTCAGGTAGGCTGTCAGATACATAGAGGGAAACTACTATAAAATAGAGAGTTCACTATTGTTGTGTAATATTGCAATATTTATGATGTGATGCTGGGAATTTTATTTTGGGGAGATTGTTATTCTTCAACATAAATTCTGTCCCCCTCTACTGATGTCATTGGAGATATTTCACAGTGCTTTGTCTGCTCAGTGCGAAGTTTTTTTTGTTTAAGAAACAAAAACATTATCATTCACTGCATTTCACATAAAATATGATAATATATATATATATATATATATGTATATATATATATATATGTGTGTGTGTGTATATATGTGTATATGTAAGGTTGTGAATACGATTTACAAGCAGCATTCTAGATTTTTTTATTGTAGTCACTTAATTTCCTTTTTTAACTACAGAGTCGTTGCAGACAAATCTAAAGAGATGCTGTACACTCATAAGAAGAAGTACATCCAGTGCTCAAACCCAGACCTGACAGAGCCGGGGTACGTGAACATCCGCGAGCTTGCAGAGTCCATGTGTCGTTATGATCTGGACGAAATGGACCTGTACTGGCTCCACAACCTCAACAAAGAGCTGGCACACATGGGTGAGTTAAAAGTACTATGTTGTCCAATTAAAAACAGACAGAACTTTAAACATGTGTTTTTCAAGCCAGCGCATTTTCATAATTTCATAAGGTGTTTAAGAACTTGTGGTCAGACTAAAACTGTTTCTGACACAGGCTAAAGGCATGGATTTACCTGATAGTATTGACCTGTGCCAGAATTGTGACAGTTAACAAGACGATTAGAAGGAACTTTTCCTGTTTATATGTTGCATAAAAAAAGCATTTTGGTTTAACTGTATTTCAGGGGAGGAGTCAATAGATGAGCTGACAATGGAGCGTACCCTAGAGGCACTGGAGCGGCAATGTCACGACAACATGAAGCACGCGATTGAGACGGTGGAGGGTCTGGGCATTGAGTATGACGAAGACGTGATCTGTGACGTGTGCCGCTCGCCCGACAGCGAAGAGGGCAATGACATGGTCTTCTGTGACAAGTGTAACATCTGTGTTCACCAGGTCAGCTTCTGGGTTCGCTATAATAATCAACAACAGCTTAGTGTCTAGCGCTCTCCACTCACAGCAAGAATGTCTCAGGTTTTCACTATGTCAGTCACACCATAGTGAAACAAAATCTAGCATTAATGAATTTCTTACTATACAGAAGTCCGCACTTCTGTTTTAGACTACACACAAGATCAGTGTGATTCACCTGACACCACTACATATTTTTGTGCATTGTGTTCTGATCAACCCTTCTGCTTTAGGCTTGTTATGGGATCGTTAAAGTGCCTGTTGGGAACTGGCTCTGTCGGACCTGTGTCCTGGGCATCGACCCTCAGTGTCTGCTCTGTCCCAAGAAAGGAGGTGCCATGAAGGCCACTCGGGCCGGAACCAAGTGGGGCCATGTGAGCTGTGCACTGTGGATACCAGAGGTCAGTCATCTGCTAACATATTTTAACATGATAATCTATTGTCTTACTACTGTATCATCCATAGCTGCCAAGCTATTGATTCACCTTTTTTACATCTTTATTTTTTCTGTTTCATAGGTGAGCATTGCTTGTCCAGAGAGAATGGAGCCCATTACAAAGGTGTCCCATATTCCCCCGAGTCGCTGGTCTCTGATCTGCAGCCTGTGCAAAATAAAGACAGGAGCATGTATACAGGTGAGTGTATACCAAAATGCTCCTGACATGATGCTGTAGTCAGCACACAGCCTTTTGAATTAGTTTCCATATATTTCTGATGTTTTTTCTTCTTTGTTTTCCGTGTGTCTCCAGTGCTCGGTGAAGAACTGCACCATCCCCTTCCATGTGACGTGTGCGTTTGAGCACAGCCTTGAGATGAAAACCATTTTGGATGAAGGGGATGAGGTCAAATTCAAATCCTTCTGCCTCAAACACAGCAAGCCTAAGTGTGGGGAGCCAGGTCTGAGCCCAGTCCGGTCCAAACCCAGTGGGGAGGCAGTGAAGGGTGGGCAGCGTGCTCAGAGGCTGCAGGAGTTGGAGGAGGAGTTCTACACACTTATTCAAGTAGATGACTTAGCCAAAAGCCTCGACCTGTCTGAACGCAGAGTGGACTTCATCTATCAGTACTGGAAACTTAAGAGGAAAAACAACTTCAACAAATCATTGCTGCCTCCCGCAGAGGAGGAGGAGAGTCTAATGCTGCAGCCACAGGAGGACAGTATCCACACACGCATGAGGATGTTCATGCACCTCAGGCAGGACCTGGAGAGGGTGAGCCATATCCACTCTGCCATTTGTTTATATCAGGGGTGCCCAGTCACTTTACACTCTAAACTCACAGGAAGCAGGGAGCAGCTCATAGTTCACTTATCTGCCTGGTCAGAAGTCCAGTGTTTATCGACTGTCACTTGTACCAGACAATAAACTTCATATGGTTAGACAGGGCTTTGGAGACCAATGTCCAATGGCTTTGTCAAGATAGTAAATTTTCTTTGGTTGAAAATGCAGAGTTTAAGTTTTAGAATTTTTGAACAGTTGCATTACAGTTTTAACTTGCCCAATTTTCAGACACATTTAAGGCTCAAGTTCATTTTCCCACTTGATATATATTTTTTATGTCTCACATTTTTTAAAAGAAAATTTCAGATATATTTGATGTGGTAATGTTAACTGTTGTTAGGCCTTTAAAAATATATACCGTATCCTGATATATTGATTTATAGAATGAGACCAACTTAATATATTTCCTAAGCTAATATTAGAATAAGAGTTCTATCAATGAACATGCTTTGTGTTATGGTGATTTTATACATACACAATATCTATTCAGACATATAAACTGTGGTTTTCAGGTGAGGAACCTGTGCTACATGGTGAGCCGTCGAGAGAAGCTGAAGCTTCTGCAGAGTAAGGCCCAGGAGCAGATGTTCAGTCTTCATGTTAAACTCATGGACCAGGAGTTCTCAGCAGGTGAGAAAATGATCAAAAATGACACTGAATTTCTAGATAGGCCAGCACAATAAAAAAAGGTATATATTTAATGATGATATTATAAAAATAAGAACTTTGATTATTCCTTATTATATTTATGCATATCTGCAGGTCTTCCGGCATCATTCCCTGTGGAGAATACACTCTTTCACCCTCCTCCTCGGATAACACTGAAACTCAAAATGCCCAAATCGACAAGTCAAAATGGAAACATGAGTAATAAATCAGCCAACGGTCCATTGTGCCTGGACAACAGTTTAAATGTCACCGACCAAGCATCTGGAGAGGGGCAGGGACAGGGCAAACCTCTGCTCCACCCTCGAAACCAGAAAGAGGAGCGCTCCAATGGCCGCTTGTCTTCATCAAACAAAAAAGTGAAACCGTCTGGTAAACCCTTAGCGCTGCATGCTGCTCTTCAAGGCCACTCATCCAATGGAAAACATAACAAGGACAGTAAAGTGTGCAAGACAAAACTGAATGGGGTTTTGGATAAATATGTTGCACAAATGGACAACTCTTGCCAGACAAAAAGCGACGCAGAAGCAAATAAAGCACTGGAGAAGGCTAGTTTTCGGAAAGTTGCAATAGAGCATTTTGGGAAATCATTCAAAGAAGCTACAATCAGTTTAGTCCGGGCAACCGAAGACATGAACACTGAAAACCTGTCCAAAAAAGGAGCAACTAAAGAAGGACTATGTGCCAAGGCTGTTTCAGTTAAAGGCACACGAGACAGCGATGGCTACTGTCCTGACTTGGAGCTTAGTGATTCCGAGACCGAGGCAAAAGGTAGATACAAGCAGCAGAGGATACTGTCACTGGACGGGCCCAAAGTAAACTCTGGGAAAGGCTTAAGCAGAGGCAAGCAGGCTTTTAACTCTAGACAGCCCAGGCAGAGGTGACAACTGCTGGGGTAGTCCTGGGTCTTCCAAAAGGGTCCTATCAATTGCAACCTGAGGGCAACTCACTCCAAAATATATGTTAATCCCTGACTAGATCCTGGACTTTAAGATCTGTCCACAAGATTCTCTATAAAACATTGTTCCATATAGTCTAAATAGTCTGCTGCCTTTTCCTCTCAAAATAAATGTCTTGAGAGTCAGGACTATAATAAGACATAAAACTCTTTCCAAAAACACCTACACATAAACTGGCCAGTAATCTGTTCAAATTGTACCCTTTCATGAACGAGTAACTAAATCTGCCTTACAAGATACTGCTGTATATAAAGTGTTGAAGTCTGATGTTTCAAAGTATTTTTACAAGTTGTTCGCCTGAAATGTTTTGTACACAGTTTTCTACAGATGTTGAATGACTTTTTCATGTTTTGTGTTGGTTTCAAACGCAAATGCCTTTTAATGTATACCATTGAAGACCATTGTTGCATTCAAAGTATTAAAGGCCAAGCTGAACATATTCACACAGACAGCATTTTGTGGTTGTGCGAACTAATCATATTTAAAGTTTAAATTCCTTTAAGACCTGATATTATGCATAAGAATTTGCAGGCAGCACAAACCACAATAATAAAACAATAATGATATATCAACTAAAAACTGAGCCAAAACAATATTGTGATAAAACAGTATTTTGGATTTTAAGCACAGCAGTTTTTCTTCCCCAACTAATAATTTGGCCTCCATTGTGTAATCTCTAATAGGATAAAATTTCATTGAAGCAGTCAGCCTTAAAAAACTGTTCCATGTTTTTGTACTATGAAAACCCTGGTTTAGAAATGGACCATTACTTGACTGAGCTGAAATCAAGACTAAATCAGCTCTGACTCAGTGTTCTTAATGAGGGCTTCAACCGTAAAAGGCTCTATGGCATTTGCCTTTTAAAGCGTTATACAAAAACACTAGTCCCCTTCCCTTAAACCTGCTGAACCAATCTCACTACAGGTTTGCTAAAAGCTAAACTGAACTCTTCTTTTGGTGCATTGAACGCTTCATTTGGTGCTGGCTACTTGTTCATCTGTTTTAAGTTATTTCTGCCAAACATTTCTCTGTTCTGTTCATGTTTTTATTGTTGTGAGCTCGAGCTATGACTGTAGGATGACTGAGGTCTGTATGGTGCTTTACCAGTTTACAAAGTCCATAAAGCCATTTCATGTTATACTTCTCCTTTTGGACATTTTAAAAATAAAAAAGTTCAAATCAGTTAGGTTTTGTTCATTGTCCTGAATGTAAGTATAATAATATAATGGCAAATGAAATGGGATATTATTGTTATAACGCCAATCGGGCTGTAGAGGGCAGCACTTACTCAGTTACATATTAATAGCCCGTCCAACTTTTTCTTATACTTTGAGTGTCATGAAGATGTACTCAGTCATCTCAGTCTTAATAAGGTCTATCCTAACAATATCAAATAGGCTAAATTACATTGCCAACACTAGTCCTATGCATTTCCAAGTCATGGTTGCATGGTCTAGTTGTGATTCCTTGATTTTAGTTGTTCTCCCTGCTCTGGCCAATGCTGTTTCAGGGTTTATTGACCTGCTGAAGAAGCTAAGTAAAACTAAGTGAAGCTTTAATCAATAGTCACTAGAGTCAATTAGTCCTGGGCTCCATACATAATCCCTGCTATTATCCACAAAACCACATAAGCACTTTTAAAGGAGACTAAAGGCAGATGGAAAAAGTAACTTAAAACGTACTCATTTACTAGGAAATTTTATAGGCTAATAATTGCACTTCTAAGAGTTTCCAGGGCACAACAGAGGAGCTCTAACATTAACTAATTAAGCGCATTAGGAGATTTCCTCAATTTTCAGCTCATAAGTTAAAGAATGCCTGCTGATTAGAATAAATTGAACCAGTCTATACAAACTAAAAGCAGGATAATTGATATTGTTCTTCTGAAGGGAATCTTCAGTCTTCATGGGTGCAGAATGTGCACAATGGCTGTATTAACACGTTTATGGTTCCGTGTATAAGCGTGAACTGAGAAGCTGGGAAGCTGTAGAAATTTGCATGTCCTTTTCCTGTTTGAGCACGGTGCGCTCGGGTCCTTTAAGAGAAGCGCCTCGCAGCGCCTCTGCTGATCTGTGCAGTTCCGCCTTTTCTTTTGTAAAATTGCAGCAGCTCAGGACAGACGCATACCGCCGCTAACACACCGGGAGCGTCCTGACAGCGTGCTCCACCTGGCCACGGCCACAACAACAACCAGGACTAACCACAGCACGTTTCTGTAATAAAGGATGCTGACGTTTATGACCGGCGTCAGCAGCGTCCAGACGGAGACAGGTGGAAGAGATGAAGAGAGGACAGCCAAGCGCATCGGCCAAATATGTTTCGGAGAGCCGTGGTGAGGTCTGGAGAGGCGCTCGGATGGGGCAGTTTGCGGGGCGCATGGTTTAAAGTGTAGTCATCATCACATTCCCCTGATCGGCTCTATCGGCTGATTCAGGACGGAGTTAACGCAGCAAGTAAGTGTGAGTGTGTCTGCAATGGGACAGTGGAGGGCAAGGTCTCACCATCCCTGTGTTTAGTCTGATCACAAAGTGAGTCATAAATTAACTGTTACAAAAGATTTTAGAGGATAATGCATTCTAGAAGAATAACAAATCACATAAGAATATCAGCTTAACTCTTTCAGAAAATAAATTTTGGGCAATGAGGATGGCTACAGTGTGTGCAGACAGTAGGCTATTATCACTGCAGCACTGATAATGCCTCCATTATTATAGGACATTCATTTTTTATTTGCCTAAAATCCCAACAAGTATTAGAAGGGATTCAGTGAGAATATTAGACAAATTGTTCCACTGCCTGTGTAGGTCTGCAAGAGACAGTGCACATCAGTTGCAGAAAGATCATGATTGAGTGAAAAGTGGTCAAAATGTCATATACAAGGTATAAATGTGACCCCCAGGCTTATGTCATCGGTGCTGGTGTCTGGGATGGGTGAGTGGAGTCTGGCTGAGCTGCCCATGGACAGATGGATGTCCCTCCTGCCCCCTCCTCTGTGGGACATCCCACTGTATCACCTCGCTATCCCAGGTACACTATTCCTGTTTTTAGAATAGCTTATTTTTATTACCTTACTTTATTCGTTTTTACCTTTATTTAATCGGGATGTCCAGAAGCTCCTTTACAAAAGAGTAAATGTGAACAATGTGTTGTTACAATGTGTAATTTCATAATGCGTTGAGGTATATTCATACGATTAATAGCCTAATTGTTATTGACAGCATTTGTCATGTTTCTGATTCAGGCAGCCACAATGCCATCACCTACTGCCTGGACATGAATGACCGCTCCCCAATGGACCTGCTGCAGCCGGACATGCTCCAAAAGCTGGACAAATACATGAAGCCCCTCATCAGGCCTTTTGTCTACAAGTGGGCTGTAACTCAGGTAATAGTTTTAAAAAATCTCCTTGGTGTTAAAGTGAGTTGAACCAAACTAGCACTTCAAGTAGTGGTGATGGCAGCAGACGCTGTTCAAGTTCATTTACAAACCGAGGTGAGCCAAAGTGCTTTACATGTTAGACAACAAAATTACCAACGTTAACCAAATTAGGAGTAGCAACAGTGTAGTTTACATACATACATAGTAGTTTTCTAGGGAGTAGACAAGTTATATTGGAGAGGGCCCCATGTGAGGCTTCTTGTCCCAGGGGCCCTAAATGTGGGTCTATTAGAATGTCTATTATAATATAGTACAGTACATTCTAATAGTACTTTTTATTACCAACCATGTTAAAAGATACAACAATAATGTATTCATTTTTTCTGATATTTAGGAGTACAACATAAAGCAGCAGCTGGACTGTGGAATCCGATACTGTGACCTCAGAATTGCGCATCGACCTAATGACCCCTCAACCGACTTGTACTTCTACCACGGAGTCTACACCACCATCACTGTACAGGTAAAGCCCACTATCACCACTGTACAAGGCCACACCCACCACTGTACAAGACCACACCCACTGCTGTACAAGACCACACCCACCACTGTATAAGGCCACACCCCCTGCTATACTTTGACTCATAAAAATAATGTACTCTGCTTTATTTGTCAGACTGTTTTGCTGGAGATCAGGGAGTGGTTGGACACTCATCCCGGTGAGGTGGTGATCCTGTCCTTCAGTCACTTCCTGGGACTGAGCCAGGAGCTGCACATGCTGCTGTTGACCACCATTCGCAACACCTTTACCTCCAAGATCTGCCCCAAAATGGTCAGAAATTCTGCTATTTTGCATTCACACTTGGCAAAGCAAATTAGCAAGTGTCGTAATTGTAATAATCATAGAATCATAGTGTTTACAATTTGTCCATACATGTGCTGTTGTGTCTTTGGATCAGACTCCCACAATACTCGCTCCAGTTATGATATGAGTTTGGAATATCTGTGTGTTGACTTTGTTCTTGTATTATATAAATCTGAAAGTATAGTATCCAGTACATCTCTACAATAATAGTATAATTGTGTATATCCATATGGTGTCCCAGGTGTTCCAGTTACTTCACTGACCTTTCCAGGGATTACCACATTTCTCATATGAACGCCATTGGTGCAAATAAAACGGTTTACATGCTGAACTGCAAAAAAAGCTACATTAGAACAAATAATATATGGAATTGTGAGCAGTTTTATTTTTTTAGATTTTCTTTTATTTATTTAAAAACAAGTCACTAAGTCATAAGACTTACATTATTTAACATGTTGAATTAATTATTAATTTCTGACTGGTTTGAATACGTATACGGGGGGGGGGGGGCAGAAGATCTCACTTGCACTTTTGTTTACTACATGGCACTTTCAAATAACTACTGTCAGTTTCTTTGGGGGTAGATTAATACATTTGCCCTTTATGTGTGAATTGCATTTGATTCCAGGAGCCGTTAACCCTCCGAAACCTGTGGTCGATGGGATACCAGGTGATTGTGTCCTACGAACATAACATGTCAGGCTGTCACTCTGAGCTGTGGCCTCATATACCTTATTGGTGGGCCAATAAGTGCAAGGCGGAGTCACTCATCGAAGTGTTTGAACTGAAGAAACAACATGGGCGGCCAGGTAGACCCCACAACCTTTACATTTGATTTTACTATTGAGGCTGCTGCTGCTGCTACTACTATTACTACTATTACTACGCACTATAACTTTACAGCTTATTGGCATTTGTCACACACAGCCACAAATTGTACTGACAATATTACAATACACTCTTATTTTTGCATCTTCTTTTGTTAGAGATTCTACAGTTTAAACAAGCAAGAACATTTTTAAGACTTCTGCTATACCTACAGTTATGTAAAGCAAATATATGTCATCTAATATTCACTATAATTAGAGAGAAGAGTTGATAATACAATATACATTATTTCATGCACTAGTACCACTGCCAGTATCCTAACATATCACATTGTGTTTTTCCCCCAGAAGGGTTCTTTGTGACTGGAATCAATCTAACAGAGGATCTGAAGTACATCTGCACTCACCCGACTGAGACACTGAAGGATTTGGTCATGTCCACATACCCCGCGCTGCTGGAATGGGTCAAAGAGCAGACGCCAGGAGCCAAACCAGGGGCCCTCAACATCATTGCTGGGGACTTTATCACAGAGTGCCACTTTGTACCCTCTGTGGTTAGACTCAATGAGAAACTACTCAAGTGGTCCTGCTGACTCTGGACACTAAATGAAGACTGGACACAAAATGTGAATTTTAGCATGAAAAATACACACGCTTGCTGCTTTGACAAAAGAATATTTGAGTACTTGAATTAAACTGGCCACATTGTTTGGTATACACTTATATTAGTTAACAACCAAAACATGTACAATTGGTTTATCCTCCATATTTAGCTCTTGACACAAGTTCTGGGGAAAGTTTCCTAGGTCCTGAAGTGCTCTAGCCACTACTCTTAACAATTTGCCCCAACAGCTTTGAAAGATGGGTCAAATGCCCGAAACAGAAATGTCACTGTGGTATAGCGCTGAGTAACAAGTCATAAGCAGTGGGCAACTTCAGTGCAACCCCAAGGACCCTTCTCCAGATCTTTAATCATAATCTTGGTCTGGAGTGCCTATCTGGAGGTTTATCTAATAGTGCATGTTTTAAGGAATCTTAGTGTTGTGACGTTAACATAAGAAAGCATTCCTACTAAAGTGGCTAGTGAGTTTACTTGTTAAATAGAAAAATGCACTTCTTTTAGACAGTGAATTGTATGTACCTGACTACAGAAATATGGCTTTTACTTGCACTTGTTTACATTTCACTATATCACAACCATTATCATTTTCAACCATTTTGTGTGTTGAGTTTACAAAAGCAATAATGAAATACGCTTTAGTCATTTCACTATTATGAATTAATATGCATCTTTAGAAAAGCACAACTATGGATACAGAAAAAAGCACATGATTGTCAAGGCAAATGCTTTGGAATAAGTCAAACCCATTTGACAGATATGGAAATGTTACTAGATATTTGTACTCAAGTACCCTTTTTTTCTAATGCCGTATCTTGACTGTGGGTCTTGGTAGTTACAGAAATAGCAAAAATAATAGTATATCACTATTATAAAAAAAGCAGCTGGTGTAATATTACAGACGCTATTTTAGAGTCACCAAAGCAAATCATCAACTCTCATTTTTTGTATTGTGTATCACACCATATGCCTTTGACACAACTCCGTTCCTTTATCCAGGCTTGGGACTGACTCTTGCTGAATTAGTCAATATAATATGAACCCTCGTAAGTGTTGACTTGTTTACTTATGCAATTATTTTATCACTTGTTTTGACTGATGGTAAACCTAAATTGGATTTTTACTTGAGCACACATTGTAAGTACTTTCCGTATCTGTATGGAAAAGTAATAATTGAAACCCACATCACTGAAAGATGACACTTGAGGCAAAATGCATGGAAAACCCACATTTGCATGAGCCAGCCTTATTGACTGTTCACGTAACTTAAGCTATCACTATAAGCAATGTGTGATCTTGCACCACTGTGCCTGTCTGTGGATACTGCTAACAATTATTTAGTTTGACTGATATTTAAATCAGTAAATGTTGGGCTTAGCCAAGTGACTGATTAAAAATATTAATTTAAAAACACATGCATTTTATATGAATGTTGCATCAGTGGCACATACTCAGTTTTTCTGCAGATCTCATTAGCCTACTGATATCATCTATTCTTTTATCAAGACTATTGACTGTATGAAAAATAAGCATTGAATTACACATTTTTAATTGGTAAGTTTGATACCAAGCAGGGTGCATGTATTAACAGCAATATTTTTTCTGCTTTAAGCTTAGGCTATGTATTTAAAACTCTTTATACTTCACTGAATTGTAAATGACATTATGTTAATAAAACAGCATTGTTCTTTTTCATTGAATTAATCCAATGAGTCTGTGCATAATTTAATCATGCATTCCACTTAAAATTCATCAAGTAACAAGAGGAGGTACTATAGGGCAGGGGTTAAGTAGGCCTACTGTATAGTATGTCCACTCTACTCACAGATACTGGGCAATAATTAGAAATCCACGATTAATCTCTTTAACTACATTTAAGTATAAAAATAGCCTTCACAACACAAATATGACTTGAATTCAATAACGATCAAATTATATCCTCCTGAGACCCGACGCATTCATTTGTGTTTTTTATAGTGGACATTGAATTAACCAGTCTTGTGATTTGAGACAAACTCTTAATGGGGGCACTAGGTTCCTCTGCCTAAATAGTAGGTTGGGGGATTATAGAGTACTACTATGTCCAGGATAGGCATCTAAAAACTTATTGAGGCGACTGTAGAAGCTTGTCAGAGATGTTGGTCATCAGAAAAGTTATTTTTATTAGGTTGTTAACTTCACATGGATTTAACACCAAAATGTCCCAGGCGTCCATTACAGAGGACATGTTATAAAATTATAAATACAAATAAAATGAACAAAATCTAAATACTAAGATGTTCATTTACCTCCAAATTGACAGAAAATCACAAAAATCAATAAATCAATTAATAAATAAAATATTACAATACACTTTTTTTCTTTATGTCTCAGGAGGATCTGCTGTTATAGGCCTACTCGTCAATTAGGCTATCACTAAACAATTTTATTTATTATCAAACTGGACAATCATTGTTCATTGATTAATGTAATACATTAATCATGAATACAATTTATGTATATATATATATTTTTTATATATATATTTTTGTATTCCTTTTTTTATTACACATAACTGGGTGCGTAAACGTGATACAACAAACGTGGCTGTGTCTTCAGCAGTTACATGTCTGGATGAGGGAACATAAACACAACATATTATATAATAGCAACAATAATAAAACAACATAAAAAGACCATTTGTATAGTTAAAAAAATAAAAAGATGATAGCAAGGGGAGTAGAGTTCATAGAGTCCAAGGGAATTTCACATATATTCAGGAATACATTTTAGGTCCATTCATATAGTTCAGATTTTATGTATAATTTGAATTCATTTAAAAAATTTGTAAAGTTTGGGGGACACCTCTGAATTTTATATTTGTGGATGTAAAATTTGGCAAGACATAATATTACATTTTTGCTTTCTTTTTGTATTTACTTCCTTTCCTTTGACCCAAGCCCCGCCCCCTATAAATGACGTACGTGGATGTTTTTAAATGGGATTTTTTTCCGCATGGCCACAGGATGAAAAGCGCGTTTACCTTTAAGTAGGACACTAGTGAGTTATTTGCAGACTACAATGACCTGCTTCACAACAACCAGGGATATTTAAAGCTTCTGTCGGTTTTAAAGTGGATGTTTTTTATCATGCTGAGATTCTGTACATAAAGCTGCGCGGCTCGGTTCGTGGGGTTTAGGCAGTTTTGGAAGAGTCCCAAAAAAAGGTCTCACTGCGATCAGGATGCACTGTGAGAACTGGATGTCCGCTTTACCCGAAGAGATATGGGACGTCCCGCTCACCCACCTGGCCATACCTGGTACAGTACAGTGCATTCATGTTTATACTCTGTTTATGTTTTCATTATGTAGAAGACTGAGTGGTGTTACAGCATAGACATAGTATAGGGTGGACCAGACGTCCCTATTTATCCGGGACAGTCCCAGTTTTGAGCCCTGTGTCCCCTGTCCCAGCAGATTTATCTCAAACCACTGATGTGTCCCAGTTTTATACAAGAAATGTCCCAGATGTCCCTATTTTTGATCATCTGATACCTGCCAACAGTAAAGAGAGGCATAAATTGTATTTTGTTTAGGTAAAATACAGAAAAATTACAAAAACTAAGAAAATGTGACTATACTGACTCACATTAGTGCCGAGTGTATTACAAATTTCCTTAATACACACTCATTTCACAATTTTGTTATTACCAACCAACCTAAACCAGGGATTTTTTATTTTGAAAATTTGGTAACCCTGACATAGTAGGCTACATTGCAACAGTCAAGAGTAAAAAGACATTATTATTTTTAGTTTTTAGTTTGTCTTGAAAAAGAAAGGGGGGCAGAAACATAAGATTTTTTCTTCTTTCTGACTTTCTTGCATCTATGCTATAATTAAATAATTAATAAATAAAAATAGATTTGACATATTACTAACTAAAATTAATATTAATTAAAAATAGTTCCTTCAGCTTATGTTTCTGTATACATTTTCATGCACTTTTCAATTTCAATGCTATAACAAATCAAAATATTAACCAATTAAAATTGATCAGCAGTGATTCCATTTTGCCTTTTCATGTTTATTATATTTTCTGGATAAATATCGTTATTTTAAGTATCACCAAAATGTCACACAGGAAGCCACGATGCCATGAGCTACTGTCTGGACATCAGCTCTCCCCTCGTCCGCTCTGAATCAGACTTCTTCAGGGTCCTGGACTCAGTCTGCTGCTGCTTCACAAGACATGTCATCTTCAAATGGGCCACAACTCAGGTATGTACAGTATGCAAGAGATAATATTACAGGTTACAGGATATGAAAAAAAGGAATTTACTTCCTGTATATATTTTAGCCACATTTACAACTGTTCTTCATTTCTAGCTTGAATTCAATGTTTTGTGCCGGTTCAATGAAGCTGTGTCATAGAATATTTCTCATATTTAGAAATCAATTCTTAACAATTTGCAACAATGTTTTTTTTCATAGCATTGCTTAAAACCAAATATGTTACCTTTTGATTATTACGTACTTGGAAATGATAATATATGCATTATTTCAATAGATTTTCTCTACTTCTCTTTGTTTTATATTTAGGATAAAACTATTGAGGAACAACTCTCTTTGGGCATTCGATACTTTGACCTGAGAATTGCTCACAAACAAAACGACCCCAGTCCTGACCTGTATTTTACCCATGTACTGTACACACACCTCACTGTCCTGGTGAGTCAATCAACCAATCATCAGTTACAATTATCAGTAAAACAGTTTGTCTTTAACCGGCCATTCTCTGAAACAGGAAACACTGATGTCTGTCGCTGGATGGCTCAGATCTCACCCAAAAGAAGTGGTCATTCTCGAATGTAGCCATTTTGAGGGGATCAGCGAAAAACTTCATGAATCCTTTATTTTTTCCATTAAGAAAATATTTGGATCCAAACTCTGCCCCAAAAAGGTACATTTTCAATTTGTATTAGTATAGGTTGAAGGAAAAAAATGTGTTATGATTGAATTTTGAGTAACTTAACCGTACTTATGCCTACTTTGTGCCAAAAGGCCGATATTTCTTTGAGGAATCTTTGGGCATCTGGATACCAAGTTATTCTGGCCTATGAAGACCAAATCGCAGCAAGACACCCAGAGATGTGGCCGGGTGTCCCGTACTGGTGGGCCAATCAGAAAACAGCAACAGAAGTCATAAGGTACTTGGACTGGAAGAAGGAGCTTGGACGACCAGGTAAGATCAATCACCCCCTTTTACATTTTTTTCAGATCTGTCAAATCCTATTATCAGTGAGGAATGCATCATAAACAAACACACCATTTAGTAGCTGGGCTTGAATTACATAATGTTACATAGGGTTAGGCATTAAGTGGTTCACTCTAGATAGATCAAGTCTTATATATATATAGATAGAATGTTTGTTAGCCTCTAATTTAGATTTTTTTTCTGCAGAGGGTTTCTTTGTGTCTGGCCTAAACCTGACGGCTGACAGGTATTACATCGCCACTCACCTGAGGGACTCGCTGCGCACCTTGACTTTGAAGAACTGGGAGTGCCTGAGGTCCTGGGTGGAAGAACAGGTTCCTGGATCTCAGCACCAAAGTGTAAACATAATTGCTGGGGACTTTGTTGGCCCCATCCCCCTCTGCCCAGTTGTTATAGGGCTCAACCAAAAGCTGCTCAGAAAAAACAACAAAAATGGCATTCACTAGCTTTTAATATAATGTTTTTAAATGGTATTATGGGTACCTTCCAAACACTGTGATTGAACTTGCCTTTTTCCCTTAATAATTACAGTTGGTTAAAAGGGTTTTCCTTATGGGTTTGCATCAATAAATAATGTCTTTCCCATTCAGCAGTTGTATGCATGCTGGTCAGAGATCACATTTCTTGTGCCAGATGCCCTTCCTTCATCATTAGGTTCAGTTTCATCCCAAACAACTCAAAAAACACAGTTAAAATGGGATTTGCTCATATTTACTGAAAGTATTTAAAGCTACTTTTATGTACTTTTACATACTGGGAACATACTGGGACATACTGGGAATTTTTGCATAAATAATCATCTTAAACAGTGGTGTCCAGTGATGGGGGGGGCTCAGTAGCATTTTGTCTGTTGTTACTATATAGATGGTTGTTATGCTCTGAGCCAAATTTCTCCATGAGGACACGAAATTAAAAAAAAACTGAAACCTTCCTAGTTTACTTTATGTCAGTGTTTTCAGGGTTTTATGCCTTCCCTTTTCTGCATTTATCGGGTATGGCACTGGCATGTTGTCAATATTACCTCACTGTGGCTGAAAATAACAGGGACTTTATTAGCATTACGGGTTACTTTGTTATTTTATATTTACAACTGTGAATTAATTAAGCATTGACTTGCAAATTGTCTGCCTTCTAGTGTGTAGCGATCTTAAAGGTGTTATAGCATCACACCAGATGCCCTTATTAGTTATAACCATTTCTTCAGTTTATATGGAAAAAAAGAGAAAATTTTAGACAGGAGTAACTTGTGTCCTGTATTTTATATTTTTAACTCTTTAAACATATTTTGGAAAATTTTGGGTTCTATTTGACAGTTCAGTATTGCGGGTAGGAACCTTCAGGAAGCTATCTCTCCACATTTGGACCACAGTGCAGAGGCAGACTTGCTTGTGTACCTGGGTTCGAACAGCATATTATTTGTGTCCTGTTTGTATTCTGCTTTTTCAGTTGTTGGTGTTGTTAGACATTTTATTTTTAAGTGTTATATGGGTGTATTACTATGCACCGAATAATGGTATCTGTGCAATAATCTTAGGTGAAATACTTTTTGTAAAACTTGGAATGAAAGATGAATGAAATAAATCAACTTGTGCCATCAATTGGTTTTCATAAATTTATTTTATGAAGAGTATCTTTCCTTATTGTACAGTTTTCATACAATTGTATTCATTTGGCTGCATCCCTTGTCATTAAAAACAAACTAGTAGCATGGCAAATAGATGCATTTGGTTAATCCAACATTCATCAAATGATCAGGCAAAAAGTTTTCACCTCTAACAAGTGAATATCTTTATCTCTTCTTCGAAACACCTGTTGACATTATTGTATTGTACAATGTCTAATGTAACAAAAATATTCTAGACTGGAGGACTGAGCATCTTTTTCATGTATTAACATTTGAACAATGTCTTACACAGACATAAAGTAGACCAGACAGCCTTTGTGATTTGTTTATTAGCTATTGGCCATCTTTGAACAGTTTCTTGTAGCGTCCATAAGCAGCATTAGATATGATGACTTTGACAACAGCTGAGCCTTCATCTGCGATCACCTCCACATCCTGAACTGTGGCTTCCTTATACAACCAACTGAGAATAAAAGATAATAAAATAAGACACGTTTAAAAAGGTACAAGATTCTGTATTACTTAATATCCTTACCTAAGCTGTGGAGTGCTGAGGTCCACTTTCAGATCCAAAATATGTTTTCCAGTTGTGTTCAAAATCTCCTCCTCCACAACTTTTTTCAGCTGGGTCAGTCCTTGTTCCTTTAAAGCAGATACTGGCAAAACCTTAGGCTCAGTGGCCTCATAGCTACAAACAAAACAAAACTGGTTACTTATGTGGTGCATATATTTTTATATTCTTTTCAAAAGGCAAATGCCTCTGTATTTGAGAATGTTGACTCCAATATTCACTTAATCTATCTGTGCATAAGTAATGAGATGTAGTTTTGTAACATTTCCACCAATTTACAAATTGATTAAAAAGCTCATGTTTGCAGGCACATAATAGTGAAACCAGTTTGCTCAGGTATGAGGAAATAAAGACAACGCAGGTTACTATTTCCCTCAAGTGAAGTGTCAGGTGTCTTGTGCATTTTGCATTATTGTTTTCATGTGTTGTGTTGTTTTGATCTATTGAAAAAGTGCATAGGCCCATAACCTCATTATTCTATACCCAAATCTACATTTTAACATTAAAAATATTTTTCTTCATGTTCCTCATCTCATATGAAGTCGACTAAAGCCTCAGCAATAGACTATTAATAAATACAAATAAGATGCGAACATAAAAATAAAATACAAATTTGCAGCAAAAGCTTTACATGCTGAATATTTTAACAGATTTTTTCTGTGCTTAGGTCAAGAAGACTAAAGATAAGATTTAATGATGTGAAAGAGGATGTGAATGGAAGTTGGTGTGAGAGTAGGCAGAGGATGGTTAGATAGAATAAAAAAGTTTGTTTAATTACTTCTCAATGAGGTCAATCTTATTGTGGACCTCAATCATGGAGTTCATCAGAGTGTCTGGGATATGAAGGTTTTTTAACACTCTCAGCACATTAGCCTTCTGGTTTACAGTCTCTGGGTGGCTGATATCTCTGACGTGAATAAGAAGATCCTGTAAAATGATAAAATGACAACTGAATGAGTGCGTACATCAATCAGGCATTACATTATGATTATAAATTATCTTTCAGTCAAAACCAGCCACGAAGGTCTTGTGCTGTTGTTTCATTCACGTTTGAGTAGTTCTGTATTTCTGTATTCTCTAAAACACAAAACGCTTGGCTTCACTTTATAAAGTAATTAAGCCGTAATGAAGAAAGATCTGCAACAATGCCATTGTTGAAAAGGCAACTCGTCTAATCCAGTCTTTTCCATTGTCAAACAAACCTATGGGACGGGGATACATGAGCACTTACCAGGGGATACTTTGATTGATTGATTTCTGATTTAAAAGAAGATATTGAATAGAATTTGTATTTAAAATAAATTCACATCTTTAATTGCCAATTCTAGCTAAAGGGCACTTGAGACAAAATGAAATGACAAACAATTATGATGCTTTTTGATTGACAAGTTGATCAAGGAGTATTCTAACTTACAGAGTGCTTTATATCCTCGAGTGTGGCAGAGAAGGAGTCTATAAGCTGATGGGGCAGTTGGGACAGGAAACCAATAGTGTCCACGTACAGGACGGTCATGCGGCTCGGTAACTGTCCTGCATGAACCGTGACGTCCAGAGTTGCAAAGAGCTGGTTTCTGGGCTGAAGACCGGTGTCACCCGTCAATGCTTTGATCAGGGTGGTTTTTCCTAAAGATAAGATAATAAAAGAGATACATGAGTAATGTTTTAAAACTGGAAAGAAAAGAATTATGGCAATTAAAAAGTATGTGCTCATAAGTGCAAACAAAAAATCTCCATGTATCTGAACTACATGTGTGGTATAAACAACAATAAGTTCTTACCACAGTTTGTGTATCCTAAAACAGACACTACAGGGAACTCTTTGTGTTTTCTTTGTGAGCGCAGCAGGTGCCTCTTCCTCCGCAGTTTATCCAGAGCCGAGCGGATCTTTAGCTCTCGCTCCTTTAACAGTCTGTGCTGGACCTCATACAGAGTCTCACCTGGAAACACACAATCAGCCTGGTGAAGCAGTGCACACATTCAGGAAGAATATACGGAATGGATATTGTGAGAACTTGAACCCAGAAAATCATGAACTCGAATAGTTACTGCTAAATACAGTTTTATTGCCACCTTTGTCAGTTACAATTATTAAATTATTTCAATGGATAAAGTTGGTATGACTCATTTCTGGGTCAGGAATGGGTCACGTGAACTATATTTTGCCAGAAGGCTTTGTAGTTTTCATTTGCTTTCTTCGATTCTGTAATGAGCAGTTTGATTCAAGTATCATAAAAAGGTAAAATAGTCTTTACTTAGAAAATGAACTGTGCATACAGACAGCAAAGCACAAGCACTTCTTTAACATATAGATATTGCAGTTGGTCATTTTGTAATAAAAGATAAAATCAGATGTGCAGATTTATTATTTCTATAGTTCATTAATACCATGGTCATTACCTGAACCACCAATGTACCTTGACCCTCCACCTTGCTGATCCAAGTTTGCCATTTCATTCTTTAGTCGAGATCTAGACACATATCAACACATTATGTATCAAATAAGTAATAAAACTACTGCAGTTACTACAGAGTAATACCTTAACAGAGGGATTTCTGCCAGTGAGATCTGTAGCTTTGCCTCTTTTGTTTTGGCGTTGCAGCGGAAGATGTGCAGAACAATCGAGTATCTATCAAACACTTTCACTCCCCAGGCTTCCTCCAGATCCCGCTGATGATACACATAAGAATACATTTAAACATGTGACGGCATGACACCAACCCAATGGAGAAACAAAATAAGGAGATAAACTCACTTCAGAAATAGGAGAGAGACGCTCAACATTGACAAAAACAGCAGTGATTCCTGGAGTTTGTCTAATTTTCTCTAACGCAAAAAGAGCAAAGGAAATATCAATTAATGCTATTACTGTATATTATTTTTTGTACATTGACTCTACCCATTTCTGTATAAAAAAACAAGCCACCGCAGTATGCCATATGGCTGGCATGTGAATTAAGAAATGTGAAAAAAAAACAAACAATAAAACATGAATAAGTAGTAAATAAAGGACAAAGCACACATTTAAAATATTTTTAGTCATTATGTTTATTACTGCATGTAAAGAGTAATGTTTGGAGGTGCTTTAGATCGCATTGTAGATTCTTTAAGCTTTTCTTTCAACTTCTCATTGGCTTTCCTGATGTTGGCCAGCTCTTGTTTGAGCTGGACAGTGTCTGCCACTGAATTGTTATCCAGGCATCTTATTTCTTTGTACGCACTACCTTGGTTTTCCAGCTCTTTCTCTTTTTTCATGAGGTTAGCTTTGAGCTCTTTCACAACTCCAAGTCTTTCGTTGATTTTTTCCCTGGCTCTTTTGGAGTTGGCAAACTCTTGCCTTAGTTGCACATGCTCTTGTACTTTAGAATTATACAAGTACCGGATCTCCTTATGTGCATTCACTTAGGTCTTGTAGGTGCTTTTCCTTCTTCTGGAGAGCAGCAGTAAGTTTTTGCAACTCCAAGTCTTTTTCATCAGACTTTTCTGTGACTTCATTGGAGATGGCCGGCTTTTGTATTAGCTCCACATTTTCCTGTATTATAGAAGTATACAGGTCACGGAGCCTCTTATATTCACTAACTTCTTTTTGTAGCTGCTTGTCCTTCTCCTGAAGAGTATTGGTGAGTTTTTGCAACTCCAAGTCTTTTTCATTCACCTTTCCCATGACTTCATTGGAGTGGGCCAACTCTTGTTTTAGTTGCTCATTTTTTGTGTACTTTAGATTTATACAGGTACTAAAGCCCCTTATGTGCTCTAACCTCTTCTTGTAATTGTTTATCCTTCTCCTGAAGAGAGTCAATGAGTTTTTGCAACTCCTGCTATAGTACATATTAAGTAAATAGACTAGATTAATTTTTTGTGCAGTCACTGCTAAAGGACACACATTTCTGTAACATCATTTCATTTTTATATACTCCTGTTTTGAATAAAACTTCACAAATTGTGAGAGTGCATACCTGTGAGGACCTGGAAGTTCCCTTTTCCAAATATTCTCTTCTTCTCTGGGGTTTTCGTTGAGAGAATGATCTTATCCACAACCCGCCAGTTCTCTAAAGTGCTCACAAGTCCCTCCGCCTCTGCCACCATCAGTTCAGCTAATAAATGATAAACAAAATATACAGTTAACAATTTAATATAACCTAGCCAAGTCAATTATAACTTTGTTTCATGTTCTGTGTAGATTGCTTAAAATTGTTCTTCATTTCTACACAGATTCGTTTCAGATATGAACTGATGATCATCTCTAACTTTCATCAAACATAGAAGTTGAATCCACGATTTAGCATTCCCCTTATGTCTCAAGTCACTGTGATTTACCTGTTGTAAGATGCTGTTTTCTGCTGCCCCACTTCACATCGGGGTGGACAATAAAGACCCGGTGGTGACTGTCCCCCAAACCCAGCGGCCCCTGGCTCTGGAACAGCTCCTCCACTTCACTGTCCGGGAGGAAATCTTCCTCCTCTTCTTCCTCCCGCCCGAAGATACCCCCATGATTGTTCTTCAGGGCGGGCACGGACAGGCCAAAGGGTCTAGTCTGCACATTTAAACACCCTGTTAAACTTGCATCTGACTTCTTTAGGATGCTACTGATAGGAAGTGATGAGTGGGGAGTCCAGTGGATTGAACAAACGCAACAACTCCGTCTTTGCAGGAGATACGTGCAAATCCTCACTAACGCAGACATTCTGGACAAGGAAGAGTCCTAGGAGTGGGTTTAAGTTTTATAATGCCATTTATTCTACATATTTACGTGCATTTCGCCGCTTTCATGGTCCACACGCGGTTTGTACTGTGACAGCTCCAATGTTTACATCTAGACTTCTTCGCTGAAAGCTGAATGGGGAGAAATTTACAAAACGCGATACTGCCATCTAGCGTTAGTTTGGAGTAGCAACTTCTTAATTTGGTTCATTATTAAATTGGATTTTTAAATGCGGAGTAATTTTAGTTTTGATCAGACTGTATTCTGAGGTCTGTCCCCTCTATATCTTTGCTTAAAAATGTTTAATTTCTGTCATTTTAGCCAAATTTTTAATATTGATAGGAAACACACCTCTTAAGGCCTTAAGTCTTGTGTTTTCTATCTATTTATAGTAATGCAAACAGTTATACTGTGCATGCCTGCAAATTACGCAATGGATAATTTACTCTACCAAACACCACTATCACCTAATTGGCCAGCGTGAACATGTAGCCTAATAACCTCAAGACCCAGTTTTGTTCATGTGTAACACCACCCAAATCCCCGAGTGCTCATCACCCCGGCCTCTACGTGTAGGTGTAGCCTGCAGGGAGCACGGCCCATTGTGGAAAAAGAAGTCAGACTGGTCTCAAACCTGCCGCCAGCGCGGACCGCAGTGGGTGGCACCAGGACAAGCCTAATGTTTACAGGTAAATTATTTGGATTTATATTTTTAATACTGAGAGAACCTGCCAATGACGCTGCCCATAAGGCCACATAGGGCGCAGGAGAAACCGGTAAGGTGCACGGACAAGCCGCGACATGAATGACAGACAATGAATTCCTTATTTGTGAGTAACTAAAACTACGTCCAAAACGAGGAAGTGAAGTTACTCATGCTGATTTTTCCACAAAAGTGTTGATTTGTGATGGCGCTCCAAATGTATTCATGGTTCATGAATAAGAGAGTTTTTCATTGTTTTTACGCACAGTTGCAGTCGGTCATGCTGGTGGCACTGTGGAGCATTGGGCTGTTCTTCAGTTTGTTCACATTTTGTTCTTCTTCAGGTAAATCACGTCTACCAGCTATGTTCTTTATTCACAAGGAAAATATGAGGTTAATAATTTAAAAAAGTTAATATACAGAGATAGAAAGCAGCTTATTTCCATGCAGTATTTGGTTATAGCCTGATCAGTTGATACTTACACATTATTTGTGTCAGTTTATGCTCCCATCTCACTTTTACCTCAATAATTTATTGTGAAGTATGAATTTGTTTTTGTAGTATGAGTAACAGCCTTTATAGTGTAGTAAAATGAGATATTGCTACTCCTTACCTCCTTTATGGCACCCTAACTCTACTTCAAACCACCCACATTCATTCATTACATTCAATGTAAACAAACATTGGAGGCAAGGGCAATTGAGTGTCTTGCACTAAGACACAACAGCAGAATGTACTAGTGAAAAGGGATTGAACTGACCACTCAATAGTAGTGGTACAATAACAGCACTAAGTCAGTCAGACAAAGGATATTTCTGGTAGACCGGCAGATGCAGTAGTAAAACAAAATACTTAAAAAATAAATAAATAAAATCATCATCAGGTAAAACTTTGCACACTTATAGCCACACATGCAGTCAAATGGTGTAGCTCTTAAACCCAAATACAGAATTAGACTTAGACAAACTTTCCACAAAGGAAATTACTTGGACACAGTAGCTCACACATCACAATAACAAAGAGAAAAAAATATAAATTAATTTGACCTTTTTACCTGTTCAAAGCACACTTTTTTTCGTCATCATTTTGAAAATTCTACCCTGTATATTTGTTTTCTCAGATAAGGACTGTATCGTCGGTATTGTGGGTCATGCTGCGTTACTGCCCTGTTATCACCAAAATGAACTCTTAAGTTTTCATAATTTATCAGTCGAGTGGAGGAGAGGCAATGAACTGGTTTTAAAAGCTAAATGGGAAGAGGATGGAGATGTGGTCATTTGGAGTCTGAACCACGCTACAATCCCACGCCGTGCTCCTATTACCGGAAACTTCTCCCTTGAACTCCCAAAAGTCAGTGCAAAAGAAGACCAAATGGTTTATAGCCTGTTTGTGACCTCAGATGAGAATGACACTGTCCCACTCTGCTCCATGTGTCTCCGGACGGCAGGTTGGTAACAACACTATCATTTAAATTCTGAACAACCATAACCACCGAGAGGCCAAAGCCAAAGCACCTGTTAAGAGAAATTTGACCACAGCAACTCACACTAATCAGCCATGGTCTGTGTTTGAACCTGAAATGGGTGAGGGATGTGTAGAGTGAAGAGATCCAAATATCAAACTACTATGTTGGATGCTTAGATTGCCATACAGAAATATGACAAACAGGAGTGTTTGTGTGTCAGTTTTGTGAGAAGCAGAAAATCAGTGGGTGGTCAACAGAATACATAGACTCTTTTGCCAATTTATTAAGCTGTTCCTGCATTGCATTGTGCTTAAATGGGTTACACTGTTGTTTGATAGACATGCCCAACCATACATGCTTAAACATGAAGCAACTATTTTGTGATCGTAACATGTAACACCCAGGATCAACAGGCAACACACATATTATAAGAGCTTCCTCTGCTAGTCTGTCAGGAAGATCAAAAGTGATTAAAAAAAACATGATCAACAAAATTTTCAGTATATTAATTTAGGAAACATAGCTATGACTTATCATTTATATTCTTTAAAATAAAAAAGTCCATCATGGAATTCATTAAGCAGGTAATCATGAACACCCCATTGTTGCGTTGTACTAAACTATATTTCCATTCATGACTGCAGCCCGTTTCAGCTCCCCCCTACTCCAGAAAGATGAAATGGCAGAGAGTAACAGGACAGTGTTCCTATGTCAGTCAAGTGGAGGTTTCCCAAAGCCCAAAGTGTACTGGCTCATAAACGACACAGAGCAGCCCCCAGAAGACTCTGTTAGGACGAACGCCACACCCCTCCCGGACTCAAACCTGTACAACGTGACCAGCCTCCTCACCGTCAACATCTCCACAGACGACAGCGTCTCCTGCTCCATTCAGAACCAGTGGATGAACGAGACACTCACCTCAAAAAGCAGTGAGTTTGGTTAATTTACTGGTTCTTTTATCTGGTCTGTCAAATTTTTATCGCTTTCATGGCAAACAGAGATCAAAAATTGAGAGCATTTCCCTCTACCATTATTACTTTGATATTTCTCTCTGGTGCATTTTTCACATTTTTGCTTGGAATTCAACCAATTATTCTTCTGCAATAGGCATAATAATATTTTTTGTGGGCATAAGAAAGTGAAAGAAAAAATGAAATGTTCATTCATTCTGATCTACTGTAATGTTTCTAGAATTGTAAGATCCTCGGTGCTTGTACTATAATTGTGCCCTTGACTTATCTGTAGGTGGTGCAAAAGACAACACCATTCGGAGTCGAGCATCTGAGGGGATGTGGATGTTCAGCACAGGATTGTGTGTAGCAGTGGGCATCATGGTGGGGGCTGGCGTGGCCTATCAGATCCACCTGGACCGCATCAGTAAGAAGAGGAGGGTCCTGTATGAATCTACGAAAGCTCAAAGAAGTAAGCATGTGTGCACCAAACCATTTATTATGACTCATTTGTTTTGCAATGTCAACAATACCATGCCATTTGGACATACTTCCAAAAGGACTTGAATGAGAAACTTTACAATAAAAGTAAAGATTTTCTTAGTTATTCATCAAAAAACAATGATATAGCCCACTGTTCTAACATGTAAAAGAGTCATTGGTAGGAATTGAATACCTATGAAGACAGCCCTTCTTATTTAAAATTTTGAAGTTGGTGTATCTTTAATGCAAGATTATATATGGTATTCTGTGTATATTGAGCTTTAGTTTTTGGTTGTCTTCATTACAGGATACAAAAAGCACCAGTTCCTAGAAGAAGAAACACAGGAAGAAGCACTGACCTCAAAGGAGACCTGTGTCTGACGATAAGCATTATAAAAAGATATCAAAACTGACTTTAAATCACTCTTAAACTGGACACATTTGTATTTCACTGGATTTACTTCATGGACTCATTTCTATAAACATGACTCTGCTGTTGTTTATTGTTGTAAATTAAAATGATATTTTCCTTGTAGTTATGCTCTTCTCTCCTTTTCCAACATACTGGCCAGTATCCAAATGATCATATGAAATCATCACATCATTACTACAGTCATTAACAAGGCACAGTAATGTTCTTCAGTTTGTAGGTTTTTCAGAGTCAGAATCTGCCATGTTTGATGCCTCCCATTGTCTCAGTGTTGGTACCTGTCCCTGTGTACTGCTCCATCCGGTTTGGGGATGATCAGCCTTTTGACTCTGGGACTGTGGTGACAGTGTAGAGATCATTTCGTTGCTGAGTAGTGATAGGGATCTGTTGTCGTATATCAGCCAAATACTGCAAATCTGAGGCAGTAAAAAGTACATTTAGTTTTGATTTCAATTACGATTTTCAAAATGTTTATTAATTATTTTTTCAGTTTCAAAACTTAACTCACCAATATCTGCATAAATAACAGCCTCTTCAGGACCAGCTTTTGAGATGACCTCTCCCCTGAAATGGCAGATGAAAAGAGCGGTCACATAAATAATTAATTGGAGTAACTAACAACATGTGTGAACAACTGATATCTTTTAAGTAATGAATCAAGAATTATTTTAGCTGTAAATCATGTTTTAGCCAACACAGGTATTCATCTTGTCTCTTTCTTTTTTGGGTAACAGTGGCTCAATCGTTAGAGCAATGGCTTCACATTTGCCCACAGACCTTAAGGTTGGAAGTTTGATCCGGACTCTGATTCTGACAAGGGCATACTATTGAGTCCTTGGGCAAGACCTTTCATCCACCTTGCCAATTGGGTGTGTGAGTGATTAGTGGTGGTTGGGCCCTAGCTGCAGATTGGCAGCCATGTTTCAAACCCAGGGCAACTGTAGCTAGAGATTATGATTATTATTATTATCTTACCATGGGTTCACGACTGTGCTGTGACCCCAAGCCACATAAGACGCTGTTTCATCTCTGGCTGGTGATGCCGTCGCCACATAAACCTGATTATCTACCGCCCTGTTCAATCACAACAATGACAATAAATGCATAGTTCGTATTACATAGGTGTGGTGCACAGAGTCAAAGTCAGACCTGGCTCTCTGTAGGAGCTCCCAATGTGCTGGACCAGTCGTCATGTTAAAGGCTCCAGGATAAACCAAGAGCTGGCAACCTACAGACAGCAGAATGTCCTGATGAAATGTTGCCAAAAACAGGTTAAACTAAATGAATAAATTTTTTACCTTTCCTGCTATAAAGCTGTGCCAGTTCTGCAAACCTCATGTCGTAGCAGATGCCAACACCAACTTTGCAAAATGCTACAAAAATACATACACATACATCAAAATAACAATGTACCCAAGAACAATGAAGAAAAAAATTAAATAACACTCTCACGTGTGTCAAACATTGATAAACTGTTTCCTGGACTGAGCGTCTCTGATTCCTGAAAGTGGATTTTTCCCGGGACACTGATGTCAAAGAGATGAATCTAGAATCAAACGTAAATCAAAGAATAAAAAATAAACTTCTGATCATTGCATTAATGGCAGATAAAAACCTTTCTGTGTTTGAGAAGCATCTGTCCTTCTGGGTCAAACACTGCACAGCTGTTATACAACTTCCCACCATCTTCTTCAGGAATGGAACCTGTAAAAAAATAAGAGTCAAGAGTATAAGAGTATAACAGTCAGTGAGAGCTTAGTATCAAAAGGATGCAAAGAACATTATAGGAAAAATATTTATGAAGCATGTGAAAGCATGAAAAGCATATGTTGAACCATTTTCATTGGCAGAATATTACAAATAATATTCAGTAAAATAAAAAAAATAAACAATAGAGTTATTAAAAACAATACACTATCTCTAATCATCGTCTTTGTCATCATCAGAAAAAGTGTCAGTTGTTTCTACCTCTCTTATAAGGTTACTTACATCTTTTTCATGCCTTGTCATTTTCTATTTGTACTTAAATTTAGTTGCAGAGTGACATTATATTCTTACCTCCCACCAAATACACTTTGTTTTCTTTGGCGATTTCTGATAGCACCTGAGTGGACTCTCCTGGGATCCTCTCGGCATATGCAGCGAAAAAACTGGTGCCATATGGAGAGTTGAAGCACTCCTGTAATCAAAAAACAATGTATTACTATTAATGTATAATCAAGTATAATGCCAAGACAAAAGGTGCTCTAACTTTTCTGATAGGGGATTCACCACATGCTTGTCTCAATGGAGATGTTATTGCTTTGCTTGTCTAACTTGGTCAATTAAACATTCTCGCAACTACAAGTCATAACATCATTGGTTTTACATTATTGATTACAGTTCTTTAGCTTATGGTGAGACTACATGCACTATTTCAGCTACACGCCTCCTTCCTCAAATACTGTATGGTAAGCATTTCAATTACAATGTGTACTTTTTGTATACAAGCTACAAAATGAAAGAGTCTGGGATATATACATGTATAGCAATAGGGGTGTGCAAAAATGTTAAAATCTTGTTTGTTTTGTATCGTATAATTTGAAGATACAATATCGATATCATGGGCTGTTGTATTGATATATTGCCAAGAGTATTTTTAGGTATATTTTACAAAATTATTTTGTTTATTTTTTTATTATTTGTGCTGCAGCTGTGTTGACATTTTTTTTGTTGTTTTGAGTAAAATGGGTGTTTTTCATATCATCTTTATGCAAACTTGGAGGATTTTTTTAGTATCACAGCCATGATGTAGCCTTTGTTTTTCACTGAACCGTATCAAATTGATTTGAAATATATTGTATTGAATCATACTGAACTGAAAGTGCACTGTATCGAAAAACGTATCGTATCGTGGCCTATGTATCGAGGAATATTATCATATCGGCAACTTCTTAATAATACCCAGCCCTATATAGCAGTGAGCAGAAATGTTTGTATGTACTATCTTCAAATACTTGTTGCTCTAAAGATTGGTATTTGCTTGTCATACATACAAACTACTTAAAGTCTCCCTCTTCCACACTGGCTCACCGGTAGCAGCACCACCTTGCCCCCCTGTCCCGCCGCCTCCTTCACCAGTCTCCGGGCTCGGCTCAGGTTGTCCGCTTTCACACTGGTCACCTGCAGCTGGACCACGGCCAAACGAAACTCTACAGACACAGAAACGTCAATTCTCCTGGACCTATACCCAGTACTAATAGTTAACAAGGTACGCACAAATGTAAACAAAGCAGACTATCTGATATTTCAAGTAATTCGGGTTGTAATTTTGACATGCAAATACACATAGATAAAAACTAACACGATATGGATGTTATACTCACTCGACATTGCTTTAGTTAGCGCTGACATGTCATTTATAAACTAACTTCAGGCCAAAGGTTTACTAAAGAGTGGACAATTCAGCCATGAGCGCAGACAGGCGGAAGTGCGTGGTACTTCAAAATAAAAGTCTTAAGTACTATACGCGGATACAAAATTTTACATTTTAAAGATTTTAGTTGCGCTTTATTATATAGTGGTGTATTAAAACATAAAGTGAAAGTGTAAAATATGTTTGGTATAATTTAGGCTACTTGATAGGGCTAATACACGAATGCATGATTATTATTCTGAAAAGAAAAATCAGCACGCATCCAAGGGAGGCTCTTCAACAACCAATGAAAGTACGGTACGATATAATACTCTCTTATTACATTCTTATTATATTGTTATTTCTCTGGGTCCAAAAGTTACCAAGCTAAACTGAATCCATTTGTTTTTTTTTAGTTTTTTCCTTTATATTTGTATTTAGCATTTTCCTACCTATACGTCTTAATTTGGCCCAGTTTTTTTAATTCAACGAAAAATGTAGACAAAATATATGAATAACTGGTCCAGTCAATAATGTCCATTTATTAAAAACAGAAATGCTTAGAAAATAACAGCAAAACATTAAGGTGCAAATTACACATCTGACATGTTGCATTTTGAGTGGTGACATCCTTTACCCAGTGACAATACAGTTATAATGTTAAATTCTCTCAGTAATTAAATCCTGAACACGATCAGATGATTGGGTTACACGGGAATGATGAGACTGAATGAATACACTGTGGTGCTGCTGCCCATAATATATGAGCCGAGATGTTTATAATAATTTAACACAAGTTGGAAAAACAGGTCCAATCTGTTCAAATGAGTCTACTGGAAGATTTGAACATCAGATCAAGTCAAGGGGGCTATGTTTACGTACTGGTACTGGTAAATATTAAAGAAAAAAATGAGTTGGAAAAGTAGCAAAGTAATGAGATAAGTTGCCACTATGATTTGAAGAATACGTTTCATTTCACAGGCATGAGGCTAAAGGCAACAGTGGCAAGCTATAACTAAATAACAGTGTTGCGTTAGATTAGTTACAATGGACAAGACAAAACACAAAGATATCAATAATTAATATTAATAATTTCATTACAAATGCCTAACACAAAACCTCTCAACTTGCTTTACAGCAGTCCATTCATTTACAATGGCCAATACAGGGGCTTTGTTAATATGGGAAAATACAACACAAATCTATTGTAATGGAATGAGTGAGGTGTTACTGTACAAACCCTGGACTTGTAAAAGGATGTTGCTTAAATCAGAGCTACATCAAACTGCTATGAGATGAGGTTTGGTTTTTACATTTAAAAAGCTGAAAATAAATTATATCCCAAGCTGCTGTAAAGGTCCGTGCTAAATATAGATTGGTTTAAACATTATATACAATACAGTTATGAAGTTGCCACTTTTGTTGGTGTTAAGGCTCCTTTTTTGAAAAAACTAAGAACTGAAAGATGTTACACAAAACTCAGAAATGTAGTTCCTATGTTGGTGAAAACTGGATGGAGGGGAATTTCCAGAGGAAACATTATAGCGCAACTAAAAAGATAGCTCAATTGTCAACTGAACATAATATAAAGGACTAATACAGGCGTTTTTGTGAGGTGATAAAACTTCCTACATCTCCTTTGCCATCTTAAGACACATTTCCAAGTATTGCCGACCCAGGCTCAAGGTTGGGTCTAGCGAGAAATCAAAACTTGCTGGTTGGCCAAACAATAAGCAGCGATGGCTTGAATTCTGTCATAGCAGAACGGATGAATAGTAGACAACACTTGGTAAGGATACATAAAGATGAGATTTTCAGTAAACCCAAAAAACCGATAATACAGAAGTCAATTTGACTTGAAAAGATGATGGAGCTTACTCTGAAGTGTGGGGAAAACTTCAAAAGAACATTATCCAAAAACAGCCAGTAAAGTTCTCTCTGAAAACAATGAAAATAGTGAATTTTATGATTAAAAAGGCTTGCCACTGGAGGGTCAAAACGCTACCATAAGGCCTGAAGAGAAGTGTTACTGCCACAGACTCCCAGATTTCATTTTGGGTATTTTTGGATGACAGCGGAGCACCTTACAACACATACAGTCAATCCTGTAAGTTTTGGTCAAGTCCCCAAAACAGACAAACTTCATAGGTCTTCATAGTCAACACTGCAGGGGCCTGTCCAAGAGGGAGGAGGCGGCCGAGGGAGAATGGGATACAACTTTAAACTCCCCAAGGACAAAAAACACGTCACCCAGTTTGTTTGACAGCTAGCCTTCATTTAGTGTTTTACGAGCTCTCCAAAGCATCTAGAACTTTCATGATCTGCTGCTTGATCACTTTTGTAGCATCACCGGCATTGGGTATAAGATATCTATGAGGAAAGAGAAACAAGAAAAACAAGTGTCAGATATAATCTAAAAGGTATCAAATAAAGACATATCTTGTGACTGAAAGTGTCTGTAAAACACGCACCTCTCCACAGCTGAGATCTCTACTCCAGCAGAGTTGTTAGTGCCAAACTTGAATGTGATAAGCTCTGGGTGCTTCTTCTTTGAGGTGATTTTAACAACAGAGTTCAGTGCTTGTCTGGACTGGATGTAAGCGAAACCTTTCCGAGAGGCGATTTCTCTGAGGCAGTACATGTGAGTGGCTGTGATTAACAGGTGGCTGAAAAATAAAGAGATGAAGTGTCAATGAACAATGAAGAAAACTTGATTGATTTAATTTTATTTGTATTAATATATTGTGTCAATATATATTTTTTATTATATAGATTAAAGAGAAAAAATCCGCAAACTGTCTTACTTGCAAATTGTGAGTGCAACGTTTTGGCTCTAGGCCTTCATCAGGCATAATCAGGCAAAGGCCTAGTGTCGCAACGTTGCGCAATTTGTCCTAATAAATCTCACAATTTGCAAGTAAGACAGTGTGCAGGATTTTTCTCTATGTTCTTGGGCTGCTCCCTCTCCTTCAGCGCACCCATCTCAAGGAATTCATGTGCGAAGTTCTCATTCTTTTATTATATAGGTTAAATTCACATTCAGATTTTTGCTTTAAGCTATGGTGGGAAAAAAAATAAATCAAAGGAGGACTTATTTCTCAATGGTGATTTTGTTCCTCTTGCTGTTATGCAAACAACAGTGCACAGAAAACAATTCATTTCTACTGTCGTCTTTATTATCATTTCCTAAAACAACTGAAAAGAGGAAAAAACTAAAACTTTCTTGACTAACTGCAGTGGTTTGAATTTTACATAACTTCACTAAACCAAAGAGCACATTCAGCACATTTAAGAAACACAATTTTCAACTTCTGCTCTAGTGTAAAAGAAGAGCAAAGACCAGCTCTTTGAATATATTTTCCATGACAACTTTCAATCACACCGTCCCACCTTAGTTAAATAAAACAAAGAGGCAGGTGATTTCGGCTACCACCTGTTCTAGGACCTACCAAGGAACAAGCTTTAATAATGATTATGTAATGACCATGAAAATTTGTGACCGACTAAAGGCTGTCAGCAGCGTGTTTTTGATTTTAAAAGTCAAGAACAGTCTCACAAATTATTGATATCTACAGAACATTGCAACATTTACAAAGGTCTAGAATTTAAGATCAGGATGGTGAAATTCATAATCTCAAATCTCTTTGTAGTGCAATGTGTGCAAATAAGAAAAAAGTTGTGTCTGTATTATTAAATATGTGTTGATGTAATAAATGCACTCACCTTGGAAACATGTGCCCAGTTTCCTTCACCTCGTTGCAGGGAATGTGGTGCTTCACATCAGGTTTGTTGATCCAAGTCTGAATATTTACAATCTCTTTCCTGTCGTCATCGGACATAGACGAGCTGTCAATCTCATCTAAAGTCACAACATCACAGTAGTATTAAAAACATGAACAATAAAAAAAATTGAATAATTTATAAACAATAATTTTTATTGACTATTCCTAATTTGTTGTAGAAGTAGAAGAAGTAGAGTTGTAGAAATGCATTCAAGTGTTATACAAGTATTAAATCTTTAAAATCTGATTATTAATTTTCCCCGATAAAATGTATTCAGTTATATTTTATAATGTACCTGTGTCATATTCCTCCTCATCACCGATACTAAAAACAGGCTTGACTCCTCTGTATGGTTTACCAACTCGGTCACTGCTGCTCACATGCCTAGGTACAGGAAAAAGACTTGAAAAAACTGTATTATTTTGTCAAAGGAATCCATGACATGAATGTATCCAGAAAGCTGCAAGAAAAGCTGCTATTAATGCTGTTATAAAGAATGAGGTTAAGTGAGATGTAACTATAATTATGTAACATATTAGTTACAGTATGCTGACCAGGACTTCTTCCCAATTTAATTCAAAATGTGGCTCCAAATATTAGATAAGTTGATGTAAGTTGGGATAGTCCCAGTGAGCATATGAAACAATGACATGGAAAAAGACATTTGTATACAAACAGTCAAGTATAAACCAATGACTATAGGCAACAGTGAGTTGTAAGCTTCTTTTTATCACTTCTAAGCATCTGAATGTTAGTGAAGCATGAGGACAGTGCTGTGTAGTTTTAACATGAGTGAAAAGTGCATGCGCTGCAGCAGGGGACTGATGTGAGTCTACAGCCGTGGACATGCTGTGACCAACAACTTGAGGTCTTACCGATCAGGAACCACCTTCTCTGGCCAAGGCAGATTGAAAGATATTCTAGTGTGAAATAAGGCAAATAAGGATTTGTGAATGTAAAAAACCTTTTGTCATCTTATACCCATCAATACTAAGTAACTGCTACTAACACACCTAGTTAGGGTTTAATTGAAGAGCCATTTCAAAATTGCCTACAAAACTAAATATACCCAATCAATCATCCAAATATTGGTGGTACTGCAGTTCAGTTAGTTCTGCATTATCAGCAACAGTAACACACACAAAAATCATTTCAGAACTTTTAGTCATAGTCCCTGCAAACTGATTTTATATCTGTGTTTAACACCAAAAACATTTATCCAGTCACATACAGCATTTTATTGTATTCACTGAACAATTTACTTGCTTTTTTGCTGTTGTTAAGCTAAATTAAATGTGTTAAATAACCATGAAACGTGTTGTTTCAGGTATATTTCGTCATTAGAATCTAGGAGTGACAAAGTGCACCTACTTGTCAACTGGGGCTGAAGTGTTCTCAATAAAACTAATCATCTTCTCCTTCACATTCACAGACTTGGACTTGAGAGCAAACGTCATTTTGTTCATCAATGACTTGACTCCTTTGCTGTCGCCAGGGCTGCACAGTTCCCCCTGTGAAGAGTCATAGGGACATGTGTCAAAATGTAAATAAATATATAAAATGTAAAATAAAACAAAATTATGAAATAGTGCTTACGTCTACAGAGCTCAGGCTGCTGTGAGACCCTGAGGTGCTGACAATCCAGTTTAGATAAGACGAGTCCAAGCCTTCAATGTTCATGTCGACTAGGTGCTTCTGGAGAGCTGCACAAAAAAAAAAACAAACTTAGTTACCAACATTTAACAATCCAAACAATAATTACAACTGTCACTCACCCATGAAGCCTCCTTTGGCTATACTGACATACTCTTTGTTTTTCTGAAAGACAAGAGACAGGCATACTTAATAAAAAAAAAAAAAAACTTGTTTGGCCATTATAAAACAAACAAAAGACATGAAGCATTGTCATAGCCCACCAATAAAACAAACACTGGGCACAAACAAAAACTGGCAATAAGTAAATCATTACAATAAGATTCTGGGTTAGAACTAGATACAAACAACTGAATCAAAGAAAAAGGTTAAACATTACATTTATCTAATAATTCCATACTATTTTATAATTTTGGAAGCATATGGGCAGAACATTTCTGAAAAATGTGTTGGAGAACTTTTGCTATGCTATTTGTCTAAATGTCTAAATGTCTAAATTCAAATACCCTTAAATACTTGAAGTCTACTTACAGTTTCATTATCTCAGAATATTTTTGGTGGGGGGTTCTTCATTTTGTTATTCTGTTTGTATGGTTGTAATGTATATATTTTTGAAATAAATATATTAAAAACAGTCACTCTGTCAGTCTCTCACCTGTAAGAAATGTGCCAGCACCATGTTCATGTACATGTCCTCCTCCTCGCGGCCGCTGCCCATGAAGCACAAATGCTCTCCGCTGGCAATGGACCCTGACTCCAGGGACTGTTTTTGCGCCTCCAACAGAGACTTCACTGAGAGGGCGAACTCTGAGGGGTTCTGCAGCATCTGCAAGAAAACAACAATGGTGAGGGGGGGTTGGGGGTTTTGCTTCAATAAACTGTGCAGCAACTCACCAAGTCAGAGTCCAGGTGGAACGCTGTGGATAAGTGACCAGAATTGTACTGTTCAGCCGGCCGACAGTCCACGACAAAAAAACGCACTCCCTCCTATAGAGCAAAAACCTTCATTTGAACATTTTGCAAAGCGAAGATGTGCCAAGATGTTGCCTTATTTATTCACTGGAAGTTTCACACAGTGGTTACTCTTTAATGTTCCTGTAGCAAAAAGTTTATCCTCCGCACTTGACATTTTTGAACTGAGATTTTGAGCTAGGTTCATGGTCAGGCGTACCAAATGGAGGACTGGCCTGCTGTACCCGTTTTAGGTTAATGGGAAAAGTTGATTACCTAGAATAAACCCATTTAGACACAGGAAGAACATGCAAACTGCACACTGAAAGGTCACACATGGCCCAGAAGTTCCAACCCAGAGACAGAAACAAATGAAGTCAATAATTGTCTCCAGTGTGTTAAACAGACTGACCTGCTGCAGCTGGTTGGCCTGCAAGATTTCTGGCACAGACACAGGGAGACACAGGGCCTGGCTGAGGTCCATCTCCTCCTCCTTTAGGGCCACCAGGCTGCTCCCAAACAGATTCTGGTTCATCTGACACAAACAAAACCAGATTCTATTGAGCCCTTCACGGTTATTCTTCATGAGCATGAAATCAGCTGACTCACTTTTATTCTCTCTGTGTTACTGAGTGGTACTTGTGTTTTTATGGAGTATATGTTTATAAATGTATTGATCAATGTCAAGATCAGGTGTGTGTGAGCAAATTTAACATAACTACAATAAAGTACTTGCAGGAGGACATTTTTTTTAGGTCAATGTGTATTACTCTTACATTAGTTCTATTTTATTATTCATTATTAGAGTACTTAATTATTGTTTCATATACTGAAATTATGATTTTTTTTATCTGCACTGACCTTTCTGAGGGACAAAGGGGTTTTTGTCTGGTAATACTGGGCCAAAGAAAACAGGTCTTCAATGTCTTCACTTTCCAAAAGAGAAGGTGATTCCTCAAGCATTTCTGTGAGAAAGGAATGCTTTTTTAAACTGCAGGTTCTTCAAATAGTAATGGTACATTATTAAAAAAAACAACTTACTAATGATGTCCTCTTTGCCGTCTGCTTCCTGTGCAAGTATGGATTCTCTGAGGGGACAAACAACAGATTGAGAGACACAAGGAAAATAAAAGCTTGTTTCCCCTTTTGACCATTTTGCTACATACTTGGCATTGACGAGAATAACGAGCATGAGAAAGAATATCAGGAAGGGGTCCGTTTGCTGGAAGTAGTTGTCCCACAAGGTCCGTGTCACATCAGGAAGGCAGTGACTGGAGAACAGGCTGCCCAACTAAACAGACAAAGACTTGAGTGTTTAACATGAATGAGATCTATTTTATACGGTTTACACAATGACATGTTTGGGGTTTAAAATGTATACATATATATTTTTTTAATGTCAATAGGCTCTATTTACGTTTACGTTACAAACCAGGAAGACGTTTAGAAAGATGCGATTACAACTTCAGGTGTAGTTACCGAAAATGAGCTCACCTAACATAGATCTATTAAAACCGGCAGTGGAAAAAAAAAACATTGCAGTAAAAGTCATCAGCAGTAAAATGAAGACTGCATAAGTATGTGCTGTTTGGAATCATTTTGAATTTGGCGCCCTCGTCTCTTCTAATCGTGTGTACCTAGTGCGCTCGGAGTTGGGTGTCACTGGGGAAATGATGAAAACTGAGGTATGGCTGTAATTGTTGATTAACCGAACGCTCCAATGACATTTAGATGAAGAAAACTGGGCCTGGGAAGTTGTCATCACATCTTTCCAAATGTCTTCCTTGTTTGTGACGCAAGCGTGAATAGAGTCTGTCTATATATATATATATATATATATATATATATATATATATTTTTTTTTTACACATACAGAGAAGTAATACTAAAAAGGCAGATTAAACATTCCAGTCACTCCTAAAACTTCAGTTAATTCACTCCACACCTTCTCTTTTTTGTGTTTTTCTCCTAATCTTTTTTAGCCTACAAAAAAGGTGAATTAACACACTATCGAATTAATTAATGGACTATTGCTCAAGTGATAAAAAGAGAAAAAAAGGAAACAAAATAGTACACCATGATTCCTTTGTTACATTGCCACCAAGAAAAATAATACTTTTTTTGAAATGTGATAATGATGTCAATTGGAGAATAATTATGTTTTAATTTTGTTTAACCTTACTGGAATATTTTAATGTTAATACAAAAATTTTGATCTAGTTGTGTCCCTCTGTAGTACATACCCAGCTCATTGCGTAAGAGTCTGGTGTGATTTTCTTAGTGTCCAGGAAGGAGCAGAGTTCAGGCTCATGGTACTGTAGCAATAATCTGAACAGGTGGAAAGGTCGGCCTTTAGGCACACAGTCTCTGCAAAAATAACAACAAAAAAACATGTGACGTTTCTTTATATTTGACATTTCAGACAAAAGACAGCTCAAATTACATACCTGGGGATGTATTTGTTCATAAGAGCGTAAAAGCAGTTGTAGAGGTCGCTGCGAGGAAGTTTCAGACTCAGGAGTGGTTTGAGCAGGTGAGGAAAACTCAAGTCAGTGCTGAAAGTAACGTTACGAGATTTACAGTAAAAAGTGATGATGGCCTCAACATCAGCCTCCATATCTACCCTCTCCTCCTCCGACACACCCAGCTGACCTGTACACGAGAAGATGTACACATTTTAACTAAAAGGAAGTGCATAACCATGCAACACAACTTCATGATTTTTACATGTTATAACTCAACACACTAAATATTTACTCATTATGTATAATGTATGCAGATATTGGAGGCAAGGCAGGTGAAGTATGTATTGACAGTGGTAGGGGCAGGGGCCAACCTTTAAATAATTGGGGAGTGAGTGAAAATCACCATGTAAGCTACAGCTCCCCATCTTACAAAGGCAGGTTTTTCATTGAGCCTCCTGATGTCTCCTGATATTTTGGGACAGATTCATTCTCTGAGGACACCTATTTTGGGCCAAACTTGATCCTGTCCTGCTTGTCCTCTCTGTGTTTGAAATCTAACCAAAGCAACCTGTTCTTGTGATGCCCTTCATCTTCAATAGGGAAGTCTACCATCAGCATAATCAAAACAATCCCCTATTTACTTTTCTAATTTTCTGTATAACACAATACCCCAGAGCATATTATAAGCATGTGAAAAAGACAATGAAAAACACTTCAATTCACCAAGAATAACATTGGTGAATTCCATTCATTGGATTCATTCTTGTCATTTTTTTCCTGGTACAATGGTATTGACTCACCAATCAGCTGTTGACTGCGGTTGTGAATGAGCGTCTGTTCTGGTAAATCCAGAACACCGTCCCAATTTGACAAACTGTCCCCTTTTCCAGAGACATTTAAAGCAATCTAACAAGAAAAATAAAGGGGAAAAAATGTATAAAAACACAACTATTGCTGAATGCCATTTCCATTGTTTCAACAAAACTAAATTTATTTATTTTTTACTCTCTTTTGGGATTATGCAATTTATAAAGAGGAGATTTAGACATGAATAACAATGCATTTAAATGACAGAGTTGTGCAGACAAACACATTTCTACAGAAAAGTCATCTCAAATACCAATGGTCAATGCAGCATCAAAATAAGCAAACTACTACAAACAATTAAATATGTTTAAATTTTTTTGTTTGTTTGCAGGGTATATCCAACAAGTGGGTGTGGCCCTGACTGTAGATTATTCATAAAATATTCATGTCATTACAACCCAGGCATGCCTGCCTTTCCAGTCTGTTGTCATCTTGTCACTTTACGCATATTGTACAGTACAGATACTAAAAATAGATACCATCTTTGGTAATATATGCAGGGATATTACAACATGGAAAGGTACATTTACCTTCCACATCTGGGCTCTGTGTTGAGGAGAGGACTCCTCTTCTTGTGTGTATCCTCGGTCCATTTCCAAGTCTGACCCAGAGTCCAAAGCCTCTGCCAAATCCTGGCTCCTACATCAGAGTTCAAACATCACATTTTTTCAAATGCCACAACAGATGGCACTTCCTGGATTTACTTAGGTTGATGATTAGTTATGGTTTAGTATCTCTCACATCTTTGACTATAATTATACATATGAAAAGAGAAATGCTTACATTTATAAAGACAAGTTGACTCGTATAAAATAGTATTTCAAGAACTATAAAAGTAATATTCATGAGGAATTGTACAAAGACCCTACATATAATATTATTTAATTAACAGGGCGATAAGAATTGAAAGTGCATTATTAGTTTGACGCGGGGCTCAGCACAATTTAAAGGGAAACTCCTTGGCTAGTTTTGTTAGCTTTTGAGCTAACTAAACTGACCCACTGACGTCCGTAATAGAAAATAAAACAATGGCTATATTACAGCAGACAGAAGCGTTTCAAAGTCCTCTTATTGTCCTCTTATTGTAATAAGCAAAGATAAGATTGTCAGCTCGGTAAAGTAACGTTAATAGAGATTAGCAGGTTAGCTATTCAACAGCATCGTACAGGTTTCTGGGATTAACATCTACTTTCTGTTCTCTCGTTGAAAGATATTAAGAAGTGTATCAATAACCGCGTAAATTATGACCTCTGTTAAGTGGTTTTGTGGCGACGTTACAGCGTGTATCTGTCTGTCCAGCGAAATTATAATCTCGATCAAAATGTTCTCACCAGCTCCTGCTGATCTGAGCTTCCTCCGCGGACTCCGCCATTGTTGTTCTCAGACACGTCAGGTGCCGTCAAACGACGCATGTGTCGCGGACTCAACAAAATAAAAATACTTATAATATAAATGTCATGATGGAACCTCTTTTTCTTTATCTCTTTACCTCTTTGGAACCTATCCTCTTTATGAGACTGTCATCACAAACCTAAACGTATTCATAATTCAGGCATTATCAAGAGAACAAACCACATTATAATATCTTACAATAAAATACTAAAACAATAGATAAAATGAAGACAATGTTCCATAGATATCACAATTTGCAAGGACAATTTCAAGGAATTATATAACTTTATTAGGACTTTATATTCTTTCTTTTGGTCACCATACATATAATGAATAAAGAATGTCAGTGTCTGTCAGTCAAATTTCAGTGGGTGATTAAAATATTTCCTAGCTGAATTAATAAAACAGGAGAAATGCATTATTTGACCATGTGGAATAATAGTATTTCAATGTTATTTTGCCACTACAGCTAAATATTTTGTCCAATTCCACTCTTAGCAATAGTGTCAAGATATGTGTTTTGTGATTATGTACCAAATGACACAGGTGCTCAGGGCTGTCAAACCTGGGTCAAACGTAGACTGAAAAGGTAAACAAAAGGTATTATAATATGAACCAATTGTTTCATAAAAATAAACATTTTACAATAAAAAAGAAAATAAATCATGTTCATTTGTTTAAGGAAGCTTGGATAAACTAGAGCTACCCAACTCCTTTTGACTTTTTCTGAAAGGGAAAACATTTCAAAAATAACATGCTAAAGACAATTAGCATTTTGAATAAAATCTTTTACCTCAGACAATCTTCTAGTGTTTTGAACAAGCATAGCATTTACATCGAGTGTGAACATGCCGCACAAATAGTCATTAAAATAAAAAATAAACCAGGCATTCTGAACATAACACAACTTTAGGCACCTACAGTACACCAACCTCCTGTAGGTATCTTATAAATGGGATCAAATCCAGCATTACAATCACAGACACAATTGACCATTACTTTTGAGCCTTGCATTGGACTTGTGTTACAATATGGAAGTATATGGACAACACACTTCGAGTTGAGCATAATTTCGTGAGTGAACAGTTCATTATATAAAGCTCTCACAGTATATCCCTGTAAATAGATTTGTCTCACAGAAGCCCCCTTCAAACTGGCTGTAAAAGAAATTCTTGAATACATACTATGCAAGATTTCAAGATTAATGTCAACTAATTGGTCATGTAAAATTAAGTGCTTAATAGTAATAAACTATAACATTTCAATGTGTAAAAAAAAAAAGTAATTCTTGTAATTTCTGTGTTGCAAATATAACCTGCACTGAAGTTTATAACTTTGCAGATTTGATTGCTTCAGTAACAAAAATTGCTCAAAACCTGTATATGTGGGGAACAAACAGTTGGGTGGCACATATGCAAGCAGTTTGTTTTGTTCTGTTACTTGACCCGCAAAGTGCTACCTTGATTTCATGTAAATATAAAACAAAAAAACTGACAAAAGGGAAACATTTACTTAATTTATAATTTAACTACAAATAGCTTGTAGAGTAAACCATGCTTGGTGGTTCTATTATTTTTAATGAAATCTTGCATATTATATCCGTAATTTCACACTCCTGAAAGTATGCATTGCAATACATGCCACTCATTACATCAACATCTCTGTCCTTTTCAGAGCAAAATATGGCTCTACTATTGAGCTAAGGAATCTTCACAATTACTTTTCTTACAGTGAGCCATTTATTACACTGTAAACACTGTAGGCATTTTCCTCCTCTTATCATTCAGTATCCATCACAATTTTCATTTAACAAAGCAATTTCAGGCAGTTGCATTTTTACTTTAACACAAGTACGTTCAGCAATGAAGACTGGAGACTGGCATTCGCTTGGCAGACAGACTTTACAGAGTAGGAGGTTTCAGACCGTACTTCCGGGCCACTTCTGTTTGAGCATATGCTGCATCACATAGTGAATACAAATGAGCCATTTCCATCTCAGATTTGGCTAGGTTTATGGCCTTGTTGAACATGTCTATAGCCTTGTCCAGATTACCCCTGAAATAATACGCAATTGTTAGAAAGACAAAAAAAAGAGGAAGACATTGTATAACAATAGACACACAGAGAGAAATGCAATTGAATATTGTATACACAAGGTGCTGTATCTGAACTGTGGTGGTTCATTTGAAATATTTAGCAATGGTCCAAATATTTTGCAATGGTTATTCCACATTTATCTTTCAAGCTTCCTAATTATTCATGGTGATGAGTTTATAAGCACTTTCTACCACTTTTGAGACCAGAGCTTAGTTTTGCCATGATGGTAAAGTAGTTAACAAAAACTAGCATGCTAAAAAGCACATCCTGATTATCAGACAACGAAATGGTTCTGATACAGGCATATGTGGTATTATCATACAATATATCTCTATTTCAGCAAGTCTTTTCCATCTTCTAGAAATTATTTACATGATGAAATGGCATGGATTTCTTTTACACCCGTGGCCCTTCTTCCCATCACGTGCTCTATCTGTGCATGCTTGGGACTGACAAACACCACAATGGCTTTTGACCCATTTTTGGTCATAAAGGGATAATAAGAAACTTCTTTACTCACTTTCTTTAATATTTTACCACTTTATCATAAACAAATTGGCTCATAATTGCCTTTTTTTTTCTTTTCTTTTTTTTTTTTTTAACCAATGATAATAACAAATGTTATTCTCACCTTTGTACTTCAATAGTTCCCATGGTTTCATAAGCAAAATCACATTTGTTGTCAATTTCAATGGCCTTACTGATGAGGTCTAGGCCTAAATCCAGGTCCTGTTTCCACTGAAGCTGTAATAAACTACATTCAAACAAACAATTAGTGATTGACTGTCTTCATCTAATTAATACAAATCTATGTACATACCCTTTGTGGACATATGTAGTAGCATTGTCAGGTTCAAGCTCAATACATTTGTCATACATCTCGTCGGCTTTCCCAAACTGCTGTTGATCAGTCAAAGCCTAAAAGTGAAATCAGTGTTTTAGTTGCAATACAAATTTAAAAAAACATGTCTGTAGTTCAGGTTCATTGTACACTGGGTATCAGTTTAAATCAAGATAATTATTAATAAAGGATTATAACTTATTACCACTTGTGACAGTATATAGTGCAAGTGTGAAATATTCAGTACAATGTTTGCCTGGCCAGTCAAAACCAAATACTTTTACAATCTACAAAGACTACACACAGTTCCCCAGACTGGATTTGGGATTGAACCCATATTCAGTCTCCCTACCATTAAATGTGCATGATTGACAGGAGAATTACCCAATCAGAGAAACTTTGTTAGTGTCATAACCACCACGAAGAAAACAAATACGAGGACAGATACCGAATCTGCAGAATCAACAAGCGAAGCACTGAACTGAGGTAAAAGTAGTCACATATTTTGTTCCAAATGATACAACAATATTTGAGATGTCTTAAGCATTTGAGAAACACATGCTGCAAACGGATGGAAATGACTTCTGAGCTACATCAGGTATATTTACAGACCTTGCTGTCCATTAATACACGCTGTTCCATTCAAATACATAAAACTAGCAGCTGTAATTTGCACATCAAATATCAACTGTTGTTTGATGCCCGTTATGGTTTGGTTTCAAACCCTCATTTGAACAGGAAGTACAAAGGACTGAATGGTCAGGCAAATGAAATGTATATTCTAATAAAGAACAGCTCTGAAGCCTAATGCTCCACACAATTTAGTGTTTACCTGAGCATACAGAGCGTATCCTTCAGCACATTTGGGAAATCTTTTGATGACATCCTCAAAGCCATCCATGGCCGTCTGTACTTGTGCAGGGTTATTTCCAGTATAAGCTTGTCTATACTGAAAAGCACACGACAAATTAGAGATTTCCTCATTGTATTCAGGTCAAGAAGGACAAAACATGAAAATTTAACTATATAGATATTTTCATTGCCAATATAATCATGTTCATTCTTACAAGAGCAAAACATTTTTGTGCTTGTGCCAGTGCAGAGTCAGGTCTAAGAAGAATGCACTCATCAAAGTCTCCAACAGCCTCATCCACCTGGTCCAGCAAGATCTTTAACTACAGGAAAACCCAAAAATATTTTTTTCAGTATAAGAGGAGCAAAACTATTAAATTAAAATAAATTAAATTAAATAAATAAAAAAACAGGTCATCAGTTACCTGCCCCCTGTGGTGATAGACATCTGGGTTTCGTGTATCAATCTCAGCGGCCATGTTGAAGTCTTGAGTGGAGAGAAGAGGCTGCTGCTGCTGCATGTACATACTCCCTCGTTTGATTAAAGCGTTGGCTCTTAACTGTTACACAATGACATAATTAAGTAATTACTGTTTGTTGTCGAATTTGTGTTTTATGATCTATGATGGCTACACTAAATTCCTCTTAAAGCTTAATGTAGTAAGCTGAGACCAGCAAGCTCAAAACAGCATTTTCTCATTAGATACAGCAACTATTAACGCATATGGTCTTCACTGATATGGAATTGTGTGCAACAACTAGCACGAGCACTTTACTGTCAAAATTTCAATTATATGTTGTGTGATTATTGCAACGAGAGTAACTCCATTACAGGTTTAAAACAATGAATGACATGCTTCCAAGACTGGACGACTGAGGAAGAATTGCAAACGTGATAGTAATCTGCACCAGCCACAGGGCTAGCAGGGTGTATTGCTAAAAGACCCAGTGGGATCAAATATGTCCTCTGAAGAAAACTAAATAGGTACAGCCTTTGCAAATTTCTAAAGTACCAGTTTCATTTAAATTGCAGTTTCATTGTGCTGTACACACTCCTCAAGAAGTTTTACCATTTTCTTTCCCAGCATCAAAAAAGGGAGTGTGATGAGCACTGTTTGTTCACCTTGACATTGGCCTCCTTCATGTTGATTACACGGTCCAGATCAGGCTGAGCAGCTGTAGCGTTCCCAATCAGGAGGTAAAACGTTGCACGCAGCAACAAGGCCTCAGCCGTGTACCGGCCCTCTGAGTCAATCTCTTTTGTGCATTCACTGATGATTTTATCATAGTTCTCCTCTTCCATGTACTGTTTTGCTTTCAGGTAGCCCGAGCTGAGGGTGCACAGAGACAAGTTAAGTAGAATTAGGTGTTTCAAAAATAATTCAGAGGCACTGACAAAAATAATAGGAAAATGCAGAGCTTTCCTAACTCTGCAGTTAGTGAACATCTAGTTCCAAAGTCTGAGCCAAACAAAGACGGAGTTTCTACAGTAAAATATGGTTTCTCTTACCTCTCAGAGACCTCAGCTGCCTCACCCTCTTTGTCCTTGTCTTCATCTTTTTTCGCCCTTTTGTAGAGGTTGTGAGATTATGTCATCCGTAAAAGAACTAAAGTATGACTTGATAAATTGAGGAGAAGGCATCATGGGTTCCCGATTCTGTAACAGAAAGTCAAAATTATCAATACATTGGGCTCACATTTTACAGGGGCATGAGGGTCAAGGAAATATAAGTCGGTGGGTGACCATTTCTGAAAAGAATCTCTAAACATAAAAACATCTGCAAAATTTTCAGGTTTATTATTTTTGTGAAGCCACAACACTTTAAAGCTGTAGCAAAAACTATAAAACTTCACCTTGTGTTTGTTACTTTACTTTGCATAACTTTTAATGTTATGTGAATAGACACAGTAAACACGGATATATTAACCATAACAAAGAATAAACCGTACCCTCCACCTCCATTTTAAACTATGGGCTGTTCAGACCAAGATACAGAAAAGAAATGCTACCTTGTACTTTTCTTTGGCCTTCTCTTTACCCAGTTGTTTGAGGACTTTGTCTGCCAGGAGCATGCTCTGTTGGTTTTGGAATTGCTCAAGAATGCAGACAGCTGTGACATCTGAAATTCAACAAATTAGTCGTTCTGAATCATAACAGTAAAATTCTAGAAATCACGATGTGCATCTTGTTATAAACTCTGTAATATAAGCTGCAAATTATTCAGTGAATTGGTAATTTTGAGTGACAACAAAATGAAAAAAATAAATAAATAAATAAAATTGAGGCAGCCAATATTAGAGAAAGTGACTGTCAGAGTGACATGCAGCACAGAAACAATGCAATCAAACCATTGATAGTATTGTTGTAAATCATCTAGGGATGCACCGAAATGAAAATTTGTGGCTGAAACCCAAACCAAATAAAAATTAAACACTTAGCTGAATACCGAAACCACAGTTATTAAGATTTTCAATATTTTTTAATATTGCATGAATATCTTAGAATACGTTTTTAGACGTGTTTTTAAAAGAAAGTAAATGTTTATTTAATATTCTTTAAATATTCCAGTAGTCTTTCCAGCAAGTATACCAGTAAGTTTTCATTCATAATAGGCTTGGCTTTCAAACCAAAAAATTCCAAAAAAACTTAAGTACATTGTGTATCATAAGACATAGATATTTCATGCTGCTGGATTTATATTTTCAGCTTAAGCGATAGCACTACTGTGCAACATGTAAACAAACAGCGCTGTGTGATGTCGTCGTCGGCCTTGGCCCGGTTCGGTTGTGCAGGTGTGAGTGTGGAACATAGAACCCTAGGCAGTCGTGCTTGAGCATGGCACGGTTCTAAACTCCTAGTGTGAGTGCACTCTAAAATATTTCCACACTGCCGACATTTTAAAGAAGGCGCCAGATCACTGCGGCACTGCATGTTGTTTGATTGCATCATTGCGTCACATGTCACTATTCGGCCTTACTTTTAACTCACTCCACTGAAAGCTGAATGTGGCTTTTTTTGCAATATCCAACCGAATATATTCAGTTGCCAAATATTCGGTGCATTCTTAAAATCTTCAGTAAGACAACGGTAGTAAAATATATCAAAAAAATAAAACTGCCCTTCATATAAACACTTACCCTCAAGACACTCTTTTTTGTTATCCAATTTTTCCAGAGCTTTGGCCCTCCTGAACAAGGCCTTAATATAGCGTGGATTCAACTCAACTGCCTTAGAACAGTCCTGCACCACCTCTGTCCATTTGCTCTGGGAAAAAAAAAAAGAAGGGACATTTGAAGCTTAAGTTATTAATCTCCGTTAAACAACAAACAAAAGTAAAGTAAAAATTTAAATAAAATCTTAATCTTAGTAAGTGAATAGTGATATTACAATTTAGCTACTCTAGGTGCTTTCCCCATGTGATCTCTGGTTCTTGGACAACTCCTCTGTTAATTTCATTAGTTTCATTCTTTTCTCAGTCAGAAAACTTGGCAGAGAGATCATGATTATGGTCATTTTATATTACACATTAATTGTTTATATTTACAGGTTTTAGATTTCTGTTTATAGAGGACATTTTTGATATTATACTATATTATATTAATAATATTATATAGAGATAACATAAACCTATACATCGATGATGTAAATAATACAACTTTTTAATTATCTCAAAATTAGGAACAAGTAGAAATTAGGATATGTAGCATCCATCCTACTTCTAATTATCATGATCACACATCTGTATTGAAACAATGCTTTAGTTGGGTTTTTAATTGTTGGGAAAAGTTTTCTTTTGATCCTATTAGATTTTTAGATCTTCTTCCTTGATTTTTGCCAAGGTTTGGACTCTGTATTCTCAAATCTATATGGTTTTCAGTTTGTCTAGTAAATCCTGAATGATGGATCAGTATTTTATATACAGATGGATAGTCAGTCTGTTTGTGGTCATCTTTTGACTTCAGATATCTGAATTAAATCCTTGAGCTTGTTGCAGTAAGTGCTTAGAAACTCTTTAATAGAACAGCTCACTGAAACAGAAAATCAAGCATTACACACACTCTTGTACACAAAAAGAAAAGAAAGAAAACACACATGGAGCTAAAAACCCCACCTGACATATTATGATGTATATAATTGTAATTCTTTAACGTTGTCCCACTCACCAGCTGTTCATAGGCTGCTGCTCTGTTTTGGTAAAATGTGGACAGGTCGTTCTTCTGCTCAGCTGGACAGAGACTGATGGCTTCTGTGTAGCACTGGATGGCATTCTCATATTTTCCAGCTTTGAAGTATTTATTGCCCTTGTTCTTTGCTGCCTGGGCTTTATCCAATGGGCTCTGTGTATACAGATGTCATTAGTCCACAGCAACAGTAAAAACAACATCAATGTCTCAAACTTGAGTTCAATACTAAGAAAAAAGCTCAATACGCTTCTTCATGAAGTGTCCTGAAATGGGTTTCACTTCAAAAGTGTGCAGTGTCAAAAGTGCAAAATGGAGATCAAAGTAATGGATGGATTTTTTTTTCTTTTTATGCATTCAGTGAGAATTTACAAATAATAATGCAATGCAAATAATTGCTCAGGTAGAGTATATCAAGACCATTAAAAATGTTTCACAAAAGGTCAAAATTTGTCCAGACATTGTCTAATTGGGTCCTGAAAGATCTGTCCATTTCTGAGAAATAGATCAACTTTACTGTATGTACGTCCTTCCAGAAAGTAATTGCTAAAATAAAGTATATAATAGTTTGTTGAAAAAGTGAAACTGCTGTGTTTCATTTGTGTCTTTAGATTGGCATGTTTTAAGAATACGTAATATAAAAATTACATTACAATACTTTACTACAGCTCTAATATTTCCTCTCCCACTGACACGCCTCTTTTGGTTTACCTGCTTGACCCTTAACTCACAACATGCTAACACGTGTAGATTTATATATACGCACAAACGAAGCACGCAAATGTTTAAAATAACAAAGACAACGACACTATCTTTATAGCAAAGTAACATTAGCTAATCCAGGAGCATAGACCGGTGGCTAATGGCCTCGCACTTGGGCAACTCAGTGACTGACAGCGGTGTCCTTGAGTTCAACGCGTGAACGTCAAACAGGCGTGTTTTACTAAACCCTTTCACCAAACCCACGCGTGTCATGGCGCATAATATCCCGCAGAAATGCACAGGTAAACACGGTGTCTGGAGCCATCTATTACCAGATTCTCGTGCTCTTGGTTTGCTTTTGCTGCGCCGTCTTGGCCCTGCACAGGACTAGCGCTGCCTTCTGGAGTCTTCCGCTCTCCGCTGCCTTTACCCCGTTTCTGTTTGGCCCTGCTGCGGTTCCATAGATACACGGCACCCACACCCAGCACTATGGGAGTCCCGACTAACAAGGCCAGCTGCCAGCGGGGCAGGCCCGTCCCGGACTGCGGCTCGACTGGCTTTGAAGCAGCCATGGTAAACTGGAAAGAAGTGATAGCAAAAGCAGCCTGGCAGCGTGCGCACGTTCGTACGTACGCCGCGTCTTCTTCTACTGAGGTCACAGCAGCAAGGAATCATGGGATACTCGCAAAATAACTGGAGTCCACAAGTTGGCTTAGCATCACAGCTATGCTTGGCATTCATTTATTGTATGGTTTTATAATCTATTTAATAATTTCAGAACATATTATGGAAAATGTATTGTGTGTAATATTAAACCACAATGACATAATGATAGTTATTTGAAATATTCTTCCACATTTCAGGTTATCAAGCCATCAAGTCTCAAACAAATATTAAATGTACAGTATTCAATGTATTTTTAAATGTTAAATTACCCGCAGGGAATGGAACTGTGATTAGTGACTATCTTTTTGTCAGACACAAGAGGGCGACTAACAGCCAGGACCTTGATGATACTCATCTCACTGTGCACAGCATGGATCACGGTTGTCAGATGAGCACATGGATGAGCACCAAAACATAATCCTGCCCTCAAGTGGACACTCTGAGCCAGTGTCAGTGTTTCTCTAAGCTGTTCGGCTGGATTCTATGGTCTGCCCTAAAACTGCCAACACAGTCCATTTTTCAAATTCTAATTTTAGCTGGTTTGAAGACACTTGTCTTGGTAAATCTATTGACCAAGTATTTCCCTGTTGGTTGTTAAAGGCACCTGCACTTTTGTTATTTCAACAAAATAAATTAATTTTTTTATAGTATATATTTATTAACAGCCTGTAAATGATGTTAAACCATAGGACTATGTCTACAGGTACTAGTGTTTGTGTGTGCTTTCCTTACTAAATGGGTCATTGTGTTGCTAAATTTGGACTGAGCAGCTATCTGTGGCTGATTGTGAGCGTGTCTGATCCATAGATTCAAGCTTGTTGATTCAAGCTATTCTTAAACTACCACTCTTCTCATTCTTGTAAAAACAGGAAGACTGTGGTTAGCCCTGGAGAATTATTTTTGGCATGAGCAGTAGATATTTTAGTGAACTGTGATGAATGTGTGTGTTTATTTGTTGGTGGTATTTGTTTCTTAAAGTGATGATACACTTTTAAGCAACAACAAAACTATTTTAATCAAATCTAAGTCAGCCCCATCAGTCTACATAGAGTATACTCAGAGGAGGCACATATTTTGTATCACTCCATTTTCTTTACCTACCTAATCATATTTGTTTTTAGTCTCTTCACAGCTATTTCTGTTTACCAACTATGTGGAAGGTGACTAAGAGATGTAATTGTTTATTTCAATATATTATTTGATGTTTGCAAATCCCTATACATCCTATCTGCTTCCAAAATAGCCTATAAATCAAACCTTACCACTCAGTTACTCAGTGGTAGAATTTTTTAATGTGTTGTGTATTTGTGTGTTTTGTTTTCTCTTGCAAGTTGACCTGATGTCAACTTTAGAAAAACACAGCTTACGCTAATCTCCTTGTGGGTCATTATCCTTAGCTACATGGCACGTCAACACAAGCGTCTCACAGCACAGGTCCAACTGAGGATCTTACTCACACTGTTTTAAGTTAAACTCAAGATCCAGCTAATCCAACTGTTGGAAATTCAAATAGTGCAAGATGGCTTTTAGTACAGTCACACCAAAAGTAAGTTATCGTTTCTGGGTGTGATCCTTTACAAAATGTGACTTGCAAGAGCTATCAGTAGACTTAATGGACCCAATCGTGCAATGGTTCTTTAAAAATTTGTCTCATTCTCTGGGACAGAATGATTTTATGTCTGTGACACTTGAATAATTACATAAAATACATAATTGGAAGCTGTTTATATCATGATCAATTGGTGATAAATCTTTTAATATCACTCAACTAATGTTTCAGTAGATCATAAGAACTATAACATATTTTATTAAAAGTACACACACCAGTTTTTCTACAAACCTTTTGAATTATGTATCATAAAAATACCCTGAAACCACCATTCCCATTACTATCTGATATAAATAGGAGGTGTTTTGCTCTGCGTGTCTAACCCCAGCCCTGGGCCCACACAGGGCACTCCATAATTATTGACAGCTTTGATGAACCCAGCGAGTGGAAAGTATGGAGTTTTCTGTTGTGTTCCCTCAGGCTCACCAATGTAATGGAAAGATAGAAAACAAATAGGCACATTAGCTTCTGCAGTGCATCTCAAAGTTCTCAAACTAGTGCAAGCATATTTTTATGTTCGATTAATATTATTAAGATAAAATCTTCATAAATGCAAACTTTATTTGGTCTGAAATTTACTTTATTTGGTCTGAAAGAGTGAACCAGAAAAATGCACCGCAAAACTGCGATTCTGAATATTATTCAGAATTAGAATTAAAATTCTTTCATAAAACAGTAGCTAGATTATGTGTTTTATAGTTTGGAGTAGTTTGTAATATTGCTGCGTGTGTAGGTAACAAGACCAAATTTAAGGTCAAGAGTCTCAAGGCTACACCAGAACCGAGTACACCACAGTACTGAATCTGGAGATAAGTCTGAATTCTGTGACCTTCACAAATTAATTAAGTGGCTCTAAATGAAACAAAATTGGGACCTCAAGTCCAGCATACTACACCTGTGTCCTCAGTAGTACTTATCCCACATTGTGAGAAACTGTACTACAGCTGTCCTTCACCAACTCCCCGCCTCCAGGTTTATTTCCATCACTAACCACTATTTTTACTTTCACCCAGCAGTGCAGCTAACTAGATTATAGAGGATTCGCTCATGTAAGGGCTTGAATAAAAGCTTTAACCAGCTATTTTTGGGCATCAGTCCAAGAATAACACAGCAATAGGATCTAATTGAAGTAAGTTACCTCTTGACTTGTGTACAGTAGTAGTAGTAGTGGCAGCAGCTGCACCAACAGGCAGAGGCTTAGTAGGTCAACCCTTCTGTCTCACTCTGCTAGACTGCAAAAGGCAGGGCTTTTTCATCACTTGTTACCAGGAGTTTGAGGGTGCCGCTACAATGTCTCTGAGGTTGCTTCCCGCTATCACCATGGACAATGACGAAGATGATGATGGAAATTTCACCAAATGGATGAGCAGTTACTGGGGTCACGGAGCAGAAAGTGGTCATTCCAGAGACAGGAAGAGGAGCTTCAGACGACCTGCAAGATCACAAACAGACAGACGTGGGTCACTACCAACTGTGGTAAGAAACAACTACATTTGTAAACGCATAAAACTTAACGGGCATAATATTTTCTTTTGTACATTTTGATTCAGTAATGGCAACACAGTAACTGTATTATTTTACTCTGCATGTTTCTTAGTATTATACTTAGTGTAAGATCATTTTAAGCAGTCTTTTTGGTAATTTAATCTGTATTTTACCGCAAGATTCACTCAGATTCAGGGGAAACAGGTGAATCCTGGTCCATAAGGGGACCGCATTGTACCAAACGGTAAATTAGCTCACATGGCAAAAACATGAAAAAACATAATTTACAGGCCTATTACGAGATTTATTTTAGAGTCTAAAGATGCAACAGCCAAGAATAAATGGTAAAATTGTGTTAACATATATCAACTATGCAAAGACATATTTGAATTTCACTGATCTAATAAACTGCATACATATTGTTTTGTTGTTGGGCATATATTTGAATATTACCTCTTTACTTTATTATACCATTGCCAGCAGTAAATTTAAACACTGTATTTGCCAGAGCTATACATGCGCAACACAGCTGGAATCCAGCACCAGATGTTTATTTAGTATCTTCAAGTAAACTACATTTATCATCTTTACCCGAGGATTCTTGATGATAAATTAACATGATTATGCGCAAGCCATAATGGAGCCATAAATAGATATTGTACCAGCACAGAAAAGCCCACTGTCACGGACACTGTTGGAAGCTGTAATTTAGGACGTCAATCTGTACCACATCAATAATGTCTGCCGTGTAACCCACTCACACATGCATACAATAACACAGGCAAATGGACCTATACAACAGCTTCATATAGTGAGAATAAATTTATCATTGTATAATCATAAATCATACTCATGTTTGAACAGTTGTAGTGGTTTGCTGAATACCAGAGCCCATAAACAATAAGTGGAAAAATGTCTAGTTTAAACATTCACACAAACTTTCATCTATTTCTGGCTAAGTCAAAGGTCAATAATAACTTTTTAAGGTAAACAATCTGAAAATAATATAGGGCTTGTAGTTGCATTTTGGTGGCTTAAACCCCAGAATTGTATCATGTGTTATTTATATGTTACTTTAAAATGTAATTCTCAAAAAGTCATAGTGATGGACAATATTGAACATGGTCTTTTTGGTTAATTTTTAAATATTAAAGCAATAGATAATACTGATTATTATTTTTTTGTATTTGTGAAGTATATGAGAAAAACAAGCACATTTAAAAAACTACAATTATTTAATTTAATAAACGCTCTTTTGCATCTCTCTGCATTATGTTTAATAACCATGAAAGTGAAAGTTACTTTGCCCAAAAGTAGCTAGAGGGTATAACAACACGTGTATGAGACTAGCCTTTTTATGCACTGGAGCAGCACAGATAACATTTTGTCCAAACTTTGATCAATAATACAGTTAGCTGCAACCATCATGGCATGAATCACAGTGCACCTTAACATTTGAGTGAAGGCTGAAATAATAACTAAAACTGTCATACAGGAGTGTATTTCAAAAAGTGTTTGTAGAGAGAAATACACTGTCTTTAATTTATGTAACAATTTAAATGTAGTCAGAAGTAATGTTTGTTATAACTGTATGGATTGCAGTTGTTACATGATGCTAAGCTGAGAGCAGAAATTACACTACACTGTGCTAATGTGTTACTTAACAACATTAGAAGTGATTAGTGTAACCCTCTCACAGGCTGCAGCTAAGGTCACTTGGTGCTGTAAGAGCTCTAGGAAAACAATTCTTTAACGTTTCTGCAATGTAACCAAATTTAAAAAATGAAATAATCATGGACTTAATGTAGGTGTGATTCAAGGTTTTCGGTCCATGCATTGTCTCCTTTAGTGTCTTAATTATTAAAAATCTATATTATTTAAAGCTTTATTGGAATACTTTAATGCAAATAGATAACTGCACTAAACATGGCTACACAGCTCTCTATTGTTGTGGGAAAAAAATGGCTCTGGGTGAGTTTGTAGTAAATCAAAATTGGTTTTAGATACTTCCCCAAAAATATCAACCCAATATATATCATCAGAGCTTATTGGTAATTGGCTGCTCAAACAATGGGCATCAGCCATGGAAAAAACATATCTGTTGGTCTCTATTCATTATGGAATACCACAAACTAGTAATGAATTAAAAATAAGGCTTGTTATCATAGCAATAAACAACTCAAAACATCTCTGTTTTTTCTTCTGGGGTCCAGGAAAATGTAATGTGACTGAAAGCCTTTGACTATGCCAACTTTAGTAAACCTCTGTCACTCTGAGCTGTCGTGGATGTAATTATAAATGCGATTACACTTGAAAGTAACAACTGTCTCCTCTCTGTGAATTTACAGTCACAGTTAGATGCCATGAAGCTGAACAAGCTCCATGCCGCGACAATGGCCCCTACTCCCAGTCACCTGAAAACACGAGAAGAGTGGTTGGAAGTACGGCCTCACCCCAGGGCTCATCGCACTTCCTCTGACGACGGGCGACCCAAAACAGCCATCCCGGAAGCACGCATCAGCACCATCCCCGAAATCACAGGGTCCCTGGAAAAGAGGCTCCGGACCATCTCTCTGGTGAGCTACTGTTTTGGGAAAATCACAAAGAAGTTATTCTACATCCTTATTTTCTTTTGGCTGTAACATTAACACAAACCTAGCATTAACACAAATCATTTTATCAGTGGTGCCCACCTGCACACACTTTATTAACAATAGCAGAAGACTGAAGAATTCTGACCAATTTTGGGACAAATAATTCAAAATTTATATTCTTTATACAGAATGAGGACAACAGGTTGTGCCTGATCTGTTATGAAGACATGAGAAAGAACGGAGCTGGTACGCAGGAGCTGCACTGCACACATCGCTTCCACAAAGAGGTAAAACTCTGTCTTTATCTGCTGCATGTCCACAGATTTCAACGTCTCATTTCACTTGTTCAATGCATGAGGCTTATCAAACCCAACATTCCTGTACATGCATGACGTGGGCTGGTATGAAAACAGACTTAAAGTATTACGTTATGTCCGCATAAAACAAGCCTGGGGCATTTACTGACTGTGCTGGTCTGAAGGCGATGCGGAGGTTAGAACAGCCACGCCGGAGCAGTGAGGCGGGACACATCCTCAGACAGACAGAGGAGAGGAGGAAGTCTGCAGATGCACACATCTCCAATGAGAAGGACTCACCCCTTCACCGCCAACTCTCCCTGCGCAAACACCGCTGAGCTCAGGGCCTGGAAGACAGAGCCGAGGAGTCAGATGAATATAAGGCAACATTTAACAATGCAAAAAGCACCATGGCTAGAGCACCATGTATTTGAAAAAAAAACAATAAAGTGTACCTTAATCTTAACCTAAGGTAGAATGAGTTTTTTTTTTTTTTTTTATATAATATGACTATATTACAAAACCAAAACAAAACATAACTAATATTAAACTGAGAAACTGATATGTAAATAATGTATTTATTGGATTGATCTATAACCAATAAATACTTTTGAGAAATACTGCCAAATTCTCCAAACCCCTTGTGCTCCCAGCTGAAATAAATTTGCATTAAAATTGCCATGGACTTAAAATATCCTTTTAAACTGTCACTTGCAGATGTATTGTGTGGTATGTGAAGCAGAGGAGAAGGAATTTGCATCTCCACAATGTATAAATATATACTGTATATATAAATTAATTATTTTGAGTTTAAGATTCATTTTTCAGTATTGCTAAAATATATGTATTATAATATTATGTTAAGTGGCATAGCTAGCTCATTCTGTAAAACGTTTTCTTGCATACACTATTGCACTTTTTATGGTGTTGTAATGTTTAACAATGTTCATGTCAGATAATAAATACTTAAGGTAAATGCACTTTTCCTTAGTGTTATATTACACACATTCCCATGCTATATACTATACGCATGGTATGGCTACAGGGTACAAAAGTCAATGCGAGACCTTGTTGTAAACATGAATTCCTTTTTTCAAAGTTCACAATAAATTAGTTTAAGAATATTAGACATTTGACCTTTTACAAAAGCAAAGGTAAGCTTAAGCTTATTTCTTAAGTTAAGGTATGAGAGACTCAAAATGAAGTGCAATGATGCTTATAATATTGAAAGCAAAAAGCTTACAGTGGGAAAGCAACCAAAGTCACTCAATTCAGTATCAAGAGGTTAAATCTTTGCGGAATGTAGAGAAAGTTTCATCAGTAGTCATCTGAACAGGTTTTTGTGGTCAAGACAGTTCAGGTACCATCCTTCAGTTACTCCCTTTGGGACTGAACTAAATTACTCAGAGTAGAATAATCTCCTTGTGCTTCAAGTCAGTTACATCAGCACAGATGACCACTGATGAAATCTTCTCTACATTGAACCACTTCTGGACAAATGAAGGATTACACCGTCACTTTGAGGAATGATCTTGTGACATTTGGATGTTTACATCCCTTTATAAATGTGTTTCAGTGTATGGAGCAGTGGCTGTGGAGGAAGCAGACGTGTCCAACCTGCCGCATGTGTGTGTCTATGGCCAAATCTCTGTACTGCACCTCCTCTCGAACCTTCGTCCCATAACACTCCTGTCCACCTGCATGCTTCACCCTCCAACTCGACTCTCCACCTGTCACAGAAACAACCCTGCATGAATTTATGGCTATTTATCTATGCATTCACTATTCATCCAGCCAAGATATGAAAGAAAATAAGCCAGTCTTCTTTTTTTTATTTCATGTTTGCACTAGTTATCTGAAATGTTATTTGAATATACAATAGGCCATTTAAAAATTGAGCAACTTCTTAACTTTATTAGCGTTATCATCCTAAATACATATAGGTCTAATTGGTTGTGTTTTTATGTTTATGGTAAAACTTGTCATATTATGTTCCTTTTCGAAGTTTGTTGGATAGCCTATTAGTCTTTTTTCTTATGATTTTTTTTTTCTTTATAGCCATGTTTACAACATATTTGTTCTTCATTTGTGCCTCCTTTAATCTCGTTATTAAACATGCCAACGGTCTGACTGTGAACAATTTCTAGATCATACTTTTAGTCTAATAAATATCATGTAACCTGGATGAAGTTACAAGTCGAACAGGTAAAGTAGCAGTGCATCGCGTTAAAAATTAACCATAGGCTAGAGATTTGCATACAGCCTCCATCCTCCCTTGCTCATGACCTTTGTTGGACACTTTTTTTTTTTTTGGTTATACCCATGGATTTACTGTCCAGTGCATCTTTAGCATCTGTCTACGCTTTAAAAGTTTAAAACTACGTCTAGAGCTTTTAAACTTCTAAACCACAAAGTGCCCCCCCCCCCCCAAACACACACACACACTCTTAAAACCTGTGCAGAGCCAGTGAAATCCTCCCGCTGGGCGTACGTGCTCAGAGTCTTGTGGGTTGAGCGCTGAGTTTGGTCTGGTCTGTCTGAAATAGAGGAAAATAGCGGTCTCCCCCGGATTCTCCTGAAGGGGGCAGAGTGCACACGTGGACACGGATGATTGATGTGACCTGCAGCCAATCACAGCTCTCCTTGGTGACGCGACTGCTTTCATTTCACCAATAGGAGCGTTTTAGGGAAAGTCTAAACTCGGACGGAAAATTTAGAAAAAAAAAAAAAAAAAAGGGACTTGTGAAACACATCTGGCAGAGACAGAGGAGCGACCGAGGAGGAAATAGCGGATCATTTCTTAGTGTTTTAATAATAGTAAGTGTGAACATCTTAGCCTTTTCAGCGGAAATGGAACTTATGTGATAAAAACCTAGAGATGCTTTGATTATCTACGCAAAGTAGACCTGGCCTACTTCTAAGAACCTTCTGCAAATTTGGATAAGGTAAGTTTCTGCCACTTTTTCAGCATTCAAAGTTTACTACTTCTCACTTTTGTCGCATTTTCTGATTATATGTTAGCAGACAATTATTTGGGGTTATAGGCCTAATAAGTCTGATGATATTATTTAATTCAATAATGCTTTGTGACTAAGAATTATGCTTATGATTATATTATCCTTCATTATGCTTAATTAAAAAACATGACGCCTGATTACAAGGTGCACAAATGGTGCATTATAACTTCAATAACAATTTAAACTGCACCATAAAAAGGTTATTGTGTTAAAATATATGAGCTCCTTAGCCATAGACTTTTTACCAAATGCACACACAGACTTTTACATTTGCTTCAGGTTCTGAAACCAACATCATTGGTGACAGTTCTTTCAAAGGGGTTGTTTATGAAAGCATAGTATGTATAATTATTGTGTATACTTTTGACACCAGGGCCTGTAAGTCTATCATTATGAGCCACAGAAAGTGCATCTAGTAGAATCTGTCTGGGATTTGTTACTGAAATATCTTTCTACAAAGAAAACCAGTTTAAATTTCCTCTAAACACAACATTTAAACCTACAAACTCAAAACTACTAAAAAAGAATACAAACAAATCTTTCCAGTAATCACTATATAATAATTAAAACTGCTGTCTCTAACCATACATTAAAATGGTAAATATATAAATGATGTCAGCAGGCCCCCTTATTAGGACCACTTATTCATTTTCATGCCTTTAAGGAACAACAGGATTTTACAGTTTATTTGTTGATTTAAAAGCGTGTGAGTGTAGCCTGCTCACAGATGTTGTTGTTGATTTTGGGGGTTGGAGCACCTCTTTTCAGTAGCACTTCAGTGGCATCAGGGAGACATTACCATGGAGACTCTAGTGTTTTCCTTCAAGTGGAGAGGGTGCACTTTGATGAGCTAATTCTAACATCATCTATCTTAAAACATTTAATATTTGTTTTGTACCATGTGTCCCATTTGCAAATTAGAGTTCTTGTTTTTTTGTTGCTGGGCAGAAGATTGTACTTCATCTACATGACAAAAGAGTTTAGTCATACAACACACTGAAATCACTATTGGTGTCCTGTTTTTTCTTTAATTGGAAATAAAGACGCATAGGCCTAGTGCGCTGAAACATCCAAACAAATATAACTAATTATATTACAGTTGGTCTTACTTATTAAAGGCATATAAAAGACAAAGCATTACATCACTTGAGGCTGTCTTTGAAAATGTGTTGATCTGTTTATTGGGCCAGCACTTTGCTCTCATAAAGAGCCATTTAAACAGGAGGAGGCTGGTTGGCTGCACACATCACGTGTCACTGGCACTTATCATTTTGGATCATGATGATGCAAAGAGAAAACATGACACTTAAAATGCTAAAATTATGCTGTGTGTGATAAAACAACATACATTTAAAATTATTAAACGTTAAAGTGAAAGCACAAAGCAGTTGATGTTGTTAACAAGTCTTTGTCTAGACACAAAAGTGCTTCTTCAACACATGCTTATTAACTTTAAATACGCTCTGCTTCAGCAACATTTTCCCTGCCCTTTTACGGGGTACTTGTTATAGCTGCACTGTGCACACAACACATCAACTTGCAATGTCTGTATTTAGGGTTAAGACTAACTCAAACTGTAGCCGAGGTTTGATTAGTCATTAAATTGCAAAAAGCCTTTTTCAGAATCATGAAACTTTCCTGAGCTTATGTTGTATGATAATAGATAATGTCCAGATAATAAATATTTGATTACTAAATTATTAATTGATTTAAATCATAAACTAGTGTAAACCCAATTTCAGTCCTCTTATTAAATACTAATACTGGCAGAAATGTGTTTTCTTGTGTCATGATATATATGGATTTAATTTTTTCATTTTAGGGCTATTTGCTGACCAATGGGGAGTTTTGCTGGTCATGCGCTCCCCGGGAGTTTCTTCCTGTTTTGGGGACTGTGGTGGGGGATGAAGTCCTCACTTTGGCATTTGACCCGGAGGAACAAGAGTACAGGATCAAGCCGACTCCCGTCCAGAGCGGCCCAAAGAAGACTAGAGATCATAGAGAGCTCTGCCATAGTATTCTGTTCTATTGTTGGTAAGGTAGTAGGAGAATAACTTAGTCTGTATATTCTTTTTTTTATTGTCTCAATCTGTGCAGTTAATCAAATTTCAATCAAACTGGAGACTAATGTGGTGAGGTGGACTGTACAATAAGATGTAAAAATGTATCACTATTCTTTTGCTCATATTGATTTACCACAATCTTCAATTATTTAGTGTTATTAAAACAAATAAAACTGTTAAAGTAATTTATGTAGTCTACAGTATAGTTAATTACTGCTATTTAAAGCTACCATCTGTAAGTTCATTTTTTTACCAGTAGATGGCAGATGCCTCAGCTCCTCTCACCTGGCCTTTGTTCAGGCTCACCTGTACTGGCAAAATATAACAGAGCAATAATGTAGATAGCATCTAGTGGATTGAGGTAAGAATAAAACAGGTCGGCCAGTCTAAATACAAATGGTATCTTAAATGGTTGATTAAAATAAAATTTGTTGCACAGCCCTAAGACAAGTGGTCCTCAACTTAATGTTTTTGCAGGGATTTTAGCAGAGCAGTTTGCAGCAAATGGCCCAAAGCTGCAGTTGTATGACACCTCAGAAAACCACTGGAAGGACTTGATGAACTGGCAGCACTCCACTATGTACATGCTTTTTGGTTTGATGGGGGCAGTGTCTCTGATTGTCCACACCACTGCAGCTGCTCCTCTCCCTTTGGATAGACTCATGCTATGTCTGGCTTTCTTTAATGAAGGTACATGCAAAACATACTCATAAATAATATAGAGTAATGGTTCTCAATTTTTTCAGACCAAGTATCATCCATGATAAAATTTGGCTTTCTGAGTACCACCAGATCTAAATGCCAAAATTAAGACTGAAAACTGAAAACCACCTAAACTGTGGATAATATAATGTGGAAATGATGATTAACTCAAAGAAAGTCAAAACTCTAACTGCAAAGTAACATCAGATGCATGGCACACAGAACATAAAGTCTGTTATACTTTTTCACAAAATAAAAATCTGAAAATTACATGTGAAATGTAAATTAATATTGAGTCATTTTTTTCAAATGTTTCTCTTTCTGTAGGATTTCTTTTCCTCTACCATCTACACGGCAGAGCTATGCTGGATGTCATAGTGCATCAGCTTTTGCTTTACGCCATTTTTGGACAGGCTCTGATTGCATTTCTGGAGGTTTTCCACCGAGGAAATGTCATCCTTGAACTTATGCGATCTGCTCTAACCATCCTACAAGGGAGCTGGTTCTGGCAGGTAAATGAAGAAAACAGGTAACAGGTTGATTAAGGTTGATACATCTCCTGGACTAATCTTTGCTCAGATCTGTTTTAGAAATAGTTTTATGGCTTTGGGCATGGCTTTGTTTTCTGATCAATAAAATATAGTCTTCTGTTTTGGCACAGATTGGGTTCGTCCTGTACCCTCCCCGGGGGCCACAATGGGACTTGAGCGACCACAGCAATATGATGTTTGTGGTCATGTGCTTCTCCTGGCACCTGATGTTTGCGCTGCTCTTTACCGGATTGGTCTATAGCACTGTCAGCTGGTAAGAGTACATCACACCATTATATATTCCTGTGGTATTTTATATTATTATGTTCATGTGATGTTAAATATTGCTGAAGTTATTTTTAAACAGTTTTTTGATTTAATGAGGATATTTTTAGTGCCACCCAGTGGACATTGGTTGGAACAGATGTTGTGCTACATGCTCTTAACAAGCTCACTCTTCCTTTGTTAAAACTGTACTTACTATTTATACAATTGTTTTATTATTGTGTTACTGTTTATATATGTTATAATTGGGTGTTTTGGTTCTGTTTTGATTCTCGATACGATTGTCCAACTAGAAAGCAGGAATGAACCTGACAAGAGTTTCTCATTTCTGTTGGAAGTTTCAGTTGGTGAACTGATTCTCTCACCTGCAGCCAACTATTAATCAGTGCCAGTGCAGCCTCAGAGTGAATTCTGGAGATTTTGAGCTTTTACATTATGATGGCCAATATGCTGACTGAGAAAAAACGTCTATGTCTGTTACGGAGTAGGTTCAGACCATCTGTATTTTTCTACTTTTAAGAATTGAGAGACACAATAATCAGTTTTTAATTTAAATTAAAGGGTGTGTGACAGTGATGTAATCCAACTGTGCACATGTCATATATATTCAGGTTAAGACACTGGCACCCCAGGTACAGTTTTGATTGTAGTACCTTTTTGAAACTACATACAATTCCCCAATATTTTCCCACAGAAAATATTGTAAAGCAGCATGTGCCTAAAGCCTCCAACAAACTGTTATCCCATTAACTCTCAATGGAATTCTTCATCTTAACAAATAATAAAAAAACATGCTGTTACTTGGTTGATTTTTATCATAGATTTTTTTTTTTTTTTCAGTGTCGTTCGGGTCAGACTAAAGAGGACTCCTCCTATGGAGATGGGACTTCTATCCAAACCCAGAGAGCGAGATGCAGAGTCAGAGGATGAAGCTTTCTGATGAGACAATTTTTGTTGAATATATTTTGTTCAGTGCAAAAATACACCTTTGGGGGGTGGTACAAAAAACTAACTACTTCTTTTATTTAAGATATGTCTCTTCCTCTGTCATCTTTCTTTGTCCAATATCATTTTACCCCAAGTGTTTATTTATTTCATTCTTTGCATGAGGGCTCCAGTGCCAACCTTATACATTTGCACAAACTTCATAAAATTCATGTATTTATTATTGGTTGTCATGTTTTTCATTTGTTCTGCCTCCACATGTTTTTTCTTTCTAAAACTAAAGCTGCAGCAACAATTGATAATAATTAATGACCTAATCTGACCATGGTCTGGGGTCACTCACTGCTCCTGACAGGTTGCCAGAGTAACAATAGAATGGGAATGGGAATGAATGGTTCAAATACAGAGAACTCATTTCCCTACAGGTATAAAAGGTCTAATTAGCATAAAAATAAAATGCAGCACTTCTGGATTTTAATTTATTCTCTGTTTATATCTGGCTATGTTGTTTATTTTATTTCAATAAATAACATAGCTGTTTGCCTCTTATCATTTTGCTTCAAATGTCTCCGTTACAATTTCTTATATTACTTTGAAACATAATGAACATTTCTTAGGATTTCTTAGGTTGTATAATTTTTATTTTTATTCATAATTTTTAGAAGACATCTTAAGAATTCCTGGACACTGTAAAAAAGATAAGATGTACAAGTCCCATGGCATCATGAACGATTGTGCATTTCAGTGTCTTTCTACTTGCTGACTGTCAACCTCTGTCGCCTCTATTAACTTAAGGTCCAGTCTTTGTGTGACTATATTTCCTCTGGTGATCTACCTTTACAAAACAAAAATGCCAAAGAGCTACTTATTTTAACAGTTGCAAGAAATGTAGTGTATATAAGAGCCACAGCCTTAGATTTGTCAGGTGAGCAGACATTATTTTGTCTTTTGGGGAATGTTGAGGGTGATATTTGACAACAGAAAGGCAGCAAGCTCCAGAATATTTTCTGTTAGTTTCCCCCATGTGTCAGGATACACCATGCAAATTTTTACAGTTATTTGACCATTTATGCAGTTGCAGTACCTTACAATTACATAATTTCACAAATAGCATTTCTTAAAAAGTGTGTTTTTTGAGACCAAGCAGAGCCGAGTTGAGTTTAGGTCCCTATCAACTTATGATGGCCCAAGATATAAGATAACAGGAAATAATAGTGAAAAAAGGTAGCAAATAACATCCTGAGTTGTGGACGTGGCTCCTGGCCTAAGAAGATCCTTTTTCTCTCACTGAAGAAAAGCCTGAACAAAACCAGCCCAGCAGGTTTTCACAAATAAAATAAAACAGGATTCAACAGAAAGGACATACAGTCCTCCTTTAAGGTGCATCCTGATCTCCAGGGTTTTAAATGTGAGACTGTAGTATACTGCATCATTCTTTGGCTTTGTGACTTTCAGCTTTTTTAAGGATCCTTCAGATTACTGGTAAGAAAAACTTTGCAATTATATGACTGATAAGAATTGTTTCTTACATTTTATATTTTTGCACTGAAGGTTTTTAATGGGGAGTTTTGCAGAACATGCAGTCCCAGGCGGGATTCTGCTGTTCTTGGGACTGTGGTGGGGGATAAAGTTCTCAATGTTACATTTGACCCAGAAAAACAAGACCAGAAAAACACAACAAATTTCTAGATCCACCCAAAAAGGACTGGAGATATTTGAGGGGTTCATCGTAATTGTCTTTGCGTCTGTTGGTAAGAGTGTAATACTTCTCTTTTGCTCACATTCATTCACACACAAATTGTAAATTTACTGTAAGAATAGTGCCGTGAGTGGATTTTTCACATTCTGTGTGGAATTTCCATGTTTTCTTTGATGGAATTCCTATGTATGCACCAGTAGTAACCTATCAAATGCTCCAGATAAATAATCTTGACCAAGTGCCTAAATGTGTGTACACATATAATTCCTAATAACAGAGACTCTACTGTATGAACACCTCACCTACTTTGCTGTTATTTTTTGCAGGTAGCAGGTGCAAAACTACCACTATATGACTATACAGAGAATCACTGGAGTGACATGAAGAACTGGTTGCACTGCACCGTGTTTATGTTCTTTGAATTGGCAGGAGTGATGGCTCTTCTTGTTCACAGCACTGAGGCTGTCCCTCTCACTTTGGACAGACTAATGCTTGGTTTGGCTTTCTTAAATAATGGTATGTTTGTGGGTTCCGCAGTAATTTTTGCTCTCTTGGCCACTTTCTTTAATCTTGTCCTGTCACATACAGTAGAGCAAACTGACCAAAAATACATATAAATCTATTTTCTTTGCACACTTTGTTGTTGATACCCATTAAAGGTATTTGGGACCCCCAACACACATCTGAATGTATTTATTGAACTTTCACATCTAAGCTTCAAAGATAGACTTATATAAAATTATTAGAGCACAAAAACATTTTTGTCATGGAGATTTCAGCATTAATTGATCAACGAATATTTATTATAATCATGAATTTTTATTTCAGTATGAATAACAGTTAATAGGACAGAGATAGCTAAACCTAATGTGATGATGGTGTTACAGGTTAATAATTTTTTTGTAAAATTTAACTTAAAGAAGCATGGAGATGTTATTAGGTTGCCTGGAATGTTCCACAGTGACCTTCCTCACAGAAAAATGCATGTTTTAGGTTTTCTTCAGCAATAAAAACTCCATGTAATTAAATAAATGCAACATAGATGCTTTTAATAATGCTGTATTGTGGAACATTTATAGCATTGCATGCATTTATCTGCATGGATACAAGCTGGTTTAGGACCACCACACCATAAGAGGTACAAAGTGCACCTATAAACTAACTATAACTTCTAATGTATCTTCTCTCCTTTCTAGGTATCACTCACACGATATACACAGCCGGCTCATGGTAGATGTCACAGTACATCAACTCCTGGTCTACACCATCTGTGCAGATGCTCTGATCCATTTTTCTGGAAGTTTTCTACAGAGGAAACATTACTCTCGAACTGATACGTTCTGCAGTCTCTATTGTCCAAGGATTATGATATTGGCAGGTACAAGAAATATATATATTTTCTTGGTACAGCCTTGGTGAAGAGGGTTTAGGCATTGTTCAAACATTTTTCAGCCCTTTAGTTCAGGTTTATATGTCCAGGTTGGTTTAGGTCTTGGTTAACACATCTATGCTTAGTCTTAGTTTATGACTAAACCTTCTAGATTTTGAAGTTCATTTCAGACAATTTAATATTTTTTTTTCCCCCACAGATTGGTTTCATCCTGTACCCTGCCCAGGAGCCACAATGGGACTTGAGTGACCATAGCAATATGATGTTTGTGGTCATGTGCTTCTCCTGGCACCTTGATGTCTGCACTGCCCTTCACTGGATTGATCTATTTCATCCGTTAGCTGGTAAGACTACATATAGACCTATATTCATGAGGAAATACAGTATTTATTCATTATTGCAGCATGTGCTCATGTCACAAAAGTGCCAGTATTACTGTTCCTGTATCAAGCATATGGCATATTTAAATGTCAAGATTTTTTTTCAATAATTTATTTGTGAGAGAAGATAAATCACATATCACAGTCACTTTAACCTCCCCCATCCCAAATAAAAGTTGTGTTTTAGGCTGTAATTTACTTATTTATTTACAGTGTGGTCCGTGCAAAACTCCAGCGGACTTCACCATTGGAAATGGGACTGCTAGAAAAAAGACCAGAGTCAGAGGAAGACGGTTAAAGACCATGTGCTATAAAAGTACACAAACACAGAGAATAAAGCATTTCTTTTTGGTGAAACTTACAATGGGACAACCTTTGTCATTTTACTTTTCCTGTTTAGCCTGTAGGTCTATACTCTCATTGTTGCAACTATTTTCATTTTTATGTTAGGCTATTTTCTTTTGGTTGTAATAAAAATATATATATATATATTTTTTTTTTCCGGCTGGGATAGGCTACATGGTGGCTAGGCTTACCCAAATATTTACTTTTTGTAGTTTCTCCCTGTAGTGTGAGAGGTATAGAGGTCTTATTACTAGGCCTACCGTGTAATTTATGTGCTTTTATATTTCCAAGCTAACAATTGTGAGTAGGCCTAATAAATAATAAATGATCTACTGCAACCAATGTGCAGACGATTATTCGAACATGACCGCGGATTAAATATAAACTGTAACTGATCAAAAGCAATATTCATCACGTGTCGCCAGTGCTCTTACTGTTCAGAGTGAGCCCTCTTTCCTTGTTACCTATCATGAGTCATTGCGTCAGGTGCGTCAGATGCGTCAGGTGTGTTTTACCTGCGTCTCCTGTGGTGACGTTAGCGCACACCGATTGGAAGAAAGCCACACATTTCAGTCATTAAACTAGTAAACAAAGAAACATAGCTGAGCATCTTTTTATTTATTACCACCATGGACAAATTAAAATCTGTGTTAAGTGGCGAAGAGTCGCGGAGAGAGGATCGCACCATTTTGGAGGTAAAATCAGACGCTAGCTGCACCTGCATCTAACGCAAGCTCCTCATCAATAAAACAAATACTGTGTGCAGACGGTGAACGAGGCCTCGACACTGAGCTGGACGACCCGTATCAGAGGATTCATCGTGTGTTTTATTATTGGAGTGGGGTGCACAATTTTGGTATGTAAAATCTCCTCTCCATTTGTCTTATTATGCCAGTTTCTATCGTTAATCTCTGCGCTATGAGGAAGACTTCAGGAGCCTGGGCGATGTTGCCAGACAGGTTGTTCGAGCTTTGAGGAATGTTTTAGAGCCGTCATTCACTTTCTGTTCATTTAAATAAATTGTACTATTAAAGTATTAAATCATTATCACTGTCTAGCCTACACATCAACCAAACGCCAGGAGTGCTGTTAGGCTAGGGTCTGTTCTTCTGTTGTCCCAGCTGCAACATCTTAACATGAGCCTACTTCTAACAGCACTTACCAAGGGGTATTACGGAAAAGTGAAATATTTGAATTTATTTAACAAAACTTTAAGGATGTTTTTGAGGATTATGGTAATCTGTAATATAATAGTGATAATTGACAATACCTCAGTAGATTTATTTGCCTAGTACCTGACCTGAGAGGGTGTGCAGAGTGTGAGACAAGGCTAATCCTACTTAATAGAAATAAGTTTGGAAACCATTGCTGCATAGTACATTTTCTCCTTGGATTTATAGATTAGCCTTACATTGTTTTTATTCTTCAGTCACAAAGTCATACAGTCACAAGTATTTGAGATGTTAAATTCTGTGTCTTTGCAGGGAGTTGGCTGTCTCTTTCTCCCCAAAATTGGAATCACTCTTTTTATTGTTTTCTACACATTTGGGAACATATGTACACTTGGAAGGTTAGTGCCACAAACAAAAAACACTCCATATCTCATGACTTCTTATCCCCTTTCATAAATTAATAAATAAACATATCCCTGGTCCAAAAAATATCCTTTCTGGTTTTCTTAAATGTCAACTTCCTGGCAGATGTAATCTGCATACTGCTCTTATATTCACATTTACATTTCCAAAGTAATTCCTTTGTATCTTGAACTGCCTCTTAATGTACAAATTCATAATCTTTGTGTAATATGTAACTTCTGGTGGAGAGTCTGCTACCTGTTTGTTGTTATTGCTTTCCCTGGAATTATTCACAATTAAAATTCAACATATAAAATTTGGATTTCTTAAACTTAAACATGTTTTTTCTATTATTCAACAAGACTGGCCTTTCCACAGTTCTGCTCTGTAACTTTGACTCATGGCATCACCTGCTTGTCCCCATGAAGATAATTAATTAATTAATTAATGTCATACTGTGGAACATTACTGGCAAAACAATGACCTTTCCACAGAGACACATGTGGTCGATGCTCTATGGGAAGTTGAACAGTGTACCTTTAAAAAAAAAAAACACGCAACATATAATGTAACATGTCTATTGTTGTACCTGTTTTTCTTTTACAAACAGATATTAATAATATTTCTTATGTGTATATTATATCAGCACCATGTTTCTAATGGGACCCATGAAGCAACTGAAGAGGATGTGTGACAAAACAAGAGCACTGGCCACCACTATTATGATCGTAAGAGAATTTATCCAATAATAGGGAAAACATATAATCTAACTGACTAGGATAATTCTGGACCATAATTCATGCTTTGTGTAACTGTACAACAACATATTCATTCAGAAATGTAAAACCTAATTCACTGCGATTGTATAAAGTTTTAATTAATTATTTTTTTGCCCACCTTGTTGCAGACTTGTCTCGTGTTGACTCTTTGTGCAGCATTTTGGGTAAGATATTAGCAAGTCCTTCATCTTTATATATCTCTGTAAAGATGCAAGTGGAATAATTAACTATACTTCTTTTACAGTGGAAAAACTTTGGGCTTGCTTTGCTATTTGTCATCTTGCAGGTGTTGTCATTTGCCTGGTAAGTCACCCTCCTCTTATAACTTCTAACAGATGAAACTGACAGCTCATATCTTGATCATTGCACCTAGTAGGTGTAGTGTAGTGTGTAAGAGGAAATTAACATCTGAGGGAAAAGAAAGCAGATACATTTGGACATGGGTCAAATTTTGATGGCTGATGGCTAAAAGCTGGATAGAACAAAACAAAACTCTGATGTGAGTCAGTGTGTTTTGGGCTCATTCACTTCAATAGTCATTCTGTCAGATTGCAAGGAATAAATTATTATTTTAAAAACTGTTATCGGTGTATACTTAAAATAAATAAACTTGTCTTTGAATACTTAAAATGAACTGTTTTCCTTTAGGTACAGCTTGTCCTATATTCCTTGTGTGAGGTGAGTATTTGTTACAAAGCTTTTGTTTTGGATGTTACCTTCAAAGACACTTCTAATCATAATGTATTTTATTTTCAGGGAAGCCATTTTGAAGCTGGTGTCTGTCTTTATAAAGTGAACCAAACCATGACATTGTGACTCATTAAGACACTTTATTAATATTTTTGTTATGAAGTCCTTTTACCTGCTCATCACCTGCTGCTATTTTTTTTTTAATTGTGTAAATATTTTAACAACAGAAAGTGCTGACTTTCTGTTTGAAAGTTATTTTTATTTGCAAAGGTTAATTATGTCAGTGTCAAATTAATGTATTCCAAATTGCTTTCATTTTGTGACTTTGTATGTAATTTAATGCATTTATATGATGATGATACCATAATAAAAATCTTTAACAGAAAACATCACATTATTAAATACATTATGATATTGTGAATATGATATTTATATGAATATATTATGTAAGCATGATTATTAACATTAGCTATAGTTGTTTAACACTTAATTGCTGCTGTATAACATGTTTTGAATTTGATAAGATGTTATTACCCTTATTCATTCATTCATCTCTTTGTATTCAAGTTACTTTCTCTTATTGGATGGGGAGGTTCACTAGAGGTTTTCTGCCAATCACATTAGAGCTGTCCATTATTTAAGAAAGCGGTTTGTAACAAGATGATCATTTTCCTTAAAAGCAAAGCAAGAGAATCAGATCAGTTTTTCTACTCATATTCAGATTTTCCATGATGGAAAAAACAGAAGTTCTGGCTATGACATTTGTAAGTACCTCATGACATTTTTATGTAATATAATTTCATGCACTGGACTAACTTATGGTGGGGGTGTCATTTTCTCCATGGAGATGTTTTTGCATTATTTGCATTTTTCAACTACAGAATGTTATTTCTAAAAATACCTTGAAAAACATCAGCACTCTTGCCTCACAGCAAGAAGGTTCTGAGTTCACCTTTTTCCATGGAGTTTATTGCCATACTGTAGAACATAATAGGGAACACAATTAACATTTCCAAGGAAACCACCACCTCTATTACTTAGTGCACCTAATCACTTTACTTTAACATTTAGATTATTACTTACTCTGACTTAAACAAATCAGAACATGACCATTCAATTTTTCTGAGCAGACAGCATGCATTATTCTTAGTTCATACTGTAACATTATAATTTTATATTGTCATTTTCTTGCAGGTCTGTTTTGTCCTGGCATTCTTTGTGGCATTTTGGGTAAGCTACCTAGATTAAAATATTGGAAATATTAATATAATGTGTCCACAATGTAAATGTGTTTTCCTTATATAGACTGACAGTTTTATCCTCACGTCGGTGGTGTGTGGTCTCCAAGTTGGAGCTAGTGTCTGGCTTGTTACTCTCTGGGATTTTAAATGGGGCACCACAAAAAATCCTGGTTTCATCTTGTGTTTTGGCTTCGGCATTGGATGCAAAGTACTGGTAAGAATCCAACTCCATATGTCTTGTTGTGAAAGAAGAAAAGGATATTCTAGTTTGAATTCCATCACTTTCTATTTAAATTTAGGGGACGGGTTAGACAGGTTGGGAAAAACGATTTATTATCTGTTTCCTTATTGATTGAGATGCCATTTCTGTTTCTTCATAGTTTTCATTGTTCCTTTCCTTTTTTCTTTCAGGGAGTGTTGATGCTTCTATTTCCTCTTACTGGATTCAGCATTTTCAGTTCATTTTACACTGCTGGAACCATATGCACCCTGGGGAGGTTAGTGTCAATAACAAATCACAAATATGACAAATTCAAAAGTCGAGTTATGAATTAAGGCACTCATGTGAAGAAAGATGTTGAGTGGTGAACTAATCACCATATTCCTGTTGATACCCTGACTGCATCAATAAGGCCTGCAGATGCAGATTGGCCTTTGTTGTTGAATAAAAGTTCTAAGCCCTACAAATGAATGAAATGTGCTTTCACTACAATGCATTTCCCACGTGCACATGGGCATAGAGACAGAAGTGTCACATACTCTGTGCTCCAGTTCAGTGCATTTCTGAGATAATATAGATTTGCAGATTTGCCTTTACCCATGAGGGTTTTTATTATTTTTGTTTAATTATTGTTAGCCCTACATCTGAATGTGTCAAAACAAAATAAACTACATCATCTGTACCAAAAACTCTCCTTTCAGCCTAATTTTTCTGATTGAGCACTCAGTGCAAATGAAGATCAATGAAATGGTTGAAGCAAAAGTTAAAACTTTTGTGAATGTAAGTACAGACTGATGAATTTATGTTACTCCTCAAAAAATTTAACTAAGTACTTATATTCAATTTAGGATGCCTCAGCACACGTTAAGAGACTATCTGAACAATTGGAGAATGTTTGCAACAGTTATATGGTAAGAACTGATTTTTTGTCTGTTCATTTTCATACTGCTACCAGTATTTTCCCCTCCCTACTAAAACAAAGCTTATATTTAATATGCTGATATTTTGAAAGGATGAATCTAAGTGGGAGACATACACTGAATGGTATAGTGATATTGGAGGAATTGCTCAGGTGAGATAATAATTTTGAATTGAAAAAGAAAAAACAATGGATGGATAAGATTGTAGCTCTATGTCAAAAAAAAAAAGTTTACTAATCCAAATCCTTTCTTGCAGTGTCTATGTGTACTGCTTTTTCCCGAACTTGGAGTCCTTCTCTTGGCTCTTAATGCAGTGTTGGATGTAGGGGTGAGGAGACAAGCAGGTGTTGGAGTAGTGGTTCTGGGAGCTGTAGGGGGAATGGGAGTGCTAGCTCTTGTAGGTCTAGCGGGGTTAGGAGGACTGGGTCTAGGTTGTCTGGGAGGAGTTGCAGCTCTGACTATGGGGGGTCTGGGTGGACTTGGTGCTCGGGTTTTTGGGAAACTAGATGGACTTGTGTTTCTGACGCTGGAGGTTTTGGGTGGACTGGCAGCTCTTAGTATGGGTGGACCAGGTGGACTTTGTGCATTGGCTATAGGGAACCTGGGTGGACTTGTAACTGTCATTATAGGGGGACTAAATGAACATAAAGGTACGGGAGGCAAGGAAAACCATCCAAGTGCAGCCCTAGCTATGGGGGTTCTGGGAGGAATAGCAGCGCTGGCAATGGGAGGCTTAAATCTGCTTGGTTCTCTGGCGATGGGGGGCCTGGGTGGCCTTGGTTCTCTGGCCATGGGGAAGATGGGTGGACTCAGTGGACCTGGAGGTGTAAGAGGCCAAGGAAGTCCAAGTAGGGAACATGAGAATGTGCATGACAAGAAACCCAGGGGCGGAAAGAAACAGGATCAAATGGATGGAAAAAGTAACAAACTTGAGGACAAAGTTAAACACAAGCTTATGAAGGTAAGTGCAGGCTTAACAAACAGGAACAAGTATATAATATAGTACACATTTAACTTTAACTTGCAAAATGATAAAGGAGCAGTGACCAACCTTTTTTCTCCTAAAGACTGATAGTAAACATACAATATTTTCAAACTGGTGGAAGTGAGGCGTGGCCAGTAACAATAGCACAAATGTTTTTAACTCTTAACCATAGTTTGAAAAAATGCTCAGTAATCATGTTAGCTGTTCACCTGTATTAAAGGATGTTATGACCCTCTCTGTAGGTCATAAATAATGCAATGCCACAGGAATTGGTAACTTAGTGGTCACTGAACTGAAGTTTTATCCCAAAAAAAAAAAAAATGACAGAACTGACAACAGAGACATGAGCTGGCATGTCATACATTTTGATTGCTATCATATATATCATATTATATATTTTATTTCTACTTTCTCTTATTGTAGGCTTTGCATTATGTAATCCTTGCTGCAGTCCTGTGGGTAAGTAGTGTAAACTTTTAAAATACCTCAACTTGCCTTCCTGTGATGGTAATAATATGAAACTATTTTAATGTTTCAGTTCTGGGGACCAGCTTTGATGCTTCTTCTTCTAAAATTCCTTGTGTGGGCGCTGTTTTACATTCTGCGCCACTGTCCTAAACCTATTTTGGCCATTCTTTGCTTCATCTTTGGAGCTGGATGCACCATTATGGTAAAATAATATAAAAGTCATGTGAAATGTTAATGTTAAGATGTAGTGAATATGAAATGACTGATACAATGTTAATGCATTGTGCAGGGAGTCTATCTGCGATTTCTGCCTGGTTTCTCAATGTTATTGTTCAGTATCTTTTACACCGTGGGCAATGTTTGCATGTTGGAAAGGTTTGTATAATGGATATATAATATTGTGAGTTTGTGATGTGAAGCTCAAAAGATTTATTTTTCTGACAGCACTCTGCCCTTCGAGGACTTCTCTAAACAGCGAATTATGATGTTTGACAATACTAGGGTAGCAGTTACATCTGTTTTGCTTGTAAGTGAGGTTTTATTGACATAAATAAATTCTGAAAATCAAACTGGACTGAAATGTATTACCTAAGTGCAGAAATATCACACACAAAAAATATTATTCTAATTTTTATTTTTTTTTTTTTTTTTTTATTTTATTACTGTTTCAGAGTTGTCTTGTGCTGACTCTGCTGGCACTGTTCTGGGTAAGCTCCAGGAATAGATGATTACATAAAACAGATTCATTTATAATGACAAATAACTTTTCTCCACAGTGGCAGAGCTTTGATCTGTCTTTGATGTTTTGCATTTTGCACATTTCATCAAGTGCCTGGTGGGTATCTCTTCTATCATATTGTAGACCACTGAGTAACATAATGGTGTAATGAAGCATGCATTTTTCCTGCAGGTATTGCCTAATTTTGTGGGGTGTGGAAATGCCTCGGATTTTCTCTTGGTCATTTGACTATGTGAAGAAGAAATAAATAATAATAATAAATAAAAGAAAAAAGAAATGATAATCCTTACTTTGAAATACAAGATACAGATTAAAAACTGTTCTGCTGGAAAAGTCGTTAAGACTGGTCTTTTCTTTCTTTTTTTTACTAAGTGGACTAACATTATTGGAATAAAATTATGTGGAAGGTATAGCCTTTAATTGTTAAACATTCTTTTACCCAAACTATATTAGAATCCAAAATGTTTATCGTAGAATAAAATAACAGACAACAACAGGTTTAAACTAGACTATTTTTGTAGCTGATCGAGACCGCCACATGACCCCGTGACTGCTAAAAAAAGCCCAAGGATCAAATCGAAAGTGAAACTTGCGATATAACGGTGTGCTGGACTACAGCCGCTATCCGTCCCGGGCCAGAAGAAACACAGTCACAAACTCGTCATGGGTGCTGTAGCGGGATTGCTGTTTATGGTTGTGAGTATCGTAAGATTATAAAGTTAAACTAGGTCTGTGTGAATTAGTCAGTAGTTCATGATTGCATGTGCGTTATGAGCAATAGTAGTAGAGCTTTAGCTTAGTCATATAGCCTAGTCATATAGCCTAGTCATATAGCCTTGTTACTGATGGCATATTTAACATTACAAGTAGTAACATAACATGCATGATATCGCTCGCGTCCTTCTGCTTGAATCCTCTCCTCGAGCCTCCATTTGTCAACTCTCAATCAAGTGCAACCAAGAACCAGTCAGAACCAGCGCCTGAGGGAAGAGTCCTCCTCCTCCTCCCTTCCTCTTCTGCTCCTCTTTTCCTTTGAGATATTTCTTAAAAATATGCATGGTCCTATATAATAATCTAATCGACCACGCCTTTTATTGCCATGTCGCCTGCCAAGGTCTGAACGCCAAAGTTAACTCATTCAATAAAGCTTACTAATTCTTTCTCTTTCTGTTTGTCTCGCCAGGTTGAACTAACTTAATGCCCTAACCCTAGAATAGGCTAGTAGACAACTTTTAATACCTTTATAAACCAATGTCTGAAGTAAAATCTGAGTACACTTTATTCCATGCAGAGCTTTTGTTGGATGACTCTCTATGCAGCATTTTGGGTAAGCTGCTATTCCCTTATCATTATTTCAGTATTAACTTGTTGTTTCTCCACCAGTCCAATGATTATTAGTATTTTGTCTTTACAGTGGGATAGCTTCATGTGGTCATTGGTGTTTTGCTTCCTGCATGTCCAGTTACTTGTTAAGATGAATTTTAAGTTTAAACGTTATAGTGATTACTTCGGGCCTTCTTTTTTTCTTTGTCTTGGTCAAATTTGCTCTTTTCTGGTAAGTATTATGTTAATGGGGCCTCATATATGCTTATAATGTTCCAGATGTTTATTTGTGATGTGCTACTGTCTCTTGCAGGGAGTATTTCTCTTTCTTCTTCCTGGAATAGGGAATGATCTCTTCAGGGTTTTTTTCAATATTGGAGCCATTTGTGCACTAGGAAGGTAAACAATGAAACAACTGTTAAAATTACATGTACAAATATGCTAATTTAGGTTTATATTTTTTCAGCATCCTGTTTTTGTTCTTGGAGAAAACATTTGACGAGGCTGTACATGGGGCATGTAGTGCAATATTTGTAAGTAATGCATGATCTAAACTTGAACAATGGAGACATTTGCACATTTACCCAGAAGTTTGTTACATTTTTAAAATGTGCCACTATTCATGTACAACTAGAAGTGATATTTTTCCTTTCAGGTAGCTAATGTTAATCTTTATGTACTGACATTTTACTGGGGTTTCACTCACTCAAGTGTAAGTGACAGGTCACTGCCCACAAGGAGGAGTTTCCGAGTTTTAGCATAGAGCTGCTTTAAACAAGAAATGTAAAATCCAAATATGGCCATCACCAAAATTGGATATCATCATAGAGATAAGATCACTTTAAAATTTGATGTATTACATACACAATACTAAATGTACTAAATGCTAAACACTAAAAAATATCATTCACTCTAATTTTAAAGGATACCTTAAGGCACAATGAAACACTGCAAGAAATCCTGTCTACTGTTTTGGTAAGGACTAGTAATTTTGTCATATTGCACATTTACAATTATAATGTCTGAATCATTCCATGTAAATTGTGGCAGAGTTGTTTAATATTTGCATTGAACCTTTTCAAGGTTGGATTTTTCGTGGGACTGATCTGTTACTTAAGCCCACCACCACGTTGTCAGTCATCTCAAATTTATGCCAGTGATTGTGAATTAAAGAGGAAACAGACAGAGAAGCAGCAAAAGGAAATGGCAAAGAGATTGGACAAAGTTAAGAATGCAGGGACTGCTGTAAGTTTAATCATTTTATGTTGTGATATTTAAATTATCGGTCACTGTTTAAATTGTCCGTACTGTTGATGTACTCATACCTAAATGTTATGACTTGTTTCATTTCAGCTCACTATTTGTATGGTCATTGGTAACGTACTCTGGGTAAGATTTCCAGAATAAGTCTTTAAATTAAAATGTACTCACAGTAGTGAGCAGTGCCCTGATTTTATTTGATCTCTGACAGGAAACTGGCATGTTGTTTTGGATTGTTCATGAATACTATTCAGATGTTATCCTATTCACTGGAGTCTTCATCCTTGGAGCTGGAAGCTCATTTGTAGTAAGAAACGAACACCCTGCTCTAAACCAGTACATGTATCTAAAATATTTTAAATAAAAATGTCTAGATAGTAATCCCTGGTTTCAGGTGCTACTGCTCATATTGTACTGTATGGTGTAGTACCAGCAGCCTGCAGCTGTGTGACATACAAAAAGTTACATGATGTGGCTAATCATGCAACAAATGATTTTATTTCCCAGGTAATATAATTTTTACAAAGTAAAATGTTAATTTGTGAACTTTTCTATGACTTAACATAGATTTGTGGGCATTACTGATGAATTTTAAAATTGTAATATATTGGTATTAGAATGTATTAGTTGCTGGCCACAGTAGTAAGAAAAAAAGTTATATCAATATTGAATCAAGAAATCCATATTAGACCATCTCTAACATTATGTAGCTATTTTTTTTTTATTAAATATCATAAAAATCTGCTGTTTATTATGTTTCAATTAAGTTGATTAATTGAGATCAACAGTGTTGTCCACAATTACCAAAATATAAAATAATGAAAAGCTATTTTTTTTATTTTGACCACAGGGTATCTGGCTGCGTAATTTCACAGCATTTGGCCTCACTCCTTTTGTAGTGGGAAACATGTTTCTTGTGATCAGGTCAGAGTCCGACTGAGGTTTATTCTGGATAGATGAAAAGAGTTTTGATTTAAATCACATTTCTTGTGTTCACACAGCACTTTGTCTCTCAAAGGACCATCAGGGCAGCTGGACAAGATGTTTGATAACACCAGAGGAACTTCTGCCACTTGGATGATAGTAAGTAACTGAGTATTTGTGTCTGTGTTATCTCTCCTCCATCCAGCCATGTCCTATAATCAAGAAATTATTTTTTGCTGTATCCTGACCTTACTAACTTTTTAAATATTCTGGATTAATATTTGTCTTTAATAATATTTTATAATATTTGCGAAGTGCAGATTTCCATTTCTCTCCACAGACAAGACAGATGTATTGTGAATAAATGTCAGAATTTATATTTACGTTAAACCATTTGGCGCATTATGCTCTGGTATATGATTTCTTTTTTCAGATTGGCTTTGTGCTGACTCAGACGACAGTATTCTGGGTAAGGTTTCATATGTATGTTTTTGTGTCTGACACATTGACCCGTGAGACCTTATATTCAAAAATTCCATTTGAAATGAAGGAAGTTAATAGTAGATATTTTTATTACTTTAAATTAATCAGAATATGTCAAAGTTTCTCAGGTAAACATTTTATCAACATCTAACTGTGCCCACATGGGGAACCGAGAAGGGGCCAAAAAGATCACATTTGTTCTGTGACCATATTTGTGACTCTACACCATCCACAGGAAAGCTCAAAAAAGTGTGAGACTGTTGTCAGAAATGGTCATTCTATCAAATATTCAGGTTCAACAGTTAGTTTGTAAATAACTGCTTGGAGTAAATAGATCTTGGACCTCAAAAATATAAAAAAGAAAAATTGAGTCGCAACCAAATGTGAGATTTTGGGGGCTCACAGCGACCCCCTTAATAAAGATACACAATATTTGACAACAGATTCAGAATCTATGACCAAGAATCTACAATAATACAGCTGTATTTTATATAAAGTTATAGTCTCTCAAACATGCTTATAAATTAAGGTGTCAAAAAAAGTGAGCATGGACCCAAAATTTCAACGGGCCATAACTCAAGAACGACGGATTGAGCTAAAATTTGAGATTTCTTTTGGTCATTTTAGAAATTTTTGGAATTTTTTTCAGCCAAATCTGAGATGAGTCATAGGGGAGGGCGGCTGATTTCATATGGACTGACCCTTAAAGTAAAATATTACATATTGCATTTTTTTGCTGAGTCTTATGTTATTTTACATCACAGTGGGACAGCTTTGTTGTGGCTTCATTGTTTTGCATTCTGTACATCGGGTCAATGTTCTGGTATGTCTCCCTCAGTCAAATATCCTTTAAAGCAAATTATCACTATAACTCACGTTAAGTATATTTCTGCAGGTACTGCTTGTCCTATGTCCCCCTCGGAAGGTACTTTTCCATCATATTTCTTAACATATTAAAAAAATTATATATATGCTAAATTTGTGACTTTCCAGGTTTGCAGCAGAGAAGGCACTATCCTTTGTTCTGTAGAAATGGGCTGCTACCCCATCAAAATAAGCAACTTTGCGTTTATCTGTTGACAGTTGTATAGATCCAACAACATATTTCTTTGGATTAGAGACATTCTTATTCTGTAAAGAACTGTGAATTACTTTGTGTACGAATTGTGTTATACAAATAAACTTGCCTTGCCTTGCCTAAAATTTCAACTCATTTATATGAATATGCATAGTTCATTTTGATGTATTATGCTATCAAATATGTGCTACCTTTAGCCCTATCGACAGGCCAATTTAGCAACTGCATAATGCTCCCACTGTAGAATCACCGTTATTTACTTAGTTATATGAATATGGGTAGAGGTAGCTAATCTGGACAGGCCTATATCTTCTCGCAAATAACGCATCCACTAGAGGTAGCATACCTCAGAGTCATCTTTGTGATACTGGGGACATTGAAGATGGGACAATTCCATGCAATTCAATTTAATTTACAGTATATAGCGCCAATATGGCCTTGTTTCTTAGTCATGATGAATGAGGAAAGAAAATGGGACAACAGAAGAAACATTATAACATTTATTTCAAAAATATATACACACAGTCCAGGGAGGGAATTTTATCTGTGCCGTCTATGCTTTGTTAATAAGTTAATAAACTCAAGTTAATAAGTTAATAAACTCAAATGCAAAGGTGTCCAACTAGAGGCGTCCAGCGCGTTTTCTGATGTCCTGATCTGAACAGACCTTTAGTTTATTTTTGGTGTTTGGTGCCACCGTACTTAATGTCCTATAAGCTATTTTCTAAGAAAAACAAATAAAAATATTTTATTTATTCACCTGCATTTGACACTTAGGCCTTCTAATGTTTTAGTAGCTACCTGAGAAGGAAATAAGACCAAAGGATATTCAAAGGATGTGTTGAGTAATAACCACAAAAGCAAGTGCCAGTCGAGCTAACAACTCAAGAATCCAATCTTAAACATGTTCTTCAGTCATGGTTCATTATCAGGTAAAGCACCTTTATAAGTTAAGCCTAGTTTCATTAATGAGTGATCTAACTAATTACTCTACTATAACGCCAGTATAATTAGCTACTGTAATCAATTACAACTGATGTAATTTAGCTAATGGTCTCTGTGGAGAACTGCAATACAAATAAGGATGAATATAAGACTGTAATTTAATAGTTAGTTTATCTCGTAATTAGAAGTAACAGTTAACTATATCTAATTACTTTTATGAAGGTTCTTGCTCGACACCATGGATTTATAATAACTCTTCTAAGAATGACCTGAAACTTTTTGTTAACTCATTGAACCTGATTGAAAGAAGGGAAACCAAGTTTCTTGTGTCCTTTTTGAATGACGATCAGGAGCTTTGGAATTGCCCCCTTTGTTTGTTCGTAAATGTGTGTTGTTGTTTTCTTTTCACAATTGTGCTTTGATTTTTGCTATGTTTTGGTGTGATCTTTGTGTGGGTCCTCTTTGTATCTAGGACATATCTGATTGCAATTTTGCTACTGGACCGTAATGACAAAGAATAAAACTGGTTTCAATCAATTTTCTTAAAATGGCATTATTTACATAATAAACTTGTGGTAGTGTATCTTTAGTTTTTTAGTTATTTTTTTAGTAAAATTGGCATAAAATTAAAAATCCCTTAAAGGCACAATATGTCACTTTTTCTGGTGGAGCATCCCCACATACTTGTCTCCATGGATGTTATTCCTTTGTCTGGATAATTCCACTGTACTTTTATAAGCATCAGTCTCCATGGAGAAAATAAGGTGGCATCACTAGGCCAAGCTACAAGTCATATCTGTGGAGAAGCGAGCCCTCTCAGTTAGAATGGAAGTTTTTAAAGGTATTTAGTTTACCACCAAAAAATGCAATGCAATAATGTCTCTATTCAGCAGGTGGTGGACTCCAGTTCAGGAAACTTAACACACCTTAAGCAAATTCTTCAAAATCAGATGTTATTTGACTCTTCTAACATATAGACCTATTTGTTTATGTCATTCAAGTCCCAGTGAAGACACTCAGAGCTCACACAGACTCAGTCACAGCCGCTCGCTTCTGTCTCAGTGACACTTCATGAGCTGCTCGTCTGACTGCACACTTCGCCTCTGGGTACTGAACTCGGAACCCCTGATTTTTACTACCAAAACATAAATAAAATAGTAATTATATCACATTGATGATGCCTTTTATAATGAAGTGTTTTTACAGGAGGAGAGCTGTTGTTCTGTCAGAGATTTCACTGGAGACCATGAAAGAACCGAAAACAGAATGTGCCATGACCCCAGACACCAACAGGTTTGTGAATTTCAAATGAATGAATCATGTTTACATAAAAACTATTGCATGACCAGGCAGTCTTACATCCTGTTTGAATGGAGAAGAGTCTGGAATCAAATTCGGATCTGTCCTCCAGTTGTGATGTTTTCTTGTCAGGATGGTCACAGTCTCCTGGGATAAGAAGATGGTGTCCTGGGACATGGAGACAAACTACCTCTTACAGAATTCAACAGTAACCGCCCACACCAATGGTTCCAGAAATTTCCCATTTTCCCCATAGGCAAGGGTGACCAGACGTCCCTATTTACCCAGAACAGTCCCAGTTTTGAGCTCTGTGTCCCCTGTCTTATCAGATTTATACAAAACCAGTGATTTGTCCCAGGTGTCCCTATTTTTGACCAATTTAATCTAAACCAGGTCTACACCAGGACTAAACTAATATTAAACCAGGACTACATCTAGTCTAAACCAGGACTAAAACAGGACTATTATAATATTTGTCTAATCTGATCCCCACCAGCGGTAAAGAGGAGCATAAATTGCCATTTGTTTTGCCGAAATACAGAAAACCATGTTTGTGAATGACCATAAAACAAAACAAAAAATGACAGAAATCCCTCAGATTATGACTGACACCAGAATGCACAATGCTTTTCTAACTTTTCCTTTGTGTTTGCAGGTTTGGGTGGTGTAACCTTTAACCCTTCTACAGGTGTGTCAGTTTATTATTATTATTTATATTATTATCATTGTTAATTAATTCATTGTTAATCTAAGATAAATCTACTTCATGTCTTGCAACTGTGAGACATAAAATTCAACTGCGGCAACTGCTATTATTTGGGGGGGATACAGCGTATGAACGCGTATTGTGTATTACAGGCGGGTAGTAATTACACACGGGTGGGTCAGGACTAAAGCAGGTCTAGACCAGGACTAATCTTGGACTTAGTTTGTTTTAGCAGTTTGTCCGCAAAGCGCGATAGGGCAATTGCCGCGTTTACCTCCGTGAGGTGCGGAGCTGAGCCGGTACATTATCTTGCAGTCACCTCCGAGCCCGTCCCGACGGTGAGTCCTGTTTCAGTTCTGGTTTAGTCCTGGGTTAGTCCTGTTTTAGTCCTAGTTCAGTCGTGGATTAGTCCTCCTCTTCAGTCCTTGAATCAGTCCTGGGTTAGTCCTGGATTAGTCTTGGTTCTGTCCGTGGCATAGGCAGCGCAAAAGTTTGATATAATCTCTGGTTAACTGGCAGGTGCGGTCCTGTCTGCGCAGGTGCGATGTTGTACTGGGGGTCTCCAAAAATGGACCCGTGCGGGACTCTGCGCTGTTGGGCTCCATTACGGAATAAATTAATCTTCAGTTTGTTACATAAAGGAGGAAAATAACACAAGGACGACAGCAGCAACAAGTTTTCAGAAGGAAGTAAAAAGGGTTGCACCTGTCCTATCTAAGAAAAGTATATAAAGTTTGTGGTGAGGGGTTTTACAGCCTTAACACAGATAGAATAATTGTAAAATATAAAGTTGACTACTTCGCGGATTTCACCTATCACGGGTTATTTTTAGAACGTAACCCCCGCGATAACCGAGGGACACTGTACTCTCACCTCACAACCTGTGCACATAGACTCATACTTGTCCCGACCGGGACGGAAAACGGAAATTTCTTGTACAAGTCCTTGTTAAATGCGCATTTGTGCTTCGGTATGTTGCAGGCTGACCGACTGTTTGTGTCTCGCTCCTTCTGAGTCACAGACGCTACGAGAGACGCTGAGTTTTACAGAGGAAAACCTAAGAACCAAGTAGTGACGCCATCTGCTGGGGAAGGAATACAAGAACCAGACCTCCGAATTCACAATATTCAAACCCTTTTTTTTTTTTTTTTTTTTTTGCCCGTAAACCAGGTGTCCTTTTTTGATAACTGTGATCAGATTTGTGATTTATTGAAATTTCTGATAAATGTAAATCGCCTTTGATTTCACTTTTGAGTCTCAGTTTTTTATTTTTAAATAAGTTGAAAGTGACAGAATGAAGGTTTTCTTTACTAAGTCCCACTTGATTGTTTTATGGGAGAGGCTATTTAATAGTTGTCCCAGACCCCGTTGCTATGGTAACCGGTAGCCTGTCTTGTTTTCAGTTTTTTTGTGTTGTGATATTCAGATAATAATCTTTTTTGCTTTTTAATGGTCTTTTTTAGCTGAAGTTTGTACTTTTGTCTCATAAGAGCTCAGTTATTGAATAAATGTCTGTGAGCCCGAGCTCGTTGTCCGCAGACTAGACAAAAGCGGAACTTTCACCCGAAGCACCGGAGTGAAGCTACGAGGCACAGGTACAAATACACAGGTACAGAGATACACAGGTACAAATACACGGTACAAACACTACCGGAGCACCGTCCTCAATTTATGTATGATGAAGATCTTTTTACAGATGCATGCCTCCATAACGTTTATCAGAGGTTAGTGTCGGTTCTGCACAAATTTTATTACTCAATGTTTTGTAGTTTCTGGGGTTCTGAAATACTAAAATAAATAAATAAATACATTTTTCTCATTACGTTCACGCGCGCAAACCAGTCATAGGGTGTCACGTGACTTCTCCAGGAAGTAGCGCGTTTCTAGCACAGCCCATGAGCTCATAGTGCAACTCTGTCCGAACATGTCTCTAAACAAATAAGTTACATTTTGAACCTCCACTGGGCTGTAAATATGACGGACTTTCTGCTGAAGATAAAGAAGCGTATTCCCGACAAAAAGAAGAGGTCTTTGGCTCAAAGTGATCTCCAGAAATGGGGTTTAAGAGGTGGGATACTTCTCCATAGAAATGAATAGAGGCTGGTGCTGGATTATTTATCAATACACAGTTATAGTATATATATAGTTGCCCACACCAGTACTATGTTCGATTAG